CTACAATACAATGGTGGTCTTATAAGCTGAACACTGCTCTGTATTGATCAAAATATCAGGTTGCCACCGAAGCACGGAGTAGGCACAATGGGTTGCTTAGGGCGAGTTCACTGCCTACATGGGCGCCAAAATGTCCTGGTATTATTTTGTGGCGAGCTGGCCTGACGCTGATTTGATACTGTAGCTGTAGCTGTAGCTGTACTCATAGAAGCTGAACATTACGTACTTGATACCCCCTGTCTACTGTTTAGTATCTATCCTTGTAAATTTACCATCTGGGCTTCCAATAACGTCACACCCAAGGTCCTGATGTGTGATCTGTAGCTCCTTACGCCCATCACATCTTCAGCCACTCAGCCATTCATTGAGACAAACTATTCTACAGCCTATAGAGAGACGGAGTTACTCGCTTGAACCTATCTATTTACCCACAAAAGAGGTTGCCTCAATATGTACTACCATAATAGAACGCTAACTATGCGACGCCCCCCACCCCGCCGCGAGGGCATAATTCAGACAGCATATCATTTCTGTTGCAGATCAACCTGGTCACACAGAGATCCACCATATGTTGCATAAGGTGGCTCGGCTGAGGAAAAATCCTGGTATTATGTCGATCATCGTTGTCTGATCCACGTATTTTGAGCTTGAGTTAAGAGAGAACCTTTTTTGCCGACTACAGTCAAATGAGACTGAATAACATATTGATACCCTCCTTTTTCTTTTCTGTATTCTGTCCTCTCATTCAAACTTCCTAATCCAATAGAATGGCCGCCTTAGAGTGCGCTAGACTTGAGGAGGGCGTCTTGCCATCCACCCTCGACAAGCTCACCATTCGAAAGGAAGGCGACGGAAACTTCACATTAGCTGCATTACCTGAGACCGGCTCTGTTACCGCAATCGTTGAATCCGTGCTCGGTCACTCCGTCGAGCTCCACCGTCTTCAAGCATCTGGAGCAGAGGGCCAATCCGGCTGTTCCATCTACTTCGTTCGGGACAGTACCCACCCCGAAAACACCGTCGCCGTCACAAAGGTATATCCACCAGCATGCCATAAAGACTTTTTCGAAGAACTCGTTGCATACCGGAGGTTGCTATCTCTTCCCGATCCGCCGTCTGCTGCTCGGCCCCTTGGAGTGGGAAGGACGCGCGATGATAACACAGCAGAGCCTATGGGAGTGATTGTCTACCAGCTCGCAGCAGGTAAGGCAATCAACACAATTATCCGTGACATTGGTCGGGTCTCCACTCTCCGGCTGATTGCAAAGCAACCTTGTCCCGACGAAACAAGGGAAATGATGAATGATATCATTCGCGGCGCGCTCCATGGGATCTCAATCAATCATAAATCACACCAAGCTCAATCATCAAATATACCCACCACTGAACTTTTGGACTGTCAATTCAATGGACTGATGGCCGATTTGATATCCGCCGTCAAAGGAGTGGCATCAACATTGGCCAAGCTCCACTGGGAAAAAACCGAATGGAGCAGCGCTAGCGAGTCTGTCGTCGACAGGCTCCGCAACAAGCTACAAGGTTGGGTCCAAGAAATCCAGGGCCCATCGCGAGCGCAGTATGAACGCGCTATCGGATCTGATCAAATACAGCAACTGGCCTCATTGGTCGACCGGGCGATTGATTACTCGCGAGAAGAAGGTGTAGCGTCACTGCTGCACGGCGATGCCTCGCCAGGAAATTTCTTCTGGGACCCGATTCAAGGAATCACCATGATCGACTACGGGGGACTGACTCGCTCGATGGATGCGAGCGGCCGACCTATCGGACCAGCAGAAATGGATGCGGCTGGGTTTCACGAGCGGCTGCGAAAGTACGCCGGGGATTTCGGAATGAGTGATGCTGATATTGGCCAGGTTCAGGGGGAGTTCTGGAAAGCATACCAGGCGCAGGGCATACCAATCAACGAAGGGCTTGCCCGGTTGTTCAAGACACGCACGCAACTATCTCGACTATGGTCTGCTGTGGACAAGCAAGATACATCGCGCGATGAACATAAGGCTGTCCAGCTCAGCGCAAAGATTAAATTTGAATGGGAGCGTCTTGTCAGTATCTCGCCCGAAAGGATCCAACCCTGGAGAGTGCTAGTCGTTGCCAACGCCAGCGGGCCAGGTAAAGGAGGTCTGCCGCTGTTGAATCAAGAACTAGTCAAAGCCATGTCGGAAATTCCCAATGCATCAGTTACTCTGTTCATGGTAGAGCCTGAGAATGAAGTCAAAAACACATTGGCATCATCGGGGCATGGTCGGGCTAAAGTGGTCTGCATTCCCTCGAGAGGAGATGACCCCAGTGCCTTGCTCTACCATGTGGCAAAGGTACACCAGCCAGGAGATTACAGTCTGCCAATTCCAGACGACCAGCATCCCTCCCCATTCAATCTCATCATTGGCCACTCGCGATACTCTAGCACCGCAGCTTCCTTGATCCGCGAGAGATGGTATCCCACAGCCAAGCTCGCGCTCATCACACATACCAGTGCCCTGCGCAAGTCCGACGTCGCGTGGAAATGGTACGGACAAACACGCGAGCTAGGCTATGTTGAAGCCGCTCGGCTGGCAATGCTCGACGAGAGAATTCTCCCTAAGGCAGATTTGGCCGTTGGAGTCGGGCCTGTACTCACAACTGAGGCACGCGAGCGCGAGTGGATGGGCCAATTCAATCGCCCACGATCCAACATGATGGGACCTCGCTTCCACGAATTAGTTCCAGGCGTGCGCACGGGTGATGCTTGCACGCAGCAGCGACAGCCGAACGACCTATTTCGGGTCCTCCTCGCTGGTCGAGCAGACGATCCCGCCAAAGGTTTAGATGACGCTGTGTACGCTGTCCGCAAGATCGCACTCTCTGGTAATGATATCTCCTTAGACGTACTGGGGCTCCCGGCAGAAGACGTGGAGCGCTGGCAGCAGGCCGTCGATGAGATGACAGGCATGCCAGACCTCGTGAGGTTGCACCCTTTCTCTGATGACCCTAACGCGGTCTCGCGGTTCTACTGCAACGCGGACCTGGTAATAATGCCCTCAATGCACGAGGGGTTCGGGATGATCTTCACCGAAGTGGCCGGGCTGGGTGTTCCCATCCTAGTGACACAGGAAAGTGGTGCGGGCCAGCTTGCGCTTGATCGCAGTCGCATTCCGCCGGAACTTGGTCAGGCCTGTGTGGTGATGGACGAGAGCACATATGGAATTGTGCCTTCACCGACAAGTCAGCGCGTAGCCGTCTGGGCTCATCGGATCGACCAGGTGAGATGTTACCCGGAGCAAACGAGACGGCACGCTCGGTCTCTACAGCGAATCATGCGAGGTTATTCGTGGAAACACGCCGCTAAGGCTCTGCTTCGCTCCGCGATGGAGGGCGAGGGAGATACAGTGCAGATGGCTCATGGCAGCGTTGCACCGGCATATTCATCATGGCCTCGTCCATCGCTTGGGATGAGCGTGGTATCGTCAATGCGTCGAGCCGCACGAACGCGAAATCGCAGTGGAAAGCCCACCTTGAAGCAGGCCGACGAAGTCATGCAAAATCTTCCAGAGATAGCCCCGTCTATTTCGGCGCTAGAAGAGCATGTCTCTGCTGCCGTGGGCTGTCCTGTCAACTTGCGGAGTCTGGATCCCACTCACCCGGGGGGATTTTCCGGTGCGATTATTTTCTTTGCTTATGCCAACGATGAATTTGCCAACGGAGAGACGTCCTTGGTATCCAACGACCCATTGAAAGGTCGCGTGGTTGCTGTAATTAAACTTTTTGTCCACGGCTTGGACAACGGGATCACGGAGGAGTTATCCAGCCTTGAATGGCTTCTTTTGCAGACCAAGGGTGACATCAAGACTGCTGCCCCATTGGCTGTTGGGCGGATGACGTGGGATACGAAACCAGCCGGTGTGGTCACGTATCAAGTTGCCCCCGGTGTATCCCTCTATCAGCTCATGATGCAGATGGGCCGCCTACCGCCGGGACCTGCGAGAAGAGACATGTTCTCTGTCTTCACTGCTGGCGTACAGGCAGTCGCACGTACCTTAGCCAGATTACACACTCATAGCGTCGAAGGGCGACCGGGCACAGAGTTTCTCGAGTGGTATTTTAACGCGGCAACGAAACGAGTCCAGCAGGCATTGCTGTACAAAGACATTATTCGTTCTGCGGGACTGGAAGCGGACCAGCTTTCTGACAAAATGTATCAACTTATTGCGGACTGCAAGCGTGATATTGATAGTAGTCCGCGTACCACTGTCGTGCACGGGGATGCCCATCCTGGAAATTTCTTCTATGACCGCGCGACGGGGCATGTCACTATGATCGACACGACGACACTACACTGTTCTCTGGACGAGAATGGTGAGGCGTTTGGGGTACCGGAACGAGATCTGGGCCATTTTGTGCATATGCTGCGACGGACGGGCGAACAGTATGGCCTTACGCGACAGGAGATGCAGGAGAGCACAACCGATTTTCTGGAGGCGTATCTTGGAAATGCAGCGGCGCCAGCAAACGTGCAAATCCTTCGGTTCTTGATGTCATGTTCGGCTCTGTCATTCTTGAATTATGCGGCGCAGTCAGATCAGACAAAAGTAGAACTGCACGTTAAGATTTTGCAGGATTTATTTCGCCTTGGAGAGGGTTGGACACAATTGGATGGAATGCGAGGTTTATAAATAGGAATCAGTGGTTGCTTTGTATTTAGATGTTCTTTCGGATCTCGTGATCTAATTCGGGAGTTATGGTAATAATGATAATAATTGACACTTTCGGATATGTTTGATACCTCGATATAGTTTCCCTTTCCGTCTCTCTGTGTTGGTTTGATCCCTCGAGTAGATCTAATCGCGCCCAGGGTTTGCCAGCAATTGTTCATCGTCACACAACATGCGCCGACCCAGCGTCTTGACCCATTTTCTGGCAGTAATCCCAACAGAGTGTGCCGTATTTCGTTGTCGGTGCCACATAATGTTGCTGGCAAGACAAACCGAGAAAGCCAACAGAGAGACATCGGTAATCAGCCAGAGTCGGATGACTGACGAGCGAATGATTTTGGGCTTCACGTGATAGGATTGCAGGAGTGTCTCCAGCTCTAGCTAGCAGGCTGTGTTCATCCTGAGCGTGGCTCTCGGGGCGCAATCTGGGGTATCATCCACCTTTCATGAGAGAATCCAAGCGTCAAAGGTTCACTTCGCAAATGGATTCGCGTGGATAGTAACATTATTGATCTTGAATGCTTCAAAGTCATCGCCCTCCTTGGGCTGAGAAACTTTCCCCTTCTTGTCGACCTTAACATTCGCCTTCTCGAGATTGGCAAGAACATCGCCGCCTTCATCCTGAGCAGTCAAATTCAACACCTTCCCAAACACAGTACTGGCGCCATCAAGATGTGGCGCTGGCACGAACGTAATGAAGAATTGACTGCCGTTGATCGTTGCGCCCGTTGCGCCCTGAGAGCCAGGCGCCGTCCTGTCCTTTACCGGACGAGATGCCATTGACAAAATGCCCCGCGCGTTGTGTCTTAGCGAGGGAAGGTGTATTTCTTGGTTCATTGCTGCCGGGTGGTTGATCGATGTGCCGCCTTTCGGGATCTCAAAATCAAGCATTGGTTTCGTACTTGTTTGATGCGCGGCGGGGCCGAGAGAGATGTCTCCGCCCTGGATCATGAATCCCGGAATGAGGCGGTGGAATGGGGTGTCGTTGTATGCGCCGCATGCGCAGAGGGCGAGGAAGTTCTCCGCGGTTTGGGGTACTGCTTCGCAGAAAAGCTCGACCTTAAGGTCGCCTTGTGTGGTATGTAACTGTTGAAGCTGTAATTAGCATCATTTTATAGAAAGTAGAGCTGGAGAAAGATTGTAAAGCTTTATTTATTTGTGGACTTACTGTGACAGACATATTGAGGGTATTCTCTAGGTAATACTGAAGTGCAAGAGGACCAGATGCGGCAATGAGGTTCCCCGTGCTGAGCCCGGGGCCGATAAAGTGCTTAGTCATGATTTCCTTATCAATGCGCCGGACAATTGCAGATGTTTGGTTGTCAGTCCAATCCCTTCAGTTCAGACACACTTCGCTCAATTTGCAATTTCAAGACGCTGAAAGGTTCCCGGGAACTACCTTTTGCTTTTTACCTTCTCAACAATTCCCGCCCTGCCTGGGCACAGCCATATCCTACCTGGTCCCTTCCTCAAGCAAAGCCAACTTGATCCACAACATTCAAGAACAATGAACAATCGGCCGGTGGAACAGGCGTTGAGCACATTGGTGCCGACTCATGCTAATGACCTCCCGCACGAGCTACTCAGCTATGCAATGTCACTAGTGGCACAGTCCCGGAGCTTCTCGAGCAGTCTAAAGCCAGAAGAGGAAATCGCTCGACCACATGCCTGCGCGGAAATCGCTTGTAGAAGGTATGCCACAGGTCCCGAATGAGGTCTTTCTATGGCTGGCGTGCTTCTAAGATGCTAATTGCTCGTGTCTGACTGCTATAGGTTGACCCGAACTCTTAAACTTCCTCCGCTGCTCGGACATCCGCCATGTCCTCCACGCGTATACAAAAAGCTTTATTCGTACCTTGACCGATCTCTCACATCAAGCTCCACTGGTCTCAAACGCTCAGCAAGCGGATCGGTTCCCGGAACACCCTCACGTGCCGGCTCAGCGCAGACCACACCGACGAAGGGCGCGGCAACCAGGAACACCCCTTCCAAGACAGTAGCACCAACACCCCGAGGACTACAAAATACACCTTCGAAGTCTACACCCTTGAAACGAAGTATGAGCACGGCAAACATGCTCGAGAGTCCCTCGAAAACGGCAAGAAAGGCTACAGTCCCCCGAACGAAGGATGTTCATGGGTCAACCATCATTCCAGATGCCCCGGCTTGGGTAATGACAGCCATCCGGACTGTATGCAAGATTCTCTCGACGCCTGCCCCGCGCACAAATACCTGGTCTAGGCCTCCAATCTCGAGGACCCTGCCTCCGCATATCTTTTCTGGCGTGTCGTCCGTCCTCTATCTCACGTCGAGCATGTCCAACGACGAACCAGGATGGGACCGGGAGAGTTTGGATTTCCTAGAGCCTATTGTGTCTATCAGTGGCTCTGATAAGGATGACGATTTCAAAGAACTGGTCTACGCCATGGCTGTGGCTGTATATTTCCTTGTGCTCGCCCGTCGGCGTAACCCCGGGCCAGATGCAGATGCGGATATCGAAGCGCAGAAGATGGACAAGAAGACTTTTATTGAAATGCGCCAGACAGCATTGAACAGCCTTGGGCTGAAGGCTAATGACCGGAGACATCGTGATGATGTTGACCAATGGATCACTCTTATAATGGAGCAAGGGTGGGCCAACGGCCAGGAATGGTTCGAGAATATCCCCTACGCTGGACAGCTCTATGGTGAAGATGAGGAAGGCAGGTCCTACCAAGACCTGGACGAAGAGGATGCGACACTCAGGGGCGTTAGGCCGCCTAAACGTTCGGCGGCTGGGAGTGGGACTCGTGCCTCGCAGTCAGATCATGCTCCGCGGGGCGGTCTTTTGCCTGGCCTGGGGACAATGATGCAGGATCGAATTGACTGGTTGAGTGATGATCGTCAAGAAGATTATGTGAATTGGAAAGCGGATATCATGGCTCGCATTGACGGTGCAGCTGCTTAATCGCCGTAATGCGATGAGAGATTATCCAAAAGGGGACGCAGCCGGCTAGTTTAATTGATACCCTAAGATATGAATCAACATGTCATTTCTATATTCATCTTCGATAAGCAAAGAAATCGGCTTTGCCATGTCTATGTTTTATTTGTATGCTCCTTTTGCTCCAGAGCAACCCAATGTCCCAAGTCACCATTGTGGTAACCCAACTCCGTGCGCCATCAATGACGCCAAAACCAATAACCACTCATCTCAGTACCAAATGCTCCTCGTCCGGTGATGAGGAATAGTCTCATTGTTCTCTGCCTCCAAGTTCTTCATCGTGTCGTACAAGAAAAAGTCGATGAGAATCGCATTGATGCCATATGTCTTTCGCGGTTTCTCAACAATCTTCAATTTCTCATCCAACTCATCCGAGTTTTCAGTTTTATGGTTCTCATTGCCGTCCAAAATAGCCTTAGGAGGGGGCTTTTGGCGGTTCATTTTGACCTCGGGGTGTTGTTTTTCGATCTCTCGTTTGATCAATTCAACACACCAGATGCTCGTTCCACGAAGCTCGATCTCCCAGTTTGAACCTGGCTCGATGGGCTTCAGGTCGCGGATATGGTTTTCCAATTTGGGTGCGTAGCGAAGACAGTTTAGCTGGTGTAGCATCTGCGGAATGCGGTAGTCTAGGTTATACGGTTAGCAGGATTTGAGAGCAGTGAGGCGTGCAAAAACCGTACCTGCAAACATGGTGATCTTGTCGATGTCGTGGAATTCACCAAAATCTTCGCCATTAAAACAGGCCCAGAGGTCGGCGACTAGGATCTGAGCACGCTTATAGAGTCGCACTCTCTTCCCGTGGAAGATTGTCTCATCGCGGAAGCAGGAAAAGCTCTCTGTCAATATATTGACCAGTCCTGCGGCGGAGAGGTTGGCACTGTCGATGCAGTTGACGAAGCTGCCGCCGAATTCCTATATCCGGTTAGTATAACTCATATAGCCAAGGTGGTAGGAGATAGTACCTCGCAAAGGACCTCGCCTGCTTCACGTAGACACTGCACTCGTTCTTTGAACATAGGAATCTCTCCATCTGTTGCAGATCGGAATACATGTCTGAGTAGCTCTTCCGTGCACCTCTCTTCATCCACCCAGAAGTCGGGGGTTGTGATTGGAATATCTGAGGTTGGGGTAAGCACTTCTTCCAGAAGTAGAGTTCAATCAGAGAACTGACCTTCATCAAGAGCTCTTTGTAGTGCAGCAACCAGACTCCAATAACCAGTCCACAGCTTGCCACGATACTCAATACAGAAACGCTTAGGCTCTTCCTCCTCCCCAGACCAGAAACTAAAGTTCAACAAGTCCATTGTAAAGATGAAATCGACTGTGCTTTCATCTTTAGCCTGTGGGTGTAGTTTGTGCTCCGACCAGGTGTGCGTGGAATACTCTTTCTTCTGCATCATACGCCATATAGTATCGGCAGCCGCTTTGGTATGAACAAGGCTGACCGCAATATCAATGGCATTGTCAAAAACATACTGAGCCCCCTCAAGCACTTTGGTCTCTGGTGGGGCATCCTTTGGTCTTTCGCCCAGTCCGAAATGCTGGCGAAGAAGCTCTACCAACTCAGGGTCGGCTTCATCGTCGGAATTGGCCTCGACCTGATCATTTCTCTGGGCCGGAATTGGGTCCAATGATGGCATGGTATTTTTTCTAGTTGTTTGGTCTTGATTGAAAACAAATGGGAAGATATGGAGTCAGGGGTATCTCCTTTGATATCGCCTGAGAGGTCTCTTGCGGTGAGAAGCTAGACTCGGCAGATATTCCACCCCACCTGGATATTCGAATGTTTTGAGGCTGGAACAAGTGAACGAGTGATATAAAAATACTTGAACACGACGAACCCTTTGAGCGACCCGTGTTTTTTTTTCTCGCCACACCGAGATTTTGACCCGATGGTCTCTGGATAGAGTCACCGGTTATGTAAGCAGACCCAATATGCCCCCAATATAGCTGGAAAGCTCTCAGATATGCGCTGTGGTGGTATAGGTCAGTGATATTGACTTGTATCTAGGAGTATTCGATATGAGCGTAGGAGAGGTCTGTACACACGTTATGGTTTATAGTAACACGGGGGCTCTGCAGGTCTGGGCTCTGGGCTACTTGGTACCTGATCAGAAGCATATATGGATAGCATCGTCATGACCATTGAAACGGGCAATTTTATTTTTAGGATCAAACTCAAGCTCATTCGTCTTCTAGAAGAAAGCGATCAGACTTATGCGCCCTGTACATTGCCGAAATGCAAAGATGATCACTATAGAAAAGAGCAGAAAACAATGCCAATGATAGTCTACATCTATAATTTATTCTTTTATTCACAGAAAACAAATAAAAAAACGGTGTAGAGCGAAAGTAAGTGGAAACCCACGTGTGAGGCTCCAAGCAAGTGCCGTCATCGTCAACGGTCCCTGTTTCCGGCTCAGCACTTCTTTCACTTGCTCCCTTCTTTGACCTTTTCCCCCCTTCGCAATTTATCTCCAGAACAGACGCACCACTACAACACTACACCACTAAAGCATTACATCACTACACCACTACAACACTACCTGGTCGCGATCATCATCTACTGCCCGCCATGCGGGATAGCTCCCTTAAGCGCTCTCTCGGGGTGGACCTCACCCGCTCCCTCAAAGAGGTAAGTACAGCTCTGCTGGCGTGCAATCCTGGCGTCCAAGTGACGTCGACTTGAAAATATATTCTGACGGTCCTCTCATCACATATAGTCACGCGTTCTTCTCGTCGGCGCAGGCGGCATCGGCTGCGAGCTACTGAAAAACCTCGTCCTCACCGGGTTCGGCGAAATCCACATTATCGACCTCGATACCATTGATTTGAGCAATCTCAATCGTCAGTTCCTTTTTCGGCATGAGCATATCAAGAAATCAAAGGCCTTAGTACGTCCAAACGTCCAACCGACCCACCCCGCGCACTTGCGCCGCTCCCTTCCTCCCCGACTCAAACGCCGCGCATTCGCATTGTGTTAGCGGTTCAGCGATAGTAGATATGGAATGCTGAGATATGGATACTTTCATCTAGGTTGCCAAGGAAGTCGCGCAAAAGTTCCGGTCTGACGCAAAGCTCGAGGCCTACCATGCGAACATTATGGACGCCCAGTTCAACGTCTCGTGGTTCGAGTCCTTCAACGTTGTGTTTAATGCGCTGGACAACATCGCCGCAAGACGTCATGTGAACAAGATGTGCCTTACCGCCAATGTACCCTTGATCGAAAGTGGAACTACTGGCTTCAATGGCCAGGTTCAAGTTATTCAGAAGGTATGCAGCAAAACTGATATCTGGTTCTGCGGATTGGGCGTATATTGACTGCGCATTATCCTAGTCGGAAACCGAGTGCTATGATTGCACCCCGAAACAAACCCCGAAGTCTTTCCCCGTGTGTACGATCCGCAGCAGCCCCAGCCAGCCGATTCATTGCATCGTTTGGGCGAAGAGCTTCCTCTTGCCGTAAGATCCAGCTCCCAATGTTTCCGCTTTGAATGCTCACCTTTGAGTAGGGAACTTTTCGGCGATAGCGAAGACGAGGCGCCGGAGTTAGACAACACAGAAGACGCCGATAACGGTTGGTTCAATTTCATCTATAACTCGGCGTTGAAACTGACATCCGGCTAGCAAATGAAATTGCAGACCTGAGCAAGGAATCACTGGAGCTCAAAGAGTTGCGACAATCGATTGGCACTGAGGAAGCCCACGAGAAGATCTTTGATAAAGTTTTTCGAAGGGACATAATACGATTACAGGACATGAAGGAAATGTGGAAGGAAAGGGAGGCACCGGAGCCCCTTGACTTTGCTCGACTCCAAGAAGAGTCCGCTTCGCTTCCCTCGACAATCTCCACGCAGGATCAGAAAGTGTGGACATTGGGGGAGAATTTCAGTGTTTTCAGGGATAGGTAGGAACTGTCTGTGGCCGACAGCATACGTTCGATAAACTAACATGCTACAGCTTGAACCGGTTGAGCCATCGTCTGAAGCAGCTTCAAGAAAATAACCTCCCAGACCAAGATTCCCCGATCCTGACATTCGATAAAGATGATGTGGACACTTTGGACTTCGTTACCGCCACAGCTAATCTACGAGCTGCTATTTTCCACGTTGAACTCAAATCCAAATTCGATGTCAAGCGTGAGTCTATCAAATAAGGATGCACATTCCAAGGCGATCATCATTGACAAAGCTTCTACAGAGATGGCGGGTAATATCATTCCTGCTATTGCAACAACCAATGCCATGACGGCTGGACTATGTGTTCTTCAGTCATTGAAGGTGTTTCAAAACAACTTGATGCAGACCAAAATGGTAAGGACTGAACAAAACCACTCACCACTACTAAAGCTAACAAGCCATCGCTCTGGAAGGTTTTCCTGGAGAGATCCGGTGCTCGTGCGATCAATTCAGACTCATTGAACCCCCCAAACCCTGATTGCCCTGTCTGTTCCCCTGTGGTGGCTCGGGTCGAAATTGATCCTGAGGTAGCGACCCTTGAACACCTCATCCAAGACGTTCTTCGGATGGAGCTGGGTTATGGTAAAGAGATTTCTATTGGTTTTGGTAGTGAATCGATCTACGACCCCGAATTCACCGACGATCTGACAAAAAGGTTGTTTGACCTCGGCATTAAGAATGAGAGCTTCATCACGGTATACGATGAGAATGAACCAGAGCGAATCAATCTCGAGCTGGTGATAATTGCAAGGTAAGCGCCGTCTTTTCAAGAATTCTGGGCAATATTGACTGATTGATTTGCAGAAATGAGCCATCTTCCAAGGACTCCAAGCCCGCAACCCTGCAGAAGATGGTCGAGATACCTTTGAAGCCTAAGAAGCCTTCTACCGATGATGCCCCGAAGCTCGAACAGCCTGAACAGCCTTCTACCGATGGGGCCCCGAAGCCCGAGCAGCCTGAACAGCCTTCTACCGATGATGCAACTGTGACTGGGAAGCGTAAGCGTGAGGGCTCAAGTGATGTCGAGCCTAGTAGCCACGATGCTAAACGGCTCGCCAGTGCATCAGTTCCTGACTCGAAGGGCATTGAAGCTATCATTCTTGACGATGATGCCAATGATGATGAGGGAGGTGCCATCATGATCGACGATTGAATGCTGAAAACAGATTTTCACGTGGCATCTCAAGGTATTACTAGCAGCCATCACAGGTGTTTACCTTGATATCATTTTCTTCATACTTTCGGTATTCCCTTTTTTTTATTTGCTTACTACCCCTTTCAAACCCTTCTGTATCATATGGCATAAAGGCGAACCTGTTTTCAGTCAAGAGAAGGGGTTCAAAATCCCAGGTTGACGGGCATGCTTTGGATATGGACATGATAATGCATTATGGGATTTTTGTATCTCAACTGCTCAATGGCGTTTTCCAGGTTGATAGACTACTAGAATAAGACCTGAGAATACCATTACGCCCCTATGCAAAGTGTTAGGCTTGTGCTTGGGCTGAATCCTGCGGGAATTGACGAACTACTAGTAGTTGAAGGAGTGAGTTCACGTTCGCGAGACATCCAATTATATCGTGGTTTCTTGCTTCAGACGGGTGCCTCGCTTAAGAACTGGAAGCGATATCCGACAGCACGTCATATGTACATTAATTACCCCATAAATCTTATGAAGAACAGGAACCTTTGCGGATAAACACATAGAGAACCTGATGTCGCCTCGATGGAAGTCTAAAAAACGTATTGAGGTACATTGATGTTACCAATGTAGTAAAAAGCGTAATATGCTTTCATATCTCGTAATCTCATCGTAGGCTATTTAAAAGGAGGACCTACCTATACATGAATATCCACTGAAGCTTGAGTGTATTCGGCATGAAGCTCGCACAGTATCTCGCGCTTCTTCCACTTTGCCTGGCAAGCAGTGGCTATTATTTTGATGGCTCTGCTACCAGCAACGGAGATGGCACTCAATCAAGTCCATATAATACCTTGACTTCGATCCCGAATCTCTCACTTTCTCCCGGCGGTAACATTCTGCTCAAGCGAGGCACCTTACTCCAACGCCACCAATTCATCCACTGGGGCCCCAGGTCTTGCCGCTCCTGGATTGAGAGACCGCAAGGCATATCAGCTCTTGACCGGTTATGCCACCTTGGATTCTGCAACCGCTGTACCAGGTGACGCAGCCGTGGATTTTTTCAATTACCCCACAAGTGCGCACCTGAATCGGGGATTCTACTCTGGTACGGGAACAAAGACTCCGACAGGCATCAGTCGCTTCGATGACTCGAGTATATCCGGCTGGATCGTCACGGGAACCGCCTCCATTGTGGCAGACCCATCCGGGGGGCTAGGTAAATCGCTTTCGCTCGCTTCTGGTGTTTCAATTACCAAACTATTTCTCTCGCTGTTCCGTTTCGCCTTAATGTGAGAATTTGGACCCCGGCTGGTACGGGCACATTGCCATCGGTTAAAATCCAGGGGTTTCTAAATCTACTACTGTAAAGTTTGTTGCTGCTACACCCTACAGACAAAGGGAATGGCAAATTCTGGAAATTGCTTTCTCGGATAGTGCTTCGAGCGCTACTGTAGACGGGGAATCCGTTGGTTTGGTCTCTGTGACGCAAATTGCTACAGTTAATACTGCATTCGTTAAGATCAATGGTGGTGCGGCTGGTTTGATTGTGGATGATATATTTGTTACGGCTGTCTGACTGGTGTTGTGACATATAGTATATTGCATGATAGGCTTCTAATCTAGGAAATAGCTAACAACATTGAATGTTATTCTTGTGGTATTGATGAACAAATTCATGTCCTGATATTGTAGCGTATGGGTTCTTTACAAATACACTTGTTTCATTGGTATTACACGTCTCACTTAGATCAAATCAGACAGCACTCAATCCACCATCGAGATTGAGCACACAATTGTTGGCATATTCATTTTGCGCTAAGAACACAGCTGCATCCGCAATCTCGCGTGGATCTCCAAATCGATGAAGAGGAATGAGATCCTTCAGCCTGCTTGTTTCCCCGGGTGTAAAGTCTAGCATCGAGATCAGCCAATGCACGAACAAATATAGAATGCCCAAATCAACATACCTGCAACCATGGGTGTTTCAATATACCCCGGCACAATAGCATTCGACCGAATGACAATATCTTTCATCGAAGCCGATGCCTCGACAGCCAATGACCGTGTCAGACCGAGAAGGCCAGCCTTGGAAGCAGCGTATGGAACCGCGCCAGTTCCGCCCTTGAGCGCGAGTAAAGAGGAGACATTAATAATGCACTTCGAGGGCGATTTGGTCCCCACAGCTGGATCACTCCGATTTCGTATCCGGCTCCGGATAGAGGCACGCATTAATGCGCGCGACGTGAGTATTGCGCCTTCGAGATTAGTACGTAGGATTGTGGAGATATCTTCGAGCTCGGATCTTGGCAGAATGTTTGATATCGAAATTCCTGCTGCGTTGACTAGGATGTCTACATTTGCCTGGATTATGGTTAGCAGGTGAGCATTCGCTGAGATACATGGGATAGCTTACCATTTCCTTTTCGAGTTCCCGCATCCATGACCCAGCGTCTGAGACGTCCCCGACAAGTAGACTTATCTTTGCTTGTGTGCTTTGCTGGTTGTCTTCTTCGGGGGCACGGGTTGCGATTTCATCGTTGCTTTCACCAAGGTCTGATAGTGTACCCGTAAGAGACTCAAGTTTTGCGGCTGCTTCCTCTAGGCGTGTTTGAGATCGGCCGACGAGGACTACGGTCGATGCGCCTTCTTGTAGAAATCGTTCGGCAATGGCGAAGCCGATGCCGGATGTCCCACCGGTGATCATGCATTTCCGGCCGGCAAGTCGGTTTCCAGGCTGAAATGAAATGTTTTGGTTGGTTTCATCTCGCTGAGATGAGTATGATCGCTTTGTATATCCCACAGGATGACTTGATACTTGGCTGTTGGCGTAGCCTACATGGCGTAAATTGATCGACCTTGATGAGGCTCGATGAAATGGGATCGGTACTCGCAAGCGAGCCGAAGGAATTCTCAAACTGCTCATATTGTTTTACCTTGTCCTCAACTCCAAGCAAAACGCGATATCGGGAGGATCAGGTGCGTCACTGGCCAGCTTCAGCACGGACCAACACGCCAACCTCAGAAGGCTCTTTCGCTCCACAGCGGTCACTTTCCTACAACTACGCGACTACGCGTGCTTCATCATGGCGCCATCCACGGATTCCGAGTTTGTGACTATAGTCTCAAGTGACGGATTTGAATTCATTATCCCTCGCAGCGCAGCTTATGTCTCAGAGACCTTCCGAGTCGCGCTTTCTTCGAGTACGTGGACTCGAGATCCATTGCTGCATGGGTTATACTAACCACCCACAGCCAATTTCCCCGAGGGTGTCAGTGGCGAATATGTGTTGGGGGACTACTCGTACGTCTCGCGCTGATATTTCTCACTCTTTTTTGGTGGACATTGCTAACAAGTTGTTTCTCTACAGTGGCGTCATTGTCGAAAAGATCTGCGAATACCTTTGTTATAATGAAAAGCACAAGGACCAGGTCAATGTGCCAGACATGGATATTCCACCTGAGTTGTGTCTGGAGCTCCTGATGGCTGCTGATTTCTTGAATACTTGATTTCCACGTGGTGCCTTGGGCCTTTGGTTTCTTATCCCTTCCCTTGCTGCGAGACCTTCGGCATCGATCCTTGTTTCGGCTCGCATCACTTTTGAAATGATTCACGGCGCAATGACACAACACTCGACTTTTACGACAATACCATGGGGAGTTCCAGGCTAGCTCACATACATAGGCTTGGTCATGGCGTTATGTCATGGCATGTATTCTATGGGATCTATGGGATAGAATACATATAGCAATGTGCAAATATTTTCCTTCTTTGTTGTAGCAGCATCCTGGATTTCTGCAGAAGACCTCTTACCCCATCTGAGCATTTGCAAACGGTTGATACATCTATGGCCGAATTTGTCTAAAGATGATGGTAGATCAAGAAAACTCCAATGATAACACGCTTGTCTAGCTGACACTGGCAAAGGGTTTGGATCATAGGAGACAAATTGAACAAAAAATCATATCAATATTGTAGAGTTCTATATGGAGTACTCCGTTGTTAAGATGGCCAAAGTGTATGTATCAATATCAACTTGAAGCCCTGGTAGAGGCTGGAAATTCCGGTGAGTCAGCAAATAACAAATACCGAGGGCTGGGGCCGGCTCCACCGGGGCGAACTTCCAAGGAAGTGCCCGCCATCGTGAAGATCATTCTTTCATACATTTTGATTTGCGTGATGCAGTTCACAGGAGCGTTGCTCACTGTGGTACCCAGTCTAGTCAGAACATTTTTCGACTATTGAACAGTTTATTTGCCTGTGTCCACAGTCAGATGCACTGGCGGACTTCTGCATTGATTGCATCTCCCCCGGATCACCGATAAGGGTCACCCGCAGAGGCGCATACAACACCGCCTCATCATGTCAGGCATCGTGGCCCCCTCCACAATACCAACCACATCTAGCGCGGCTTTGTTGCAACACTTGAATACAACCATCTCGCCGGAAACTTCTTCTTTGTCCTCTTTACCGCATCAACTCTTGACCTCCCCCCTTCGCGCCTTTCAGCACGCCGAGACCTTTGCCCTCCGAACGGTTCCCCAAACTCTCGCTAGAATAACCGGAATTAAAGCCCTTGCCCAAACCATCTGGAGCGGGGCTGGTTCAGCAGCTGGAGCCAGCGGTACGGCCGCAACACATGCAGCGGATATGGCTGGAAATGAGTTCGCCGATGCAGCCGGCCAGGAGAGTGGCTACTACCTTGCTGAGTTCCTGGGCGCCATGAAGAAACTCGGTGGATTTTTTGGGTATCTGACAAGTCTTTGGTCATTTGCCTGTCTAGTGGAGGTGAGACCCCGCTCTCGACTTGTATACTTCCCATGCTGATAGGTCTAGGCGCTCATCCTCAACCGAATTACTATTTATGCATCCACACGGCGACACCTTCGACTAGGTTGGGAAAGGCGTGCGGCTCTCCGATTAATCCCCATTGTTCTCTTCGCCTCCCAAATACTTAGCCTGCTTCGTGGAATCCGATGTCAGACATCGCCGTCTTTTTCAACAATGCGCTACGGATACCCCGGGAAGCAACTCGTGTTCGACTATTCCAGTCATGGGGGCGCTCTTTACTCGATTAGCTCGACCCTTTTAGGATGGGAGTCTGAGGAACGGTCGTGCAATGCTGTGAAGATGGCGCGCGGAACCAACCCTGGTGTCCCATATGGATCATTTTCCCTCCTGTGGCCGACATTCATGCTCCTTTGTTTGAGTCACTTTATTGAAACACTCTCTTGCGCATTACAAGGCAGGCCCGTGATGACCGAGACGGGGATGTCCATCTTCGAGCACTCAATCGCCTTCGCAGAAGCCGAGTCGATGATCAGTAAATCCATCGGACTAGGCCTGTTTGGTCTTCCTAAACAAAGTCCCCTCAGTGCGCTTTCGGGTGGGTCTGATGAGAGCTCAACTTCGGTCTTTGACCTCCTCACAAGGTCGCAAGTATTGGAACGCATGAATGTCACCCCTGAATTGCTACTTATTGTATTGATCTCGTGCTGCAATAGTGCAACTTCACACATTCTAGAAGTCTTCGGGAAGCAGAGCAAATATCGGCTTTTCAGCACCGCCTTTTGGGGTGGCTGTTTCATGGTAGCCATGTCGTGGGGGTTAGATGGCGGTCCGCCCGTCAGCCTCGAAACCGGCGTGCTCAGGTTCCCGACCGTTTGCATTGTGGGATTCATACCTCATATCTTTTTATTGGGCGGCATCGTGATTTGCCTGTCAATATACACTTTAGCACTAACCATCACCGCTGTTTCGCTGCCTTCCGACGATCAACCTGTCTCACTCTATGATCGTTTCTTGATGGCCCATGAGAATATGCAAGGCTCGAACCAGATAAGAAGCATTCGTATAAACAGACACGAAGACTTTTATACAACGTTGCTTCGAATCGGCTATGTTGCCCTAACCGCGGCAAGTGAGGCTGTGTTCTTGAACGAGGGCCAATCAGTCGTTGCACGGCGGATGACGTGGTTAGAAGAGGATCGCCTTTCTGAGATTGAAGCTTCGAGGCGGAAGTCTTCATCTTATGGGGATTGGCAGAGCGAACCCAGCAGTCGCCCTATCGAAGCTATGGGTTTCTCAAGTTTCGACATGCCAGAACAATCTGCTTGGGAGAGTGGTTACAACCGCGAAAAGAAGGTTGAGAAACCCAAGAACGGTACTCGAACCGTGCAATCTCGAGCCGAGCTTGGGGGAGTTGGCGCAGTGCGAGTATCTATCAGATTGTGGCATGTCCTCTCGTTCTTCCGCGCAATTTCTTTTATAATGCTCCGTTGGGCTGCATATGGGCTCAATAATGTGCTTGATCGACTGGGAATAAGCGCTCGGCCAATGTGGCTCAAGCGCATAGTGGGTCATCGTGGAAAGAAGTCTAATATTGACAAGACGAACCCATCACAGCCATTAGATTTCTGGATCCTCTCGGAAAATGGAGAGCTTGAGCTCCCCGATGACCATGACTTTGACGTCGAGGTCGAGATGAGGAAGCGAGAGCGCGCAAACCGGCCAGACTGGATGGGCTCGGATGAAAGCCGGCTAGACGACAGACTATACAGCTGGTGGAAGATTGGCGGTGCATGGGGAAACCAAGATCAAACCTCTGATTATTCCCCGCCCTCTGATGACTTTGACACCACGAGCGTGGTGTCCATGTCTACCAATGCCTCGGAGTCAGAATGGGAGGATTACCCATCGGAAGATGGTCGTCGAACTCCTACCCAGCTTGAACCGTATGCAGATAGAGCAAGCCCACCACTCCAAGATCCCCTGATCGACATGAGCACACTCGCCCGTCTTCTTGACCCACGCGATCGCGACAGTAGAGAAGAAGCCAGGATCCTAGCCGCCCATCTCAAAACAAACCAGGACAATTCACAGATCATGACGCGCAGTCGCTACCAGAAACAGGTCGAAAAGGAGAGATCCCGGATCATCTTCTCATCCCGCCTCCAGCAGCTCAACGCCATGCACTCAGGATCCGAAGGGCGAAAACCTACCCCCGAAGAGGAAGCTGAACTCCTCGAGAAGCTCATCCTTTCCCGTCGCTCAGAAACCTCGGCCAGTTCCGATGCCCATACGTGGGAATCCGGCGCAACAGGCCTAGGCCCTAATGGTCCACCCTGTGTGGTCTGCCAGACAAGCCCACGAGCTATCATCACATGGCCTTGTCGCTGTCTGTGCATTTGCGAGGACTGTCGCGTGAGCCTTGCCATGAACAACTTCGGCAGCTGCGTGACTTGTCGCCAGGAAGTCGTAGGATTTATGCGTCTATGGGTTCCATAAGTCAACCTATTTGTTTCTATCTCTCGGTTTTTTTAGCTTGGTTTCTTTTTATCTTTGGCTCACATAGGTTCCATATTATTGAACAGTTTGTAACATATCACATTTGCATGATGACTTTTGCTTCGTATGGCGATTTTTCAGACCGTCCCTTCTACATTTGCTAGTTGTACACATCCATGAGATGGATTCTGGGCTTGCTTGCAGAGTGATAAAAATTCAAGATCATCCATTTCATAGGTTCATTTGTGGTTTTTTCTGCGCTATCTAGTATAGGATTGACTTAAATCAGCGCTAGCAGCTGTTCATTTTTTCTTCTAATTAGGGTCTGCAAGTTCTTCTTCTGTTAATTGATACAGTTCCCTTCCCAACTCCCCGCCGACTCGATACTTCTCCCCCACAACAGAGCTTTCGAGTAATTCGCTGTCCATCCATAGACTAATAACACCGAAGAGATCGTCAATGTCGGGATCCATACGACCCTCGCGAACGATATTTCGAAAGCCATCCAAATAAAGCAGCCGCAGACTGCCAGACCGGAAAGCTTCCTCGTCTGCAAGGATTAGGTATGTCCTCGTGGCAAGTTTGTGTAGTCTCATCGCAAGTCTCTCAATAATAGCATCTCGGCCCTCGCGCCACGCCGTAGGGTTTTGTTCTTTCGCTTCGGCAACTTCCCTTTTAAAATCATAACGCACATCATCATAATAATCCGGGCCACGGAATCGCGGTATCCATTTATCATCAACCTCAGGGGAAATTGGGCCAGCAAGGGGGAGAATCTCATATATACGCCGCCACTCCCACCCAAAGTTAAAGTGATCCGCATTATCGAGAACTGCCCACCAGGATTCTGCTTCAAAGGGATCTGAGTCGACCCATCTATTCATCAATTCGTCGTGTTTAGCTTGCTCGCCTTCTTCGGTGCTATAGTATGTGCGTAGTAAAGCGGGGGATGTGTGGTCGTGGAACATATTATCTGCGCGCCATCGAAGGGCGTTGATACGGTAAGGTCGGAGAATCGTGTCGATTTCCTCTGTCGTAGGCGCACGAGGCGGATCGATACCTCCTGGAAGGCTGTCCCAATCTTCTACCCATTCAATCGGGATAAGATTCAGGTCGAGAAACCCACCGACTAGTCTTCTTCGCTGCTGATCCGGAGTTTTGGTCGAGGAGTAATTCCAGTTTGCCTATACGGGGTTAGCAAAATGCTTGCTATTGAGTTGAGGCACAAGAGACACTAAGGCCTACAATAAAGTATTGTTCAACAGCCAGTGTGCCCCAAGGGGGGGCCAGTCGTATCCCCCATGACGAAGAAAGCTGAGAAGCCCGCAGAGAAAAAGAAGAAGAAGAAGAAGTGGTGGTCTCAGCGGGGCAATGCTCGATGGCCCCCAAGTGGAGCAGAGCAAACGGTTCACACTAGCTTATACTAGGCCTGACTACGCATCTGTCAAAGATGGATCATCACATTCTTGAATAAAGGAGAAATAATTTTATCGAAGATTCGGTCCTCAAATTTATGGCTTTTCCGGCAAATAATACTTACGCTAGACCATGAAAGACAAGTATCCACAGCAATTGCATAGTGCCAGCCACTTTCTAGCTGTACCTCTTTCGTAAGCCTCAACGCCGGGTCCATTTTCCCAACTTTGTACCGCAGTGTCATGGATGTTGGAGAAGATGAAATGAAAGCTAGACTCAGACTTCGTTTGGGAGGATTATTGGCATACTCGGCTAGGTAGGGCTGGAATCGGAGATGGACGTAATGATGTTCCCGGCAGCGAGATTACTAGTAGGAACCAGTGTTTTCCTCGTTTGGTGCTGCTTGAGAAAGCCAGCCCAATGTGTTTGTCATTGTCATCTCTCATCTTGGCGATTTGCTTGATCGAGCAAAGTTCAGAGTATACGGAGTAGTATTTGCCGCTTCAATTTTCTTTAGTAGGTCGTCATATACCGCCCTTGAAAGGATTTTCCAGAACTTCTAAGAGGAACAGAATTCGTTAGAGCTCTGCTTTGAAAGAATTAGCTATGTTAGATGCATCAGATCAAACCTTGGAAGTTTACGTGGGGATAAGCTCCCTCTAGGGCTGGCCTGATTCATGGATGGAGGGAAAGTGTGGCTTGCTTACATCAGTCCTGCAGGTCTCCAAGGCCCCAGGGCTCCATCCTGGGTAACTTTGATTTTCTTAAGAGCCGCTCCAATAGCTCTGTTGCGGTTGTCACAATTTGGTCAATCCCGCCTTGAGTGCTCACATATGTCCTCCGTCTTCTCACTATGAATGCACTAGTTGTGGTATTATAAAAGTGTAACGGAACTTGATATAACGACAAGTTTTACTTGGCCTTGGTATGGTTTGATCACAATATATATTGCCCTCCAAGGTTAAGTCAGAGACTGTACATCCTTTTTTTAGGTAAGGTCGAACGTCGAGTTCTCTAAAGACAAAGTCTAGAGAATGCTATTAGATGAATTAATGACCCCAATGGAGAAAGAAACTGTGTTCATTGGTTATAATAGGAGCGGATAGAGAAGGGGTCCTATAGGGCTTGGAAGAGGGACCTATCTGACTACGAAGGGTCTACACATGGGCCTGAGCACCCAACATTATTTTCATGAATAATGGCTCATCTAGAACACGTGTATTTACTAACAGTATAAAGTTATGAGAATGTTTCTGGGCTTACTTGATAAGTACTCTCGAGTCTAACACCGGTAGCTTTCTCTTTAGACGGTTAGACAACTAGACAACCAGCGAATGCAACCATCTCAATCATATGACCATTCTCCCTACGCAGTACTCCATATGCTTCCTAAGACTACGTCGGTGCTCCTATATGGAGTCTTTGTTTCTCTCTGATCGATCTGTGTGTTACAGACCCCTTTGTACATCCACCCCTCTTCACTCTTGATTGTATTACCATAAGACAGCAAAATCTCTCCGTACGCAAACTCTACCGTGGAATATTCCTCGTTTAATCAATAGTAAATTGGAAAGCAAAGACAGTCCTATCTGCTCGATGAGATACACGCGAATAAGATACAGATACAGGTCATCCTTGTTCCCCTAGAGAAACCATGCGCTCCATCTAGTATCCCTCTCCGGCTTGTCCAAATTTCTCAATTAACGGCAGTGGTCGCTGTTGTCCGGGCCGCCATCAACACATCCACTGGGGCACGATTGCAGGACCGTGATGGCGCCACTGTTTTCACAGTTGAAGAGGAAGAAGTCGGGGTGGTGGGTCTTCAGTGCGCCGTTGGTGTAGGCGGACACGGCGCCGTTAACCTGCTGGTGGTAATCTCCTATTATTATGTGTTAGTCATTGACAAAGAATAGTCAATGGCATATGTACCTTTTCCGACCAGCGTGTAGGCACAGTACTTGAGGTCTTGCTGGCAGTCGGCGGCATAGGCAACCGAGGCCAGAAGTGCGAGTGCGGGAAGGAAGAATTGCATGGTGAAAATGTTTTCTGGATGAGAATGATGATTGAGATAGATATTCTTATTCTTGTTCTTGTTGTTGTTGATGGGAGATGATGGTAGGAACTGAGGCCCTTTAAATACATTACCTAGGCTCGGGGTCCTAAGCACACTCAGAATCTGTGACGCCATCAAATAACATAACATGCGGACTATAGATCGTTGTGTCTCTGTTCCAGGCTATCCTAACCAGCTACTCCATGAATCTACCAACAATAAACTATACATCGGATTGGTTGACTGAGTATGGGGCCGTATAATGGGCTTGATCCTTCCAGTGGGCTGTGGCAGGGCGTTTATATTGGGGCGTTAATGGAACTGCCCAGTGGGCTTGACAAATATAAACTCAAATATACTCGCCGATTGGCTACTAGAACATACAGGTTTCATTTTCATTTGCTGTTACTGTTCCTGTAGGAACAATGATCCGGACTACCAGCTCGGGGAGACCCGAAACCCAACATAATTCAATAGAAACTAGAGTCCCTAAACCCCCAAATACCTAATCTTAATGGGGCCCTAATAACGATATCCTAATATCAAGGGCCTCAGTAGAAATTGTAGCGCTGAAGAGGTGATATAAAGTAGGTATCTTGATCCTGATTGGCTAGGCGTTCTTCCTAATTCCAAGGTTAGTTAAGTCAATTTTTGACAAGTCTCGCTTAGCTGAAACCCGCTATGATCCCAATAATACTATTGTTGTTGCACTGCCGCCGGCCCCAATCCCCGGATTTCAAACGCTGGGCCTCAATCGACGGCCCCAATCGACGGCCCCAGATCTACAGGATCAACATTTGCCATTTCTTGAAGCAGTAAGAGCCCGTGCGGAGATCATCAGTATAGGATCAATCCTTCTCTGGGCATACATCAACAGACAGGGTAGGAATCCTCTGTACCTTATTGATTAAGCCCCAATCTATTATAGACTCCTCTGTACCTAACTAGGTGGCTAGGCAGTCATCATGCCAAGTATTGTGCCTTCACATCCAATTGAATTAAGCCTGGCCAAGTCAAATCAGCCACCGCCCCTTGATTTCTGGTGATGACATAGACAATTATAGCTTCTTGGCAGTCTTCTACACAAATTCTCTCACCAGAAGACGCATCCTTGGACCCCAAATCAATGTTACTGTCGCAGACCTCACCATGAGACGCATCCTTTGGCCCCAACTCAATCAGCCATCGTCACTTCACATGATTACTTTGTATAGCTTTTTGGCGGCCTTTCACATGAATTCCCTCACCTACAGACGCATCTTTTGGCCCCAACTCAATGATGTACTCGTGGACATGTCATAAATCAGGAATGATCTACAGGAGGAATATTGGAATGGTGAAACCCTTGGACTCTTTCGGGGCACAAGACGAATGGATGGGCGGAAGAATTTCGGAAGCAAAAGAGCTCGTATGGTATAAAACGAAGGTATATCTTTAGGGAATAGCCAGAGTATCCTGGTTGCAAAGACCATCTATCTCCTCTACTGTTCAACTCTCTACCTCCTAGGTTCCCAGGTTATCAGTTGCCATGCACGTTCCCTCCTCGGTCCTCTGGGCCATCGGCCTCACGATTACCTCAGCCTATGGCTATGAGTTAAACTTCCACAAATCTCCCGGTGGCCAATGTGCTAGTGAGGCCATCGGTTCCTGGTCCGGCGATCTAAGCTCGGGATGTCACAAAGAATATGCGGGCGCCGCTCACGATATCAGAGTGACACCGGACAGCCATGAAGGCAGCCATACTGTGGCCTTCTATAGCAGCGATGACTGTAACCCAGAGAACCTGATCAAGAAGCACCACATCGGCTGCTCAGCTCCCAAGTACCGCTCGTTCCGGGTCGTCGAACGGGCCACCCATTTCAAAGTTGGCAACACCAACTCCCCCAGCAGCTTAATCGCTGCAACTTCAAAAAACCAGAAGCTGCGACGTGAACAGGGTGCCTTCCCTGTCAGTCACGGAGATGTCTTCGATCACCACGGCGTCACTCGCAGGTGGCACCAACTCGCCAAGGACACCTTCAGTGGAGTCCCCATCGATGAGTGGGATGACGAAATCCACACGGCCAGCGACCACGAGCTGAAGATCGAATCCTCTCTGACAGAACGCGACATTGAGGAGAGCTTTCTGTCCCTTCTAAGTGAGCGGGATCTCGAAGACGGCACCGGCATGTGCATGGACACCATTCAGTGTACGGCGGATTTGGTATCGGGTGCGGTCGGGGGCTTGAAAAAATGGGCTCCTATAATTCTAGACAAGGCAGTCGCAGCAGCCAAGGAGAATGGAGAACCGTTGTGGGACTTCTTGAACAAGCCATTCATTACAGCCCTCATGGGAGGTCCAGTTGGTATGGCAGGCACCATCGGTGCTATGTTCGTCAACAACAAGTACGCGCCTGGACTCGACAAGGATCAAGCCGGGCAGTGCATGACGGAGGGAACTGCGCAGGAATTGATCAAAGCTTTGGTGGCAAACACCCTCGCGACAAACAATGTGGCGGCAATGATGAGTAGAGTCGAGGGAGACAAGGGAGAGTTGGCGGATGTCTCAGTGGCTGTCGATGAGGATGGAGAGAAGCCCATTGACTGTGGTGTTACTGGGGAGTAGTTTCGTTGAAGACGTATCAAAGGGTGATTAGAATTATGCATGGTAGCGTCTGTCAACTGCGACCAACACTTCCCCATATATAGTTTTATATTATTCCCTTCATTGTGTTCTCCAAGCTTAACAAATGTAAAAGTCTCATCTCGCAAAGGCCCCTTTTGCCTTAGTCCGGCCTCTAGATCTACTACAAAATGATTTCATGATGAGGGCACATCAAACCCCTAGAGGACCAGCTACCTACTTACTTAGGTAGCCAATGCTCAAGCAGGTTATGAGCCAGGGGACTCGGCATTGATCCGATCTCACAAATGGTCAATAAACCATCTGAGAAGCTAACATCACTAGAAAATAACTGGAGATCCAGAATTCAAGTGTGAGGTTGATGGAACAAGATATTGTGATCCTGGTCCTGGTTGGGCGAAGAAATTGACCGCTGGACCAGGGCGAATGGAGCTATTTTAAACGATATGATATTGAGTTATCTGATACTTCTCTTATTGCTTGAGCAGGGAGAGATAATTGTATGGGAAATGGAGATGAATAGTTGCCATGGAAAGGAAAAAGGGCAACTTATCTCATCAATCCCCGAACCACAGTACATGCCAACGACAAAGCCTTTCGATTAATTCTCATAGACTAGAGGCCGGTACTCAGCCTCCCACATCTGGATTCGAATCCACTCTCGCAGCTCAGAGTCAGTGGAAGGAATACCCTCCGCCTGTGCCAGTCCCTCCTCCACGGCACACAAGATCACAGCCGCGGCAATATCCACACTGATTTCACGCACGTCTTCCACATCGGGCAGCAATGGCTTATTGGAGTCTTTCAGCGCCGGTGACCGCGCCTTGAGTGCCTCCACGGCAGCGACTAGCATCTTCTTGGACACGAGACGACACTGCGAGAGGACTGCTCCAAGACCAATTCCGGGGAAGCAAGTTGAGTTGTTACATTCCGCTGAAACATCATGATTAACATACTGAGCAGTCAATGTCTGAGGTGAGATTTGAGAACGTACCGATGTCATATTTCGTGCCGTTATGGGTAACTGGTGGGAATGGACTGCCCGTGGCAACGAGCGCTCGCCCATCGGTCCATTTATAGAGATCAACTGGCTTCGCCTCGTGGAGTCTGGTCGGATTGCTGAGGGGGAATATAATCGGTCGTTCTACATTCGAGGCCATCTCACAAATGATATCTTCGGTGAATGCTCCGGGCTTGGTTGATGTCCCGATGAGCACATGAGGATGGACCTTTTTGATGACCGACAAAAGATCTCGATCACCGTCTGACCACTCATCATCATCTCGTGCGAAAGATTGCTGGCCTTCGGTCAACTTATCACCGAGGGACTTTACAAGGAGACCGGGCTTGTCGATGCACCTAGATGAAAGAACAGTGTCAGCAGGGGTGTTGTCTCCCTGTCTCGTGGATACGTACCAGATCTGCTTAGATGCTTCATCCTTCGACTTTCGCGTCTCAGTGGCTATGGTATCTGAAATCTGGTCGGCAATGCCAGTACCAGCAGTTCCCGAGCCGAAGATCACTACTCGCACATCTTCCAGTTTGACTTGGCTGACTTGAAGGGCAGCCAACATGGCAGCGAGTGTGACACACCCCGTTCCCTGGATATCGTCATTAAAACAGGGTATCTGTGACTGATACCTATCGAGTATTCTGCGAGCATTACCGAGCCCGAAATCCTCGCTGGTATTGTTAGCTGCGTTTCGAACAATAGAGAAGGAACTATTTCTCATACAAGTGGATGTAAGCTTTGGGGAATTGCTTGCGGGCAGCCTGGACAAATCTATCCACAAATTCATCGTACTTTTCCCCTCTAACCCGGCGCTGTCGGAGGCCTAGATAGAGTGCGTCATTGAGCAAATCTTCATTCTAGACATGTTGTCAGCAAACATAGATTGAACCAGAGCATAGGTATTCCTACATCTGTCCCGCAGTCCAGTACAACAGGAAGCTGTCGCGAAGGATGGATTCCAGCACATAGCGTGGTAATAACCAGTTTGGCAACCGATATGAGAATAGCGCCCACGCCCTGGTCCCCAATGCCCAATATCTGCAAACAAATAAATGGTAAGCAAGATCACGTATCAATTCTCCCTGAAGCAAAGATATATAATTACCTCTTCCCCGTCACTAACAACGATATAATCAACATCCTCAGCAGTCCCAAACCCAGCTAGATATTCGTCAAAGTGTTCCTGGTCACTGATATTCAAGAAACACCCCTCCGGCTTCCTAAACAAACGCGAGTAATTCTGAATCGCATCTCCTTCAGTAGGCGTGTATATCACGCTGAACATTTCCTTGAGATGGGTTTGTATAAGCTATTCACAGGTTAGTAATAACACAGATACTGATGTTGCCTTCGCCGTGAAGATGTCAGAACCTTGTAGTACAACACTTCGTTCTGCGCCTTCATGCTAGCCAGGAAGGTATTCTTGGCTAGATCATCTGCTCTGCTTTGGTACTGCTGATAAGCGCGCTGGACTTGCTCATCCAGTGTCTGGATGTTTGGCGGAAGGAGGCTGTGGAGGTTGAATGTTGATCGCTCATTTCTTGGAAAGGCCGAGCCTTTGTTAAATTGGGATGATTGGAGGAGAGATGTTCCCTAGTTTGTATGAGAATCTGAGTTCATAAAAAAAACTTGCGAACTTGTGTCACCTTGTATGGGCAGGTCAAGGGCCCCGGCGCGCGGGGTAGATCGTGGAACTTGGATTTGGAGTCTGACATTTCGAACTGGTGGGTGTCAAGGGATGCGATGTTGGAATAATTGAATCTTGGAAAAAGCAGAAATACTGAGATATGAGAAAGGAATGTCCACTGTAGCTACGTAGTGGCGGCTGCTCCCGAGGTGGTCCCATTATAGTCATGCTTTTCGCCACGTGGGAAAAAGCTCTGGAGAGAGCATAAACCTCTTTTGCAGGAAATAGTACAATCGCATATGTGAAAATCAAAAGAAAGCATAAAACAAGAAAAGAGCAGAAGCATTAATGTACCCTTTTTTCGCTGGTAATTATAAGAGACGTTCTTTTGCATTTTTGCATTAATAGACAAGTTATTACAGTAGGAGTAAGAATTCAGCACTACTATGGACATGTTGTTTACGCCGCCCTCTCTTGACAAACTCGGGGGTTTTTCTAAGGATTTCTGGGAACTTGGAACTCGTAAAGGCCAGCCAGGACTGAGCCCCATAACAGTCTAGTGTATGGGATTTTACGTAGTCTGTTAGATTTGGACAAGGATGTGCCGTACGATGCTCGAAATCGACTGAGGAGCCAGATAGATCATATAAACTTATTTCCATCCAACTTCGACACAAATTCGAATGAAATGAACAACAATAGTCTTTTCTAGCCATGGCAAGATTCGGATATAACGGGTATTTTCAAACTCCGTCTCCGTTCAGAATCAAAGAGATAGCGGAAGTAGCTTGAATGACTTTTTTAAGTCTGGTAGCGCAGAACCCCTGTGAGCCTGCGATCTTTGAATGTTAGTCCAGTCAAAATATTGAATATATAAGGATGAATATAGCTCGGCTCTCCTAAACTTTACCGTCCAATTCTCGGTGCGATTCGAATCCAGCAACTGTATATCGCCATCGATACCAGGATGTCCTTCACTCCCAATAACGACATACCCCAGCTCCGACCGGTTAGATATCTTAATGCTGAACGCGGGGGTTATGGCCACGCCTCCAGCCCAGACTGTGGATGGCTATGAACTCCAATTTGGCACGAATCATATGGGCCACGCACTCCTAACAAAGATTCTCCTTCCGGTACTCGAGCAGACAGCAAAGGAGGGAGGAGAGGTCCGAGTCGTCTCAGTATCGTCTCACGGACACTTCTATGCACCCGCCGAAGGCTTCCAGATCGACACGCTCAAGACACCAGGGGACACACTTACTGCTTTTCGGCGGTAGGGCCAGAGTAAACTAGCTAATATCCTCTGGGCTCAACAGCTGGCAGCCCTGTATCCCAGTTTCACCATTGCCTCGGTCCATCCAGGAGTAGTGAATACGAATCTTTTGTCCGGCGCAACGAATGCACCGCTGATCTTCCGTGCTGTGTTTGGAGCAGCACACGTCTTGGGATTAAAGTCCAGTGTAGAAAACGGCGTAAAGAACCAGCTACGGGCTGCTGTTTCCAAGAATGTTAAGAGTGGCGAATACTACGAGCCTGTCGGTGTTGGTGGCCTGGCAAGTGCGCATGGAATGGATGACAAGCTCGCAAAGTAGATCTGGGAATGGACGGAGAATGAGCTAAGAGAACGTGTTGTATGAAAGTCTCCCTTAGGCCGATCGTCTTCATCTATTGGATTTATCTCTTTGGGCTTAGGCATTGCAATATTACTTGGCAACGCCCTGCCTGTCGCCTACCAGATCCGAGCATCTCAGCAACGCCCCGCATGACTGTTTTTCTCAATAGATAAATCGTGCTTTTCAAACGATTATGGCTTGACCGTTTGCACTCGTAATTTGAATGGTAGTCATTGACCGCTAAACGCGAAAAATCATCCCGAGGGGCAAATTATTTTTGATAGCTTGACGGACTTATTTACCGGATTCTGCCGACTCCAATCTCCGGTTATGCACTTAATCACTTAGTGCAGGCATCAACCCATAAGCTGCCCAGGTGTGACTCAAAGAGCCTTAGAAAGCCGCATAGCCGGGAGGTCCGGGAGAGGGCCTTGTGCTCGGTGGAGCTAGCCCACTCTAGCCCACTCTAGCTCCATACCGAAGTTACTCCGTACATAGTATTTATAACCCGAGTCCTACATAAGAGATTGGCTAGCCCTGGGGGCTTGGGGCCTTAATTGTGGGTCCTACGATTATCCTGAAATTAAAAAGAGCCTCTAGGAATCGGCTACACACATCGCTAAGACCATTTTTGTAACGTTATGCGAACCTAAATCCACACTTGACTACCATCTGTGCCATGGCCACATGATATCTATTTTTTTGGCCACTGACTAGTTCACAATTTTATTCCTGTCTTACGCTAGTAATATAGTCGATTGCTAGCACAGTCTTCGCCCAGCCTAAATTTTACAATTCCCTTATTAGCCCGAGTCCATTTTCTTTGATCTCTGATTGGATATTGAAACGCTCTCGGGGTATGCCACCTTAGTATCTTTATAGTCTCGCCTTCCGCTACCAATTAAGCCAAGCTCCATGAGCTAAGTAAATAGCTTGATTCCTTTCATTTAAAGGGACGCATTCGCCAATTGCATTTCGTAACTTCATTTTTTTTCTCCTCATCGCGCGTCAAGAACCGCTAACCATCAAAATGCGTACCTCCTTCTTCCTAGCTGCAGCCCTTGCTACCCTCGGTACCCAAGCCGCCGACACCAGCAGCGCCGTCATCGGCTACTACTCTCCTTCTTGGGACGGGGGCCTGCTCAAGTACGGCGGTTGGACAAGCACCGCTGCCAGCCTGGTTGCCTACAACACCAAGGCCGCCACATACCACGTCACCTGTCTGAAGGACGCTCCCAAGACAGATTGCAACTATCCCACTCCGTGGACGATCGTCCAAGGCCCGGAGACAGTCAGCTTCACCGGCATATATATCGCATCCACCTCGGACAAGTCAACCAGCTATGATATCACTCTCACCCAGTCCTATGAGTGCTCTCTGAAATCTTCAACTGAGTCCGCCAGCTGCACTATGAGTGTGGGCATGAAGGGATCCTTGGGTGGAGGCAAATATGAGTCTTCCACTTCTACCAAGGCGACATACACCACTGCCCCAATGGCCGATGATTACTACAAGTTGACGGTAACCGCGGGACTGGATTCGATTACCCTTACGACTCCTGGGCAAACTCTGGCAACTGCAAGTGCGACTACAACTGTCGAGACGACTAAGTCGACCGGTGGTGCTGCTGGACCCGCCGGTGCTTTTATTACGGCTGCGCCTATGGTTGCTGCTGCGATGGCTGCCCTGCTGTGATGGTTTCCAAATTTCCTTTTTTAATGTTAGATAACAAATTACTCCTCATGACTTCAATTGACTCAAACATCGCTCTAAGGGTCTTATACCTGGCATTTTGGTAAATAGGACACTCAAGACTGCGCCAAAGGTAGCCATTTTCGGAGTATTATTTACTTCGCTTAGAGGTAAAATATAATTTCGAAACGAACATGCTCGGCGCTATAGTCTCGTCTTCGTTATAAGCAAGTCGCCCAATGCCTGCGCTTTTTTTTCCAATCTCTCGCATTGAAGAGTGAAACAGTGGTATCAACTTAGGCTAATAAGGAAGGGGTGACATTCATATCCACAAGTGCAGCCCGCCATGAGCGATAGATATCAATATTAGCAAGAACTCCAAGTGAGTCTTATCGATTGGCGCTGTAATACGAGTTTCTCGAAGATATACGTCCAATTTATAGAGATGGCAGCCAACTCTAATTTTTATATCGTCCATTAGCATACGCCTTTTATTTGTACAGTCTACGAATTTTAACCACTACAAGGCTAAGCAAACAGAACAGAAATCAAATCATAAACATCCGTTTCACCCAGAGGCAAAAACAAGACGCGCATTGTATTAAGCATATCAACTATACAGGGAGGTAGCCCATTCAGACGTCTCACAACCAGCCCGACAGCAAAAAAGGAAGCAAATCCCACCTGCTAACACGAGCCAATTGCAAACACCGACAACAGCCTCAGATTAGGCATAGATATATTTACAGGACGTAAGCGGCAGCAGCGGCGAGGGCAGCAACACCAGCCATGTTACCCTTGATATTGGAAGCACCGTTGAAGGCGGGCGACGAGGCAGAGGCAGTAGCCGAGCCGGTCTTGGACGCCAACGGGGTGGAGGTGGCAGCACCGGAGGAGCTGGCGTGTCCGGATCCAGTGGCGGTAGTACCGGTGGTAGTGCTCTTGGTCTCAACAGCGGATGAGGAGGACTCAACGGCGCTGGAGCTCTCGCTGGCGGTACCGGTGGGGGTGGCGGTGGTATCAGTGGGGGCGGAGCTCGAGGCGCTGGCGCTGGAGGAGGCGCTGGCGCTGGAAGATGCGCTGGTCTCGATGGGAGGGATCGAGATGGGGTGGCCGGCGGAAGAGCACTGGCCGACGACGGCGTTGGAGACGGCTGCGTGGGTGGGTTAGTGGGGTGTTTGGGATGAGGGGGATGTAGGTGGGTGGTAACATACAGACTTGGTCCTTGTGGTCGCAGGCCTTCTGGACACAAGGGGTGATGCTGCTCACGAGCTCGGGCTTCTGGCAGTGGCACTTGAAGTCGAGCAGCTCAGAGCAGCCGTCGCTCTGCAGGGCAGAGAGGAAGCAGCTCAGCTAGAGGTAAGTGTTAGTAGATATATTCTTGTGATGTGGACATCAGGTTTCTTCGTACCGAGCACTGGGGCACATCGGGCAGCTGGGCGCTGGCGAGGCCGGCGGCAACGAGGGCAATCAGAGTGGTGGAGAACTTCATCTTGATGATAGACTAAATAATAGAAGATATTATGAACGGCGTGCCGGAAAAGACAGTCAAGTATTTATAGCGAGTGCGGATGAGTTGAGAAGAGCCAGATCTGGACTTGGAGGGGTGATGCCCTTTTTATAAGCTATGCCCGTCCTATAAACTCCACCTCCCCCATGGAGAAACCCCTGTGGCAAGGGTTGCACTCAAAGGTTGGTGCGTGGGACCATCACATGTCTCCGCATGCTTAATGGGAGGCAATCCACCGAAACGCAGGCCAAGGCCGCGGTTGACTCAGATCCGTAATTACCACGGATTAGAACCCCGGACGCTCATTGCACGGCCAATCCTGGTGGCTGACGCCGGATTCTGGGTTCCCGCAGCCGATTGAGCATTGGAGTGAGGATGCGGGTTGGCGCTGTTGTCTCGTACGGCGTACGTATGCCCGCATCGCCAAGTCGAGACTAGACCAGGTCCAAGGAGGAAGCCACCGGAAAGGCTCGACCAGTGGCAATGTTGGTAGTACACTTCCCATTTCCAGCTAGTCATACGGCCGAATAGGGTCACTGTCTTTAATTTCCACTGTGTCGAGCTAGACTTTTAGTGGCCTCGATGGGTGGCAGTACGGTACGGAGTACAGGTTGCAGTACTTCGTACATGTAGCATTGGTTGTGCAGCATTCCCACCCAGAACCTTGAGTGAATTGGCTACATGGCAGGACTCAAGGCGTATGCAGGATACGCAAGCCTGTCAAAAGCAATTACGTGAATGTATGACAGAATTATTAACAAAGACCAATGGTAGGGGTGGCAAACCCCATAGTCTCTGGTGAGGAAAATCCGGGGAAGATAGTTGGACCCCGGCAGGCCCCGGCAGGGCCCGAGAGAGAGCGTAGTATCGAACTATACCGCATTGGGACTTGGTCCGACGCAGTGTCTGCACATTTAATATATTTAATATAATATGACAATATATTATCTTTGAAATTGCGTGGGGTAACACACGGCGCCATCACTTGGTTCCTCAAAATGATAAGAGGTCTTCCAAAAGGGTCCAAACTCAGGAGGCCATATCAAACAACCTTGTGAGCTACAACATACGGAAATTGTTATCCAATATAGGGCTTATGGATGTACAAGGTTGTACGGAGTACATAGTAGCTGTTTGGGTCAGATAAAGGCCTCAAGATACCCCGGGGCAGTTCTAGCGTTTCATTGGGCTTAATGATCATTTGATATCTTCCGGGATAACCCCAGACTAGCAAGGGTACCGAAATATTAGCATCCTCCGAATCGTGAAATATTGTACCTGCATATGGCGATCGCCTCAAGTAGCAACAAAGTCAAGATATTACTTCCAAGTGAACCATTTTGTGTTGTTTTTCACCAAGAAAATGGCATTGACACCGACGTAGGACGAGAGAGGGCCCCCGAAAGGGTCCACCATAGCCCACCCAAGTGAGACATTTAGCGGGGGTGGGCCCAGTCAAGACGCAGGCGAGACCAAATACTTCGTCTTTGACCTCGACAGACAGTGCCAAGCACGCTAGTATTCATTTGTAGCGTGGGGTTGGGGGGAAGAACCAAAAAGTTCAGGAAAATCAGGGAAATCAGGAACGAAAAACAAAAAGAACCGATCACATGGAAAACAAGTCCTGCTTAGCGTCGCCACCGAGGACTTTGGCGAATGGGACCCTGTGCCCGGTGAGATCTCGTGTCCAGCCACTTGACGGTCACTGTGCTAGAAGAAAAAGAAAAAGGCGCACCGGCCGGCTGAAATATCTAAATTAGGCTTAGGCTTACATTCCAATGGTAGAATTATGACCGTTGAGGCGTCGAGTCGAAGGATCCTTGCAGACAAGATAATGATGACAATACATATACTACATACATATGTACTGAGTATGTAGACTTATAGCAGATACTCCAGTAGTTAGCAAAGAAATAGCAGAGAGGTTCAAGTCAAGCAGTAAAAAAGCAAATATCGATATCGCGGGGTCCCCGGACAGACCCATTGTGTGAATCCGGGGATAACACGGACCAGAATCGAAAGATATAAGACATCCTGGTCTTTCATGTATCCGAGATAAATATAGCCATTTCGATATACTTTGAAGGGTTTCCAGATGGCAGCTTGAAATTAGGATCGACGGCGACTAGGATCGGAATCCTATCGTATTAAACGCGTATAAGCGGAAATTGCCGTTCTCTCGATTAAATTATAATTTGCCTGATACAGATACAGTGTAAAGCTGCCTCGGTCGGCCCCACATGAAAGTCGAGATGTTCAACAACCCTTTGTAGATGTTTCCAAGGTTATTTGCTTGAAAGTGGAAGCTGTTCTCCCATCTGACCTCGCTTGCATGCCCTTGAGCTGCTCTTGGCCATACAATGTACAACTCAGCCTCTGCAAAACTGAAAACATTGATGAATTACAACCTTTGATGCCTGGGAATCCCCATATGTCATTCGTATCTCATTAATACCTCCAACAAACGCCCAATCCATGCAAGTCTGTCAACGCCAATTCAAATTACTGTCCCATATGTCCTTAGGATAACAATTCATCAATATGTGCTCGCTCCTTTGTATCCTTCCCCTTGAGGAGAACCGCAAGGACTTCGATAGGCGGGTTGAGCTTCAGCTGATGAGCTCGTCTCCAGCGCTTGATTCGAGCGATTCCAATGCAGGGCTAAAGAGAAAGACATGATGTTAGATCACTTCTTTATAGAGGAGAACTTTCGGAAAACCAGACAACATACCCCGTATTGGCTGGAAAGATCAAAATGCCGGAGAATCTTTTCCTCTACATCCATGCCTTGCTGGTGGGCTATTGAGTGCAGTTAGCCTCTTGATTCATACTAATTCCCTGTGTGCCAAACTCGACTTACCCCTGGGTGTCTTGCGGGTCTGCTCTTGAGCCATCCAGTATCGCCAGATATCCTGCTTGTTCAGCTTCAGTGCCCGCTTATCCTCTTCAGATGGGGGCGCTTGGTGCTCGACTGCGGCCTGCTGTCGCACCGCTAGCTCTGCGACATGGGGCTTGGAGGGTTCGTTTGGGGTGACGGACAGCTGCTGGGGCTCCGGGGTGGCCGAGGCGGATTTGTCGGAGAGCGCTGGAGTTGAGTCGAGGGCCTTGGCTTTGTGGGATGGTGCGGCGACGGGCTTGGTGACTCGGCCCCGGGCTCCGAAGGACAGTGTCGACTGCGACCCGGTTTTGTTTGCTGCGCGACGAGGCATATTGATGTAGAATGGAGTAGTTTGGCGTTGAGATTTGGGGATATACAATGTTGAAGAAGTTAGGTGGAGAAGGCGGCGATGTCGGTTGCACTGGCAACCAATCTTGGGAAATCTTTTAAGGTCCGGAATTTAGTCTTCCATGGTTCTTATTGGGCCACTTTTTATATTTTGATATAAATTATACATTCGTTAGCATATAAATCCATATCTATGTAGGTACATATGTATGTACTAATATATATTGTTGATTAATTTACCATGTGTGATGACGATGATGACATTGACATTGGAAACTGGGCGAATATTGTCCACCGATAACCATTACGTCTGGGCACATATGTAGAGGTCTGGATGTGGTAAATCTTCCTATATAGTATATATCTTGTATATTAGACCATTTAATATATACAACAACCTTAGAAGAGCCCAATCAAACCAAAAAAGCCAGAGGCTCAAGTCAATTGTGGCTGTTGGGGGGCTCAGTTCACCTTTCCCCACCACAACCACTGTACCTTTTGGAAGCTCAGCTCCTTCACCTCTCCTATCTCGAACCTCTAGACCTCTAGACCTCTGGACAACTCACACTCCTCGACCTCTTTTAACCTCTGACATTCGAGGGATCTATATGTCCACGCACTTGACCCAACCCACCATCCAACCCTTATGAACCGTGCGAAAGGATTCCCCGTCCACTCGCATTCCCCACAACTCGACCAACCTCCGCATGTCTATGGTGCGACAGGCACGGCTGATTCGAGATGGCCGCCTTTGTGCGCGTATCAGGCCCAGCGAATGGCAATTTTCTGATCGGATACCCAGGCATTTCTGCGACCATGGTAAGCGCCCTGCGATACATGCGACGAGCCGGTTCGGCCCCCCTGCTCACGCGGCCCCATTGACTGACTATCCAAGCCACGAATTGAGGGCAAAGTTGAAATCAGACCCTGCGCTGGCATTACAGCTCCGGTCAACGTCTCGCTCGTCACTATTTCCCTCCTCCGTCGCGAGACAATTCACCCTTCGGCCGACACCTTCACAAAGAAGCGCCTAGCTCCGCCGCGGAAAGAGATCACCGACATCGTCGGCAAAGAGATGCTCCTATTTCGATGTCCCGCCGGCCGAGAATACGAGGAAGTAATATCTATGGATTTGCCCTTCGTTCTCTTTATTCCATTTGGTCGTGGAGGCCGCGATGCCTCTCGCCGTGTACCACCAGCTAGCGTACAGCTCCCGAGTCGAACCGCTGAAACGTACTACGAGATGGTAGTGATGGTCCAACAAGGGCAACAGCAGCAGCACAAATACACCTTCCCCGTCCCCATCGCGCGCTACGACACACTCTCCACATTCGGCATGTACAATCGTCCAGAGTCGGCGGAACGCGTATCAGATCATCTGGTCACATTAGCCATCTCACTACCACGATGGTCATACGGTCCTCTCGACCCCGTCAGCGTCTATGTCAAACTGTCACCGAACGAGAGCTGGATGGGCAAGGCGCGTAAAGTGACCATCAGCAAGATCACCATCGGCATCGACGAGGAAATCGTCTACAACCACGAAGGCGATGAGCCCCAGCGCAAAGTCAAAGTCCTAGCCAAGAAAACGGAGAACATTGGCGTTAAACTGCCACAATCGGGCTATTTAACAAACCTGGGCTTGGTATTCCCCGCCAAGGACCTCCGTGACGCAGAAGGAATCTTGCCAAGAAATAGGGCAGCATTTCCAACATACGGTGTGAGCGGCTTCACAACCACAGCAAGTCTATATAAAATCGAGTACTACCTCACCGTTCGAGTTCGTTCTTCCCTAGTTTCATAATATATCGTCCCCAAAACTCACACACAACAGGCCCACTTAACCTCCGCAAGAGACATTACCATCCGACAACCAATCGTGGTCTGCCCTCTCGACCACGCCGGCTGCAAAGAAGAAATGGAAGCGATCGAGCAAGCCGCACGAGACGCAGCCCACGTCAACCCGGACAACCCCATGCTGCCTCTTCCAGCAATTGTACGACCAAACGACCACAACGCCCTCAGCCATCTAGGCGCCGCTATTGTCGGCAACCAGAAGAAACCGTTGATCGACTGAGATGGGAGATTATTCATCTCTTCACAGTAACAACGATGAAAATTATTTAATAAATCCCCCCCCCCTCTTCCCCTTTTTTTGATACCGGAGCTCCTGGACGGTATTCCCAAAAACGGGGTCCGACGGCTGCCGTTCCTTTTGATGTCCTCGGCGGGTGCGGAGGCTGAAGGCTCCTCCGCAACCACGCTATATCATGACATATCTTACGATTGCATACATTTTGGAGTTCGTTGCATGGCATTCCTGGAAGCTGGGCTGTTTGCTGTTTATGTGTCTCTGGGCAAAACGGGGATCACGGGGTGTTCGAGATACCTGTTTGGAGATTTGGTCGGGGAAGTCGAGCTGGGCTTGTCTTGCCTGCCTTGACTTCTGTCCAGTGTCTCCCCACTGCATACGTGTATTTGGGTCTTGTCTGGCATTTGGTGATTATTTCATCCGCATATTGGTTCAGTCATGCCTCTGTCCCAATGGTGATACAATTTATATCCATATGGACCCATGTACCCATTAATATGTGGGTCTATGGATCTGTGGATTCAGGATTCTTCTATCCTCGTGGCTATGTATATTGTCATTTGGAATGTAAAATCGCTTCAACACATGCCGCCCAATGAGATGTATCGTTTAAATAGAGTAAATTGACAGGGATATCTACCTTATGCTGGCTTTTATGCCTTTCCCCGTCCCCGGCTCGATCCCGACCGCCACTACTAGGCTCACCCTATATCGGTGCCCATGCAGAGCCTGGCATAGCGGCATAGTGGCGTGGGGGTGGGGGACGGTTTCGGGGCAACCTCGGGGTCGGAATTGGAGAGTAGATACTCTACATAGTTATAGAGAAGTTATCGTGGTAATAAAGTGCATAATTAACGAGAATGTTTGGTCAAGAGCAAGAGATAACAGGAGCGACTTGTATTTTGTTAGTAGTTTACATATAAAGTGCAGGTACCTGCTGTCTTACTGTATGGGGTGCGTGTATCCGCAGCCCACCTTGTGAAGGCTGCGGAATACTATAGCCTAGAAGGCTCTTCTGCCGTTGTCTGGGTTAGGCTCACGTTGTTGTACCTCGGCTGGTTCTTGTGCATGGGCTTGCTGTCGTTGAGCATTGACTTGGCGTTGTTGTGGCGTCTGGCCGTCATCAACGTCGGTATGTGTGGGCTGTTGGGTCTGTGTCTCTACGCGAGCGCGTTTAGCAGGTGGCGATGGCAACACAGAGGGCTCGATGGAGGGATCGTCATCGGAGGAATCTTGTTCATCATCACCGGGGTCGTCGTCTGTATTGGGCAATGGCTCTACTGCCCTCTTGCGTGCAAGGGCATCGACAAGTTTAACAGAAGGGGTACGTTTATCCAAAGGGGTCTTCATATAACAACCCCCTCATTGTTATAGCTATATTTGTTGGGGCTACTAGCAAAGGACTATAGGGAGGAGAGAGAGAGAGAGAGAAGAGGAATCATAATCTATTCAGTCTATCTAGAACAGGGTATTTATACCCTAAGTAACAAAGAAACGCTCAGCCTACAAGCAAACTAGTCATCAATAAGATAACTATAAAAAGGCCTGAACAAAGGCATTAGTGGGATGACTGAGGCGTGCAGGCATGATCCAACAATACTAAAGGTGGATTTAAATGGAATTGACAGTTTATGACTAATTTTAGGGCGAGAGAAGAATAAGCTCAGTTTACTTGTGTCGTGTATATATAAAAAGGATGACTACATGTAGCAATATGGGCGTTGGTCTTGTACATATTGGATAGAATTCCTTTCTAGTCTAACATCTGCTTTTGGTATTTCTCTCTTCAGTTCCAAGACTCTTCTCTCAATAGCTTTTCGCTTATTATATTATACATGCAGTTTTATTTCCCAATTTCTAGAAAACCCATGGCAATGCTTAACATGTCTGCATCAACCACCTGGGCTTTGCTCTGCTTTTGGCTTTCGTTCTCAATATCCCGGAGACATTCTTTCAACATTTCAAGTATGTTTTGATACTGCCTCGAGGCAGGTCCAAAGGTCTTGAGGGCATTCTCAAGGCTGTTTGATATCTATCCTTTTGTTATTTCCTGCATTTGGTGGTTATATTGGGCGATATACCTTGCGCAAACTTTCGTTATAGTCCACGATATTTTGATTTCTTTCGTCCATGTGATATTATCCAAATGTATGCCTGATATTCGAAAATCGGCTCAATTGAATTTGTGAGGGGGCATCATCCATGAAACACGCGATGTGTATCGAATTGACCGCTCTCGTCACCGCCTTATAAGATATGTACCGGATTTTAGGCCTCGGTCGTGATTTTCCCGATCGCCGCTTTATGAGGGTGCTTAGGCTCCTGCTGAGTATTTCACAGCATACATATGTATAGGGTGATTACTTAGTGACCGCTTAATCGTACTTAGTAAGCAGTCAGATAATACCTAGTTACTTCCAAGGTTAGTCCTGTTTGGGTCGATATAGTCGGGATATACTTTGTACTCTAAATCCGAGCAAAGGAGTGAGCTTTTATCCAGTCAAGTGCTGACCTGGGGAAGTTAACAGGGCGGAGTCAGGGACATATGGTCGCAACCGCCTTCCCCTTGAGCCTCATGGCAGTTCCCAACATCCTCCGAATTTGTATCAACTTGTTTTCTGAACAACCTTCCCCTCAAATTCTCAGAGCCTCTAGCAATAGCTCCAGTGACGATGGCAACTTTGTTGTTCACAATACTGTGGGCTGTCTCCGAACCTGGTCTTGGGACAGAAGTCATCTTGAGGAATGACAGGAAAAGAGTACTAAACAGTTGGACCTGACTGAAAATTTAACCCAAGTTGGGAGCTCTCGTTCTTATATATGATTGATCCCCTCAAGGGCTCGGTCACGCGGCGCACCCTAATACATACAGCACCCAGTTTTCGTTTCAGCCAAATACAGTTTGACCTTTCTCGGTTCAATCTTACCATACTATTCACCTCGTCTAGTTTTAAAAAAACAGACTCGTGCGGCTACTAGTACAAACTACGTTGTAATCCATTCGAGTCCTGCTTTTCCCCCCAGAAATGTACAATTGATACTATCTAAAACGTAGTCATTGCTTTGTAGCGGTTGGCATGAGCCTGTTTCGTGGCAACTGCATCAGAGGCCAGGGCCTCAAATCCATGCACGAGACCTGGATAAATGTGGCATTCCACTGGGATATTGGCCACCATGAACCGGCGTGCATACTCCATGCTTTCGTACAAGAACATGTCGAGTTGTGGACAGTCGATGTAAATTGGAGGTAACCCATCCACTGTCTCAACTCGAGCTGGGGCAGCATAGGGAACAACCCTATCACTTCCCACGTCTGGTCCCAGATACGCAGTCCAACCTGTGATGTTGTCCTTCTCATCCCAGAATGCCAGCGCGCCCGCATGGTTGGTAACAGTCCGATCATCCAGCATGGGATAAATGAGTATCTGCTTCGCAAGAGGTGGCGACAGCGCCCGATCTCGAGCCAGCAGCGTCAGTGCAGCAGCTAAGCCCCCGCCTGCACTTTCTCCCATCACTGCAATGCGTGCTGGGTTGATAGACAGTTGTTCCGCGTTGCTGTAGACCCATTGAAGTCCCGCCCAACAATCGTCCAGGGGTACAGGATATGGGTTCTCGGGTGCTAGTCGATAATCAATGCTCAGGATTTGCACTCCGGTTTGAGAGACTGATGCCCCATGAAGACTCGCACATTGCGATGCACTCAGAGCGATGTATCCTCCGCCGTGGATATGGATAATAGCTGGCGCTCCCCCCTCAGGAAGCGGGATCTTTTTGCGATAGTGGTACACGGCCACGCTGTGTCCATCTGGCGCAGCAGTATGGTGAATCTCGTGTTCCACATCTTTTGGTAGGTTGTAGTTCTCGGTTGCCATGGCCCCTATAATGGCGCGTCTTGTCGCAACATCGTGTAGCGCTGGCTTTGGGACCTGGGCGAGCTGTTGGAGAATGGGAGCAGCCTGCTTTAAAAGCTCAGGGTCGTACTGTAAAGGCATAATGAGATCAAGTGACAAGTAGCACAAATTGAGACCAGTGCAGCATTCAGTCTGTTGTGTGGAATACTGCCGAACAGGGGCATTTAACGTAATCTAAATACAAAAGTACCCCTCTATCTGACGGGTTATTTCCTTCGTAATTTATCATTACAATGCACCTTCCTTTCACCGAGATTCACCATTTGTTGTCCTTCACTCGTTGTACACCAGATCAGATCCCCACAGTCTGGGAATGCACCCAGGGAATCGGGTTCAGTTTCCTAGCGTCAAACTACTACGACTTTTTGACAGATGAAAAGACCAACTCCATGCTTTACGACTACTGGGTCGAGCAAGTCCGCGCTCGTATATCAAATCCCGAAAAGAAGGATATGGTTGCCCCATTAAAGCAGCAGATACCGGTTGCAACGTAGCTGCCTAGTCTCGAGCAGGATTACTATGAGATGATTGACCGCCCGAATATCACGTTGCACAATCTGAAGCAATCTCCTATGGTTGAGTTTGATGCCACCGGCGTGGTAACTGGTGATGGCAAGGACACGCAGCATCATGAGTTGGACATCGTGATCTTTGCAACGGGATACGATGCTGTCACTGGTAGCTTATTGGATTTGGCAATCACTGATAAGAATGAGCAGCCCTTGGAAGAGAAATGGCGAGATGGCGTCTTGACTCACTTGAGTCTGATGGTGCCCGGTTGCCCCAATTTGTTTATAGTCTATGGACCGCAGGCCCCGACTTCTGTGGTTAATGGACCACCCTTCATCGAGATGGAAGTCGACTGGATCTGCAAAGCCATTATGAAGATGAAGAGCGAAGGCCTGGAATCAATAGAGCCGACACTGAAAGCCGCTGAGGGGTGGCGCGATCACGTTTATGCCGTGAGTGAGCATACGCTGTACCCTAAGACAGATTCTTGGTATATGGGTTCCAAAATCCTTGGGAAACGGCGGGAACTACTCATTTATCTTGGTGGAATGCAGCGTTGATGGCAAAACTGCATGGAGGCTTTGGATAAATGGGATGGATTTAAAACAGTTCAAAGTTAGGGTGTTGAAATTCCTGTTCTTTGAATTTTAGTTAAAGATTGTTAAAGATTTCTATATATCTGGATTATACTATATATTATATTGTAAAGGGAAAGCCATGTGCGGCGGCCTAAAATCCGGTGTGTTTGTGTAGGTAGCTTAGCGGCCCGGGGGCTACCCCCACTCCACCCGCTCCCTATCCCCATAGGCCCCAACCCCTAGAGCCTCTTTTAGATAAAATCGCGTATTCTCTAGCGATGAGGTATCAGGATTAATTTGCAATTGTTAGGGGTCGAAGTGCTAAGGCTACATAATAACCACTATTCTTACCCAACAAATCCCAACTCCTCCAAAGCCCAAGGCCCCTCCCCACCCTCACTCCCATCCTTATCCCTAACCGGATTCGCAAACTCAACCAAAAACCTCACCATCCACCCATCCATACAAAAACTAGTATCAACCGAGCTCCTACAAGCCCGATGAAAAGCTTGCAACCGCTCCATACAAACATCAAGTGTAGGCCACAGCGCACGCAATTTAGTCAGAATACAAAAATTCCTCTCCAGCCTCGCCCTCGCCCGAACAACACTCTCCTCATCACCAAAAAGCAACGTGTGGATCTGCACCGTCGACGCAATAACAAGTACATGGCCGACCATATTATACAGCACGGCGCAGCCGGGGACTTCCTCGGAGCGGTAGATCATCTCGCAGAGCCGAACGGCGTGCTCTTTGCATTGCTGTGCGTAGAAGTGCGTGCGTGGTGTGTAGCCTCGGACGTCGTCGTGGAGGAAGCGGTAGAAGAGCATTTGGCCGTAGTGGTAGTAGCCCAGGTAGAGGGTTACGAAGAGGTGGCCTTGGCCTTGGGAGGCGTAGGATTGGAGGTTGGAGGGTGTGTCGTGCATGTGTGGCGGTAGGTTTTTGAGCCAGGTGGAGAGGTTTGTGGAGAGGGTTGAGATAGTTTCTGTTATGTATTCTTCGGTGAGGGTTGTTTTGGCGGCTTTGGTGTTGAAGTCGTTGATTTCGGAGAGGATTCGGTTTAGGAGGACCATTTGGGCTAGGAGGGATGAGGCACGGTCGTTTGAGACTAGTACTGTGAAGCCCTGGGTGCGGGTCATGGCGAGGAAGGTTGCTTCGTTCATTGGGAGGGGGATGTTTGGTTGGGGGATCATTAGACGTGGGAGTCGGACTCCGGCTGAGGACCAGACGTCTATCATGCAGAGCGTCCACCATACTGTGTTGGATGTTAGATGTGTGGGTATTTTCGAGTATTTCGGTAAAAACTACAAACCTCTTGTGTTTACTTCTTGTTCCACACGACTTGAAGCATGGCAATTTGGGAGATCAAGGAGTTGGGCAATACGGCATGCAATTGAGTAGTAGATGGTCTCCGAGGCTGGGTTTCCATCTACTACAGCAATGGCGCCGAGCAAAACACAAACTTGGATTGTTGCCAAAGAGACATCATTCAAGTTGAGCAATTGCTCACATCTTTTCGCATAGCCTTTCCCTCTTTTTCGAGGATCTATTTCAGCAAAGGAAGAGTGATTTGAAAATCTACCCCCGAGTCAGATTCAGAAGTTCATTCGGGCCGAGTAGAAGGCATACCGTGCCGATAATGCGAGAATCCCGTATATTAAATTCTCGGGCGCTTGTCCCCGGCGTATGTCTTCCACCAGACTTGGTCGATGGAAGAGCGAATGGAATTTATCATGCACATAATCAAAATACAGCTCCACCAGTTCAGTGCAGAGGGGTTGATCTGGTAAAGTGCATTTCTCGGGTAGAGAGACAGTCTCGGCAGTTGTTTCTTCTGGAGAAGATCCTTTCGGCACGGAGAGCTGTTTCCGAGTACAAGCTAGTTTCCGGGCGGAGCAATAGATGCATGAGTGACCGGGTGCCGGAATGTCGCATTTTCGTCGACGTTCACTAACATAATGAGTACGGGGTCTGTCGGAGCGGGGTATGAATTACTCACCGGCATATTGAACAGGCCTTTGCTTGTCTCATTATTCCAAAAGGAAAAAGGACCTCTTGCTAGAGCATTGGCAAGAATGAGGAGTTGGCAGACTTGCGGGATTGAAAGGAGCAAAAGCCAATGAGCGATGTTCAAAACCGCCCGCGACACGGAGTATCCCCGGGGTTTCCTCCGCATTTTCGACTCCACAATACGGTAAACCCCAGCTTATATACTTCTGAATATCTCCGAAGTTGTTTTTGTAGTCCGCATTTCGCCAGTTATAGTTCAGCAGACCGATAAAAGTCTATTCTTTGCATCTGAGGCCCATTCTGCTTAATTGAGATCTACATAGTCGAGTCTTGGAATACCCCACACTTTCATGCAATCTCCCCACAACTCAGGGTAAAAGAAATCGGGGTAAAAAGATATAAAAAGGTATGTGTTTCCCGGATTCTGGTTATGAATTCTGTCAGAAGGAACAGCTAAAATGGTTTACTTATCAGGGGGTGTTGTGGCCACAGGCCTTACTCTCCTGGCGCATTCCGCCGCTGTTATGGCCAAGGAATCAAGCACAAATCGTGAGTCTGCTTCTGTTCTTTTTCTGATTTTCCAAACCTGACCATATATATATCCTATAGCAATCGTGGCGGATGGTACTTTCTTTGCTCTCAATGGAAAGAATGTTGCGTACCGCATCCATGTGGACAATACCACTGGTGATCTCCTAGGGGACCACTTCGGCGGCTCCGTCGGAGCTAATATCCCTCTGGAGACTGTAGGCGACGTCAATGGCTGGAATAGTCATATAGGACGTGTACGCCGCGAGTTCCCAGACCAAGGCCGAGGAGATTTCCGGACCCCTGCGATTAGAATCCGTCAGTCAGAAGGGTATACCGTGTCTGAATTTCAGTACAAATCGCACAAGATCATTCCTGGCAAGCCTGCTCTGCCTGGGTTACCAGCCACGACGGGCACAGAAGAAGATGTTACTACCTTGGTCATCAGTCTATATGACAAGTACAGCGATGTTGCCGCGGACCTCTCGTACTCGATTTTCCCCAAGTATGATGCCATTGTGCGCAGCGTGAATGTTACGAATCATGGAGACGCAAATATCACAATCGAGTCTCTGGCCAGTCTGAGTGTGGATTTGCCGTTTGAGGACCTGGACATGATTAGTCTTCGTGGAGATTGGGCAAGGGAAGCGGAGCGCGAGAGGAAGAAGGTCGCGTATGGAACCCAAAGCTTTGGAAGTTCCACTGGCTACTCCTCTCACCTCCACAATCCTTTCCTGGCATTGGCAGACCCCTCCACCACCGAGTCCCACGGAGAGGTATGGGGATTCTCGCTTGTGTACACGGGTTCATTCTCAGTGAACGTCGAGAAGGGTGCACAGGGTTTCACGCGTGCCCTTCTGGGTTTCAACCCTGGCCAGCTCTCATGGACTCTGCCGCCCGGAGAGACTCTTACCTCCCCGGAGTGTGTCTCGGTATACTCCAAGGATGGCATCGGTGGAATGTCACGCTCCCTGCATCGCTTGTACCGCAACCATCTCATCAAGAGCAAGTTTGCCACTAGCGATCGTCCTACATTGCTGAACAGTTGGGAAGGACTGTACTTCGATTACAACCAGAGCAGCATCTACGAGCTGGCAAAGGAAGCCGCCGAAGTAGGCGCCAAGCTCTTCGTTCTGGACGACGGCTGGTTCGGCAAGGAATACCCACGTGTCTCCGACGACGCCGGACTGGGCGACTGGATCCCAAACCCTGACCGGTTCCCAGACGGCCTGGAGCCGATTGTGAAGAAGATCACGGACCTGAAAGCCGCTAACTCATCAGAGAACATGCGCTTTGGTATCTGGTTCGAGCCGGAAATGGTCAACCCCAACTCGACTCTGTATAACAAGCACCCGGACTGGGTCTTGCACGCAGGACCCTACCCTCGCACCGAAAGACGCAACCAGCTCGTGCTGAACCTCGCTCTTCCTGAAGTCCAAGACTACATCATCAAGTCTGTCTCAGACATTCTCAAGAGTGCAGATATTAGTTACGTCAAGTGGGATAACAACAGAGGCATTCACGAGATGCCTTCTCCATCCACAAACCATGCCTACATTCTCGGCATGTACCGCGTTTTCGATGAACTGACAACCCAATTCCCCGATGTCCTCTGGGAGGGTTGCGCCTCGGGCGGAGGCCGTTTCGACCCAGGTGTTCTGCAGTACTTCCCGCAGATCTGGACATCAGACAACACAGACGCAATCGATCGCATCTCCATCCAGCTTGGTACTTCGCTCGCCTACCCGCCCAGCGCGATGGGTGCTCATCTGTCCGAAGTGCCGAACCAACAGACTGGCCGCACAGTCCCCGTGGCTGTCCGCGGACATGTCGCGATGATGGGCGGCTCGTTTGGCTTGGAACTCAATCCGGCTGTAATGAACGCTGAAGACAAGGCAGCTCTGCCGGGGCTCATTGCTCTCGCTGAGAAGGTGAACCCCATTGTTCTTAATGGTGACATGTGGCGGTTGAACCTGCCAGAGGACTCGAATTGGCCTGCTGTTTTGTTCATCGCTGAGGATGGTCAGAAGGCTGTGTTATTTGTCTTCCAGCTCGCTCCCAATGTTGATCATTCATGGCCGCGCGTTAGGTTGGATGGATTGGATGCACAGGCTTCCTATAAGATTGATGACGGCGTGGTTTACACCGGTGGAACCTTGATGAATATTGGTCTGCAATTCCCCTTCAAGGGTGACTATGGCAGTCAAGTTGTGATGTTGGAAAAGCAATAGAGAGCACCTGCAATATAGGCTCGATAGTTATATTTGAGGCAAGGGCTGTGAGCAGCCATGCTCTTTGATAGGATTTGATAGGTTAATAATCAAATATCGACCCTTCCAATGTTGTTGAATGACGAGATAAAATCTTCACAAGAAAAATATTCAATTCAAGACTGTTTGTAAGCTTATGTTGACCTTCCAAGGTTGATGCCGGGTCAACATCGATATTATTCTGCCGGACGAAAAAAACCCGCTTATCGATAAGCGCACCTTGTTCTAATCCCCTCCGACTCTGACTCCGAAATTCCAGCCTCTGATTTATTCTTTACAAGCAATTCAAAATGGCAGACGCAGACGAGGATATCATTCATGCCCCTGCAAATGCCTCTACACAGCCCGAGGTCGACCTGTCCGATGAGACACAGGACTTCCGCTTCTTGAACCACTTAAATTTGTATGAACACCAGCTATTCCTTTGACATGGCGAACGCAATCTCCATTGTCCTCATTCGCTTCTTCAATTACGCATTGCTTACCTTCAATCTCTCTACAGCTTTGCCGATTCATCCCCCGGTATCCCGCGCCGCGGCGAGAAGGACTTTGAGCCCAATCCAACAGAACTTCAAGCCGATGTACTCTCCGCTTCGCGAGGGGCCATGCACAATGCGCTTTCATATCCCCGTCTACACGGAGCAAAAACTCGTGTCATAGCTTTCTACGCACCCGACGGGTATGTTCCTCCAGCTAAACCCGATCTCGCGGCACCGACAGCTAGCGGAGAAGATGGAAAGAGCTCGGAGTCTACCCCCAAACCCGCGAGGCCTTTGCCCAATTCCGCCAGGATATCCCCTGACGCATGTGTCTACGTTCCCAGCCCGAAGGGCCAGTTTTTTAAGACAATGGGCCAGGCAGACTCGTCAAGCCGTGTCTGGCTGTTGCCGGAAGAAGCCTTATATCTTATTGAGCGAGGAAGTCTGGATATCAGATGGCCTAGCCCTTCAGGATCCGCCGCGGGTCCAGGAGAAGAAGACCTCTCCGTCCCTATGAGCTTGCAGGCTGCATATGCATGCTTCATGGGCCGCGGTGGTCTGACGCTTGAGCGGTACTCCGTTTATACTGGTCTCAGGCGTCTGGGCTATGCGCTTTTTCGAGCTCCTGGATGGAGCGGTGACATCGAGCCGCAGGTTGCAGATGCCTCAGATGCCAGTGAAGTAACATCACCCAAGCTTCATGGCCCCGGCCTGGCTGGTATGCTTGGGTCACTTTTCAACTGGATCCATGACCCTCGCTCGACGGCCTCTACGGCAACTGGCCCTATCATCGGCACTGGCATTCACCGTCATTACAGTGAGTCACACATTCATCTCTGCGATAATTATTTAGCTCTATTTTACTGACCATACTTCTTAGTGGATGTATACCGCAAACTCGCCATCATCCCCTGGTACGACCCAGTTACCGCGCCCGAAAGACATCCCTCCGATGCCGCACCACCCTTCCGCATTGTGTTCCACATCTACAAGCCCTCAACTCCCTTGAAAAAAACCGCACTTCCCACTCCAGACTTCCGCATCGCGGTCGTCAGCACACGCGACCAAACCACTATGCCCACTATGACACAACTCGGTGCTTTGCTCGAAAGCACGCCACTTGACCCCCCGCGTGGGGAGAAAATGGACCGTATGATGTACATGAGACTGCGGCACGGGTACCGCAATGTCGTCATGGCTGTCGTTGATCAAGGTGTGATCAGTTACTTGCGGGTTGCTGATTCGGCGTTCGGGAAGGAGAAGCTTTATGAGAACAAAGGTGGACCTCAGGGTCCTAAGCGGAGTCGTGGAAATCAGAAGCCGAGGAAACGCTGAGATACTCGGTTTATCAGTCCATGCCTTGGCCGATTACGGCTCCGTCGCTGGAGAGTGCATGCAAAACTGAATACAACAATTGCCTGCAACGGAAATGTCGTCTACGCATCAGGCCCTTGCACGGACTATGGACCTGGCCCGTATATTCATCTCATATCATCTCTGCTCGGTGGTGGATCTCACCGAGAGCTGAAAATGCTCTCCGCGGTGGTTGGGGCAATTGTGGTTATTCTTGCAAGGATATCCCACACTGGTCAACGCACTTCGACGGACACATCCCTCTAGGTTTGGGCCCGATCTGGCTACACAAATTGGAGCGAAGATCTACATATCCCATACTACGACGTGAAATTGTCTCAGTATTCCCACTGAAAGAACGACCCAATCTCGCCAGTTCGTACATATCTTCTGCGCTATTCAAGTACTAAGGCATTTATATAGTCGGATACTACTTACTGAGATCTACAAACCAAATATCACTGGATCATAAATCATAACATTCTTTGAGCAACATTTCCCCGAATTCGACGAGTACCTAGCTAGATTCTTGCATAATCCAGCACGTCCATAGCAAACCCCTTCCCCCACTCACAGCCTATACATCTCACTCTTACTCCTAGCCCCATCAAAGACACAAGTATTATCAAGCGGACCATACTGCCTAGTAATCACCTTCAAAGCCTCCTGCGCAACCAAACCCCCCGTCAACGAAGAGATATTATGCAACTCTCCGCCCTCCGCCCTCCGCAGTTCATTGCTCGCACGGGCAATCTGCGTGCGCGCCTCCTGACAAACAGCCGATCCATCCGCCGCAGTCAACAAAGCCAGGATGCGTTCCGTGTGGCTATTCCACAGCGCGTCGTCGTCAACAGAGCGATCCTCTTCGCGACTGCTCGATTGGATCTCGTCGACGACCGAGTCGAGGATCTGCATCGCGATGAATATCGGAATCAAGGAGTCCGAATCATTTAGCTTGTTTCGGATGGTTTTCAGTGTTGACGTGTCGCCGTCGATGCTTATCTGTGGGATTTCGCGTCCGAGCACGACTTTGATGTGCGCGGCGTTCTTGCAGAATACCTCGATTTCTTGGTCTGGGATTGCGGGTGTTTGGCGTCTGAGATTGGATTCGAGATGGCGCACTGTTGCTGTCACTTCTTCCACGTCTTGTCGCGCTTTGGTCTTGTAGATCTTTTGTAGGGACACGTAGTCTGCGGACTGGGCTTTCATGTCTGGTAGGGAGCCTGGGGGGGGAGGACGCCGTGAGATGCGTAGAAGGTTTTGATGGCTGACGCAATGATCCAGAAATCTTGGGATGAGGCTGATAGATGTTGACACTGGTTCATCTCGAAGATCTCGCGGATCGAGCTGCGTAGGCTGAAGGGTGAGATTGTCTTCAGTACTGCAGCGACTGCCTCGTCAAAGTTCTCTTCGCCGCCTTCTGGGTTGGAAGTGCGTGTCTGGGACCGCACGAACTCTCTGAATTCAGTTTTCTCTTTGTAGTTATTCGGTGCGTTGCCTTGGTGTGACTGTTTCCATTGCTCCAGGAAGTGAAGGAGGAGAAGGATGTAGGGAATATGGCCGTGCTGATGGTCATCTAGGGTGTCCAGGTTGTCCAGGTTGTCCAGGTTGGCTGCGGCGGCGACAAGCTCGGGCCAAGGATTTAGGAGACGTAGGTCCTGGGTTGATTCAGGGTCCGGGTGTGTCTCAACAATGGGGAATTCAGCCGGCAATTGCACGGAGAAGGTGGAGAAGAACCCGACTGAGTGCAGGTACAACACTGGGATACCCAGTAGATTTGCTTCCTGAGTCAGAGGCACCAATGTCGAGCGTCTCATTGGACCGGAGATAATCACCAGCTTGTGCTGGGGCAAGAAGTCAGGGTCTATGAGAAGCTCCTCAACGCGCTATTTCAGAAGTCAGTCAATGATCACCTACTTTTGGAGACATGGAAATCATATTTGGAGACATGAAATCATACCTTGACATAGTAATGTCCCTCCACGTCTGGATTCAGTTCTTTCAGTAGTCGACAGGTCTCCTCAGCACGAGACTTGCCCAGGGACTCTTCTTCTAAGAAAAAGTTCACACCTAGATCAGATTCGGTGACTATTGCTGGGTCGACGATGGTGAAACCACCAATTCCAGGCAGTACAAGGTTCTTGAGTGTTTCGACGCCAGCAACGCCGGTGACACCGGTGTTGTATTGGCCGAGAGGGCCATCGGAGTTCACCAGCAGAACATGAGAGTCTTCAAGTGCTTGCTGGCCAGTTGCTGCCCACAGGCGGAGCTGGCGATCATACTTGCGCTCCTTGGAGGTTGGCCCTGTCAGAGCGGCGGGGAAGGCTTCCGTCATGGTGGATATCAAGTAGTGCGGGGGAGGAAGTAGAGCTTTGTTTTGAGGCTCAAACCATTGCCTATTTATCGGTCTGTGTTGCTTCTCGTGTTGCTTACAATATTTGCTCTTCGATCATGTAAGTTCCCAAATGATGGAGCAGTGGATGTCGACTTGTTGATGCGCGACTGTTTTTAGTAAGCGCATGTGATGGCCTGATAAACCAGGCTGACACGAAGAGCCTCACTGGATTTTCAGATTACATGGACTCTGATGTTCTACATGCAATTTGCTGGACACAGAGATGTTTTCCCTTTAGAATTACAGATAAATAGCTCTTTTTGAAATTTGAATGGCAACAACTTTGAGTCCTTTGAGAATCCTAGTAAAGTGGCTGTCGCGGCTCATACTCTAGTCCGCGCAGTACTATTTCTCTGTTTGACAACAATTCATAAGATTGGCTGTGATATGAGGATTAGAATTAATCAAAGCTATCTAACTATTATTCAGAATAATACATACAGGGCCGAGAGACTGAAGATTGAATATATACAGGGCATCCTCATGGTATAGTCGAAACGAAATCGACATGGGATAAACATGATTTGATTTTCAGTTTTGCAAAAAAACAATAGCAAGGTAAGCTGCACTGTGCATTGATGTATGTCTCAAAGGCAGAGCTGAAAGGGAACCTCGGTGAAGGCTTCAGGACCTATATCGATGTAGTCCACGAGTTGTTTATACCATTCATTGCCCCAATTTCACCTTGCACTAATGCCACTCATCTCTACATCAATTGACCTATTTTATAAGACCAAATCTTCCAAAACAAAGTTGGCCAGTGTTGTCCTCGCCTTTGCACGCTCGCACGTGCCCTGGGGGAGGATCTTCTTGCCTGCGTCCTTCTCTGTTTGTACAAAGGAATGGACAGAGCTAGCTGCAAAAAGGGTGACTAGGACTGTATCTGCTTGGTCCGTCCTGTGATTCAAAGGGCTGGCGCAGGCTATGTCTTTAGGAAATGTGACATCGATACTGTTCTGAGAATGGTCTTTTCCATATGAGAAGACAATTAAGCTAATTGATTATATAGACAAGATTTTGCCAGCTGCTATAAAGATCTGCGGGAGTTACTCCCAGTTCATGACCAACTACTACGATGCTTCCAAGGTTAGTTTGGAGTTCTTTTCAGATGATGAAATGAGGTGGTGATTGCCAGAGAGAAATAGGTATAGCCAGCTTCCATGCTGCTAAAGGATTCTTCAAATATGTAGTTTCTGTTTAATTTGCCTATTGCTTTAGTATCCAAGGGATTTTACTTTAAAAATGTAAATATATTGTGATACTCCTTGTCCTCGATTGTATAAAGAGTATACTATGGGTATTTGATCCGTTGTGGCTTATATTTCCTCTTTTTCATACCATATGAGACTGATAATACTCGAATATATTGTATATAACCTTGATCAATGCTGTAGGATGCCTAAAACCTGGATTTTATAGAAAAATACATGAAGTACTACTAGTAAACCCCACAACTGTAACGTGACGTTATAGTGGCCAAAAGACTTGTAACCAAGGTAAGGGTATAGATTCTATTTTATGCTTAATTTCATTTCCTCTCTATTTTCCTTTTTCCTCAAAAAGCCGCCAATTCCATTCCAAAGAGCGTCTATAAAGAGGAATCCATGATCCAACCAGCCCTCATCTCCCCTCTTTTCCTCTGCCGTAGACTTGCCCTCCCCACCATCCCCACACTTTTTCGCAGCACCCTCCAAAGTCCCCAAAGACTCCAATCCACCATGTCCGCCGTCGAAGAATCCAAGCGCGCCGCCGCAAAGGTCGCCGTCGACAAGCACTACCCCAAGGATGCCCGCTGGGTCGGTATCGGCAGCGGTACGACGATCGTGTATGTTGTCGAGGCCATCAAGGCCCTCGGCGTCGACACCTCCGCCACAAAGTACATCCCGACCGGTTACCAGTCCAAGCAGCTGATTGTCAATGCCGGATTAACTGCGGTTGAGTACGACAGCATTCCGCTGGGCACTGTCCTCGACGTGGCGTTCGATGGTGCGGACGAGGTCGACGAGGATCTGAACTGCATCAAGGGCGGCGGTGCATGCTTGTTCCAGGAGAAGATCGTCGCTATGCAGGCGAAGGAGTTTATCTGTGTTGCTGGTGAGTTTTGATCTGATCTAATATGATCTTACTTGATTTTGCATGGTAGTTACGCGGGTTTGGGTTGGGTGATTACTCGGAAGTAGACCAGCCAACTCGTTTTTTTCTCTTGTTTTTTCATTCCTCTTTTCTATCACAATACCACCCCAAACTAACTCACGCTTGCAATTACAGACCACCGCAAACTCCAACCCCGTCTCCTTACAAGCTGGAAATCAATCCCCATCGAGGTCGCCCCGATCGCCGCACACCGCGTTATCCTCAAGCTGAAGGAACTCGGCAGTGTCAACCCCGCCATCCGCCCCTCCGCCAGCGCCAAGGAAGGTCCCCTCAAGACCGATCAGGGCTTCTTTATTATCGATGCTCCTTTCAAGCCGATGCTGATCAAGGCCGATATCGAGGCTGGCCAGGATGGTAGCGGCAAGGACGGTGTGTGGGCAGTCGGTGTATTGGCTGGCAAGATCAAGGAGATTACCGGTGTCCTTGAGGTCGGTGTTTTCCAAGGCCAGACCGGGCCGCAGGCTACTGCTGCCGGTGGTATTGGTGGTCAGAGACCTGTCGCAGCCTACTTCGGTATGGCTGATGGGACAGTCACTGTTCGCAAGGCTGAGTAGATGTCTAGTGGTTGGACGAACATAAGACTATAAATAATGTAGATGATACCAAGATTTTCCTTTTTTTGGTTCTTAGAAAAGATGCTATAAGTGGAATTGAACTAGTGAATGCTTGCGATTGTGTGTTTTGAATTTTTTTAAATTAGATTTCGTGTGTGGTATCAACATTGGACAGACGCTTCGTTACGGACGCTTCGTTTCAGTATGGAATCAAATACTTTCACCGGACCTATTTTGCGCCTTTGCCCTTGGCCTCTGTCTCGCCCAACTCCCGTACGTAAATCTTCACAGTGCCTTCCGGGACCTCGTCATGGCCATCTTCGAATCCGGGGCTGACTGCAATAGCCAGATGCTGGCCGCTCGCACTGAACGCAACAGCTGAGACGCTGTTTTGGTATTTCTGATATTGACGGATACGGCGCTTAGAGATTCCATCCCAGAGCGCAACAACACCGTCACCACCGCCGGACGCAAAGGTACCAAAAACAGGGTGGAAAGCCAATGCATTGACAGGGTAGACAACGTCCACGCCATCCTCAGCAGTCTGACGGTGACACTTGAAAGCGTATTTGCGGGCCTGAGATTCAGGCGACGGGTCGAACCACTCAACCGCAACACGACCCTCAATGCTAGACGAGGCGTACCCGGCATCATCAGGCATGCAGGCAACGGCGCGGGTCATGAACTTCAAGCTGCTCTCGCGGCGCTGCCAGGGCTCAACTTCGACTCGGTTACCGTCTGGGGCTGTGCCGTCTGCTTGTGCGGTGAGAAGGGCCAGCGCTTTGAGGTCGTAGATGTGCAATGCGCGCGATGCCATCGCGACGATCAGCTTGGTGGCGGTTGCGGAGATTGAGAATGGCTTCGATGGGAGGGGGACGATAATCGGCAGGGAGTCGGGGTTTGCGCCGGCATCGGGTTGGTGGATGTGCAGTGTTGAGTCCCACGAGGCGGAGATGACGATGTTGTGCTTGCGGCTGTATATGACATGGCGCACGCCGGCTTCGTGGCTGCTGAGCACGGTCTGTTCCGAGGTGTTGAAGTCGATCCTAATCAGTCAGTATAACTCATGGGCTACGGTTGGGGTGGTGAAAGTAGCAGGACTCAATGGAAATAACTCACTTCCTCACGTCCCAATCCAGTCCAGCTGTGTAGATCTCGTTCTCGTTCTCGCCGAAGCAGACGTCCAGCACAGGAGCGCGGTGCTCAAACTTCTGCAATAGCTTTCCCTCTCCAATTTTTCCGTTCTCATCCCGCAAGTCATAGAGGTACACGTTCTTGTCCCATGACGAAACCACGATGCGCGCGGAGTTGGGGTCTGGGGAGAACTTCAAGGCCGAGATAGCATCCGTAGGTGGGGATGCCACAGTGAATTGATCTGCAATAAGAAATTAGACATGGCTCAAATGGAAGAGAAAGTAATATAGAGAGCAACTCACGAGAAGTCATCTTGGGCTGCGGAGTTGTAGAAGATCACAACCCAAGCTCCCCGGGGCCTTTGGCCGTCTCCTTTTCTGCCATCGTCACCGCCCTCTGATTCCCCGCGAATCAGCCGAAATGCCTATGTTGGTTGATAAGGAAAAAAAGAACGGCTTGACATCATTTGTTTTCAACACAATTTCTCACATCTTCGTGAAATCGACAAGATGCCCTTTGCCCAGCTGGTGATTGGTCCACCAGGTGCTGGCAAGTCCACGTACTGCAATGGCATGCATCAGTTCCTGGGCGCAATCGGCCGGAAATGCTCTGTCGTCAACCTTGACCCCGCCAACGACAAAACTTCGTATCCATGCGCGCTGGACGTACGTGACCTAGTTACTCTAGAGGATATCATGGAAGAGGACAAGTTGGGTCCGAATGGTGGTGTCTTATATGCTCTCGAAGAGCTCGAAAACAACTTCGACTGGCTGGAAAATGGGCTGAAGGAGCTTGGCGGTATGTCTGACATGTCCTGGTCCTGGCCATATACATTTACTTACTGGTTTTGATGAATTCAGATGATTATATTCTTTTTGACTGTCCCGGCCAAGTCGAGCTATTTACACACCACGCCTCATTACGCAACATCTTCTACAAGATCCAGAAGATGGGCATCCGAGTTAGTGGCAGCAGAATCTCAAGCACAACACAGAGAAGACCCAGCTAACCATGCTCCTTCTGAAACAGCTGATAGTCATCCATCTCGTCGACTCATACACCCTCACCCTCCCCTCAATGTACATCTCCGCCCTCCTCCTCTCCCTCCGCGCCATGCTCCAACTCGACCTCCCACACCTAAATGTCCTCACCAAAATCGACAACCTCGCCAACTACGCCCCGCTCCCTTTCAACCTAGACTACTACACCGAAGTACAAGACCTCTCCTACCTACTCCCCGAACTGGAAAGCGAGTCCTCGCGATTCTCGCACGAGAAATTCGGCAAGCTGAACCAAACAATCATCGACCTGGTCGAGGAATTCGGACTCGTTGCCTTCGAGACGCTGGCCGTCGAGGATAAAAAGAGCATGATGAGTCTCCTGCGATCCATCGACCGTGCATCCGGATATGCCTTCGGTCCCGCCGAGGGCGCCAACGATACCGTCTGGCAAGTGGCTGTTCGGGAGGGCATGGGTGTGGCAGACGTGCGGGATGTGCAGGAGCGTTGGATCGATGCTAAGGATGAATACGATGAGCAAGAGGAAATGGATTTGGAGGAGGAAGTTCGTGTGCGCAATGCGGCGAGCCAGGTCGAGGCGACGGGTGCGGTGGATGGCGGACCCGACGAGGATGACGGACATGACTACGACGAGGAACTGGAAAAGTGGAAGAAGGATATGCCAGACAGTGGCGTGCGGGTTCACCGCAAGTAATCATCCTTTCCTATTCCAAGGACTTCCCAGCCATTCTAAACGTCAAGTATGATACGATAAATGTACGATAGCGGAAAATAACCATGAATAACCTAACGCACCAAGAACTGGGGTATCTCATTAAAAGTAAATAAAGTACAATACAACACCTACCATCTTCATCTTCATCCTCATCCTCATCAAATCTCAATCATCCATCCCCTCATCCTCACTCTCATCCATAACACAATCAACAAAATCAGACCCCCCACCAACCAACCCCCCCAAGAACCCCCTTCTCCTCCGCATCCTTAACCCTAACAATCTCCCTCCTAGCCCGTCGAATAGCCTCCTCCTCCGCCTTCCTCATCGTCCCCGAAACCCGAATCACGCGGAAGACACACCCACGCTCGCGTCCCGTCCCCGCGCGTTTCTGCCCACTCGTCGGCTCCGGCACGCCGGACATGTACGTAAGTGCTGACCAGACGAGGCGGAAGGAGGCGCGCGGACACCGCACGATAGCGGTGGATGTTGCTGGTGAGAGATATTTTACTATAGGGTGTATTAATAGGTGGTTCTGTGGATGGAGGCGTTCAATGTTGAAGGGGGAAGGGGGTGCAAGCTTACTCGTTACCCCGCCTGCAGAGGCACCGCCTAGCTTGCCGATTCCATAGTCGCCGTATAGCTCTGCGACGGACTCGCGGATCATCTTTGCTAGGAAGCCCTGGGTCAAAGCGTCGGAGGTTGGGGAGTGGATTGCTAGTTGGGGGTTGTGGGGTTTTGTTGTTGGGGTTGTGGGCCAGGTTTTTGGATCTGGGTAGAGGATGTCCACGAGGAGGTAGCGGTTTTTGAGGCGGACCATGGTGGTGTGGTATGGTCGTGTTGGGGTTGGTGTGTGTTGGGATTTGGTTGAGAGGAAGCGGGGTGTTGGAAGAAGTACGAATATGATACTGTATGGCTTATTCGGATTATGCCAGAGCTAGGTGTATATGTGGTTTGCTGGGTAGAGAATGTAAGGTGGGTGAATCTTGAAGCTGAGGTTGAGGCAGAAAAGATTGCGACTGATAAGCGATAAGGATATTTCCTAATCGGACGCACGGCCCTTCCTCAGGGATGGACAACGCCCTTGGCTTAGCTCTGAATAGTTCAGCTATGACGAATGCTACGGACTACGCTGAAAAAAAACATATCATGCGGCAATGGCACGTTCATTATTTCCCAAAGAGGTCTAGTCATCTACTGCAAAACGAATTAAATCAGATCCGTAGCCGGGTTGCACCCTTCTTGAGTGTCAACCCGTCAACTTGGTCATGCCACATGAAGGCAGGTACATCGATACACATAACTGCTCAGAAAACATAAAAAAAGAAAAACCAAGGGATGAACCATCCGAACTCCACCGCCCTGATCGGACGGACTATATGCCAGCGGACGGCGCTGCAAAACGTCATAAACAAAATCACAGGTTGACCTCAACACGGCCCTCGGAACCGCCCTTCTGCAGAGTGGGGAGGAGGTAGGTGATGTCATCCCAAGGGTGACGGTAGAGACCGGTGCGCAGGCGCTTCTGGTCGAGGTAGTGGGCAATAAGACCGATGGAACGGCCGAGCACGAACAGACCGTTGAGGACACCCATGCGCATGTAGTCCTCGCACTCCTCGGGGGAGAAGGCACCGCAGTTGCGGAGGAGGTCAACGAAGCAGACAGCGACACAACCATCGACGTTGAGGATCAGGTTGTCCTTCTTAGAGGTGGTGACGGTCTCAACGGCAATAGCGTAGTCGAGCAGCTTGGTGCTGGGGAAGTGCTTCTTGACGAACTCCTTGACGAGCTCAACACGGAGATCGGGGTTGTTGCGGGACTTGACCTTGTGGCCAATACCGGGGATAAGCTTGTTCTCCTTGCGCATGCTGTCGACAAAGTCACGGGGGCTCAGACCCTTGTCGAAGGCCTTGGTGAACTCCTCAGCGGCGCCATCCAGGGCACCACCGAAACGCGAACCAATGGTCAGCAGACCGGAAACGAGAGCACTGATAAGGTCCTTGCCAGCACGGGTGGTGATGATGGTGTTCATGGCACCGGAGACGGCGGGACCGTGGTCGGCAGTCAGCATGAGAACCATCTCGAGGAACTTGCTGGCGTAAGGGGGCAGGCGGCGACGGAACCACAGAAGAGACATGACACCACCAATGCCAATATCCTCTCTGAAGACATCGGAGATGGGCATACCGGCGTAGAGCAGCTCCTGGCCACGGTCGTCGGAGATGGTGGAGATGAAGGCAGCGGGCTTACGGACGAGACCGAGTTCCTGGGCCCAGGAGTAGTCGATGGGGATCTTAGGCACAATGGGCTCGGGGGCAGGGGTGATGTTGCCCTTCTGGAGCTCAGCGTCGTAAACCTGCTTGAGGATCTGGGGGAGGTCCTCGAAGGTATCGGGGACGTAAATGCCAGCTTCACGCATGGCCTTGTTCTTGGTGACGGCAGTCTCGAGATCGGAGTTGGCAGAGGCACCGGCGTGACCGAATTGGACCTCGGTCTTGAACAAGCTAGCGCAGGTTCCGATAGCCCAGGCGACGATGGGCTTGGTGATGGTGCCGTTCTTGATGGCCTCGATCACACGGTACTCCTCAACACCACCGACCTCACCGAGCAGCACAAGGATCTTGCACTCGGGCTCGGCTTGGTAGCGGAGCAAGTGATCGATGAAGGTGGTACCGGGGTAACGATCACCACCAATGGCAACACCCTCGAACACACCGTCGGTGTTCTGGGAGATAATGTTGTTCAATTCGTTGGACATACCACCGGACTTGGAAACGTAGCCGACGGAACCCTTGCGGTACAGCTTGGAGGCGACAATGTTGTCCATCATACCACCAGTGTTACCGATCTTGTACGCACCGGGCTTGATACCACCGACAGTGGCGGGACCAATAATGGTGATGCCCTTCTCCTTAGCGGTGACCATAATCTCACGAGCACGCTTTGGTAGTCGTTAGCAATTGATTCGACATAACACGGGGAGAGGCATAACTTACACGCTCGGGAACACCCTCGGCAATAATGGCGATGGAGCGGATCTGGGGGTTCTCCATCAACTCCATGGTGGAGGTGTAGACGGAGCGAGAAGAGGCGAAGTTGACAACGGTGTCAACGTCGGGGTGCTTGGCCATGGCCTTCTCAACATCCTGGTAGACGGGAAGGAGAGTCTCGCTGGTACCCCAGTACATCTTGCTGACGAACTGACCACCGAAGGTGTAGATAATACCCGCTACGGAAGGAGTGGAGCGCTTGCAGATGAAATCGAAATCGAGCATGCCCTGCACGGCTCGGGGTTGCATACCACTGATGTCTCGTTAGTCTCTCATGTCGAGGTCGTAGGAGCAGAATCCCATGACTTACTACACGAAGCATCGTGTCTTGTTGTGGAAAAGGCTGTGTTGGGAGGGCGAGAGGACACGGCTAGGAGGGGCAAAGCGGGTGATGTTGTCGTTGGCAGACTGCACGCCGTTGCCGGCGGAGAGAGTAGAGGAGGGCATGATGGATCTAGGTTGCAATTAGCATGCAAGTTGGATTTCGAGGCAATTGTGCAATAGTGCAGGCAATTGTAGAGAAGGCCGTTTGGAGGGGTGTGGATATGCGGAAGAGCAATGGATAAGAGAGAGGAAGAAAAAAAAAGAGTAACTCACTTTATGCGTTAAACAAGCCGCTCGATGCGAAATTAGAGGAAATAGAGAAAAAGGAGAAAGAGGAGGTAATACAAGAGAGAGGAAGGAGAAGCTGTTGAGAAAAATCCGCGGGGTGAGATACTCGGAGTACTCGCAGATACACCGTACAGCTCGTCCCAGACCGCTGGATCCGCAGAACAGCTCAACACTTGGCAGTCCCGAAAGTACCGGGTACTGACGATACTGTACCCACTTGTGCATGGGTACATGGATACACGCCCGATACGAAGTCTATGGGATGTTAATGCGAGGTACGGAGTATGGAGTACATAGTTCTGCATTGAATAACGTATATAATATTGATATTTGGAAGTGTATCTTCTACTATTCTGAACTATGTACGTATGTAGTATGTACTTTTCAAAACTTCAAAAAAATATGTATCGGTCATAGATATGTAGTGTAGACCGGATTCGGGGATTGTCGTGTCGGTCTACCGGTCTACCTAGGTATCAACTCAACAGAATCCTTTCCGTTAGCGGTGTCGGTGACCGACAAGTATACTCCGTACAACCTCAAAACAGGAAGAACAAGAGTGGCGCCATCAAAAGTACCCAATACGCACTCCGTACTCCGATTTCCGTATGGAGTTTTGTGGGGCATTTCCCAACGAAGGGCACATATTTCCCCCACCTTCTTAGGATCTTCCGTTCTGGTCTGTTCCTCAACAGGTGGGACCTGCCGAGTTGTACGCTGTAATCTCCAGAACAACTTTTTTTTTTTGTGTACGCCGTATACTACAGTACACTTCAGAACAATTCCCACCTTTTCCCTAATCTCTCTTTCTTACCTTCAGTAATATCCCCCTCTCTTTTCCCTTTCTCTCTCTCTCATCTTTCCCTTAATCACCATCATCACATCATGTCCGCCAAATCTATCCTCGAGGCCGACGGCAAGGCCATCCTCAACTACCACCTCACTCGCGCCCCGGTCATCAAGCCTACTCCTCTCCCTGCCTCCACTACACACAACCCTCCTGCCCGCCTCGCCTCCCTTAACTTCCCCGATGACAAGGCCGTCAAGGATGTCCTCGACCAGGCAGAGGTCTCCTTCCCTTGGCTTCTGACCCCCGGCGCCAAGTTCGTCGCCAAACCCGATCAATTGATCAAGCGTCGGGGTAAGAGCGGTCTGCTCGCCTTGAACAAGACCTGGACTGAGGCCCGGGACTGGATTGAGGCTCGTGCCACTAAGGATGTCCAGGTTGAGACCGTCACCGGTGTTCTCCGCCAATTCCTGGTTGAGCCTTTCGTGCCTCACCCCCAGGAGACCGAATACTACATCAACATTAACTCCGTCCGTGAGGTAAGCTTTCCCCGCAGTATCAAGCACAATTGAAAATAAAAATTTTAAAAAATTGGAAGCTAATGGTCCAATTTTAGGGTGACTGGATCCTCTTCACCCACGAGGGTGGTGTTGATGTCGGTGATGTCGATGCTAAGGCCGAGAAGCTGTTGATCCCCGTCAACCTCAAGCAGTACCCCTCCAACGAGGAGATCGCCGCGACCCTGCTGAGCAAGGTCCCCAAGGGTGTTCACAATGTCCTCGTTGACTTCATCTCTCGCCTGTACGCTGTCTACGTTGACTGCCAGTTCACTTACCTTGAGATCAACCCTCTGGTTGTCATCCCCAACGCTGACGCCACCTCCGCTGAGGTTCACTTCTTGGATTTGGCCGCCAAACTCGACCAGACCGCTGAGTTCGAGTGCGGTACCAAGTGGGCTGTTGCTCGCAGCCCCGCTGCCCTGGGCTCCCCCGCCCTCGCCTCGACTGATGGCAAGGTCAGCATCGACGCTGGCCCGCCGATGGAGTTCCCCGCCCCCTTCGGTCGTGAGCTGACCAAGGAGGAGAAGTTCATCTCCGACATGGATGCCAAGACCGGTGCCTCGCTCAAGTTGACCGTCCTCAACTCCACCGGTCGTGTCTGGACCCTTGTCGCCGGTGGTGGTGCTTCCGTCGTCTACGCCGACGCCATTGCCTCCGCTGGTTTCGTCAGCGAGCTTGCCAACTACGGCGAGTACTCCGGCGCCCCGACTGAGACCCAGACTTTCAACTACGCCCGCACCGTGCTGGATCTGATGCTGCGTTCCCCCCCCACCCCGAGGGCAAAGTCCTCTTCATCGGAGGTGGTATTGCCAACTTCACCAACGTGGCCAGCACCTTCAAGGGTGTCATCCGCGCCATCCGCGAGGTCGCCAACCTCCTCACCGAGCACAAGGTCCAGATCTGGGTCCGTCGTGCCGGTCCCAACTACCAGGAGGGTCTCAAGAACATCAAGTCCGTCGGTCTCGAGCTTGGCCTAGACATGCACGTCTACGGGCCCGAGATGCACGTCAGCGGCATCGTGCCCCTTGCCCTCCAGGGCAAGAAGAGCGACGTCAAGGAATTCGGCGCATAAACAGTTTAATCCTTATTTGATGTTTGTTCTTTGCAGCGTGTGTCCGTTGCATCGGTTTGTGGTATAATGCATGGCATGATATGACTTGTTTTTTGCGGGATTCCCGGGGGAGGTCTGCGGATGTAGATGTCACCCCGGCGTCTGTCCTATTTTGCTGAGGGTATGGCGTTACTTCCCGCCCGGGCGAAAAGACCCGGTCCTTCTGGTGTCGACGTACATGATTCTCCGTTGATTAGATTTCATTTTCCTATGTTCACTCCCGGCGGATTTAGATCGTGTGATGTCCCGTCGGATAATATCAATGATACGAGGCATTTATTGTCCCAGAATTGTTCTATCATATGTAAAGATAAAATCGATAGATCAGATATATGTCCAGCTAAACAATGTGTCCAATATGATTGAAGTGAACATTTTGAAAAAAAGAAAAAACCATGCCCAAAAATACCAGTGTAATTAATACACAGGTATACCGCGTGTAATTTTGAATAAGCTCAAATCCAGGAACAACCTTGGAAGAAGACAAAACAAGCTCCCGCACCAGACTCCACACAAGCTCCTCTGCACCCCGGATTCACAGGGACATCAGGTCCCGCGATCAGATCCCAGGATAAAGTAGGGACCGTGCTGGAGCTGGGGGCGCATACCGAGGTGTGGACGCGACTTCCGCTGCCCCGAGATTAGGGCAAGATAAGCATCGGACGAGCGGGGGCTAACTTGTTCCTATATTGAAAGAGGATTAGTGTCTATAGGGCTTGGGCTAGGGTTAGGAGGTGGTCTACAGGGATATAACATGCGTATTTCTTTTGATGTAGGTTGCGATTCATTGTAGAGTTGAGTTGGCAATTGTCGGTGGAAGGCTGGCATAGTATAAGATGCGTGTAATATGATTTCAGAGGTTGTAAACTGCGGTCATAGAGGATGCAAGTGTTAGCATAAAACTATATGTATAGAATGATCACGTTGTTGGCCCCGAGATATACCTTACAAAGCGAGGTTTCTCTTTTGTGGACATGTTCTTCTTTACTTTGGAAACGCGTTCTATCTTGACAGGTGCCTGGGTCACATTATAAAAGAAGCCAAACCCTGAGTAGAATTGGCAGGGCTGTAGCTATGTAGAGTTTACATGTGGTATATTAGCAAAAAGGTATAATCATTCAATGGGTTCTAAAGGGATCGACCAGATTAAATATATACTTCTAGGTATATGGGCGAGGTCATTTTCAGTTGTAATCAAGTATATATCTCGCTCGATTTCATAGAAATTGCTACAATATGTACAATATAACACTATATAATACTTACAGGATGCTCACTTATTACTCAGCAACGCTGTTCAATCATCACTGAGCAACTGATGCACTCCCACGGCAGGTTACGCCTTTATTCCTTCAAGTGATATCCATGGATTTCTCCCAAGGACTTCATTGTCAGTAGCCTTGATAATCCTATCGAGCGGGTATATCCCAACCTGTTAAGGAGCTAGCTCAAAAAGTTAAGAAACGTTCAAGTTGCAAGGATCAAAGATAATCGGAAACATCCTGAATACGGCAGATCAAGAGTTGCATTGCCAACTGTGACGAAACCGATTCTCCAAACGCCATTCGTTCACAGCGACTGCTAGTGACCGTAAATGGAAGGATTTTTTTGCAAGAAGTGTAGGATGCATGAGCTTGAAATAGAGAAACGTAGGGACAATATGCGCCAGCCCTACTGTTGTAGGGGGCAGGAGATCAGGGGAACCTTGCTCGGACTGTTCGTCTCAACAAACGCAAGTGATTGAATTTGGGACCAACCACCATGGCAGTTTTCCAGAAGTAACCTTACACGTCATTTTAGAATTTGCCAACCCTTCCTTAACTTTGAGGGAACACTCCGATCCAGTTGGCCCTAGTTAAGAAGTCGCACAAGCTCTTAGGCCCTGATGAAGTGGAGTGACATGGGCGTATATGTATAGATCGATCCGGGTTAGCCCCATCAGCCACCAAAGTTAGTTTCCAAATGTGATTAGCCTCCAGATGCCCATGTGGTCTTGATATCTGGTTTCGTCAACCCTGGAGGTGTTAGAAGTATAGGAGTCGTCAATTCCTTAGCTAGGAAAGCAAATGGTAGATAGTACGACCAGTGAATACATAGTAAAGATACTGGCGTCCACGGGTGATTTTACAGATTGCCTACTTAGTATGTAAGTAAGGGATCAGGGTCCACCGTGGACCTGCTCTGTGCAAACGCTCCGATTCACCAATCAGGTAATATCAAGCATAGAGGTCAACCCGCTCTTTGGCCCTAATGATATCCCTCAAAATGAAATCGAAACAAAAAACCTTCACCTTGTTTTGTCTCCAACAGCCATGGATCATCAGTATCAATCAAACGGGCGGTTGTTCGCTCTCGCCATCCTCCAGGGACTCATTCCCTGCGTTGTCCTAATCACAACACCGAAACGGTCTGCTCTACGTTATCTCTCTATACCATGTATGATATGGATCGTGTCCCATATGATGTACCCTACTCGGACACAGGGATATACATCAACCAATCTCCTCGGAAGCTCTACAACCTTCGTCTTGACAGCCCTGGATCTTCTGCTGACCAACCCCCAAGCCGGGCGCGACTTCGTTGACGCCAATGGAAACACCAAGAGCTTCTCATCTCGTCTAGTCGAGGCTGCTCAGCTACTCACATACACGCGGGCAGTCAACACACCCCGACAAGTGAAGAACGTCCCGCCCTTCTCAGCATACTACACTAAGAGAGATCCGAAGGTGATACCGCGAGGTCGCTTCTTGGTTAGAGAAACTGCTATTGCTATCTGGCAGTTTCTAGCTCTAGATATATTTAGCGTATTGGCCTTGAGACAAGCCATGAATGACCGAGACGAAGAATGGCCAATGTCTTCTAGCCTCCAGTGGGATATCCCTGGGCGAGAGTGGATAGCACAGGCTATTCAGAGTCTCATTACTTGGCTCGTCGTTTCTCGTATCCTCCTCAGCTTCTACTACCGCGTCGCTTCGATCATTTTTGTGGGCCTGGGGGATTCTCCCTCGAACAGCCCGCCGCTTATTGGGAGAATGGCAGATATATATACACTACGGAATTTCTGGGGGTGAGTCGATCTTACATTTTTCGTGGTTAGATCTAATTTTCATGGTTCTTATAGAAAATTCTGGCATCAAATGCTACGACTGCCCCTCACGTCGACTAGCAACTTTCTGGCGCGGGATCTCCTCGGTCTTTCTAGATCGTCGTTCGTGGAACGATACACCAACGTGTTCATCGTTTTCTTTTTCTCCGGTTTGATCCACGTCGTACTCGATAGTTTGCGAAACGTTTCACCATGGGAATTTGGGACTATGTCATTTTTCCTCTCCTTTGTTGTCGGCTATATGATTGAAGACGGTATCCAGGCTCTCTGGAAACGAACGCGGGCCCAGAACAATATTGGCGTTCCAGCGTGGTGGCAAAGGACCCTTGGATTTTGTTGGGTCATCACATGGCTGGGGGTCACGTCTCCTTGGTATTTAAGGTCGGCGATGCTAAAGCCAGAAGAACAGATGGTCTTGGTTCCTTTCAGCGTTGCTGGGCTCATTAGCCTTCCTGTGTTGAAGAGTATAGTCATTGGCGGTGGTCTTGTGTTGAAGTTTGTATTCGAGGGAGAGATTTGACAGGAGATGGTGCGGGAAATTTCGACTCCAGTTAGACCTGTAAGTCGCAGAGTTTATCGATGGGTGTTTTCAGGAGATTGCATATAGCGAGCTTAGCTCCTTTTGTTCTGGCTGACAATCTCTGGGATCCCGTTAGCTGGGGTCACGGTCAATAAGGAGCCTAGCACGAGATAGAGTCTCTGACTTCTTGTCAACTGTAACAGGTGGCTCGTGAGCCTCCTTTTCAGCCAGTTTAGGCGCATTGTTGGCCATGTTGAGTTTGTGATACCGAAACTCCTGGGAGGTTTTGTGTGGAGACTGAATTACAAATGAAACATAACATGGAATCTATTATATTATTGCTATACGCAATACTATCCACAGGCCTGAAATATCTAAGAAGAAAATGGACAAGATCAGAAGAAAACAGACTGTTTTGACTGTAGCAGCCTTCCACAACAGGAAAAACAGCTACAAACGGCATCAGCTACCTACATATTAACCGTCTTAACAAACGTGCTCTCTCTTCGACAGTCACCACGCACAGATTTTTCAACACTTATCACGCGCTGCAATCCTAACAACTTACCTCTCTATTAGAGGTACACCACGTACACCACAAGTGCCTCACCTTTCCCCGCATTCTTCACGCGGTAAAATGTCTTCTCCCACTTCTAGCTTTGCAGAGCCCAATCTCTTAGAGCTCGTTCCAATCCTTACTGGCGAACCCAACTTCACATCGTGGTCAACCTCACCCTAACTACATCCGGCAACGTCTTTTACGACATGAATTCAACTCTATCCCGCCAACACCAAGTCAGCTAACGTCGTCATCACTCCGGCCACCTCCGGTCACCACCACCACCCCACTACAGCTAGCCCCACCCCATCGTGCGCTACAATAAAAAAAAAAAGAAACTCGAACCTCCGGCGGGGGTCGAACCCGCGACCTTGTGATTAACAACCAATATTTTGATAGCTATAATAATTAGTATAAGGAGTCTATTCGAGTGTTTTTCTGGGAACTCACAAGTCACACGCGCCACCAATTGCGCCACGGAGGCCAACTTGTTGGATAGTTGGCTGCAAATAATAATTTTAATTAGCAGACAAAAAAGCCTAAATGTTTTTATTTTCTACGGTCAAATAACTTATACCCGTGCCATGCGCCCAATACCCGGTGTTATTATTGCTGATCCTTTTACTCCGTACGGACACGGAGTAGGGCCAGCTCGGTAGTTCCAAGAATGTTGCAGACGTAGTAACATTCGGGGATGCACGGTATACCTTAATCGGAAGAGACTTGCCCTCTAAGCTCTAGGCATGCCTACTATCAGGGCATAATCGTGCGGCTCTATTGTGGAGCCGTGTCTGCTCTACATAGTGCAACGCCATTCAACACGCATGCGGTGAAACATTGACCTCAAATATCATTCATTGTACATCAAGTGGGAAAAAGAAAAAGAAAACTACTCGGAAATTTGGCCACCCCATTAAAACGTTGGAAAAACAGCAAGATCAGCGGGGTCTTTCCGTCCATACAGTCCAAACACCACCTGCAATTTCTTCAGCCAGGTATCCTGACTCAGAGCTAGCTTACCAATTCTGCGATTATGTTCTGACTGAAACAAGAAAATCGGGTTGACCACTCCCGGCTCGAGTATTTTGACCTCCCAATCGTCCAGCAATCCCTCTTCTTCGAGCAAGAACACTCTCAGGAGGTGAAGGACAAGCCTAGATGCCACAGGGATACCGTGGGTTTCAGCAGCAGCTTTCAACTTGGGATCAGTAATGATAGGTGACTGTGAAATTTGTCTTTTTCCATCCAAGTCAACTCCTCGTAAAATGTACTGCAGTCCTCGGATCATTCGTCGTCGGATGTCGCTGAGTTGTTGAAAGGAAGTTCCAGGCAGACACGCTTTGCAGTTGCAGACGAATCCCAGGTATGCCTGACGTTCATGTCTGGTGTTGGATTTAAGGTCTGGATGGTAACAGAAGTAGATCTCTTCGCCAGCGTCGATGTCCTTGGTGGCGTAAAGTTCGGTAACATCCGCTCGGGCGGTTGGACTCCTCGCGTTGGGTATACACGAATGATTGAATCGTGAGCAAAGAGGAAACAGCCCATGGGCTGGAGGCTCGTCCGCGCTGAAAGAGTTTTCGGCCAACATATTAAGCAGACTTGTAAATTGCTTCGAGTTTAGAAGTAGATTGAATTGCGTTCTTTCGTCGGGCGATAGTTGAAAAAAGGCATCAAAAATGCTGACTTCCATGACATCAGGAGATGAATCCTTCACAACGAGAAGGGCCCTTTCTTTCAAGATTAGGGATCCTCGTTCAATGCGTTTTGTGGCGAAAGCGCCCCATCCTTTGCCCGGCGAGGGCTTCAGCTCGAATGGTGCATCGCGAGGCAGTTGGAGATTGCGATAAGCTAAAGCGGACAGCAAGTTAGAAACACCCTCAAGCAACTAAAGAGGGTAACGTACGATGACTCGCAGACATGGTGTTATGTGGTGACGCGTGGTCTCATGATAGTGATGGAGATAGTAATGGAGATGAAGATGGAGATGGAGATGGAGATGGAGATGGAGATGGAGATGGAGATGGAGATGGGGAAGGTGAAGGTGAAGATGAGGGTGATGGGGAGGGATGGGGATGAGTGAAGAGGAAAAATAAAGGAAAGAGGTGTCCAATAAAAGAGACACGCGACTGGTTATCTTGAGGTCGAACAATCAAGTCGCATATGCAAAGGGTAAATAACATATGAGACTCAACTTGGGGTTGCGGAGTTGGGTAGATACTATGCATGCATAGAGGAGTTTACTCCCCCACATGTGCTCTTCGTTTGTCACGTCCCGAGTGGCCTGTATCTAGGTAGCCCTGGAGATACCAGACTGCTTGTCTTTCCCATGAGAGGCTAACCTATGTCCTGCCAATTTTTCTCTATATAAGGGGTGACGAACAATGGCTACTTGTATATACGATATGAGTTTGAAACGTGAGTTGGTTTATTGGCATGCAAGTACTATGTAGGCGAAAATAAGGGCTTTCACTTAGTGACCGTGAATCGAATCATACTAAGTCTGAAGAGCTTCAACATACAACACCAAGGTCCTGGTCGAAAGATCAGTAGAGATAACCGCTCCATATCCATACAAATACCCCAACCAATAGATAAACAATCAACGCCCAAACCGCTGCGTAATAGCATCACCAGGAGGAAACTCAGATGAGACAGTCGGAGTCCGAGAAATGCGTGGAAGTCGAGTACGATGCTGGGGAGCGGGATCTGGACCTTTGCCTAGTCAGAAGCACATTAGCCGTCATGCCTTGAAGACTGTAGTTCAGTACATACTATTTTGCCCATCCCAATTTGGCCGAGCAGGGGGCGGCATTGGGGCTTCGCGAGGTATCTTCGTCCTTGCCCTTTTGGAACTACCAGTGCCGCTTCGTTGGTACCGATGCAGCTGTTCAACTCCATCTGGGTTGACGGGAAACGTGGGAGTCTTCGGATTTCGTGTAAGTGGGGCAGAAGGCAGCGCTGGGACATCAGACCGAGTAATGGAGGTAGGAGCAGGGGCATTGAGCGATGAGAGAGCTTGGGAGACTGTGTCCGAGGCTGCGGTCTGCATTCTGGACCGCATGGCACGAGCTTTGAGGAGGTTGTAGAGATTGGTCATTTGAGCGAGTTTGTTGTTCTTGTCACGGTACATATCATTCAGTTCTTGATTTTTCTTTTGGAGGTCTTCTTGAGATGATTGCATGTCTGCAGTACGTTAGTCGGATCTCCAAGTAAGAGCAGACTCAATTGGACTAACCGGACAGCTTGTTCTGCAATGACAGGATCTCTGTGTTGGCATTGTGGATGACCTTGTCCATCTGCGTGCTCACGTTGGCATACTTGTCCGTAAGCGTCTTCGCTCGGTATTCCTGGTAGAATCTGCTCGAGTCAGACTTGGATAATCTTAGGGTGTGTTTTTATACCAAGGGAGTGAGACAGACATCTCCTGTGTGCTTTGATATGCCCAAAACGCAAGTGCGCGACCAGCACATTCCATGATTGTGTTTGGATCTAACCCACTCAACACGCTTGTTTTGTAGTCCTCCGTCGGATTCAAGATTGTCGAAACAGCGTCATCTGGATTGAGAAGTACCGTCTGACACGCAGGACAGAGCCGATTGCTGGTGGTTGGACGAGAGAGCCGGAGGCTCTCTGCGCATCCATGACAGAAGATGTGCCTGGAATCATCAGCCTTCCGCCTAAGCTGATCCACGAGGGAGCAACTTACGAACAGGTTGTCACCACTGCTTTCTCTTTCAATTCTGCCCGACATTTGAGGGAATTGCATCTTAGCGAAAAGTCCATGGTGTCGCTGGCGATGGGATGCGGAGAGGGCAAGAAGTGAAGGTCACGAGTTAGCCTTAGGGGATGTTATTAGTTTAGTCAACCTCAGGAGGAAATCTTGTAATGAAACAACAACTTGAACAGAGAACATTTGGTATTTGTCTATTATAGTGATTATTTTCATAAAATTTTCTGCGAGCTAGAAAAAGAATGTATTTCCCTGAGCATCGCGCCGTGTGGAAGTCATCTTCTCCTCAAACTCTTTGCCGGGCTCATACTCATGCCACAGACTGGCTGGGTATATATGCTTGTTTTTCTCATACCACCGTCGATCTACGACCTTGGTTTCTGAGAAATCTTTGTCTGCGCCCTCTAGTTGATCGTCACTAGGTTGGGACAGCGGATCATCGGTGGAATTGGTGGAATTGGTGGAATCGGCAACGGGGGGTTTGTTGGAATAATCAAACAGCAAACCGCCAGCTCGAGAGAGACTGGGCACTCGATTGGCGATGAAGTAGTAAAACTCGTAATGCTGTGTGAATATTAGATGAGATACTAGACCAGTGAAAATCAAAATCCCGGCGGGTAAGCTTACATGCGGAACAATAATATCGCCCTTGACAAGCATCAAGTCGTCGACACTGACTCGTGCCCACTCTCGGCGATTATCTTTCTTCGCCTTGGATGCACCGCTGGCACCACGTACGCCCATCTCAGCACCAACCTTCCGGCACCGATCCAAGAACAACCAAACATGGTCGCCCTTCTTGACTTTGACAGCTCCAGCTGGTATACTTGTTCCATCATAGAAGACGAATGGAATGAGAATATCGGTATTCTTCACAGCCTCCTGCATGATCAAGAACTCCTTGCGGAGAGTGTCGCGAGCCAGCGCTTCAGCTTCCAAGGATGCCTTTGTCAAAGCTTTGGGTGGAGGGGGTGCGTTCGGGTTCGCTTTCATGCGTCGTGTAGCACTATCCTCGGCGGGTGTTTTCGAACCTGACCGTGATACACTTGAGTCGCGTGGAGTTGCTGCGGATTCCTCCCCCTCGTCCTGGTCGTCGCCGAATGACAGCTTGCTTTTCGCAAAGGCCTTCTTTTTCTTCTTTTTCGGGGGACCGTCACTCCGGGGAGGCGTTGACCTGTTGCGCTGCGATCAGCTCAAATGAACGGAAAGAAAAATCGAGGCTCTTGGCTTACCCGTCAGTCACATCGCCTGCAGAGGGAGTTGCGCTTCTTGAATTACCAGATGCCAGTAGACCCAGAGACTTGTCATGCGCCTCGCGCTCTTTTGCCTCTAAAACATCCGCGCGCCGCTTGCGAAAGTCGGAGAGATGAACCAGACCGACGGTTTGCTCTTTGAGCATCTCCTCCGCGGAGACGGTCTGGCCGGCGAAGGACCGTGGAGTGGATGTGTTACTCTCCCCTTCTTCTGCCATGTTGAATTGCGAGATATTAATCTTAGATTTGACGACTGAAATGAGAGAACCGAGTTGGTCGGTGACGTCTGGTGGCCAGCACGTGACCCTGAATTTCCAGCGTTCTGGATATTGTACAACACCAGATTATAACAAGCCTTTACAGGTTCAAAATAACATTATATCAATTTTTTCACAGGTAAGCTACGCGATATTCAGTATTACATCAGAATCAAATATTCAAACGTGTAATGGTCGCCGTATACTATGTACTTTCAACTCTGAAACCGCCCAAAGGTACACCGCTGCAAACAAGACAAACCCGGTTCCCATGCGCGCAACCTTCGATCTCGATCCTCTTTAATACAACTTTCTGCAGCATTTACCCGTCGAATTGAAATTCAGAAACCATGGACGAAGAAGAAGACGACTTCTATGATCCCGTCGACGCGGTGCCGACAACACAATCCCTGAACCACACACAAAATGCAGCTCCAGGCCAACCGCAGGATAACAATTACATGGAAGACGACGATGAGGTAGAAGAGGAAGACGAAGATGATGTACGCACCGTGCTTGCACCTATCTGAAAATTTTCCTTACTAATTATATCTGCAGGATGACTTCAATATTATCACAGAGGCACCCGAAGGCGCACCAGCTCCCGAAGCGTGAGTTAGCTACCATCGCGCTCCCTGCACTCTTGCTGATCTTTCTAGCTCTCACCCGCGCCATGCAAGCTTACGACAAGAACCACAACGGCCGTCCTCCGCAGACTCGTCGGGGTTAACAACGTCTGCGACGCCTACCGCGACTCCTCGATACGAAACAGCGACTCCGATTCCCGGACACCCAGCTGCGGCCGCAAGACCCTCCTCAGAAAAGCCAGGCTCTGCCTACCCAGCCATTCACAGCTCCACCATCGACGTCAATGCAAACCCCATCCACCCTATGACAGGGAAGCCGATCATGTCCACGGACATGGACGCCGACTTCCCATCTGACGACAAACCCTGGCGTCGACCTGGGTCAGATCTCTCCGACTACTTCAACTACGGATTCGATGAGTTCACATGGGCCGGATACTGTCTCAAGCAACAAGGCGTGAGACAAGAAGTCGGCAGTCAGAAGAGACAGATGGACGATATGCAGGCCTTCATGGGCATGGGAATGCCCCCGATGCCTAGTGCACCAGGCCCCGCTGCTCCGGCTAGTGCTGCGCCGCCCATGGCTGGCATGCCCGGTATGCCGGATATGAACCCCGATATGATGCAGGGCATGCTAGCCAGCATGATGTCCCAGGGCTTGGACCCGTCTAATATGGATCCTATGGCTTTCATGCAGCACGCTCAGTCGATGATGCCCGGTGGTGGTCAGCAGGGTCAACCTGGCTTCGGGGGCCAGCCCCAGGGTCAAGGATTCAACCAAGGGGGTCAGGGTCAAATGGGCTATGGCGGATACGATCAACGTGGTGGAGGTTACGGGGGCCGAGGACGTGGCCGAAGATGGTAGTTTGATATGGGATTCGTATTACTGTGATGTAGCTTCGGGTTCGCCCTCGGAATAATGGGATCTCACGGCGTTTCATGCATACAAAGGGAATAGCAATGACAATGGACGATTTACAAGTTCAAGCTTCTTCCGCAGAATTAAAGCTGTAGACCGGGGAAGGAGTGTACAACATATACAACGTACCTAAAGTACCTAAACGGACAGCTATACCAGATATCTCAATAATAAAAAATAACAGTGAATACTTGAACGCCAACAGATAAAAGATTGTTATAAAATCCACAGGTAAATTAATCCCTTGAGAGAACGAGAGAAGGCTGTTCGGAAAGAAGCTCATGGTTCGGTCTTGGCATTCTGGAAATTTCTCCAGTCCAGATCTTCTTCCCCCGGACCAGTTCCATCTTCTTCCCTTCTCCATCCCCATCCTCAACCCATCTCCTCAGGAATCTCCTTCACCTTCACAATGGTACGTGGTCTATCCCGATTGATCCCACAATCCGAATATCCCTATTTCCCCAGCTCCCGGAGCGTGCTACCAGCACCTCCACGCCCAACTTTTCATCCTCCAAGCCGAGCCCGGATAGCCGAAAACCCGCGCAGCGCGCGCGATTCCCAATTCAATTCGGTTGCCTCATTGAGAAACACAATCACTAACTCAACCCCATTTACAGTCTGTCCTCCGCAACATCAAGTCCCTCGCCCCCCTCCTGGACCGCGTCCTGGTCCAGCGCATCAAGCCTGAGGCCAAGACTGCCTCCGGTATCTTCCTCCCCGAGGCTGCCGTCAAGGAGCAGAACGAGGCTCAGGTCCTCGCCGTTGGCCCCGGTCTCCTTGACCGCGACGGCAAGCGTCTCCCCATGGGTGTCAACGCCGGTGACAAGGTCCTCATCCCCCAGGTATGTGGTCCCAACAATCCCTCGCGAATACACGGAACAATATGTACTAACGTGTCTCTGTTCAGTTCGGTGGTAACGCCATCAAGGTCGGTGAGGAGGAGTACACCCTCTTCCGTGATCACGAGTATGTTTATTTCCTTCCCCCTGTGTTTTCGCCGACAACCATGAACAACAACTAACAACCCCACTAGTATCCTGGCCAAGATCAAGGAGTAAATTAGTCTCCAAGACAATATTCTTATATGATTTTGTTTCGCCGCCATCTAACCTCCCTCTGTCATGTCGACACCAATCTCCGTTTTGCTGTAAATCGCGACGGGGATATTGGAAGACCCCTGACGTGTATCATACGCGACGTCACGAGCTCGACCTTTCTCAACGATCTCAAGAACACCGACCAAGGAAAAAAAACAAAAAATAATAGCGAATAAGGATGCTCTCACTGGGTGATATTTGACATTTGATTGTTTAGGTATCATGTCTGTTGTGGCTCCTATTTTGGCCTGTCTTTCTATTTTGCATGCATGAGTTTTTGAAGCGCTGGATTGGCCTTAGGTCTTGCATGTCTTCGTCCACTGTACTTTTAAATTAAATGCGACTTGCCTTCTCCTGGTGCTTATGCTGGGGTGGGTAGTCGGTAATTGCAGACTTGATCATCTCCTCTCCATTTTCTCTGGCATATTGTCCAAATTCTTTATTGGGTGCCATTGGTAAGCGTTTTCTAGATACATGTATCTTCAAGGTCCATGGTCAAGTGTACAGTAGAGGTAACATTCTGATAGACTGAATCTGATTATCAATACTGATTCTTGACACGCAACAGTTGATATCTGCATCTTCCTGCCCATCATGCTAATGATGACAGCCCGTGGCCCCAGACAACTATTCAAAGCTGATCTGAGTACCATGAGTATCATCACTGTCAGTCTCATCCCCATTGATCGAGTACCCCATTAATTCGATCACTTCCGACACCTTGCTAATCAACTCGTCGCCAATAACATACCCGTATTCAAAATTCCGCTCGAAGGACTCCATGGTTATGAACACATCGAAAGCCCTTGAATCTGAGCTGGCGTTGGCAACTATCTCATGAGAGGGTGGAGATGGATGGACACTAGGATATGGGTTGAAACGACTAACGCGAATTTTATCTAAGATAAAGCGCGCCGCGAAAGGATTAATTCCCAGGTCGCGGAGTGCGACTTCATATTCTGACTCCCCTTCCGTGATGTTTTCCATCATGCCAGGGCGAAACAATTCGTATCGAAGCCTTCCCATACCGAAACACCACAATGCAATGTATGACGAGTGGTTCGGGATCGGTATCAGTAATGTTGTGGACAATCCCTTGTAGGTGTCACAAAATTGAGAGAGCAAGTTGCTTTCCCTTATCAGGGAGTCATTCGCAACTCTGCTGACGTCTGCTCCGCCAGGTTTGCAGATGAGAACAACTAGAAGCGCATATCGATGCATGAGGCAGAAAATCTTTTCTCTGAGCGGGGAATCAATTCCCTGGATTCCATTGAGCCTTGCATCCCTTGGACCATGCCCTGGAAGATACCGCTGTGTCAGCTCATGAGGGGTCGTCAGAATAAGCCCAGTATCAGGTGCCAGAATGATTTCTGCATCGTAGTGATATCGGGAATCTGAGTAAGCATCCCCATACTCCCGATAGATCAATTTGGGTGGATTATCTGGCCACCTCTCCATATCTCGTACGACCAACGGGTGGGTTGTCAGGAGGGTGGTAGACAGGAACAATATCGGCGGCGGGTTGAATGCCGATCGGGTCACCCTTTCCTGCATGGAGAAGGCAGGGCTCGGCGAACGAGAGGTATCCGAAGGGTTCTCATCAGGGTCTGGGGAACTGTCACCCAAGAGTGAAGGGACATTTGAAAACTCGCCTTGTCCACTTCTCGTGGATGCTGCCAGGGAAAGGGATGATGGATCATGCGGCGAGGTAGCATATCCTCCGTCACTACCTCTGGTTTGCATAAACAGGGATAGAGATCCGAGGCCACCAAACGCTTTGTTGGATGATTTCGGGGTCTCTGTATAATCTACGGGAGAAACATCATGTGGAGGCTTGAAAGGGTCTTTCCTCAATCCTGTGGAATGCGACTTGTAGCCCAGTTTCATGCGAAACAGCTCCTGCTGAGCGACGCAAGAGTCTCTCTTGTCCACGGATGAGGAAGTATGTGCTGCCATAGTATTGAGGTTTTTCTCGCAAGGAGTTCTGAAGGAAACATGGTTATCGTTTGCATTTTGCGGATCTCGTGCTAGCTGAGTGACATTCTGACCATTTGCTGGCCGAGTTATTGAGGGACTCGAACATGTACCCTTTGACGCAACAAGTGTATCTTCATGAAGCGTACTGAGAGTAGCGGCCACGATTCCCTTCTGTCCATAAGGTATTCCAGTATCCGCCACAGGCTCCAAAGAAGCTTTCGTTCCTTTCTTTCCCTTCAGAGCTCTGGGTGCTTGCGCTTTTTGGCTGCCAACCCTGCCAATGGAGAATCCTTTTTCTTTGGTCAGACTAGGAGAAAAAACAGTGGTGGGCTGCGATTTGTTGTATGGACTGACTTCGAATGTAGGTGCGGACATGTTGTCATCGAAAACAAATGCACTGAATTCACTTTCGGTGGGATGCTTGTCTTGGTTAGCTAGTCCTTGCATCAATAATTATTTGTCGAGTACTCACCTCAGAGCTCAGTACGCTCGAAGCGTAAGTCTCGCTCTCTTGATCATGAATAGAGGGAACAGGGTCAGACTCAATACTGACAAACTGATGCACGGTCCCCGATGGATCCACGATGGGGGGCAAGGCATCTCCTGCAAGATGGGATGTCGTAGTAATATTCGAGGACTCGACAGGCACATTGCCAAGCGCAGTAAAACCGTCAACACTGTTTGACTGGGACATGGACATGCTGGACTCGTAGTAATCAAAGACATCACGCGTATTCATAGGAACAACAGGGACATCAGGGCCACTAGGAACGACCAGATGAACCGAAGGGGTAGGCGAAGATGGAACTGGACTCTGAGCGAAGGTGGAATGGAACTCGGACGAAGTGACCATTCTCTCATCCATGGTTGTGAGGAGAAGAGCCTCGCCTTTATGATCAGATGTTGTCACTTCAGGCAGGATACCACGCCAGATATTTCCCTTGACAGAGTCGAGCTGGAGACATCCGCTCAGCACCTTCATATCCTCGGGCTCAGTTGGGAGCTTCTCCATCATGAGGTCAGTGCAGAAGCGTCGGTCGATTTCTTTGAGGCGTTCTTCTGGGTGTTCGGGGTCGAGACCCTCAACAGGGGGAATGGGAGTTTTTGGCTCACATTTGTCGTCTGCATAATTAATTGGACAATATCGAGTGGAATCCTCTGCGATATTGTAGAATCTGGCGTACTGGAGAAGAGTTGGTTGGTTGGAAGCCATTTTGTCGCAAAGAAGGGGAGAAAGAGACCGTGACGAGAAGAGTTTGTTTACGAGGGAGAGAACCCGTGGACGTGCCGAAGAAATGGGGGAAGTTGGGTTGTGAACTGGGAAGGTGCGAGGGACGACAAACAGTCCCAATTAGGCAGGCACGAGCTTTAGGGTAAACACAGCTACAGGGGAGAAACTTGTCTAAACAGGCACATGTAATGAAAGAAAGAAAAGAATGATAATATTTCGCTGATTGTGATATGTCGCTAACTGCTATGAGAGAAAGAATAAACTCCAATTACCATGAACCTTTCGCAGCCAACCTAGTCGTTATAGTTCGACTGGCGAGCCCCATTTTTGTTGACAGCCGGCAGTCCATACAAAGCATTGAATTCATCCTCCTGGGATTTGCCAGACTCTTCAAGCACAGGCTTCTCGGCATGGACCGCAACGCGCACAGCATGGCGGCGGTGCGGCGTAAAGCCATAGGAAGCACTGTGGTTGGTAGACCTGTTATCCCAGAGCGCGACATCATCCTCACCCCATGAGAAGCGGGCATGCATCTCTTGGGTCGTGGCGATCACATCAGTCAGGAACCGGATGATAGCGTCGCTTTCAGCGGCCGGGATACCGATGATCTTCTTCACGAAGCCAGGGTTGAAGAACAGTCCGTTCCAGCCGGTGACTGGGTTCGTCCGAATAAGTGGGTGTTCGGTAGTGACGGGGTCCCGACGCACTGGCCGGCCTAGTGCCCGGGAGTCGTTGGCTTGCATGTCGGCTGAGTGGATGGCTGTGAGGCCTTTAAGATAGTTTTGCATGTGAGAGGAGAGCACGTCGTAAGCGGCGTATTGCGAGGACCAAAGAGTGTCGCCACCGCCTCCGCGGGGTGGCCCGGAGAGAAGCTTAAGTGATGTGTAGGATGGTGGCTGGATTTCATAGGTCACGTCTGAGTGCCATAAGAAACTGGGTGTGAAGAGGGCACGGTTGTCGCCGGAGTTATCGCCAGTGTAGACGACATGGACATCCTCGAGACCTGGCTTTTGGGGAACGGATGTGGTGGCGTGCTATATATTGTTAGTATGTATACTTTTATATATAGCTCCAGTCAGATGTCCTACCTTGTGCAGCTTGCCCCAATATTGGCCCAATTGACGTTGAGCCTCGATATCGAAGTTCTTCTGGGAACGGAAAAAGACAACGCCTCGGTATGCAATCAACCGGGCAAGGTCATCCCGCTGTGAATCATCAAGCTTTGAGAGATCAACACCATGAACTTCAGTTCCAATCTTAGGGTTGTGGTCGAAAACGGCTGTGGCATCCCTCAGAAGGTTGCGGAACTTTGGGTCTCCTCGCAGTCCCTTGTCCTGGTAGGGAGTGTACTCAAGCGGGGCCCAATGGACGTCCGGAAATGAGGGCAAAAAGTCTTCGTGTGCATAGTTGTCGTGTTGAGTGACTGGTGTCCGGCCAGGCTGATATCCAAATTTGTTGTCGCCAGCGAGGTCCTCCGCTCTGACGGGGACGGTGAACTTGGCCACAGTTGGGGCCACGGTGACCACGGGCTCTTCCAATGATGGCGCCATCTCCAATCCAAGTGACGATGTATGTAAAAATGAATGCAGATGAAAATGTGAAATGCGGATGATGGAGCGAGATTATTATCAAAGTATAATTGGAACTAAGTTTGGATAGAGGGAAGAACCGACTTATATAGATACAAGCTAGGGAGACAAATCAAGCATGCAATTGATGTGGACCAAGTGAGTCAACCCCAGATAACGCCATTCTGGAATGATTACGGATCTCGCATGCCCCGGAGTTCATGGAAATGGCGCAATTTCCCAGATGAATCACCTCAGGCGAACACAATGGAGAAACTGGGCACGAAATAATTGGTTCTAAATGGATGTTGTATTTTGAGAGAGACCCGCTCTTTCTCCCTAGAATATTCAAGGTGATCACGCAATTTTGCTGACGTTGATGGCGAAATTTGCCATCTTCATCAAATGAACATGGAAAACGGCCGCTCAGTCGATATACTAGCTCTCACCGCTGTTTCAGATGAGCTATCTCGAAGTCAAGATCTTTGAATGCGTGGTGAATAAGGATAGAAGCGTTCATATACATCGTGCAGAAGAGTGGAGGTCGAGATTAGGAATGGCGCTAAGGAGGCGATCACGCAAGAGTGGCGGGTTTTTGCGACGGGTTACTCATCAGCCTCACTGGTCCCCGGGCCCCATGCCTACATAGTGGTACACAACTCATGCAATTACTACAATGTACATAGTCTGTTAGTTATGCAATATAGAGCTTGAATACATTGGATTGGCTCAAAAGAATTTGACTTTTGGAATGATCTAAGCCTAGGTGATCTAGCTTGTCTAGCTTGTTCTTATTTTACGACGTATGGCTATATATTCGGTCTACAATTAGGGCTCGGAGTAATGAGAGTTCGGAGTTAACAGATAAACTGCTGGATGTCATGTTTCGCATGCTGAAGATCAGCTCCCATAAAAATACAGACCAAACTCGCTAGATTCTTCTATCTATCCCAGATGAAGCCGGCCATCACCAAGAGACTGCTGCCCAATCGACAAATCTTGTACTTGTTCCGACACATTGCTCAGACGAGTGGCAACACCCATGATGCCAGCCTCGACATCTGAGAGAACACCGGAAAGTTCGTTGATGGTGGACCGGGGTGTCCCTGCAGCTCCCTCACGAGACTTGGAGCTCACAAAGTCGCTGATTTGGCGGTTGAGCGTAGCTTCGACACCGTGAAGATGGTCCTCGATCTCTTTGAGGTTGCCGGTATATCTTGTAAGAACTTCTTTCATCTCCTTCGAGCGATGAGAGAAGTAATCAACCAGATTGACGGGGACTCCATTGACGTCAGTAGACGCGTCACCCTCAACGCCGTCGGGAAGAGCAAGTGTATTTTTGCGACTCGAGCGCATAGATCGCTCCGGAATCTGTTGATCCTGCACAGACCACCACCCACCACTAGTTGACTGGTATTGTAGAGGGAGCTTCAGCGTATCAATGGCTCGGAAGGCAACTTGAGCCTCGGCCGCATCCCGTGTGACAAGGCTGCGCAGCCCATCAATGTCACTGGCATCGTTCTCAAGCGCGTGTTGCATGGTTTCAAGTTTGCCTTGTACAAATTCGACATCGTTAGGAATTGTGGCACCCTGCTTCTCGATAGTCGGGAGCAGATCCCCGACCTCATGGCACATCTTCATCTGGTTCAGGATGTGCTTGTCGATAGCCTCGATTTGGCTACGGATCTCATCGGCGCAGCTCTCGAATTTTGTGGTTGGTAGGAGATTGCTGACGTCAACTTTCACACCCGGGATCACCGTGCTGGTAGCAGTGCTCTGTTGGAGTGGTTGTGTGGTCTGTGCGGGCGCTGGCTGGCCGAAGAGAGAGAGGGTAGGCTTTTGAGGTTGTTGTTGTTGGGCTGTGCTCTGGCCGCCACCACTGTAAATTATTAGAATATAAGCCATGAGACGGGACGAGCAAAAGCGCGGCCACTTACAACATGCCCCCCGTGGCTCCTCCTGTTAATCCCCCAGCAAGCCCACTGCCGACACCAGCGGCTCCGAGTCCACCGAGTCCAGCAAATGCTGGCTTTGCTTGAGTTTGAGCTGTAGACGCACCACCGCCGAAAAGAGTGCTGCCACCCAAGCCACCACCCGTTGTTCCTTGAGTCGTGCCGGTGCCAGCGCCAGCAGTTGACCCACCGAACATATTGCCTGTCCCAGAAGGCTGTGTGGTTGTATTTGCGCCTCCGAAAAGGTTGCTGCCGGTCGCACCGCTCTGCTGTTGACCTCCAAACATGTTGGATCCGGTCGGTTGTGCTTGTGGTGTGGTTCCTGCAGCCGGGGCGCCGAACAAGCCTCCTGCTGGTTTAGGTGCTGTCGAGCTCGCGGCGTTCCCGAAGAGACTGCTGGTATTAGTTGCACCGGGAGTAGCTGTGGATGTGGCCGTGTTGCCGCCGCTGTTGATGGGAGGTTCCGGTTAGCTTTTTTTTTCTGCCTGAGACCACCGTGACCCTAGCCTGCGAGCCGGGAATAACCAGGGATTGGGGAGGAAACGATGCGAATCAGAGCAAGGGGTCAGGCGATAGGTCTGATAGGTATAATCAGAGACAAAGAAATATGGATGGGAGCACTAACAACAAAGAACTGGTGGAGTTTGTGTTGAGAGAAAGCCCGCCTGTGGCAGGCGCCGCTGCCTTTGGAGCAAACATAGCTGAGAATGTGATAATAGGCTTCAAATGCTTGAATGAAAATGGAACCTGTCAATGGGCCCCCTCAATGGGAACAAAGCTGCGCAGATGCGATTTGCGGAATGCGCGAAGCTTCTCGGTACTTTGTTTATCCGACCCGGCCTTTTCCCTAGCTTGGAAAGGACCGTTTACTCATCCCTATACATATACAGCCCCGAAGTCTCAGCTCATTAAAATCGAACCCATTTTTTTGTAAACCATTGTAATTTAGAAAAATCTGGCCCCGGGGACCTCCTAGCACGATTTGCTTAAATAATACCATAGTTACCTAAGCCCTGGAGAGCGCCAAGACTAGCTAATTAGGCTAGTACCCAGTTGGACTTTTTAGATGTCTGTTTTCTGATATTTTCTCCCCCTTATCAGTTTGTTAGCTAGACGGCAGAAAAAGGCGGGGAAAATACTTTATATAAGAGACTTTTCTATATATAACCTTTTATTTGCTCTCCGTCGATCCTTCGACTTTAATGAGGTGTGATATGTCCACGGGTAATAAGGATACAGAAGTTCCATCCACTTCATATTCTGCCCTATATACCCGCCTTACCATGCGTATTCTTACCTAGATATTTCTGCCCGTCTAATCAAATCCACCTTATTCACCGCTTTCTTATAGTTTATTAACTATACTATCTTTTAACTTAATCGTTATGGCTGATGAGAATGCCAAAGAGTGGGCGCCAGTATGCGTGGCATCAACAAAACGACAAAGTGGGAGAGACTTATCACCAATTGATCAATCGCGACTCTCTTCAACTTCACTGTCAACAGTCCAAAGTGAGCCTGGAGCAACCTCCGGTGATGAACCCGCAGATCAAAACACCGACCTCGGCTATTTCAAGAGTGCAGAATGGTAAGCCTAGTACATCGACCCATGATCAATCTTTACTGACCTTATGGTGCACAGGAGCCCAGACGGAACGACTCTGCTGACAGATTCAGCGGATCATTCTATCAGAACATGGATCTTGTAAGTCGGCGCGTCATCCTTGCCATTGATTCTTTCGCTCACGCAGTCAGGCCACCGGATCTACTTGAGGACAAGCCCATGCACCAAATATCCCCATACTCAACTCTGCCCTCAGTGGAGCCGACTTATGCTACCGCAATCTATCCCTTCTACAACCTTCAAGATCCATCCACTACGCTATTCCTCTCATCTGTTCGTGATCATCCAATTCGGCTATCATCAGCTCTGGCTCCTACATCAGTGGCGAGCTACTCCCTGGTAAATCCAATGACAGAAGCATTCATAACACCGCACTCGATGATCTACCCATCCACGATGGGTGGGACCCACTTCCTCACAGGCTCAGATAGTCTGATCTGTCTCTTCGACGTGTCCCGAACAGGAGCACAAGGTCCAATCTCCTCAATGCCGACTATCCCCAGCAAACGTAAGCAGATCGTCGGCGGCGGTATCGGCATGAAAGGCATTGTTTCAGCCCTGGCTTTGAACCCCAGCGGGGACGGTATCCTTGCTGCAGGCACTTTCACCAGACACGTCGGACTGTACAGCTCCAATGGCTCGGGTGAGCTCCTTGGGACTTTCAGTGTGGCAAAGACCAACGCAAACCGTGATATCGGGGGCCGCGGAGTCACACAGCTTGTCTGGAGCCCATGTGGCAGGTATCTGTATGTCGCCGAGCGAAAGAGTGATGGCATTTTGGTTTATGATGTGCGGGTCACGGGGCAACTGCTTGGGCACTTGCGCGGGCGCAAGGCTCATACGAATCAACGCATGAAAATTGATGTTGTTCCCTCTGGTCCTGGTGGCTCTCATGAGATTTGGGCTGGCGGTACCGATGGGTTTATGAGGGTTTGGAGGAGTCCGGAGCACTGTGCAGGTGGGAAGGAGCCCGATTGGGAGTTTAAAGTGCATGATGGTAAGTCCTTTGACAATCCCCAAGATGCTCAGTACTGATGTATGACAGATGCCGTGACGAGTACAATGTTTCACCCCATGGGAAGTGTTGTCGCAACCTGCTCTGGGCAGCGACATTTTGTTTCAAATGATTCCTCTGATGAAGACATTCCAGCGAAGAACACCGAGCAGGCCGATAACAGCCTCAAGGTATGGTCGATGCCATTTCTGTTGTCAGAATCCGAGACAACCCATGACTTAGACCCCGCAGGTTGAGGTGCAAAAGGAAAATAGACCTCATTGTGCTGTTTCCTTGGTATGGGAATGAGATCAAGTGCCAATTGAACAAGTCATCCGATGGAGGACCCAGTGGCACACCCTGGAATGCGCGAGAGATGGCCACAAAGAAATATCATTACAAGTGCTACCGCGGTTGTCTCTAATCTTCTCTCTGCCACTCCAAAAGAAGGCTTTATCAAAGTCAGAGTCTCTGGTGAGACTGTCGTGGAATGAGTTCCTTGCCCCTTGACAGTCAGAACCGAAATGTCTTGGGGCAGTAGGTCTCATTACCCAAAAGGATTGAATCAATCCATGGATGATATACACCTGTTGTACTGACGACCATATGTATTTCATCCAACCCGCGAACCTGTCCAGAAAAGCGTTGTAGTTATCCAGAAACCAACAGGCCGTTAAATCACTGCGTGAATGTAAATTACTTTTTTACGCTAGACGCTCTACTCGCTCTCATGTAACGTGTATTGACATCCGAAAATCAAACCCAATTATGTACTATGTACTGCCTCAGAAAACCAGACCAAGTCTTCAGGGAATCCGAATGCCGTACTTCGCATATGGGAAGTCTTCCAAAGTGGAATAGAGCTGGCCAAACCCATCACCGATCTTGCCAGGCGTTCCAGACCCCTGCAAACGCCACGCCTGAAGCTCCTCTGCCTCTTTCTCAGCATCGGTCTTCTCCTCCTCCTTATGCGAACCCGTGGCTCCAGCGAGAACTTCCTCCTCACGGCCCTTGAAGGCTCCTAGGAGACCCGGGTGAGGGCACCAGGCAACCTGCATGCCCGCACGACGACCAGCCTCGACTCCCGGAACCGCATCTTCAAACACAAGGCACTCCTCCGGCTTGATCTCCGTCTTCCCCTGGCTGCGCAGCTCGTTGTTGATGGTCTCTAGAGCAAGCAGGTAGATATCAGGAAGCGGCTTGCCTCGGCCCTTACCAATGCGCGGATCATCACCAAGAACCTTGTTAGGTTCGGGGAAAGCTTTGAACAGCTCGGTCAGATGATCGGTCTTTAATTTGTAGTTGCCTCTGTGTGATGATGTTGCTAGCGCGATGTACACAGGCTCGTCGCTTGACTGCGTTGACACAAGGTTGGACAACAGAGTCGGCACACCGGGGAGCGGCTGTGACTTTGGGAAGTAGTGTCGCTGACGAGATAATTGCTCCTCCTTCAGCTCCTCATCGCTGATGGGGAGCTGGGCAAAGTCGTTGAAGATCTTGCCGGCCTAAATATAGCATCAGTACACAGATACAGAACGATGTATAGTGTGAGACGAACCTCCGGCTGGGGCCGACCCTGCAGCTGCGCCTTGATTGACCAAGGAAGGATGGGTCTGCCGTACTTCTGGAGGATTTCATTCGTGATTATAGAGTACAAATCCTCTGAGTCAATCAACAAGCCGTCCATGTCGAAGAGACATGCTCGGATGCGGGGAAGGCTATCAACCGAGTCAATTGATGTTCAGGTGCAATCACTATCTGCGACCCACGTTTTACTCACTCATTAATGGAACCCATGGCTGTACAGTCTGTTTACCGGTGTCAGAGTGGGATGTTGACAAGGCGTTCGATAAGACGCGGGGAATAACCGTTATCAGTCCTATCAGTCCCGTGATTGAACCCTTGGCAACATCCGATGTTCTTAGCCGACGACGACCTTCTCACAAAATGAGCAACTCTTCTAATGCGCCCGAACGCGACGGGAAAGGTACTCCCATTGATGCCGATGACAGTGGCGACGAGGATGTCTTCCACGATGCCCACTTCCCCGCCGAAGAAGAAGCCGTGAGTTGTACCGGTGATCAAGCTCACGACCGGAGCCGAATGTTGACATCTCCCTTGCGATAGCAACTCCTGAAGGAAGCCCACGAAATCAAATCCGAGGCAAATCAGCTATTTCTCGCGACAAGCTATGACCAAGCCATCTCCTGCTACGATCGAGCTCTTGCTTCCTGCCCGAGCTACCTTGACTACGATGTCGCCATAATCCACAGTAATATCGCTGCTTGCCACCTGAAATTGGAAGATTGGAAGGCCGCAGTAGACTCCGCAACCGTCTCCATCGAACGCCTGAGCAAGATTATCCCACCGACCCCACAGGACAAGGGCGACGAGACGACTGGGAAACAAATACCGGAATCCGACAAAACACACACAGACGCAGTGGTCGAACTATCCGGAGATGACGAGGAAGCTGAGTTGAAGGAATTACAAAGATTGCAAGAACAGGATGAGCAAAGGAGCAAGGTGATGCGACTTCGAGCCAAAGTCCTCATGAGACGCGCAAAGGCGAAGACCCAAATCGGTGGCTGGGGTAGTCTGCAAGGTGCTGCAGAGGACTACCAGGCCCTTGCTGAAATCGAAAACCTTCCCGCAGATGATAAAAGAGTTGTACAACGCGCATTGCGGGAACTCCCTGAGCGCATCAATCAGGCGCGGGAGAAGGAGATGGGCGATATGATGGGCAAGCTGAAGGATGTGAGTACTTCTTCTCTGATAATATCCATTTCAGGATTACAGAGCAATACTGATATTGGACAGCTCGGAAATGGGATCTTGAGCCCATTTGGTCTGTCGACGGACAACTTCAAGTTCGTCCAGGACCCGAAGACGGGTGGCTATAATATGAACTTCCAATCTTGATCATACTTAGCAAATCAGACACGATGGCATCGTCTGTTCTTCGTACGCTGGGCACATGAGAGCCCTGAAATGGATTTATTTCCCAGCATCATATGCATACCTGGCAGGAAGCCATGAAGGCGTTCTGACTTTTGCACACTCTTTGTTTTATTTCAACAATGCATATTTTGATAGTTGAACGGTTCCAGTCCCTTGATTATGGAGCATGGGAGGTTCCATGTCCAAGAGTACGGAAGTACCCTGGCGATCCCCTTGGTGGGAAATCGCTTCTCCGTTGAAGTCTGAACTGTTCTCCCAGACAACATAACGAGGTAATACATAGTGGCAGCGGATGTTATCACTGAATAAACATCGGATCACTTCGCTGCCCCTTTGGGGTCTTAAACACATGTTTACACCCCGAGAATCTCCCACATCCCCTAGTCTGCTTTGAGGCTACCGTTCTCGCAGTCATATAGTTAGTAGAAGGATCCGCATGTTGATGATTAGCCGAGGCTATATTCTTTGACCGCAAAGTGACGTATTCATGTTCTGGAGTCATGAAACATGTCTAGCAATATCTTTGTAAATAGAAACATAGGAGTGCGGTTGCCTTTGACCTCAGACAAGAATAAAATCTACCTTGTTAAGCCGCTGCATGACACGGTGAAACCCCCAACCCATTCGATCTTAAAAGCGCAGCTTTCGCACCCAAATATTATTCCGAACAACACAACCTTGTACATCACCAACCATGGCTCTCAAAGTCTTCACCACTGAATCGATCGGTGCGCAGAGAAACCACATTGCCATCTACATCGAAACCGATCCAAGCGAGGACAGGGGCTGGCTGCACCATGTCACCGGAACGATCCTGAACGGCATGGATTACACACCCAGGCCAACACCTAACCCGGAGGTGCTGCCAGAACATGTGCCAGACTCAAAGAAGCAGATCGGGACCATTGAGGAGGAAGATCTGGAGAGGTTCCGGGAGGAATGTTGTCTGGCAGTTCTTCCACCCCGGGCTCAGGTCACGCTCAAGGGAACCCGACTGTATCCTGATACTCCGCTCTACCGATGCACGGAATGGCTGAAGGATGTTGAGGAGATGGCTGTCAGGAAGGGGATCTTTAAGCCTTTGTGATGGGTTAGTTATTTCTTTGTTTTATGGCCGTCTGAGAGATAATATGATACTAACCCAACAAGTAGTCTGTGGTTCCATACACGCCATATCTGACGTTGGGATTAGAGTTTGGGCTCCTATATGGGTCTCTAGATAGCATTGAAATCAATTATTCTGGTCGGTAGTTATCTGTCTTGTGCGACCATTCTTCAAAATATCATGTAGATGGGCAACACAATATACATCAGGCTACAAAATCCCACCCATTCTTCCCCGGGCACACAAATCACTTTGAAAAAGCCCATCCAAGAAGGTCAAAGACATCCACAACTGTCTGCCATGCCATTCAACGTCTATGTCACCCGAGAAGATGGACGCTAGGACTTGGTATTTTATATTGAGCTTGATTCAACCACCAAGGAAGGGACGGTAGAGAGTAACGGGTGGACACACTCCTTTGAGAGCGAGCAGAAAGGCGGGAATTAATACACAGCTCAACTCAACCGCACCCCCAGGTCCAATCCTATAGGAAACATTATCGCGACTATCGAGGAGGCAGATTTGCCAAAGTTTCATGAATTATGCTTTGCAGCGACTGAACCACTGCCGCAGCAAAGGCATCTAAACCGCCTGGGCCTTCGCGCCATGATGCCTGCGCGATGGAAGCAAGAACCAAGGGAGTGGTTGCTGTTGATTTGGGATAGGGCCTTTGAAGAGGGGATATTCAAGCCTCTTGACGTCTAGATATCCGGCCATCCCATGGACCGTAATTGATCCCGCTCCTTGTGAAGGTGCTGGGGTGTGGGTAGACAATTGATTCGGTTAGAAATGGACCAGAAGACATCAATTGACGCAATCTCAAAAGCATTTTGGCTATTGCAAAGCTGTCATCCCTTGATAAACTCCATTGTAACCCTCAACCTTCTCACTCATCTGGTGGAACACAAACTGCGCCAGACGCGCAGCTGGATACAGCCGCAACCCCGTGGGATTGACGACCTGCATTAATGCCCCGACAGCCCCCTCATACCCACTATCCATAACACCAGCATGTATCGTCACCCCGGACCTAAATAATGAGCTGCGAACGAAAATCTCGCCCATCAGGTCCAGAGGAACGGAGACGGTCTCGTTGAATTCCACAAGGTAAGAACCCTGCGGGAGATCTAAATATGGGTTTGTATTTTGCTTTGATGAGGGAAAATGTATCTCTTCAGTCGAGGCCGGCTGCCGGAGTTGATTATCCAAGTCGATTATTCCGGGCGACGTCCATTTGAGAACGCGCTTTAGTGTGAGGTCTACACCGCAGGGCTGGGCCTGCAGTGTGGGATATTTGACATTGCGGATGATGGAGCGGGTGATGAGAGAGCGCCCAGGGAGGATCATTTTCAATAGGCGTCAGAGTCTGGTCTCGGCCTGGTCTCCTATGATCTCTGATTCTGTACATATCGGAGGAGTGCCAATACTAATTGCTGTGATGGAAAGGGGGAAGAACAAACAGGGCAAACATCAAACCAAGCAAACAGATAGCCTCCAGGGCTGCTTCGTACGATGGACGTCACTGGCTACTTGCCCAGGTACGTACCTAGGCACAACTATAGGACCCCAAAATGATGAGCTTATCAAACCGAGGAAGCCGAAGGGCCGACAGAGCAGGAAGCCTTTGAAGTCTCCCAAGTTTAAGATTTGACCAATCAGAACACAACGCCGAGATATAATGCGGGGTCCCACACTTTGGTACGGAACACGTATGGAGCCCTCAGTGCCGAGTCTGGCTTCCGAAAGTACTGTGTATCTGAGTACATTGTACTTCTATTTAACGTCGCCATTTTTGGTCAATTGACTCGATATCTCTTTGAAATCAAGTTCAGTGCAATTGATACTATACCCAAAATGCCAACAATTTACCGTTCCCCATATCCAGATCTGGATATCAAATCAGTGGATTTGGTCTCTTACTTGTTCTCTAATCCTTTCAACGCACCCCTGGACCGTCCCATATATATCAATGCTGACTCAGGAGAGCAATATACTCTCGGAGATGTGATCCAGCGTACACGCTCTCTGTCCAACGGGCTCCGGCAAAGTATAGGGGTTAAGCCCAGCGATGTCGTGGCATTGTTAAGTCCCAACACAATCGATTACCCTGTGGTATGCCATGCAATTATCGGCTCTAGAGCAATTGTTGCTCCGACCAGTGCAGCTTTGACGGCATTTGAGCTTAACGCTCAGCTCAAGACCAGCGGGGCCAGATTCATCATCGTCCATTCATCTTTGCTGGGGACTGCTCAAAAGGCAGCCAAGGGAACATCTGTCGAGAACATTGTCTTGATAGATGGCCAAGCACCAATCAATGGTCAACCTACATGCAATCATCTCGCCAGCACATTTGCCCCCGGTGATTTCCTCACTATCGATCCGGCCGAGGCAGATCGCCAACCCACATTCATCTGCTTTTCGTCTGGAACATCAGGTGCAGCCAAGGGTGTCATTACAACGCACCAGAACATCACCTCAAACCTCCAGCAATGGCGCCACCAAATGATAGAATCTGGTCTTCCCTCCCAGCGACCAACAAGACAATCCGCCATTGCATTCCTGCCATTCAGCCATATCTACGGCCTCAACCTGTTCATCTGCCAGAGTTTGATGTGGGGCACAACTGTAGTCATCATGCCAAAGTTCGACCTCGATCTATACCTCAGTTGCATCCAGAAATACCGACCAGACGAGTTGGCAGTGGTACCGCCCATTGCCCTGATGTTGGTTAAAGACCCACGGGTCTCCAAGTACGATTTAAGTAGCGTGCGCAGGATCATGTCTGCCGCCGCACCGCTCACAATCGAATTATCGTCCGCCCTCGAAGCCAAGTTCAAGGAGATTTCAAACACAGAGGTATTCTGTACCCAGTCATGGGGTCTGACAGAGACCTCACCAATGGCGACAGCCGTCCCAAATGACCGCATGGATAAGCGGAGCACGGGGGTGGGCTGTATTGTGCCGAACATGCAGCTCCGCTTTGTGGATCCCGAGTCGATGAAAGATGCAGCCGTCACATCTGACGGGTCCACAGAGCCTGCGGAGATTTGGTGTCGTGGTCCGAACGTGGTGATGGGGTATTATAACAACGACGAAGCGACGAAAGACGCATTCCATGTGGACGAGGATGGATCGAGGTGGTTCCGCACGGGTGATATCGGCACTATCGATGGAGATGGGTACGTCACTATCCATGATCGCATCAAGGAGATGATCAAGTACAAGGGACTGCAGGTCATCCCTAGTGAGTTGGAGGGAAAGCTGGTCGATCACCCCGACGTGGAGGATGCGGCTGTGACTGGAGTGTGGGTCGATGACAGGGCCACTGAGCTGCCGGTTGGTTTTGTGGTTTTGAGTCGTCAGGCTAAGGACAGGGATCAGAAGGCTGTCCTTGATGGGATCCACGCGTGGCTGAATGAGCGCATTGCCAACCATAAGCGTCTGCGTGGGGGTATCCATGTCTTGTCGCAAATTCCCAAGTCGCCTAGTGGGAAAATTTTGCGTAGACAGTTGAGGGATTTGCTAAAGAGTCAAGCGCCTAAAGCTCGTCTGTGATTGAGTGCTTGGAAAAACATCTGTGTTAACAGGCTGTCACCTGTATAGATCATGAAGTAGCAATTCCAACCGTTCAATTAGAAACTGTGGCTTATTTTGCGTATTTCAAATATTGTGTCACTTGACAGATATACATTGTACATGCCACATTGTATATCAGAACCAACCAATATAGCTCTAACAAGTAAAGAAAATATCCAAAACATGAAACCTCGGAAGGTTTGCAGTCTCGGGACCCGCGCGTCCCGATCGGCGATCAATTACGAACTCCGATTTTGGAGCCCCAGAGACTTGTTTTTCAGCTTTTTTTCTATCAAATGGAGTTGATCATCTTGAATCAAGCTGATTGCACGTTGCACATATCTTCCCACATTCTTTCTTTACCTTGACTTCCGACATCCCAAGGCGTAGTACATTCTCGCCCCTGAGGTCAATCTGACCAGTTTACGCGGATTGCGATTCCTACTCTCAATCACACTCTTACTTGCCATGGGGTTATGGACGTGGCCCTTCTCACATGGGAAGGAGGAAAAAAGACCCAAGTTCGTTGAGCTAAGGTCGTCAAAATGGTTTATTATGTTCGTTGTCGCCTTTGCTACCGGAACGGACATTTTCATGTACGGTCTTATCGTACCGGTCACGCCAACCGCATTGAAAGAAAGAGTGGGCATCGCAGAGGGAAATATCCAGAGCTGGACATCGATTCTTCTCGCCCTGTATTCGGCTGCGTTGTTGGCCTTTGCGCCTGTTGTCGGGTACGTCGCTGATCGAGCCGAGTCCCGTCGGTGGCCTTTGCTAGTTGGTCTCGTTGCGCTGGCCGCTGCAACAGCCCTGCTATGTGTCGGCACTCACATCGCGTTGTGGATTGTTGGTCGCTTGTTTCAAGGTGCTGCCGCTGCGGTGGTATGGACGGCCGGCTTGGCACTGATGGTGGACACTGTCGGAAAAGACGACCTCGGCCAAGCTATTGGATATGTCTCCATGGCTATCAGTGTTGGAACGCTAGCTGGACCTCTTCTTGGTGGAGTTGTCTACGAGAATGGTGGATATTATGCTGTTTTTGGCCTTGCTTTCGCTTTCATCGCCCTCGATATCATCTTGCGATTGCTGTTGATCGAGAGAAGACATGCTATCAAATGGCTTGCGCCGGAGATGACACCGCTCTCTGTGCATGGAGATCAATCCACCGAAAAGAAGTCGGGAGAAACCTCAGAACGTCCCAACTTGCCGTCCAATGGCTCTGAACCCCGTGAATTCCAACCGCCTCCCCCCCCTCACGGAGTGCGTTCAGGCGTATCGCCATTTTATTGAGCTCGCCCCGTCTCGTCGTGTCCGTCTGGGGATACTTCATCCTGTCAATTGTTCTGACGTCATTTGACAGTGTCCTTCCGCTCTTCGTGCAAGGGACATTCGGGTGGCAGCAAAGCGGCCAGGGACTAATCTTCATCCCGCTCATGGTGCCACACATCTTAGACCCACTGACGGGGTTCGTTATCGATAATTACCCCAAATCCTGTCGCTACCTCGCCGCAGGGGCATTTCTCGCTTCCGTTCCCGTGATGGTGCTCCTGCGCTTCGTCACAGATAACTCGATGCAGCAAAAGATTCTCCTATGTGCCCTTCTCGCTTGTGTTGGGCTGTGCTTTGCGGTGGCTATGCCACCTCTCATTGCCGAAGTCTTCTTTGCTGTGAAGGAGAAGGAAGATAAAACTCCTGATATCTTCGGTCGCGGTGGCGCTATGGCTCTAGCTTTTGGACTGTCAAATATGGGGTTCGCGTCTGGGAGTCTGATCGGGCCATTCTTTGCGGGTTTTATTCGTCAGGAGGCTGGCTGGGGGGCGATGGGTTGGGCATTGGGGTTGATAGCTGGCATATCATCTGTCCCAATCCTGTTGTTCGTGGGTGGCTGGATCTTGAGAAAGCCGGTCGAGTCAGATAATGAAGTCCAATTGATGGACAGCGCCCCTGGCCCATGAGTTGCAAAGCCAAATTAAAAAATCTACCTTGTATATATATTTCATACTCTCCTCTCTGGGTATGTCAACTATGACAGCCTCATGGACAAAAGTTACAGCCTTGGCGCCTGAATTGTCACACATGTACATGTACATCCACGCCATTATGCGTATCACCTGGCAATATTTCCCTCGCTCTAACAAAAGCAAAAACAGAATTCAAGTAATGAATAGTAGTCCTATTAATTCAGCTGCACAAGAAGAACTCCCCACATATGTTCCCCGCAGCCCCACGAAGATTATGGACGTGCTAGCATACTTAGGTTGGCTCGGGACTTGTTTGAAGGACATCAGCCGTGACTATGGAGTATGTCACCTACCAACATTAAAAAGTTGTCCGAGGTTCCCAATCTGTTTTTGTTATCTAGTTCTAAACTTCTAACCGTTTAATATGGTGACTCCTGAAATCCAACACTTGGTCCTGAATGCCACGTTCAAGGGCATCCAGCGTGATGATCAAAATGTACCCGTTCATCAATTCCTAGGTATAAAATATGCCAGCATCCCGGCACGATTCGAGAAGGCCGAGCCTGTGCGCGGTTTTGACGGAGCCGTTGTTGATGCCTCGAAATATGGGTAAGCTGCATTCACACTACAAGACAGACATAACCCACGCTCGGGATACAACTAAAACCATACACTGACATTTGATACAGTCCAGTATGTCCTCAACCAGTTGTGGATGTCCGCCATCTCCTCCGTATTCCAGAGGACTTCGCCATTGTCCCGGAAGCAGCGGACGAATTTGAATGCCTGAATCTAGAGATTACATGTCCTCCAAAGTCTTCCATAACAGGCCCTATTCCTGTTCTCGTCTGGATACATGGCGGCTCTCAGATCGTCACATTCTGCTCTGCTGCCTCCAAGATTTGTGACCCGACCAAGATTGTTGCAGATTCTATCAAGACAGGCAAACCCATCATCTTTGTATCGATCAATTACCGCCTAAATATCTTCAGTTTTGGAGATGGGAAAGAAAAGAACCTGGCCCGGAAAGATCAGCGTCTGGGTATTGAGTGGGTGCGACAGAATATCGCTGGTTTCGGGGGTGATCCTGTAAGTCATATACATCCTGCGAATATGTGACTAGTGCTCATTGCGCGTAGGAAAATATCACGTTGTCGGGCGAAAGTGCGGGGGCTATCTATACCCATGCTCATCTCATCACTGGCCCTCCTGTGAAAAGGGCCATCATGGCATCTGGGACTCTTTATCTGTCCTCGCCGCTACCGGTCGAAAAGGGAGATGGTCTTATTAAAGGACTAGAGGCCAAGGTCCGAGAGCTTGGTCAGACTTCGCTGCGCGAATCCTCCGTTACTGTACTGGTCCAAGCACTGCGAGAGTGCAATGTGAATACAATGTGGATCCAAGAGGAGCCTGAACTGTCAGGTTGGGAAACCAGACCTGAGCAGGTTGAGGAAGTGATGATTGGTGATGTTGAGTACGAGGTACGTAAAGTCTTTAGCTGTGACTGGTCCTTCGGACATCGTTGACCAGTGACTTAGTCTGTTATCTGGCGAAACGGCGTCGAGCTCCTAGATGGAGAGACGATCGCAGCTGCATTCGACAACGATAAGCAATGGGGTACGCAGCTTCGAAAAATGTACCAAATTTTCGGTGATCGCCCAACTGCCGCGAAGCTGGGAGCTCTAGATCTCGTCAATGATGTTCGGTATACTCTCCCTGTCGAGGTGATTACCGACAAGTTACGCGCGGCAAACAAGCGAGTCTTCCAATATGTGGTAGACCAGTCTAATCCCTGGCAAGCTTCAAGTCGTGCACACCATGCAGTTGATCTGCTGTTTCTGTTCGACGGCGTTGATCTATCGTTCAATCCTGCGGCTAGCGCTGTTGGAAAGGAGATGCGGCAGCGTTGGATTCGGTTTGTCAATGGTGATGGACCTTGGTCTGCTGATTTGCGATTTGCTTTTGGACCTTTGGGTGAGTGCAAAGAGATCGATGAGTCGCAGTTCGCTGCTCGTCGGAGAGTTGAGCATTGCAAGGTGCTTAAGGAAGCAGGAAATGGCGCGTATATGCCTATTGTCTTTGGTTTGACTGCAGGGAGAATTAGTCTATTAAATTAGTATGTTAAACTATTCTAAAGTGACAGACCAAAATATATCCAATTCAGTGAACTCTTATCGCAAAATCATAATTTCGCTATTGTTGTGTAGATTTAGCCAGTTGGCTCAGCACCATCATTAACCAACAATGAACACCAAATTAATGATCCAACAGACTTCGGATTCGTAACATCTCGGCAGTTGAACGACCATCTTAATCCCGTCAAACTTCCACCAACACAACCCTTAACTCCTAGTCTCTCTCCACTAGCTGAGCCTTCACCGTTACTCAGCCCTTACTCATGTGGGGTCATCCGTCACCTCCTCATATGGGAATGATCTCTCTCCGCAACTCATCGCGCGAAGCTGGTCCTGCCGGGGAGCTCGGCAAGTCGATTGACCATCGCTTTGCCGATTTGTGGGGGCAGCGTCACTGCTGAGGCATCAAATGCACCAATATCGCGTGTTCAGCTGATGCTTCGTGGCCATGCCGGATCTCCCAAGGGACATCCGTGCCTTGTTGCATATTTCTCCCCGGGTAGACGAATCGAATGGGCAATTTTGTTGGGTGTCCTGCATTGTATCATTGCTTTTTTTTGAATCGGTGACCCCACAAGTTTGGTGTGATCATTTACGCTGAAGTACATATATAAGGGTCTTTGCAACCCCCAGGTTACTTCAGAAGACGAATAAAACAACAACTGCTTTTCTACTTTGCTCATTCTCTGTTTCCTAATTTCCTAGCCATTTATTATCAGTATGCCTTCCCCTGACTCGTTGTCGGATCCCGAGGAGTATCAAAAGATATTCCACTGGGCTGAGACCCAAAAGGATGGAACTATCCCTTCGTTCAACACCAGGCGTAACGATCCTTATGAGGTATGTTGCTCCATCATAATATCTACAATGAATCTGATTAATAACTCTTCTATAGTATCAATCCGGCTTTGGCAATGCGTACGTATCCTTGCATAACCTACATCCCCGAGGTTGACGATTTGAAATGTTCATTTAATAACCCTTGAACAGCTTCATATCTGAAGCAATTCCTGGAACTATTCCACACGGCCAAAACAGCCCTCGCAATGTGAGGTTCGGTCTTTACGCCGAACAGATGACAGCCACTGCTTTCGTCGCTCCACGACACTGTAACAAAAAGGCGTGGCTATATCGTGTCCGCCCTGCTGTCGCCCACCAGGGCTTTGTAAGGACCTCTTGTTCTTCATTCCGGGTATCAGTGCTAACATCACTCGCAGACAGAACTACCAGATAACAAAGATACCGAGGCAAACTTCCTTCCGTTGAACCCACGCATTCATGTATCCCCTACCCAGCTAGCATGGCACCCCTTTGATATCCCCGAAAGCGAAGAAGTCGACTTCGTTTCAGGATTGAAGACTGTTGCCGGCTCGGGTGATCCCACACTGCGCGAAGGCTTGGCTACACATGTCTACGTCGCCAACACCGGCATGAAGAAGAAAGCATTTGTTAACTCCGATGGTGAATTTCTCATTGTTCCACAGCAGGGAGCACTCGACATTCAAACTGAATTCGGTCCTATCTTTGTGCAGCCAGGTGAGATTGTTGTTATCCAGCGTGGTATCCGCTTCAGCGTCAATCTTCCAGACGGTCCCTCGCGTGGATACATCCTCGAGGTCTGGGGTACGCAATTCGAGCTCCCTGAGCTGGGACCACTTGGTGCTAATGGCCTCGCGAACGGGAGAGACTTTTTGAGTCCTGTTGCTCGGTATGAGGTAGCTCAAGAGCCGTGGGAAACTATTTACAAGCTTGCGGGCAAGTTCTTCCGGAGTACTCAGAACCACAGCCCATATGATGTCGTAGCTTGGCATGGAAACTATGTGAGCTTGTATCATTTTGGTGATGATATCGGTTCTCAGCCAACTAATGCCCTTCAGGTCCCCTATAAATATGACTTGACCAAATTCGTCAATGTCGGCTCCATCTCCGTGGACCACATCGACCCGTCTATTTTCTGTGTCCTCACGGCCAAATCCCGCGATCTCACCGCACCTTTGGCTGACTTCCTCACTTTTTCTCCTCGATGGGATGTTGCCTCACGTATGTCTGGTCAATATATTGATCCATGAACATTGCTAATGATACCAAGACACATATCGGCCTCCCTATTACCACCGCAATGCTGCATCCGAACTAATGGGTCTAATCTACGGCGGTTATGGTGGCCGCTCGGACGAATTCAAGCCCGGGAGTGTGTCATTCGAATGCGGCAGTATGAGTGTCCTGGAATTTTCTCATCGAATACGAGTCAATGCTGATACTTTCCACAGTGGTCCCCCATGGTGTTGCCTATGAAGAGTTCAAGGACGCCACCGATAATGCGCCACCAGCAATGCAGATATCCAAGGCATCGATTGCATTCATGTTCGAGTCTTGTCGTCCCTTCACAATTACTGATTATGCGTGGAACAGTGATAAGAAGCATGAGCATGAGCCTAAGATGTGGGATAGTTTGGTGGACAATTTCTCCAAGCACGCTAAGGAGGTTGATGAAATTTTGGCTAAGAAGGCGAAGAATCACTCTTTTTCGTAAGTACTCTAATACAACTTATTGTACATGAGCGAATATGAGGTTTTGTGACGTTGAACCTGATTATTCGAAATTGAACTGGATGAAAACCAAACGACCAATACGAATTACCCAAACAAACGTGTTATTGTGGAAGTCCATAATGAAGTTCCTATATCCGAAATAAAAGGTGCAGGACATTAGATCTACCTGATCGTTCAATTTCCAATCTTTTCAACTTCCAAAAGCCGCTGCACAGTGTCCACAATTGTGTCTTCAAGACTCCTCGGAGCAAACCCAAGGTCTCTGATCGCCTTGCTGCTATCTATACCAACTATCTCCTCACTCTCCTCAGTCCTTCCAGTAGGGAGGCGCCCTTCGAGAGAAGGGAAGTGGTTTTTCATGATATCAACCAACTGCTGCTGACTGTAGTTGCCGGATGAGGTCAGATATCTTTGATTAGAAGCAATGGCTTCTTCATAAGCTCCGATATGAGCTTTAGCTACATCTCTGACGTCAACGTAGACAGGGAATGGCGTCTCTCCTGGGGTGTCCAACTTAGCATCCATGAGTGCGCACACAGAGCCAAGAGAGAGGTTGGCAGACAGATTATTGGTTGGAATTATAATCGGTCCCATCTAAATCTCAGTTAGTCAGAAGAACTTGGATGGGAGGTACAGAACATACGATAATTGAGGGACAAATAGTGACGAGGTCGAATGAAGGCTTCTCATTCTCCATAAAATCCCATGCCGTCTTCTCAGCAAGCCGTTTGCTAGCAATGTATCCGACGACTGCTGACCCCTTGGCTGCCTCGTCCCAAGTTGTTTCGCCCCAGTCGTCTTCGGTATAAAGATGTCCACGGTCAAAGTCAACAGTCGCATCCATCATCGCGGCTACTGACGATGTCAACACAACCCGCTTGACATCTGGGCCATGTTGTTTGATGGACTGCAAGATGCCTCGAGTTCCGGATACAGCCGGGGTGAGAAGCTCATTAGTGTTGTCGGTTGTGGTAAATGTACAGGGCGAAGATAGATGAAACACCCCGGTGACGCCTTGGACAGCCGTGTCGTACGCACCCGGGACAATCATATCGGGAACGAGAACATATGAAAGTCGTTGGCTATTAGCAACATGTGCTTGGAGGACCTTCTTTACCATAGCCTTGGATCGAACAGTGACGCGCACATAATAGCCTTGTTGTAATAGCTCACGGACGACGTGGGATGCGAGGAAGCCGGAGCCTCCCGTCACCAAGACAGTTTCCGTGGAATCTGGAGCACCCCCGGAAGATGATTGAGTGACCGTCATTGCTAGATTATGAACAGTGTAATTTTAAGATATTGCTTTCAACTTTTGTAGTGATGTGGTGTTGAACTGAGTACTGTTAGAAGATTGTATAGAAATTCCATATATATGTACAAATTGCGCAGATCGTTTCCTGTCCACAAAACGTCAAAGGTATAAGGTCTCGTGTCACACACCGAATCACACATGGAGACACATCGAGTAATGAAGATCATGGCCTCAATCTATGGAGTATATGGTAGTTTGGGGGTGCACAATAAAATACTCCGACGATCGTTGTCCTGTCATCTGCATTAGAGACCTTTTCCAGTTAGATTTATTTCTTGAGTCACCACATATACCGGTAATGTTGAATTTAATGAGAGCACGGCAAATGCGAGGGGAAGATCGGGTATGTAGTGGAAAGTTACACAACAGCTAGAAACTGCACGCCTCTCACTTACACTATCGATGACGCAGTGCTCTACTCTTTCCAGCCCAATACTGGCTTGACGACATTCCTACGTTTCAATCCAGCGATTGTCTTTGGGTGGTCAAAGGTTAGTTGATTAATTGGCAAATAGGTTTCATCGGGATCACTGACGTCAAGGCACTGCACGTCAATCGATAGGGAAGATTACTTTCGCGACACCACTGAATTATTTGCGGCATAGTTTGTGGCTATAGTTAGTGAAGAGATGCTTTTAAGTTCATTAAACTCCTATCTCTCCTAATGTCTTTTTAGCTAGAAATACGCAACTTCGCCTTGAGTATTTATATGCAATCATCTCGCAAAGTTACCTAGGTTCTTACATACTCTGGCAGAATTTTTGCTGTTCACATCTTTGTTACTGAATCAAGGAGGTGATTACTACAACGGGTGACACTCGGCGAAGTCTATATAAGGTTGTCAGGTACGGAATTAAGAAGCTCTGTTTCCAGGGTTCGCCTGAGCATATTGACTTCAACATAGAAACTAAAAGAAAACATAACAATATAATCAGCAACGTCCAGGAGACTGCTAACAGGTATTGTCTTTGAGGGCTTTGACCCTATAATTGTTTGGAGATCGGTGGTCGGCGTTTCGGCGTCCGTCCAGGCGAATTCGGGTAGCGAGGGACCCCGACACCGACAGCTCCAATTCACATATGGTGTTGAATTTGGCTGAATAGGAGATAATCACAGATTTGTCGCGTCGAATGGAGCCCGACCTGCGAAGTCTGAGCTTTTTTCAAAGAAAAATTTTAAAAGCTTAGCGACTGAACTATGTAAGGTATAATAATACTTGGGGGACCACTTGTACATCGTATATTGTATAGACTACATTCTTCCCTTCAATTGTTCTGCAGGCTCATACCAAAAAAAACCCCGAATCTTTGACAGAATCACATTCTTTACACTCTTAATCGAAGCAAGGAAATATACCTAAACATCAAAGTTTGTGCTCCAACCCTCTGCCCTACAGCCAACCCTAACAAAACCCTAGAAAATGGGAGGACCTTATATGCCTAAAACGGCCTCAATGGGAGGCCGACCAACAATCCCCCTCGATGTCCCAATATGCGCCGTCTTCCTGGCCCTTTTCATCACCGGCGCCGCCTGCCATATGACCCTATTCCGTCGCAACCTCGCAAAAGGCCACAAATTCATTCCATCGGCCGCAACATTCGGTTTCTGCATGTCGCGTATCCTCGCAAACATCATTCGCATCGCCTGGGCTTGTCACCCAACAAACGTTAGACTCGCGATTGCAGCACAGATCTTTGTCGCAGCGGGCGTGTTGCTGCTTTTCATCTTGAACTTGCTATACGCACAGCGTATGTTCCGAGCTGTCTACCCAGTCCTCGGATGGTCCCGACCAGTATCTTGGGCATTTAAAGCACTATATGCTCTCGTTGTGGTGACTATCATTATGGTCATCACTTGTGTTATTCAGAGTTCATATACTCTCAACTCGAACACCCTTCGCATCGATCGCGATATCATGCTCTACGGTCAGACATACTTCTCCATCATCTCGTTCCTACCGCTTCCTCTTGTATTACTTGTCCTTCTGTCTCCAAACAGAAAGCGAATTCAAGAGGTTGGTTCTGGTAGCTGGATCGTCAAAATCTTCATCGTCGGACTTGTCAGCTCATTGCTCTGCCTTGGAGCATCATTCCGTGCCGGCACCACTTGGATGCCACCTCGTCCTATCACCGACCCAGCCTGGTATCACAGCAAGGCCTGCTTCTATATCTTTGACTTCACTATTGATATTTTGGTGGTGGCTATCTTCTTCGTCGGCCGTGTTGACCAGCGATTCTGGGTTCCGAATGGAAGCTCGAAAGTGCGCCACTATCGACGAGATGGGGGTAGTGAGAAGAACGCGCAAGCTGAACAGAATGGAATTCCTCTTCCGGCTCATGATGAACGGGACATCGAGAGTCGGGGCAGCAGTATATCTCAGGGGTTGAGCGAAGAAACAAAATAACCCAAGATCACCTCATTGCATTTCAAGGTGTACATCATTTGAGCTCCAGGTTGTGCTAATATCCACATTATAACATTAATGGATATAGCCATCTTCTATGTATAATATAATTCATGTTAGACAATCAATGAAGTTATGAATTGACTTTATCCTCAATTCGATGTAGGGAAACCTGACAGAGGTGTTTCCTTATAGATCGACGACGATTCTAACATCACCGGCTTAATAGACTTCCCAGACACGGTCGTATCTGTATATTCGCATTGTGTATTCCCACGTATAGTTGCCTGGATTACTAGAAATACATATGCCGTCATGTGTTCGTGAACTAGAAGAGCCACTTTCCGAAGGCGATATAGCACTTATTCGAGGCACGGAAGAGGTTGATGCACATATCCTTAGATCCTCCAGAGCTAGGTGGGCTATCGGACTTAGATCATCAGAACTTTGAGCTATCCCTCGTTGGCCTGTTCTACCAGTACATAGAAGGTTCAGGCGGCCGTTTGATGCCGCGGTGGGGTTTCATCACGTTGCTGATACTCGCAATGGTTTCGAGAACGTCTGCTCTCAGATTATGAACTTTGTTCCTGGCAAAAGAAGCCGGGCACCAAAGCAACACCCAGCAATGATGAGAACCTCGCACTAGCAGTGAAGAGACGTCTGATCTCAATGGAACTTCTAACACTTATAAAGCTGTCGGCAGCGACCAACCATCTAGTGCCAGTTTAGCAAGGGAATATTGAATTCCAGCCTTCTATGCATATGACTCAGCTCTAGCGATACCAACGAGAGAGCCCTGTTACCTCAATTAACCAGATAATGGTATTAACCCGCAATCCAGAATATACCCTGGGGACAGGGCATTCCTATAGTCTCATGGAACTGGGTCTTACAAATGGTCTTTTATTTTCATGATTGGTATCAACAAGTGGCCAGGCATCGAACCATACAGAATTAAGTAGGCGAGAGCCCTGTTCGATTGCAACCCCCATTCTCCGCCAGTCCAATTGCCTTTAGAAGGACAAAAATGAAATCTATCAAAGGAAATAGTCAGGTGTGCGCCTCGATACCATAGGTTCTCCCGCTCGGGGGCAAGGGTCGAATTGTAGGCTGGATAATGTCAGTAGGATATCCAAAAAAAAATGATAAAACTGCAGGTGTGCTCACAATGTGTATTTCAAATGCTCGTCAATCTCCATAATGGCGGCCTGGTTGCCGCAGCGGTAACAGTAATTTGGTGCTGTAGTCTGGTTAGTGTTTTTGGTCCATCAGGTCTAGAGACGAAAAATATACCTGAGAAAATAGTGACCACGTTCCGATCTTGCGACCAGTTATATCCTTCCATCACCAATTGATGGGCACGTGCCACAAGAGTCAAGCCATTGTTGTGGTTGAAGGCTTCGGAAATGTCCTGTCCGAACGTGTATCCAGCACCACGGGGAGAGATTCCCCATCCACATCGGTCATCGGGATCACTCCAGAGCAAGTCACACATGGGACCCTCGTGGGGAACTTCTTGGATACGATCAAGCGACCGGATGTTGTCGAGAGTGTCAATGGACGGACTCAGTCCACCGTGAAGACAGAAAATCTGGTTTTCGATGAGAGCAGTGAGGGGAAGGTAGTCGAAAAGGTCGGTGAAGTATTTCCACACGTTGGCATTGCCGTATTTGCGGAGACATTCGTCATAGAATCCGTAGACCTGTGTGATCTGTCGGGACTCGTGGTTTCCACGGAGGATGGTAATACGCTGCGGGTAACGGATCTTCAGGGAGACCAGGAGGGTCACTGTCTCAACTGAGTAGTAACCACGGTCGACGTAGTCACCTATATCAAGAAAAAATTAAAAAAACGTTACCCCACAACGCGTTCATCCGACCATCGGCCACTCACCCATGAAGAGGTAGTTTGTATCCGGGTTAGGACCGCCAATGCGGAAAAGCTCCATTAAGTCATGGAACTGTCCGTGTATGTCACCGCAGACTGTCACTGGGCATTTCTGTTCGGATAGGTCAGTGGGCTGGGCGGACAGGACAACAACCCGACCGAGAAACAACATACCACTGGTTGCACATTGGATTCCTCCTGCAATACCTCTCTTGCCTGGAAGACACATAAACGATCAACTTGAATTCATCATTATCAGTCTGTCAAAACAAGGAACCCACCCGATCGCACAGCCGCCGCACATCTTCCTCCGCTAATTGCTTGCAAGTCATCAAACTCTCGATCCAGCCGTCCAGAGTCGGTATGGACCCGGGGTCGCTTGTTGGCGACAGGTGGTGTGGCTCGGGGGACCGCGCAGTATCGATTTCCATGTTGTTATCCATTGCGTTGGTGTGCTCAGCTGGCTGAAAAGGAGGGGCCAGCTGGGGAGGGGCGGTCTCGTGAGAAAACGGAATTCGGGGATGGGCGCAGGTATCGTGGGGTTTGGAAAATATGTGGGATAATTACGCTCCAGATGGAAATTCAATTAAAAGACAACTTCCCAAGATTGATTCAAGGGATAAGGGGATGGGACTTGGGAACGCGAGAAAGGGAGAAGAGATGAGAGTTCGGGAAGGTCAAGTTGAGAGTGGTGAACAGATGCGCCACACTTCAGCCACACACCGCTTTCTCCAGGGCAGGGCTGCCTACGTAATTATCAACTACGCCATTGTACAGGACGTGGGGTTTATATCCTTGTTGGTTTGTGTTAGACATCCGAAAAGATAATAAAATAGGTGTCCAGGAAGATGTTCAACACAATGCACTCAAACGTTACGGAGGAAAACACATCAAAAACAGCCATCCAGATATGGCTGTAGCTTCTTGTTATTCTTGTTAATGTTGAAATAGATTTAGGTCGTTTAGGAACAAAGAATCTTCTTCTTTGTTCCAGTCTCAATTTCTCATCACTCGTTAGATAATGTCCCCGCCAAATCCACCTCCACCACCAAACCCACCAAAGCCGCCCCCACCTCGACCTCGTCCATTATTACCAAACGGTCCTTGATTACGACCAACAGGTGGCTCACCAGGTCCTACAGGATCATATCTTGCACCGGGGGGTACACGGGGGTCATATCCACCATTACCAGCTCCTCTTCCACCGAAGAGGGGGTCATCAAAGGTAGGATGCATACCCCCGCCACTTGGACCAAAGCCAGGACCCATAGATCCGCGCAAAGGATCATTGGGACCTAGCCCTGCTGGGTAGAGATCTCGTTCCCCAATGTTGTACGGACTTCTGCCTCCAAGTCCTCCTGGGTATCCTCCTGGGTATCCTCCTGGGTACCCTCGCGGGGGCCGGTTGATCTCAAACTCATCTTCGAACCCGGGTGGGGCAAAGTCTGGTGGGTTGGAGCGACGGGGAGCTGCCGCTAAGGGATCATCAAATGGGCGTGGACGAGCAGGCTCCGGGAGGGAGCCTTCCCGGGGAATATCCGGTTGTCTTTCTTCTTGCGGCCTTGATCTGGATGGCTGGCTTGGATCTTCATACCCCTCCTTGTACAAACCGGGAGCGAGTTTCTGGATGACGTTGATTTTGAACAAACCGACCAAGTCGCCTAGTCGAGCTGGCGAGATGAAAACATCTCGCAGAGACGCAGTGGTGTTGTCTGAGGATGATAGAGGGAGCGCAGAGGTGGAGATGTAATCTTTGACGGGGATGTCAAACGAACTGGTCCGGTCATCGCCCAAGGCCAGTGCAAAGATCACTGCGTTATTTCCAAGTCGACTCACTTTGAGTAGGTACTGCATCGAAGACTGCGCATGTGCGTACCGAAAGGCAAATGTATCGTTAGCGTTCCATTCTGCGGGGAGGGAAGGTGTATCTGTAGATGTTTCTGGAGAAGTTAGTAAGAGTTTACCGATGGGGTTGGAACAGGCTTGACATACCTAAGTTGTGGTCTTCACTGAGACCGACAAGTCTGAAATCAACTGCTACCATGCATGCATGGCCGATCAAAGCCACAGCCTCATATGGTGTTTTGAGACTCGGCTGTCTGTCACCTGCGGGCTGGATAGCTTTCACAGCAAGGTTGAGGATATTATCCTGGTGAAGGGCATCCGCTGGAGCCATTTTTGATAAATTTTGTATATTTCAGACGTGCAATACTTGATGACAGAGAGTTTGGAATATCTTGGGAGATGGGGTGATGATGCGGCTCACTGATGCCCAAGGTGACCTCACTTGGAGCTAGCTGCCTTGGGAAAGCTGTGGCGTCGGAACAAAGATACCCCGCACCAGCTATCTGCCCCACTTGCCTTTTCTATTTTTGGCCAAGCCGAGAGCTGCATACAAAACATACAACTTGAAAGCACTGTCATGTTTATGGGTAGAAAATTCGACTGATATATTCGCTCAAGAAGCTTCTCCTCTATAACATCGACTTCGGGAAATCCTTCATTGCCTGTCGCACTCCCAAATCTGCCAAAATCTCCTCAGTTCCACCCAAGATGGAATCGAACTTGTATGTGCGATGGAACATCTCAATGACCTTGCCCATTCCAGACTGAGTGATACCACGACCACCGAAGATGTTCGTAGCGAGACTGGCAATCTCGCCTGCGGCTTGGGTACAGTGTGACTTGAGCAGACCGATAGGTCCACCCAGATGCTTCGCTTGCTGGGCGTATGTCATGTTGCACATCTGGTAGGCGATGGATTCAAGCCATGCCTGGTTAGATTCGGCGAGGGAGATCATGCGAGCGATCCTGTTGGGTGTTAGAAGAGAAATATCGGCAGCGAATGATATAAAAGACTCACTTCTGACGAATAACCGGTTGTTCAATCAGCTTCTTGCCAAAGACGATGCGTTGGTTGGACCATTTCATTGTCTCTTCCACAACCATCATTGACATGCGGACCACGGCGGCTACCATCATAAAGCGCTCGTGGTTGAAGTTGCTCATGATAACGATGAAACCTTTGTGCTCCTCGCCAAGGAGGTTCTCAACTGGAACCTTGACATTCTCAAACGACACGAAAGCAGTGGCAGCGGCAGTGGAATATGAGGTCTTGATCTGCTTGGTCTCAACACCCTCACCGCGAGGAATCAAGATCACCGAGAAGCCCTTCTCGGTACGGCAGCCAGTGACAAAGTAGTCGGCGAACATGCCGTTTGTGATCCATTTCCTAAACTTTGTTAGCGCAAATCTCCTAATCAAACCAGCAGATGTGATCCGACTGACTTTGTTCCGTTGACAATATAATGTTTCCCATCAGGTGTCTTCTCTGCAGTAGTCTTCAGACCCGCCACGTCGCTACCAGCAAAGGCCTCCGTGATAGCCAAACACGTCTTCTTCTGACCCGACAAGACCTCGTTATTGAGGCGCTCCTTGAGTACAGGATCATGCAGCCATTGCTGGACAGCTGTCAAACTAATAGCCATACCGGCCATATTGCCATCCTGGAAGCCTCTGGCATTGGCACGGACCAACTCCTGTACTATAATCATATCGTGGAGATAATCAAACTCCTTTCCATCGACAACTCCACCAAGTAAGGTACGGTTGTGCAGATGCTTTCCAGGACCCAGTCGCATAGCAAGAATGTTCGTCTCGGCCATTCGGTTGATTAGCTCTTGGCTGATGTAGGTGCCATCCTGCTCCTTCTCCTGCGCTTCGGGCGTCACATATTTATCCGTGAACTCCCGGATGGCCTTCTGCAGGCGTCGGTGGCTCTCCTTATAGTAGGGGGACTTGAACTGGGGTCGCAGCCATAGGGGTTCTGCGTAGGGCACGGGGCTCAAAGCTCCGGGGAAGGGCAGGATGACCTCGGGCTTTTCGCCTTCGACGACACCAATGCAAAGCTGGTCACGGTATTTCTCTAGCACCTCCTGCCGGTGCAGGTTGTAGAAATCGGATGTTGCGTCCTGGCCAGCAACCTGAGCAAGAACGACAGCACCACCGGGGTGGGCGTCGACGAAATCGGTCAGATCATAGACTTGGTGGTCGATGATGCACCAGAGGGATTCCTCGGTGTTGTGCTTTGCGACCTCCGCGCGCGTGAGAGTTTCCGACGGCATGTTTTAGTATAGAGAAAGGGGAGAAGAATGGGGGGCTAAGAGTATAAAGTAAATACCCCAGATTATAAGTCGCCAATCATGCAACTGCGGTTTCAAATTGAGCCGAGGCCCGAGAAAATGTGATGTCAGCATCGTCGGAGTTCTTGGCTGTAACCCCAACAGTCTACCAACGAGGACCTCGGGATCAGCTTCCGATTACTGATCGGCCGACCGTACGATGTATAATTGATGTTTTCGCCAATGGGGGGCTGTTGAATTATAATCGCCAAGGGCGTTTATAATGTCCTCGACCAACCGTGGACATATGACCGGTGCATGTCAGTTTCAGCTTCAGCTAGCCCCGGAGGGAAATAGCAACACAACATAACATACATGTACGATGTATATTGTTTAGGCAGAGAAAGCTCAAAGAGACAAGGCTTCATTCTATGTACCAGAGGCTATCATGACGGTCCGGTAGACTATTGATAATAACCTTGTTCGAAAATATATATTGAATCGCTGAGGATTACGAAGAAAGCGAATGGAAGAAAGCGAGTCTATTCATGGGCACATCTTGACATATCGTATGTTACACGCCATCAACGATCCCCCTTCGAACGACCAGCCTTGATATCTTTCATCGCCTGTTCCATTAACCACGCACAAACAGGCTGCGCATCGGTTCCGACCCTCCAACTGCCTAGCACAACGCCGTGATGTTCAAGCACTTCACTTGCACGATCCCAACGACGTCGCCAAAGCTCCTCGCGCTTATTTGGGAGTGGCGGGGGCGGCATTCCCGACTCCTTGGACCCTGCTCTCCCAAGGGATTGGTTGGATGGAGACTTTCGTAGAGAGGGAGCTCCCGAGAAGTTGAGTCGGTCGCTTGCATACTGGAACCCTTGGTATGCAGCCTGGGCGGCTGCCACTGGGTATGATTGAATGCCACTCGCGGGAGCCGGAGTCCGAGCGGGCGTAGTTGATGTAGTTGATGCAGTGGGATCTGAACTGGTTGTTGAGGACCCGGTGTTTGTGCGACGCGGAGGGGGGCGAGGCGGTGGTGGCTTGGCACTTGTAGCTTGCGATTGACTCTGAGTGCCTGCAGAACCATCGTCGAGGCCTTTGAGCCACGAAGAAGGAATTTCATTCGTTGATGTCCCAGCGCTGCTCTGTGAGGTTGAAGGCGAGGGATCCACATCAATCAATGAATCTGTCTTGGGCACTCCACGTCTGGGTGGCACAGGCGGGACTGGTTTGCGCCTGGGGGCCTCTCGTGCTGGTGCCGATTTTGAGTCTTTTTCCGGCTCATCGGAATGTGTAGCAACGTTGCGCAAAGAGGAAGGTCTGGAACTCTTCGCCAAATCAGCTGGCGTAGAAACCATGCGCAATGCAGATGGTTTGATTGGTTTCGCTGGGCGTGGCCGGGGAGTGGTGGGGTGGGTAAGCCCCGCTGGAGGTGGCTGATCGTCAATGATGAGATCTGTGAGATCAATCAGGTCCTCAAGGTCAAGATCCCTTGGATCTGGGTCATGATGGCCTACAGGCACTGTAGAGTCAATAGCGGTGCCACCTCGAGGCGGCAGCGTCGGTCTATTGGTAGCGGCGTCCGAGTGGTCCACTACATTTGGTGAACTGCGACTGCGTTTAGACTGGTCAAGATGGCCGACCGATTTGTCGAAGAACTTCTGGGTTTCTGAGGTCGTAACATCACGAATGAAGATACCCAGGATCTGGCCAGGATTTGCCAAGACAATCTCAGTGTAAACCTCCAGATCAGCTTCACCACTGTCGCCGACAAGAATGAATTTTCGTTCAGGGAAGTCGCGCAGAATTTGTTCTAATGAGCCCCGTTTCCTCTCTGCAGTGGGCTCAAAGATTCCTTGAAGCATGCCCGAGTACTGTTTGAGATGGAAGGAACCCGGGGGCAATCCCACCATCTTGAAGTACCGCTCAAGGAGGGGATACAATTGCCAGGGAGCATTCGACACATAGTGAATTTGCACACCATCACTAGCCAGTTTGCAGTACCAGTCGCTGACTCCTTCGACTGTAAGTTCATCCAATTCACGGACGAATGTGTTGCGGAACATCTCTTTCGCTCCACTGGCAATAGCAGAGTGCTTGACTGTATCATCGATGTCACTGATCAAACTGATTCCAACGGGATCAATGACCTCAATTGGCCTTGCGACAGACAGATCCTCAGATGCCAACACGCGAATATGAGTTGGCACAAAGGGCAGTGTAGCGCGGAGAGTAAAATGGCCTGATTCATCCGTCACGATATTTCGGGACTTGCTTTCATTGTCGTTGAAGAAGAACACCGTCACTGGCATGCTTCCAACGGGATTCGTCAAAAACGGACGAAGTCTTTCCATCAGATGGGCATTCGCCATAGATAATTCATCTTTACTCAATGGTGCAGCGGGTTGGTTTGTTTGCTCCGCATTCGAGCCTTTCCAGGCCGGGTCTGCTTCCTTTTCAGCCTTGGCGACTAATGTTTGGATCTCCTTGTCGATGTATTCATCATCTCCCTTCCCAGAAATCTTGTCGTTACTTTCATCATTTGAAGTTCCAGATGGCGTAGAGATTCCGCTCAGCTTCCTGGCCAAGGAAATCATCAACCGGTGCTTTCGGCTCATCGGCGATCGACCAGGAGAGTAAATCCAGCCACGCACGTCAACGGCCACGACTGCATCTTCAGTCTCTGTTGCATCCCAAGTAGGTGAGGAGGCATCATTATCCTCATGGGTTGCACCCCGGTATTCATCGATAGTTTCTGACCACGAGTCACGTCGCGGACGTGTGCTGGTACCGGTGTTCTTCTTCTCTGCCAATTTCCTAGCATAACTGGGGAAGACCACCATTTCCTCATCGCCTGACCGTGCAATTTCCACATCCGGGAAAGCACCGGGGGTATTGTAGTAGTCCTCGTCATGTTCATTCCTTTGCCCCGACCATTGTGAGGTATAGGTCTGGCGTAGCTCATTCGCCGCTTTGAAGTATTCGTAGACCTTCTTTCGGCGGCTACCAGGGGCAGCAGCACCATCACCACTTCCTGGGCCCCATGTTGATGAAAGTCCGGATTGCGACATTGAGTCTATCGTGGTGTCCTTCGGTCCGTGGCGGGGCTCTCGGATCGACTTCGGGTATCTTGCAGCTGGGCTGTTACCGGCTGCTGCAGTAGATTTCCACGGTCTTGACTGTCGCCGGGTTCCGAGAAGATAATTCACAAGGCGTCCGCCAAGTCTACTATCGTGTGTAGCGAGTCGCGCTTGTCGCTGGACAATCGCTCGGTAGACTCGCGATTGGGCCCGGTGTCGGAGCGCGGGCAGGGTTTCGTGCCGGATAGCCCAGAGACGGGATTGGGCTCGTCTGGTTGCGTGTGCGCCAATGATAAGACGGAGTATATGTGATAGTCTGCTGGGTCGAGGTTCGCGAGGGAAGGAGGGGAAAAGGATGGTAGGCGGGCGTCTGAAGAGAGAGGGCCTCGACCGGAGGATTGGCCAACGGAAACGTGATTTAGGCGCCAGGGTCTCGTGTGGGATGATGTACGAAGAAGGTAAGAGTGTTCTGAAATGAAAAAGCCAAGTCGAGTAAGGCTGTAGAGAGTTGATTCCCTGCGGGGAAGAGATCGGCCATGACAATGATTACTCGGATGCTCTCACCGCGTTGTAACCGAAAATTCTAGTTTAGTACTATATTTACATATAGTATTATTGTTCTTTTCTTTTATGTTTAAATTACTAGGTATAGTCTTCCAATGATTAAATATTCTATTCAGACGTATCTATAACTAATACGTTGTTGTGTAGAGGGGCGTACAGGTGAAGCCCATATGGAAGCAGGAAGCAGATGCCCAGGCACTTCGCATTGATGGAATGTATTTTGGATCTATAATCTAGCCATAAAGCCTCTTGCTGTTTAAGATCTGGTGAATAATCGTACACTAATATACAAGAACTACCAATTGCCAATTATGCACTGTCCTCGGTGTAGTTCACTTTCTTCGCACGTGAACTTCGCCGAGAAAGTGATATCGAAACTGGAGCACTGTCCAGTCCCACTGAAACCTCTTCAGTGTTTTGAGTCTCTTCAGATTCTGGGGTAGACTCAACCAACGAAGCCCTGCGCTTGCGAGACCTGCTCGGCCGAGGCGTGCCTTTCGTGCTCCTGGCGGCTTTTTTTACTGGCGTTTCTATCTTGATGGGTATATCTATGGGAGCATCGTCTGTGACAGACTCAATCTTACCCTTTTTGGAGGCGTTTTTCTTGGGACTTGGTGTAGCTTTAGGCTTCACGATTTTCTTTGCCGGTCGGAGCCATTCTTCCATGCCCTCGGGCCAGTAGACTCTGCCATCCGGTCCACCCATTCCGACTTCTTCGTCTGGAATAGTGCGAGGCGGTGGTATTGAGCCTTCTAGGTCCACGAAGCTCCCATTCTTCTTAGACTTTTTGGGTGGTTTGAATGGCTGGTTTTCGTCGAGGCGCATGAAGGGTATTATTTCGTTCACAAGATTGTGGCCGGGGAGTTTGAAGTTTCTCATCAACTCAAATACGGCTTGTTCTTTGTCTTTGGCCTCAATCATCAGGTCCATAGTAGGCGCACAAGGGGGTAAAGTAGTAACGCGGGCACTGTGTTTGCGCCGTTGGCGCGGGGTGATGGCGGGTGAAGTTTGTTCGGAATAATGCATCTTCTGGGTGATATTCTTCCGAGACCATGTTGCTGATATACGCTCGTACAGAGGTATGATGTCCTCGGTGCCTTCTCGGAGCTCATTGGCGTCAAAGATGATATTATGGTGATGATAGTCCAACACAAGAGGGATATTGAGCTCCTCGCAGATAGGCAGTAGATCGTGAACGGACCAGCTAACGTCGTCATTCTCCAGAACCAATCGGTTTTTGATGTCTTGCGACAACATGGCGTAGTTCTCTCGGAACCGATCCAGTGTGGCAGCCTTATCACCAAACACTCCACCCATATGAAGAATCATGACCGCATCGCGGTCCTGCTGCGGGGGAAGTTTGAGTAGCTGGAGCATCTCCGAGTGATACTCGAGATCGCGAACAGAATTATCGATAACTTCTTTCCTCGGTGATCCAAATTGAGTGAATTGGCCAGGGTGAACCGACACCCGGTGTCCGAGTTCTGCCACCACACGTCCTACATCTGCCAGCACCTCCGAGGCGAACGGTGCCAGCTTATAGCCGTATTCCTTGTGACTGGCAAATGGGAACATCTCACTGCTGAGTCGCATGAACTTGATGCCATATTTGTCGTTCCAACGAATTATTTTGACCAAATCGCGTACATTCGCCAAAGCCAGCCCCTCGACGAAGGCTTGTCCGCGTGCAACATCGGCTGGTTGGTCGCGGTCTGGACGATTCTTGATCGGGTGTGCGGGCTGGTCGGCATCTTGGAGCGGGTGTCGATTTTCGAGTATAGAGGCGATTCGACATGTTCGAGAACAAAATACGGAGGGTGTTGAATAGCGAAGGTACGTATTTAAACAAGCCTGTTCAAGTTAGAATCTAGGATCATCGAATGGGGGTATGCCATGCCGAGCACAGCAAAACTCACATATCCTAATCGACCTTTCCAGGGAAGGGGAAGGTAGCTGCTGTTGACCGGAGGTGGTCGGCCGAGCGCCTCTTTTAGCTCTTCCACATCAACGGGGATGTCTTCGTCTGATTCCGGGTCCAATGCAGCCTCTGCCTGACCAGCAGGTAAAGGTATATCTCCATTGAGGATATCCGCCGGCTTCGCCTCCGGCCCAGGCGTCTCAATCGCCCTGACCATATTTTCTGGATCTAGATATCTTGGTTCTGGGCCAAGATCCTGCGAGTACGCACGTGATGATGCAGACCTCGATGTATTTAGGGGATGCGCAACACTTTTAGACGAGAAAGACGAGAAGCGCAGAGTACAGTGAGCCGCATGACGAGCATTGTGGATTGGGGCGAGCGATCTGGTTCTCGCCACGCGAACGGATTCAGGTATTGTCAATGACGTATGTCGACCTTGTTGGCTAGCTTCCAAGGAGTGGACACGGATAGACAGACCCTGCAGCAGCCGAGAAAGAGACCGACACATTCAGCGGACTTTTGGAAGTAAGTCAAGGAATGTTGGGGTTTGGAGGAGTTCATGAGGGCGGGATGTTCCACGCGCTAATCAACGCGACTCACCGCAGTTTCACCGCGGCACTGGACCTATCAACCTCATCAACCCCATCAACCCCATCAACCCCATCAAAATCACAATTTGATATAATCATACCTGCAATCTCTTCAGGGCTTGCTGGACATTGATTCCTGATCTAAAACCAAAGGTTATATATAGAAAAGAGGCCTTTCCCCGCCTTTTTCCCGTCGTCTATCTATGAAACTGAAAAGAAGGACAAAATATCTATAGAAGACAACTAAAAGCACTACCAAAAATACGTCACAGGGCCGCATAAGCGGCCGGCTATTCCTGTATACAAAAGTGCAACAAATGAGCCCATGCCTCAGGACCCATATGCAAGCGCACCTGCCAGGTTGTACACAAATGTGCCGAAACGCACGAACCTCTTCATGCAGAAAGCGGGACAACCTGTCCCCCACTTGGTTTTTGCACGAATATAGCGTCTGCTCCGCTACTATTCAGGCCACATCACAATGTCATTGTTTGTGAAACCTAAATTCGGCGATGGGACAACGGTCCTTTTAGTCTGCAGGGGCTATGTTTGTAGTAAGTTGTACAACAGGCACGAAAGACTTGCTGTTTTTGATATATTTACACCGCCCTACTACATATGGACGATGTCATAAGGAGAAGCCCTTCTCTGCCCGATTGATCTGCAGCGATGTACAACAACGCATCTATATTCAGAGTTCACGTCGACCACCCATTAGTATCCTTAGAGTGCTACCAAATTAGCCTTGAGGACACATATCGTTTCCCCAAGGATTGAACGCAGATATGACTGGGCGGTGCTTGCACAAATGGCACAGATTATACATTAGGTGGGAAAAATTGTTCAACCGAGGTAGGAGGCAACAAACCACAAACCATGGTCTGCGAGAGGCCGCATGGCTCGCACTGAAGGCAAAACATGTGGCATGATTTCATTGTCAAGAACCAAAATTGGGAATGGATCCAATTCGTGTTGGCATGAGTAAGGTTTGTGCTGACATCCGCGGGTATGCAGGATGATTATCTAGGTATTTTGTGTATCCGTATTGGATAGTCGACGTAGGCAACGAACTTCTATTAACTTTGCCGTATACCTATTCCGGTGCTAGAGAGCCAATGAGATATTATCAAGTGTACCTACAACTGTGAACTTTATATAATAGTCTGCATATGTGGGTATACTTAATGAATACAAAGGTACTGATTGGGGAAATCTTCGGGATAGAGACAACGCATCAAGTCTCCTGATTCAAATGTTGTATGATTGGAGCTAAGGCCAAGACAAGGTGGGGGTACGATGGGGGCTAACGGTTATTTTGAACTTTTTGAACCCGTGTGAGCATTTATAATAATAATCGCTTGTCGTTCCCAATCTTGTCCTTTCCTTAATCTTCCGAGGTCAAAGCACCTTTTACATCACGGAACAGGAACAATTGCCGACATGACTTCAAAGGCAATTAAACCGAGTCTGGTTCCCCCAGAGCCCATTGCAATATGTGGAATGTCTGTACGTCTCCCCGGAGGCCTACACACACCCCAGCAGCTGTGGGACTTCTTGGTTGCAAAAGGAGATGCCCGTGGCCAAGTGCCAAGGTCCAGATATAATGCATCCGCATACTACTCCGACAGCCAGAAGCCGGGCAGTATAAAGACCGAATACGGATACTTTCTAGATGAAAGTATTGATATTGCTTCTGTGGATACATCTTTCTTCACAGTGGGAAAATTGGAGGTGGAGCGCATGGACCCACAGCAACGGCAAATGCTGGAAGTTGCCAGGGAGTGCATGGAAGATGCCGGCGAAACGAATTGGAAAGGACGACCAATTGGCTGCTACATGGGTAGCTTTGGTGAAGATTGGCTTGAGATGTGTGTCAAAGAAACCCAACAATATGGCCAGCATCGAGTGAGCGGATATGGAGACTTCATGCTACCCAACCGAGTTTCATATGAGATGGACTTGACGGGACCGAGGTTAGTTGATCTGTATTTGTTTTTACCTTGGAATAGATTGCAAATTGCTAAATGGAAAAAATAAAGCATGGTCGTACGTACTGCCTGCTCAGCAGGCCTTGTTGCACTGCACGAAGCATGTCTCGCAATTTCCAGGGGCGACTGCGAGGGAGCCATAGTTGGCGGTGCCAACTTGATAATGGCACCTGGCATGACAATTGCAATGAGTGAGCAAGGCGTAATTTCACCTGATGGGTCTTGCAAGAGTTTCTCTGCCGATGCCAATGGCTATGCACGAGGAGAGGCGATATCTGCTATCTTCATTAAACCGCTGGCTGATGCCGTCCGGGATGGAAACCCGGTTCGAGCGGTTATCCGTTCGACAGTCTCTAACAGTGACGGAAGAGGTGCTGGAACTGGCACCCATGTCCCTAATGGTATCTCACACGAGGCCATGATCCGGCGGGCGTATGAGGTGGCAGGCATTGCAGATTACTCCCAGACTGCGTTTGTCGAGTGTCATGGTACTGGCACCCAAGTTGGAGATCCTATTGAAACCCGAGCAGTGGGCCGGGTTTTTGGCCCTTCTGGCGGTGTCCTTATTGGGTCTGTCAAACCCAATCTTGGTCACTCTGAAGGAGCCTCGGGGATTACATCCCTGATCAAGTCGGTACTGGCCCTGGAAAATCGTATCATCCCCCCAAATATCAAGTTTAAGGAGCCCAACCCCAACATCCAATGGGATGAATATGGACTCGCTGTTCCCACAGAACCGATGCCATGGCCTGAGGCTCGGAGCGAGCGAATCAGTGTGAACTCCTTCGGGATTGGAGGAACAAACGCTCACGTTGTTCTCGATTCAGCTCAGAGCTTTGGTGTCTCTCCCGTTGCCACGCAGCATACTCTTTCACCGCAGCTGCTCGTTTATTCCGCAAACAACGCCGAGTCACTAAAACAAATGATATCCCACTACACGGCCTATATCCAGAAGAACCCAACCAGAGTTGCCGATTTGGCATTCACTCTAGCTAATAGAAGGGAACATCTTCCTCACCGGGCATTCTCCGTGAAAAGCCCATTGGGTCCGCTCACAACTTCGACGCCCTCAAAAACTGGCGAGGCACCAAATATAGTCATGGTTTTCACTGGCCAAGGCGCTCAGTGGCCACAAATGGGTGGCTCTATGATCCAAAACCCCTCCTATCCCACGTTTAAGAAGAGCATTCAAGATCTTGACTCATATTTGCAAACCCTCACACATGCTCCAGAATGGAGCATTGAAGAAGAGCTCTTGAAGGGCCCGGGTACTAGCAGACTCGGCTCATCCGAATTATCCCAGCCTTTGTGCACGGCAATACAAGTGGCACTGATCGACACTTTCGCTTCCATTGGGGTTCAGCCTGCCGCTGTCGTGGGTCACTCTAGTGGCGAGATAGCTGCTGCATACGCTGTCGGTGCCATCACGGCCAACGAAGCAATCACGATTGCGTTTTATCGAGGTCAGGTTACCAAGCTACAAACCAGGCCTGGGGCCATGGCAGCTATAGGCATGGGTATGGAGGACGTTCAGGAATACCTACAGGATGGTGTCATCGTTGCTTGCGAAAACTCGCCCAAGAGTGTCACCCTTGCTGGTGATACACATGCTATTGAAAATGTTATTGCCACGATTAAGGAGACCCACCCTGATATCCTGGCCAGACAGTTGAAAGTCGACAAGGCGTACCACTCTCATCATATGGCTGAGATAGGCGACGAGTACCATGCTTTAATTGAACACGAAGTATCCGCCAAGGCACCAAATAAGTTGTTCTTCAGCAGTGTCGAGAACAAAATACTCACCGAAGTCCAGAATTTCGGTCCCAAATACTGGCAGATGAACCTACAGTCCCCAGTGCTCTTTCGTTCGGCTGTCTCATCCATAATCAAGCACCAGATTTCGAAGAACATGGTGCTACTTGAGGTTGGACCACACTCCGCTCTTGCGGGTCCCTTGCGACAGATCCAGAGTCATCTTTACACTTCTTCTCCTTATATTTCTACATTTGTTCGCAACCAGGACAGTACAGAATCTTTCCTGACTGCCATTGGGCAGCTGCATGTTCTCAATGCTATCTCCGAGTTGGGCAAGGTCATCAGCGAAGGCTCCACTCTCCCCGATCTTCCAAGGTACCCATGGGATCACTCAAAAAGGTTCTGGTATGAGTCTCGGTTGAGCAAGGAGTGGAGACATCGCGAACACAAGTCTCACGATCTTTTGGGTGTCCGGGTTACAGAGAGTCCTGACTTTCAACCTGTTTTCCGAAATCTCTTTCATTTGGACAATGCCCCGTGGATTCGTGACCACAAGGTCGGTGATGATATTGTCTTCCCCTTCGCTGGCTATGCTGCGATGATTGGCGAGGCTGTGAGACAGCTTACCGGTGTCAGTGAGGCATTCAAACTGCGCAATATCATTGTTAGCACTGCCCTTGTCTTGAATGAGGGTCCGCCAGTTGAGATCGTGACAACACTACATCGCCATCGATTAACAGATTCTCTCGACAGTGAGTGGTGGGGATTTACCATCACTTCTTACAACGGAGCTAGTTGGACCAAGCACTGCTTGGGCGAGGTTAGATCGCATAGCGAACACGTTGAAGATGTAAGCAAGAAAGCTCCTCTTGTGCGGAAGGTTGATACTCGCCGTTGCTACCATTCTATGGCCATGTCTGGTCTCAACTTTGGGCCATCTTTTCAACGTCTCGAACATGTCCGATCAGACACTGTTACGCAGAATGCAACATCCGAACTTGCTGCAAAAGATACTGATGGGGAGAACTATCATTTGCATCCCACAGTCATCGATGCCTCACTTCAACTGCTCAGCGTTGCTGCGTCCAAGGGATATGCCGACCAAATAACCAACATAATGGTTCCTACCCACATTCAAGAAATGTCCATCTACCGCTGTTATGAGAATGTCCAAGTCCAAGCCTCCGCATCTTACACCCCGAACGGCTCTATCCTCGGTAGTGGCCAGTGTATTACTGCAGGGGGCAAGGTTGCTTTACGAAGTTCTGGAATCAAACTCTCTGTTCTCGATCATCAGGACTCCGACAAAGTGGACAACACCACTGCCCGTGCAGAATGGGCTCCCCATATCGACTTCCTGGATGCCAACACTCTCATCAAGCCATTAATTGATCGCAGTGATTATATGCCCGCTTTGACAGAGCTATCTCATCTGTGTATGATTTACACACAGCGTGTCATCGCAGAACTGGACACTTCAATCGGCCACATGCACAAGTATCGATCATGGATTGATCACCACCTGCTGTCCGTGGATGTGCGGAGCCTCCAGATTCTTGACAATACTACCATCGAGCAGCGAGTGAAGGAACTTGTCCATCAGATATCTCAAACCAACGGCGCCCATCTTGCTAGTGGTATTGAGGTGGTTTTCAATAACGCCCAACAGATTTTCACCGGAGAGGCCGGGGCTCTGGATCTCCTTCTGGCGGATGGCATATTGGCCAACGTCTACAACGCAATGGATCAGTGCGATATTTCCGAATTCATCACGAAATTGAGTCACACCAAGCCCAATCTGCAAATCCTCGAAATAGGTGCCGGAACCGGCGGATCTACAGCTAATCTCCTGAAGCTGTTGACACCTGGGGACAGGACCTTATACACGAATTACACCTTCACTGATATCTCATCTGGCTTCTTTGTTGCTGCAAAGGATCGGTTTGCCAATTACCCAAACATCGAATACGCTACTCTCGACATTAGTAAGGATCCCTCCGATCAGGGTTTTGATGGTCGCAAATACGACCTAATTCTGGCGACTAATGTTATTCACGCCACTGCATCCTTGAACGACAGTCTGAGCAATGTTCGCAAACTTCTTTCTCCCACTGGATGGTTCTTGCTCCACGAATTGACACCCACATCCAAATGGATCAACTATATCTTTGGAACTCTAGCTGGTTGGTGGTATGGCGATGTTGACGATCGGTCGGACGAGCCGTACATAGGCGTTGAACGTTGGGCAAAAGAACTCAAGGCCGCTGGATTTCGTACTCCAGATGCTGCAGTTTTGGATTCGGACCACCCACATCAGTTAAACGCCATGATCGTGGCTAGATCGGAAATTGAGACCGCACCTAAGAAATGCGTCACGCTCTTGACCCTCTCTGAATCAAGACCTGTCGGCCCTTTACTTCAAGCCCTGGAGAATAGGGGATACTCCGTTCATCATTCTCGGTTTGGCGGAGAGCCCCTACCTGACGGACAAGATGTGATTGCGTTGCTTGATGATGAAGCCCCGTTCTTTGAAAACATGGATAGCCAACGCTTTGACTGTTTCAAGAAATTGGCGGAGAGCCTAAATAAATGTGGTATTCTCTGGGTGACTCGTTTATCACAAGCCCAATGTCAGGACCCGAGATTTTCCCAAATCAACGGCATAGCGAGGACGATCCGCAATGAATTGTTTGTCGATTTTGCTACTTGCGAGGTCGATAATCTTGATGTCTCTTTGAAGAAAGTCATCGATGTATATGAGAAGTTCCAAGTCCGTCGGGAGGATGAGACCCTCAAGCCTGAATTTGAATACGCTATTGTTGATAATACTGTCCAAGTTGGGCGGTACCATCCATTCTCGTTGCAAAATGAGCAACAGACGTCCTGCTCAAATGGTAGCATGGCTCTTCGAACCAGTAAGGCCGGTCGATTGGCTGCGTTACACTGGGCTCAGGAGGATATCAAACCTCTGAAGGGAGACGAGGTGGAAATTGACACTTACGCAACTGGTTTGAATTTCAAGGTAGGTCCGAAGGCAACAGGTGGACAGAATAACACATACTGATACAAGTCGGCAGGATGTCTTATGTGCCATGGGCATTGTCGAAGCCAAAGATAATGAATTTGGCCATGAAGGCGCCGGCGTAGTCCGCCGCATCGGTCCCGAAGTTCAAGGTCTGAAGGTCGGTGACCGGGTCATGGTCGTCGGGAGCTGTCTATTTGGGACGCAATTAGTTCTCTCTGAGAACCTCTGCGAGAAGATCCCAGGTGGCTTAAGCTTCAATGATGCGGCGAGCATGCCTTGCGTGTTTAGTACATCAATATACTCCATTTTCAACGTTGGAAATCTGGAAAAGGGACAGGTTTGTTTCCCCTCGGCCCTCTAATTTCTTAGGTCGACCTTTGACATATTGTATAGTCCATTCTTATCCACAGTGCCTGCGGTGGAGTTGGCATTGCGACTATTCAGCTTGCTCAGATGGTTGGCGCGGAGATTTACGCAACGGTCGGTAACGAGGAGAAGGTCAAGTATCTCATGGACACGTTTGGCCTTCCTCGGAACAGGATCCTCAATTCCCGTAATACCTCGTTCGTCGAGGATATCATGCGGGAGACAAATGGAGAGGGTGTCGACTTGGCATTGAACTCTTTGTCTGGTGAACTACTTCATGCTACATGGAAGTGCATTGCACCGTTTGGAAAGATGGTCGAGATTGGCAAACGTGACTTGCTTGGCTCTGGAAAGCTTGATATGACTCCTTTCTTAGACAACCGGAGCTATTGCTGTGTCGACTTGGATCAAATTTGTTCCAGAAAGCCGACTCTTGCAAAGAAGTATGTATCATCAATCACGAATGAGATGCAAATGTATGATATTCGATAACTGACATATCATGCAGGCTGCTGAAGGAAATTGTGCACCTACTCAGGGAGCGCTACATCTCTCCTGTCCGACCCATCAAAGTCTTCAGTTCCGATGGTATACACGACGCCTTCCGTTACATGCAGCAAGGCACACATATGGGAAAGATCGTCGTGTCGATGCGTGATACTTCAGGCCAAGTTAGCGCTGTACAAAATATCCAGCAACAAAAAAAGCCCACCCAACTCAACAGCTCTGGTGCATACCTGCTGGTAGGTGGCCTTGGAGGTCTGGGTCGGGCTATATCTACGTGGATGGTCCAACACGGAGCTCGACATCTCATATATCTTTCCCGAACTGCGGGTTCAAGCGAAATCCACCGGGAGTTTGCCCAAGAGCTTGCCAGTATGGATTGTCGCGTCGACTTTGTGCAAGGTAGCGTGTCCAACATCGAAGATGTAACCACTGCCACCACACGGGCTCAAGGCCGGCTTCGGGGTATCTTGCAGATGTCCATGATGCTTTGTGATCGGAGCTTCGCACGTATGACACTGGAGGAGTGGAACACGGCTGTTGATCCGAAGGTCAAGGGAACATGGAATCTTCATAATGCTTCAGTGTCTGCGAATGCGGAACTCGACTTCTTTGTTCTTTTCAGTTCGGTGTCTGGCGTCTTTGGACTTCCTGGTCAGATCAACTATGCTGGTGCGAACACGTTCCTGGACGCCTTTTCTCAATACCGCTTGGGTTTGGGACTACCGGCTTGCGCTATTGATCTCGGTATCGTCGAGGGAGTAGGTTATGCTGCTGAGCAGGAAGAAATTTTACAAAAGCTCAAAGCTGCGGGTGGCCTAGGCAATACGGTCTCGGTGAGCGAGCTTTTGGACGCAGTAGAGGCAGCGATGACATCTATACCAAGTAAATCGAGACCCGAAGCAAGCAACTTCTGCGTTGGAATTCGCCCCAATGTGCCTCTCGCTGATCAAAGAAACCGTTTGATCTGGAAGAAGGACACCCGAATGTCGGTGTTCCATAATACTGGAGCAGCTGGTACCACCTTGACCTCTGCTCCTGGCGCTGGTCTGGAGGCCTTCATCACACAGGCCAAGGGCGATGCCGCGCTACTAAGCCAACCTGATTCTGCTCAAATGCTCGCTGTGGAAATTGGAAAGAAGGTGTTTAACTTCTTGCTGAAGCCGGAAGAAGATTTGGTGACATCTTACTCGTTGTCTGAGCTTGGAATGGACTCTCTCGTGGCAATTGAGGTGAAACAGTGGTGGAAGGCGACATTCGAGTTCGATATCAGTGTCCTCGAATTGATGGGAATGGGGTCTCTCGATATACTCGGGGAACACGCTGCTCATGGCATGCTTAAATGGTTCCATGGTGTACAAGAGCAAGCCGACTGAGCAATAAGTGGTTATATATAATTTAATTCAAATGTGAGCTGATGCTTAGCGGTGTATTAAAAGAACAAACCAGGGAGATAAAAGCAAGGAGACAAGAATAGTCGGCTGCTTATGCGGCCTTGTCAAGTAATCTTTTGTTGTTTCTTTGTGATAGTCTTTTCAGATGACTTTTCAGATGTCTTTCTAGCAGTCTTTTGAGTGGTCTTTTGAGTGGTCCTTTTTGGTAGACTCCTCAGGTAGTCTTTCCAGATAGACTTAGATATCAGTTTTTATAGATATTTCCTTCCCCTTCTTAGTTTGTTAGGTAGACGGTAGAAAAAGGCGGGGAAAGTCTTAAATTGTGAAACCGACTTTTCCATGTATAACGAACCTTTGATATAACAGCCAGGTCTCGCCACTTTCCACACCTTATGCTCTCTTAAAACCCAAGAATGCTGTGACTTAGAAGCGACAGCTGAGGAATATGAACTATACCACATCGACCGTTTCTAACTATCCATTTTCTGTTCAGACTTGATGTGATACCTCCAGTTGAGGAAGTCGGAACATCATTGCCCAAATCCCCAATGCCACAGCCAGCATGGCTAGCAAGATCGGCTGCAGCACAGTCACCCCCTTCGCCTGAGCAATGGCTCCAATCATGAATGGGAAAACAGCGCCACCCCCCATAGAAAAGGCAGCCGCAAATCCAATAGCAGCAACGTGAAGATTCTTCGGTAGCATTCGTGTCGCCACAATCACAACTCCCGGGAAGATAGTCCCCATAAAGAATCCAACAAATGCAACCGCAACCGCGGACACGATGAACTCAGGCACGAGCCAGAAGATAAGCTCAAGAGCAATCGCAAGCAAGATGTATATGGCAATGGACAACTTCTCTCCAATTCGTGGCGACACAAACCCTAGCACGAATCGACCGACTGTGATGCCTAGCCAGAAGCCTGTCTCTGCCATTCCGGATTGAAATGGGTCGCCGTGTCGGACGTTCGTCATAAATACAACAATCCATCCACCGATTGCTACCTCAATTCCGCCATAGAGGAAGAGAAAGACGGCGCATATCCAGGTGACCTTGTGTGTGAGGGCGAGGCGTGTTTGAGAAAATGCTCCTCCTCTGCCTGGGAAACTAGGATTCTCTTCTTGGTATTTACTTCCAGTTTCATCCCAAAAAGCGGTAGCGGAGTAAATTAGCGCGATAGCAGCTGCTCCGGTCTATATTTCATCGTTAGTTTCTCAGTGTGCAGCGGTTTCATGGTGAGGTAGAGAGGATCGAGATACCATCAAATAGTAATAAGAGTACCATTCCCATCCAGCTTTGATAATTAGACTCGTAGCAACGAGAGGGCTTATTGTGGCCCCCACGCCATAGAATCCATGGAAGAAACCGAGGACTTCATGCGAGTTCGCCATGTTCCCGATCCATACATTCCATGCCGCATTATGAAGTCCGCTACCCAAGCCAACCAGCATGTACATAATCACCAGGACTGGAAAGGGTGGGTGGACAGATATGACCGCAAATGCAAGCACATGGCAAATTGGAGCAACTATTGTGATTCCTCGCCTGCCGAGAGTCTGATGAACTAAATTGCTCAGGATAGCGGATACGGTATATCCCACAAATGGCGAGAGGAACACTAGAGAAACGACCGTGTAGTTTTTTTGATAGTAGGTCTCTAGCTGAAAAGTTCAAATAATACGGTCAGTGATTTTATACAGCCGGACAAAGTCAAAGCTGAGTTGGTGACACAAACATAGGGAATAATAGCTCCATATGCAGCATCATTGGACCCCATCACAAATGCACACCAAAACGTGGCAGTCACTTTCCATATAGTTGTTTTCGACTCGTTCCATCTTGGTGCGACATTTACTGCATGCAAAGGTGGAGTTTCATCGGTCTCTGAAGGCGTCGCTTCGGGCGTATATTGGTGTCCAAGTTCGCCTGGTGTTGGTGGCCAAGATGACGGTGGCGTCGAGTTCGCACTTCTGCTCATTTTTGGTAGTGTCACTTCCAAGGTTGGAAATTTGTGAAGGTGAGTCAGAATCGTGAGATTGAGGGGGCCCCGGGGCCATATGAGACATGTAATCATGCGGGGGAACCAACTGGTGAATGTAACCCCGATATCCTATATGTGAAGATTTATAGAGCTATCCCTGCCCATAAACAGGATTCATGAGTTCAGTATGGCTTCAGTTTCATTACTTCTTTGTTAAGTCTATTAATTCTATACTCATATCTAATTAAAACGGCCATTAATCATAGTGAAAGTTCGACGGCAGCATTCCGAAGCGAACATACAACCCTAGAGGCCAAATGATGATATAAGAGGCCATCAAGGACGCCAATATGGAAGCAGTAGTGTATGCCAGAGAACCCTGTCAATCTTCCGATCGTGTCAATCATAAACAGGAATATAGGAATATAATAAACGCCGGTCACGTGGTGGTATTCCCCGAGGTCATCAGCGTGTTTACCCGACCTCGGATGTCTCCAAGACTTCAACCTTTCCATCTTGGGAAAAAAGCCACGTCACATCAGAATTTCCTAGTTGAAATGGCTACAACCTCGCAGATCTCCCCGAAAGAGGTTAATCTAAAGGAGTTCCTCCAGCCCTTCCGCGTCAAACTCGAGACTTTGTATGATTTATCCTGTCGGCTATCGTCGTCTTATAAAAAGTTGGCCGCGGAGTCTTCAGAATACTTTATTCCATCGGCCCTTACCCGTCTTCCAACGGGCCATGAAACAGGACGCTATCTTGCTGTCTATTTTGGTCTGTCCTACCTTCGTGTGGCCTTCATCGACCTCTTAGGAGATCAACATGTCGAAGGACATGCACGCGTACGACGCACATTAGAGAAGGCATGGCCTATTGAAGAACATCTACGAAAGGACCATTCTACTGACCTCTTCACATGGATTGGAGACTGTATCGCCGAGGTGGTGGCAGACAGACTGGCCAACCCAAGTGAAGAGCGGATTGACCAAATAACGACAGGCATTTCCTTTTGTCTTCCTATAAAGTATAGTTATCCTCCCAGACTCGGCTGTGTGTTTCTGTGACTAATATAGTGTAGACAAGATGCCCTCGATGAAGCCATCTTGATGCCGACAGGGAAAGGCTTTTGGCTAAACTCAGACCTCAATCTCCGCCAAGCCTTGTTGAATGGATATGAACGCCACACATATTCAACTCATGGCGATGAAATGAACATGCCTGCTAAACGCCGCAGGCTGTTTTCTCTTCCTAAATTGAAAGTCGCAGTCATGATCAATGATACGACAGCGACTCTTGCTTCGTTGGCGTATTCCATCCCTTCCTTGCCTAACACCCGTGTTGTTATGGGTCTGGTCGTGGGCGCGGGATGCAACACGACCGTTCCCATGAAACTTGCCGACTTGCATGAATCCAAAACTAAAAGCATCCTTGAAAAACACCCCGACGCTACGGAAACGCTCATCTCAACTGAATGGACTCTCTCCACTGCGGCGGCTTCTTTCGATGAGCTTGGTATTCGAACGAAATGGGACCTTGAGCTCGATAGAAATTGCAAAAGACCTGGTTTCCAACCAATGGAATATATGATCGGCGGTTTATACACTGGCGAGCTCGTCCGCATCGTCTGTTATGATTGGTTCCATGGAGTTTTGGGAATACAGCGCTCTAAGTTACCGCTGAAGTTGGTTGAGGAATATTCTCTTTCAACAGAATACCTCTCCATTGTTGTTGCCTCTTCTCTGTCCGATGAGCGCTTAGCAAGCGAGTTGTCAAAGACACTTCAACCATCTCCTGAGAGTGATTGGACCTGGTCACCTGAATATGCCCGTGATATTCGGGCCATTGCCTCGGCTGTGCAAGATCGTGCGGCTTCTTTGGTGGCATCTGCGGTTGTTGGTCTCTTAGCCTGCAATAATGAAGTCCAATTGTGCAACACGGCCCCCAAGTGCGTCAATGGGGAAAATGTCGATACGGAAGCTGGAATTATTGAACAAACGGACTCCGAGTCGGCCTCATCGTCAACGTCAGGTTGGAATAGCGGGCCCGAGGAACTTGCCGTGGCTTTCTCGGGTGGAGTGATTCAACATTATCCTCACTATAAAGAAAATGTACAGAGATATATTGATCGACTGCTACTGCGAGCTGGTCCTCAAGTAGGAGGAAAGAGTGTCTTCTTGCGGGAGGCCAGTGATGGCGGGATCATTGGAACTGGTGTCCTTGCAGGAACGGCGTCAGGGGAAATTGGGGAAATCAAGATTACTCCTGGTTAGATATCATCAATTTCCCCCAATTGATACATAGTCATATAGACGCGTTATAAGATATATCTCGCATTTCCCCCCTCAGAGCCTCACCAGAGAAAAGATTACTCACTCCACTTAGGCCAACGAATTGATGCATTCCCTCCATCTGAGGTATCTTGCGGCGGCCTTGTGATGATACAGAAGCTCCCTACAACCCTTGATATTACTGCAGATGGCGACATGGTCAATCATGATCGCCTGGGGTTTACCCGTGCTGTCACTGGTAAATAAAAGGAAGGCAGTAATGTACAAAAAGGCTACCTGAGAAGATTACCAAAACAGACCACTAAAAAAGACCTCTAAAAAGACTGTGAGAAGACCACCAAAAGAATATTTGACAAGGCCACTTATGAGTATCCTGTGGAATGATTAAACACAGAGCATCAACGACGCATATAGCGAAGACACCAATGTTCGAGACCTCGGGAGGCTGGTCCACTTGAACCACGAGGCTTTGGGTGTCGATGGTCGCCAAAGCACTGCGATTGTACTGCTTGACACTCTGGAGACCTTGTTGCTCATGGCATAGCATCCAGCCTTCTTCCACCTGAACACTAGTCAGAGTTCTCGTGTATTGTTGATTGACGTTCTAGACGAGGATACGGTGTGGCAACCGTTCTCCCTGGTACTTGCTGTGGTGTAACCCTTCTACTCACCACCTCCAACCCTTGTCGTCGCGGTACACATCGGTGCTCTTGACGGGATATAAATGATCCATTGCCGTGGATTTTAAGGCGAGGCAATAACTGGCGTAAATTCGATCATCCCACTTCGTGCTCGTATCGACATGAATCACGTGGCTGAATCCGGATATGTGCCTGAAAAGTATTAGCTCGTTTAACATTGGAAATCATAGCATCGGGCATACATCTCTCCGATGGCCCAATCGTATATGATCTTAGACGACGTAGGAAGTTGTGGCCGGCATCCGAACTGTAGAAGCTTTCTGATTCCTATTAGCTCTAGCTACGTTATCGCAATCAAGATGGCCGAACAACATACTCATAAACCTGGCGAAACTTTGCTCGAATCTCCTGTCGCTGGGAGAAGGGGCAACTCCAGAACATTTCCCTATCAAGGGAGTCTCCGCGAACTTTTTCCCACACCACATAAGTGATATAGCCCCCGGGGACGATATCGTCTTCATCTTGCTTCCCTAACTGGTATCCAAGCAGCTCAGGCACAACATCACATCCTTTCTCCATAAAGGCCTTTAAGGCGATAAGCTCTGTATGTTCACGTGGCCCGGCGGCCTGAGCAGCTCGGATTGTAGACTTCTGGAACTCAGTCCCAGCGATAGGAATCTGCTTGTAAATTCGCATAAATGCGAGCTTCTCTTGGGCGTCGGAACCGGCGGGGCGACAAAGAAACTTTCCAGAAACGTATCCAGGGGGCAGACCATCAGCAATGTCTTCCTCGGTCGAGGCATATGGGCACTCGTCAAGCTTCTCGACAATTTGCCAGGTCTCGGGGTCAAAGTAAAACGGCGGTTCTGGCGGTGAGTTAAGGGTAATTTCAGTGCCTTCGAGTCCGGAAAGGAACTCGGCCATGATGGGCTGACAGTTGATAAAATAGGGAAAGAAAACGATGAGAGCTTGGAAAGTAATAGTGGGTGAAAGACTGGATCAGGGTGACGGGGAGTGAAAGGGAAAAAGTTGGGTGAAAAGACTGGATGGGAATCGGAGGGCAAACAATTAGACCTCAAACTCTACTACAACATACACTTAATCTGCGAGGTGACGGAACCATGCAGCGAACCAAGCGCAGATATGCCTTATCGAGCGTAATAGTCGGAGCAGATGGAGACCTGAGGATTTGGAGAAAGATTCAAGGGCAAGGTCTATAGGGGACACCCTTAGCTACATGGTTATGTTCCCTTATACCGATGATAGAAGTACTACGACTCTACCTAGTTACCTAGGTAGGTATACTTGACAATCTGTGTCAAGACACTGCGGCCAATCACCTCGTCCCGTCCGTTTGCTAAATCCTAAATGGGTATAGTGTCGACGCTAGCGACATACTAAGTTAGCTACAATATGAAAACACGTTTTTTTGATCTAAGACCACGCCATTAGTATCTCTCTTCAAGGATTGTGTAAAGCTTGCTACTTAGGATCTCATTGCCGAGCCCCAAGTCTTGCGATTGCCAATATATATCAGCCTTATTTGGTTGGGACCCGCCAAGAACACTGAATGCAAGAATTTTCTTTTTCCCCATTGCGATATTCCACCAAACGCGAACAATCACAATGAAATTCTTCGATGTGAGCAAATTCCTTCCATTGTTTCTAGAAGTTTGACTAACACTGGCGACAGGTTGCCGTCACATTCACTGCAGACCAATTCCAAGGGATTTACCGAGGAAAGCAATATCACGACCCAGATTTTGCAGAAGTGCTGAAAAGAGCCCGAGACCATGGTTGTGAAAAGACTATGCTCACCACCATGACTCTGGAAGGCGCAAAACAAAACCTGCGGGCAGTGAGGGAGTTCCCCGCAATGTGCAAAATGACCTTGGGCGTGCATCCGTACCACGCCGCCGAGATCTACGAACAGCCAGAATCACAATATATGAACGAGCTGCGCGAACTAGGTGAAACACTTCTAGCCGAGAGCCCCTCGCCTCTAGCTGCGTTTGGGGAAATCGGGTTGGACTACGAGTACTTGGATCGGGCCGATAAGGAAACGCAGCAACGCGCATTCCGCGAGCAATTAGAGATGGCCGTTCAATTTCAATTACCGCTGTTCCTGCATGTTCGTGAATCAGCCGAGGACTTTGTTTCCATCATCAAGCCCTTTTTGCCAAGACTGCCGCGTGGTGGCCTGGTGCATTCTTTTGCGGGGACGAAGGGGGAGGTGCTCCAGCTCGTGGAATTGGGTCTTGAAATTAGTGTCAACGGTATCTCGTTCCGGACCGATGAACAATTGGAAATGGTTAAGAGTATTCCATTGGACAAGTTACAACTGGAGACTGATGCCCCATGGTGCGAGGTCTTGTCTAATGACCCCAAAATCGTGGCTTATCTGGAGACTGCGAGGCCTTTGCCGGCGAGTCGGAAACATAACAAGTTTGTACTGGGACAGATGGTCAAGACACGCAATGAGAGTTGTTCTATGGAGCGTGTGGGATTAGTTGTGGCGGGTTTGAAGGGTGTCGCTATGGAAGAAGTGGCAGAGGCCGCTTGGAATAATAGTAGTCGGATGTTTTGGTTGTGAATATATATCTTTGAACCAATGTTTATAATTAAAATCAATGGACAGGACTTGACATATTTCTCTTCTGGTTTAGCTAGTTTAATTGTATCATTGGAACTATCGATATCAAGAATTCATTCGTAGCATGTCCCACTAGCAGAGCAATGAGCACCTCGAAGTGCACCGTGCAGATCCTGCAGCAACAAGCTTTTGCTCACGCCATGAACATAATACATGAAAAGAAGTTTTGATAGATCAATGTGGATGTAAACAAAGCCCTTGGCTTAGAAAATCATGATTGGTGCCCTGGGTAGGTATGCAGGGGGAGGAACACAGGGGTTCGATCGCCCTTTAGGGCTTGCCTCGGCCTGGAGGCCGAGCCCCAAATGGGTTTTATCGCATAGCTCACGATTGGTGGAAAGGAACTAGACAGAATGAAGTTCATATTGATCCCGGGACTTGATTGCCGGAAATTTGAGATTTTGCATAAACATTGTGACGCGTCCTATTTTAGTCTTTCTGAGATCATGTCAAGATTCCTGAACTAAACTTAGCTCTCGGAGATTAATGCAGGTGGGAATGAAGGAAGACATGGTGCCTTCTTTTTCACACTTGATCCCTCAGTGCCCATTAGGTTTACAATCCAATTGCCCCTCGAGTCGTTGCCACTATACAGCCGGGTTTGCTTTGCTGGCGATCTAGGTATGTAGACAACACATGATCGAGATGACAGTTGTGAAACTTTTTCAATACATGTATAGAGATAGAATACAGACCTATTAATGTTGTTAGATTGTCAATGATTTGCTCGTAACTTCTTATGCGAAGATAAGCACACATGGTGGTGGAGACCCACGGTTAGTTGACATTCTTTTCGTTGCGAGGGCCATCGCCAAATTATCAGCGCATGGGCAAACGCTGCAACATGACGGTATCTGCCATTCCTCTGTGGAGTTATGTGGAATGTTATTTACCATTGGCCGTGTATTTATACTAATTGCTGTCGACAACCCAGGCTTGATTCCAATTTCCCCAAGCCTCTATACTCTTATAATTGACATTGGTGGTTTAGTGTTTAGTATCATATCAAGAGATCAAAAGTCCATATACAAAAAGTTCTCGAAGAAGCTGTAAGTGAAGCGTTGTGGACTGCTTCGTTCTTTCCTCGGGCATTTATTCGATTTTGCCATTATTTGAGACTAACGCGCGGCATAGAAACACATCATTCACAATGAAAGGCACATTGATCCTCTCTGGCCTTCTGGCCACCACTGTCTCGGCTCATATGCAGTTGAGCAAGCCATTGCCTATTCGCAGTCCCCTCAACAAGGATGCCAAGGGCCAGAAGGATTATTCTTACACCAACCCTCTCTCTACCTCTGGTAGCGACTACCCCTGCAAAGGATACGCCAATGATGACTTCGAGGCCGTGGCCACGTGGGAACCAGGCTCCTCCCAAGAGATGGAGTTGGAAGGCAGTGCCGTCCATGACGGCGGCTCATGTCAGCTCGCCCTGACTTATGACCAGGGTAAGACCTTCAAGGTCATTGAGTCAGTCGAGGGTGACTGCCCTATTGCTAAGAAGTACCAATTCGATATCCCCTCGGACGCACCAAGCGGCGATGCTCTCTTCGCTTGGACCTGGTTCAACAAGGTCGGCAACCGCGAGATGTATATGAACTGTGCTATGATCACCATTGGTGGCTCCGGCAACCGCACCGCTACTGTCGACTCCGAGAACCGTGAGGCCAGGGAGGCCCCCCCAAGCAGTTGCTCCAGGAGAAGACCATTGAGAAGGGGCCCAACAACAAGGCAAACGACCAAACACCTTACAACAAGCCCAATAGCCACACAACAAGCGCCGAGAACAGCTTCGATAGCCTCCCTGAGATCTTCGTTGCCAACGTCGACCAGACTGGCAAGTGTGTGACCATCGAGGGCCAGGCCGTCCACTTCCCCAAGCCCGGTTCCAAGCTCATCGGCAAGGCCGATGGCCCTGGTTACAAGTGCTCCGGCAGTGCTCCCTTCCTCGACGACACCTCCAAGTCCGAGGAAAAGCCCTCCACCACTACCACCAAGTCCGAGAAAAAGCCAGCTACCACAAGCGCCTCTTCCACCACCACCACCACCAAGTCCGAGAAGAAGCCCGTTACCACAAGCGCCTCTTCCACTACCACCACCAAGTCCGAGAAGAGGCCCGTTACCACAAGCTCCTCTTCCACTACCACCACCAAGTCCGAGAAGAAGCCCGTTACCACAAGCGCCTCTTTCACCACCACCAAGGCCATGTCCAAGGTTGCTCAGGACTTGAGCACTTCCTCTACCACCACTGACCCCCGTGTCCTCTCCACTGAGGCCTCATCTAACAACCAGTTCGTCGACTACGTCGGTCAATGGTCTTGCCACTCTGGGGAAATCATCTGCTCCCCCGATGGATTCTCCTTTGCCATGTGCACTAACGGCAAACCCATCTTCATGGGCGCCGTCGCTGCTGGTACTATTTGCCGCATGGGCGTTATCACTGCTCGCCAGTAAATGTGTTCCTTTTCTACTTTTCTTGATTTCTCTTGCCGATTGTTTTTTTCTGGATACATCCCAGTGGATATTTCAAGTTACACCAGTCCCTCGACTGATTAGTCGAGTGAACTTCGCTCGCCACCTTCGGTCTGGACTTTGACAGTTGATGTCTCTTTTCAGCCTGGCTTTTGGGCGCTCTGTATTGTTTGTATTATCCATTACCCATGACATGTTAAGCGACGAGCTAGTTGATGTCCCTATGCTGACGGTATCTTCATGCCGAGCTACCTAATGATTCCGCCTGTTAATTTAAATTTTGAACCTTGGTTATGCTATAAGTCATTCTTGTAATGATCCCCAGGGAATGATATATTTTTCTCATAGAATACATGCGCGTCAAACATCTAATTGGTAAACTACCATACAAGTCGCAAGATCGAATAGTCACTGTGCCTTGGTCAATGTTTTCTTGGGCGAGATACTGCTCAACGGATACTTTCGTTGTATGCTTTCTCATGGACCCTTACTCAAAGTAATAAAATATTTACGGTTATAATGTGATGTATAACTAGAGTTTGCTTCTTAAAACATGATCCTTATTTCTGCACATTGGATATTTTAGGATTCAATTTAGAACTAAATCAATGAAACCAGACTTATTTATATATTCTTTGAGCTACTTCGAGGGTTGAGAAATGTTATTTATACTATGGAGCATGTGTGTAGACTTTTTACGGCATACCCATACAAAAGGTAGTTAGTCACTTAACTAATTTCTGGAACTACATGTCGGTAACACCTGGGGTCGATTACCTTTAATCACCTCGACACTTTCCAATCGCTAACTTGCTCCCATCGGGATGGATATTTACAGCTATCTTGTCCCACCCAAGCGGCGATCTATCAGAGAACTGGTTCGTACATCATTTCCGACGATTGACTGTTTCTCATTGGTCAGGATGTCCTAAAGAGGTGCATACGAGTGCATAGTGCATACGATATACATCCATGGATAGTACCTTACAATCCTATTGGCTTTGTAAAATCATGCTTACCATCCAAGACATCCTAAAAAGAAGGCTTAGAACGGTACTCCGTGCCAAAAGTAGACCTAAATGCGGTTCTTACGGTTCTTCAGCTGAAGTCTACAAGGTCTGACCCTTCAGCTCTGACCCACGCAAGAACGCCTCCGAAGTACTAGTTCGGGGTTGAGCTATCATCTTTTCGTTTCTTCGGTGAATTTTATCTTTTTATGTTCAAGTGGAACCAATCATGTCCCTCGCGCCATGTCTCTCGTGTCTCTGCGCCAAGAGGCAAACATAGAAGCCAATCTACAGTACTCCCTCCGTACATCCCTAGTCGAAATTCAAAACTGCAAGTAAGGGTCGAGCCCGACCATAATTACTCTTATTTGATTTGATTTCTTAGAATAATATATACTCTGAACAAAGCCATCATCTAGAGATCCTAGAAAGCTTCAATTTTCTTCTTCCGGGAGACTATTCACATCACCATGGGCGATTCCCAACAGAAATCCTTTGGCTACGAATGGCGCTCTTCCAAATGGTTTATAATTTCTACTGTCACTCTTGCCTTGTTTGGTGGTTTGTCTGCCTGAAATCCGCTTTACAATCTATCGTTGACACTGTCTGGTACTAGAAACCTTCCTATACGCATTTATTGTCCCTATTTTAGACTACATGCTACGGAATCGCCTGCATATCGATCGCTCACAGTCTCAGAAAGTTACCTCGACAGTACTCGGCCTCCATGGCGCTATCTCTGTCGTCGCTGGCCCCATCATCGGCCATTTCGCCGATAAAACCCCAAACCGCAAGGCACCATTGTTGCTATCTCTTATTACCTGTATCATAGGCACCGTCATGATTGCTAGCACCCATTCGATTCCGATCCTCTTAATAGGCCGCGTCCTGCAGGCAGTTGCGGGTTCCGCAGTATGGATCATCGGCTATGCAACTATCGCAGATACCGCGGATCAGGCGAATCTCGGCATAATAATGGGTATTGCAATGTCCTTTGTCAACTTGGGAGTCATCGGTGGGCCCGCAATCTCCGGATTATTACTAGAAGTAGCGGGATATTGGATAACTTGGATGGCGCCGCTTCTCATTTTGGGTATCGATCTCGTCGCGCGCCTTTTGATGATTGAGAGTCCTTCGAAGAGTTTCTCTCAGCCTGATACGAAATCCACAAAAACAACACAGACGGCAGACTTAACAGAGACTACGGGTCTGCTGGTCCCGCGTGGCGATCCTCAGGATCCACCCACCGCTGCAGGTGGCTTTTGGCACATTATGTTATACGATGCTCGCGTCCTGACAGTTCTGCTCATTCAGATAATGAGCGCAACGGTGGGAACGTGTTTCAATGCGACTATTCCGCTTCATGTACAGGAAACCTTTGGATGGGGTCCTAGTAAGATTGGATTCTTGTTTTCCTGCTTGATCCTGCCTAGTCTCATAGTCGGTCCGCTGGCAGGCTGGATTAGGGACCGTATCGGAACACGATATCCTGCCGCGATTTCCTTGGTTCTTCAGGCGGCGGTGATGGTATTACTAGGTATTGCTGGAAATGAGCGAATCTCCTGGACGAGTGCTCAGAACTATGGCGGAACACTTTACATAGCATCTATCGTGGCTATGGGTGCATTGCGTCCGTTTATGGCTGGCTTGGGGCCTATTGAATTGACTGGTAAGTGTTGAGTTCTCTCTATGAAGTCGATATATATGTGCAGCTTTCTAATTATTCATCGCAGCCGCTGTCAAAGCACACCAAGAAAAGACGCCAGGTATCTTTGGGCCCGAGGGGGGTCTCTCTCGGGTGTTTGCTATGATGGAGGCTGCTGCTTCCATTGGGATGACAGTTGGCCCAATTGTGGGTGGTTCGCTCAAGGAATTATTTGGCTATGACTACATGAGCTGGACTTGGAGTAAGTGGCTAACCTTTGGCTTGTGACCTCGCTAATGGTGATAGGTCTGCTTTATCTTTTCCTTGCTGGGCTTGTAATGTGTTTCCTAGGATCCGAGGATCCCAATGAAATGCCTCCTGCTGATGGAGACTGCTAGAACTGTCGTTAGGATTCTTGAAATATATTGCATTATATTTAGTTTGTCGTACATGTCTATAATTGTTCGTTGCATTAGTTAAGCTCTCTACCGAGTTAGACATTTGAGTTGACTACATGTAATTATGCATCATCTAACTACTCCGTACTCCGTATTGTCATTGCTCTGAATCACTCTATTTGTCAAAAGATTAATGTCCAGCTCCCTGCACTCCAGAGCTAATATGAGGTATCAATTCTGCAGGTGGAAGCACTATGTTGTGACTTTGGCTTGCAGGTGAATATCCACTTACAATCTCAGCAACAAATCAATTGAATTTAGTCCGCAATGACGACAGCCAAATCCACGGACTAGTTCGCGTTGATTAGCACGAGCCATCCGAATCAAGTTGGGATGTGCACTTAAACATGTCAAGCTGTACATTTGACGGGTCGATCGGCATAAAGTGGCGGGGCTGACTAGAGACCATTGACTATGTAGTCTGCATTAGCGTAGAGGATAATCAACAAATCATTCCGACATCAATCAGAATTAGATTAAATAAAATTTTGATGCTAATCGATTTCAGTCTAGTCAGTCGGAATCTAGATCTCGGGGTCTCCATTTCATCAAACTGGACCATCGAGTTTCTGGTCATCCCCAGGCGATTTCAGCCTTGAGTCACTCCTGAAACCCCGCCAGAAAGCCTCAAGACATGGATCACTTAACGAGTTCCAAAATGTGAAGTCAAAGAATTAAGCACAGCATACAGAGTCTTGTTGTCACATTCCCACCCAAGCCCTAATATGAGCGCTGACGGCCGTAGACATAGGTATCCATTCTTCAAACCACACTAGATGACTCATTATTGATCCCCGAATATGTCAAAAAGAGTGAGGTAACTCACATGAGCGTTTTCTCCAGAACACGCCAAATATTATTCCGTATCTTGCTTCATTGATGATCTGTTCGCCAGGTTGCTCTTCATTGACAGGACCAATTAATCCACCAAACATCAGGTCCCAATCATCCCGCTTTGAATGCCTCGCCCAGTGCATTATATGAGATGGCTTCCCCGCGAGGTGTTTAGAGACTGCAAGGCCTGGCAGCGGTGGCGGGGGTTCCATAGGCGTCCTTGTTGAGATCGAATTGAAACTTCGTCTACGGAGTAGTTCCGTGTGAAAGGAGTAAGTTTGCGCATGCGCATAAATGCAGCCCGCGATATTCAAATCACTCGCGCTGTAATAGGGAAGCGTCACGTCAGTATAAGAGAGAGTTGCATACTCCAGGGTTTCGTGTTCAGCTTACCAAGTATTCATTCAGCACAGGCCGGTTTATGAAACGTGATTATGGAGTTGAACTCCATATTAGAACCACATCTCGAAAGGGTTCATGGTTCGTTTCAAGGAAGTTCGAAGTGAGAGTTGTTTTACCTCAAACATGTTGCAGCCAAAGAACGGGAATGCGAGGCCATTGTTGCTGTTGTTGCTGTTATAGGCCGTACAGAATGTAGAGGTCCCCGAGATTACTACAGGATTGTTTCCTCTGTGACAAGTATAGAACAGTTGGTTGGTAGATATTTCGAGTCGGCAATAGGATTCCTCCCCGTGGTCCCTACTACCCTAACGCCAGGCGGTATGGGATTTCGGCTGACGCCGGATAGTACCGGCCTCCGGGGGCGGATCGGCTCGGAGATACCGGGGGATTGCCCAGAGATCAGTTAAAAAGTGCCCCACAACTCTTGTCTTGTTTTACTTCTCTCTTGTTTACTTCTCTCGTCTCTGCCTAGATCTCTGCCATCTCACAAATTTCACTCATCTCAGAGGTCTCATCGAATGACCAACCCAGGATGGCTCTTCCAATTGCAATTCCTACAATTTTACCATCTTTACGGTAAATCTTCTAGTGAAGGGTTTGACCCGAGGTACCTATTTAAAAAGAGAAATGGTTCATGGTCATCAAATGTAAGTGCAGTGTCATTTCTTACCAGTCTCTTGTGGCCACAGAGTTTCAAAATGCTAACGAAGATACTCTGTATAAGACAGGTGATCTCGTCTGATACAGCCTGGATGGCTCGCTGCGCTACATACCGAAAGGTCTTGCAGGTCAAGATCTGCGACATGCAAAAATTTCGACCAAAGCCAGCGATGGTCGAGAAAGGTTATTGGGGATGAACTTATGTCTCGAGACCTTTATATCGCGACCTTCATCGTGAGCGAGTCTATCTGGAACTAGTGGCATTGAAAGCAACAACAATCTTTCACACCGGCTACAGCGGTGACTGTCGACCTAGTGACGAAGGATAAATAGAGATCTGGGGAACTTTCACGGTCTCATCTATGAAGAAGGACTTTGAAGAGCAAGCGAAAGGAACTAAAAATGGATCATACTCCACATTGAAACCATCAACAATGATTTCTACTGGCTGCTACTGTGATGGCTGTCGACTTGCTACCAAGCAGGGATTAGGGCTCTGTGGTGATTCTCACAGCCTTTTTTATCGAATTATCAACGGGCTCCTCGATGAGCCACCGAAAGGCTGCGGGAAAAGACAATTCACAACATTCGCATTTCCCATGCGCTTTACAACCGATACTCTTTCCATATCTTCTCCCGATACCCCGTTTCCACTGGCAAGTAGTGCCATACTCAATACATGCACTAAATTCAGTCAAATGTCGATACCGCGGCATTGCTTTCTAGAGGGAGCAAGTCAATGGCATCCAAATTACTCATTTCGTGATACACCTCGATCTATATCATCTTATCTTGCATTAGAGCAGAGAACTAGATTGGCTCTTTCAAGCCTTCTGCGGGAAATTGCAAACAACATTCTCGATGACGAGTTGATCATTGATTCATACATGGTACCTGGGTGCACAGAACACAATCAGACAGACCAGTTGCACTCGCTTGCAGCAGAAAAAGTCTTTGGTTTTCGTTCACCAAAGTCACCGTCCCTGTATACATGCTGTACCGGTTGTTGACCCGGCTCCGGCCACCCGTGGTGCGGACATGCCCGCCGTCGGCACTGCCGACAATGAGGACGACGGTATGTCTGATCTACTTTCCTTCTATCTATGCCTCCAATCCATCTATGCCTTCAATCTATCAATGTCTCCAATCCACTCTTTCCTCATCAATGATATTGGGTTCTCTTGTTTCCGACCCCTACTATTATCTTAGGTTGTTGAGTTGCACGCCTATCTCCTGGTGCGGAGTTTCGGGAAGAACCTGGTGATCTTGTGCCCATGTGGTCTGCTCTGAGAACTCACCCCCTCATGGTGCAGAGAAAGAGTTCCGTTGACAACTTTTGTGATCTTCGGTTCCAGGAGAACCTCCTCATCACCATGGTGGGCGTTGATGATATAGAAATGGCACGTGCTAGTGTGGCTGTGGACAAGACGTTCTTTCAGGGGAACTTGTTACAAATCGAATCCCACCTCTAGGGCTATTTGGTGTTTTCAGTTAGTCCCCGGTTTTACACTAAGTTATCTTTGTCATTCGGCTCATTAGCCTTCATATGAGCTTATTCTCATGTACATTATATAGAGAATACATACGAAGTTACTCCACCCCTTAGCTTGTCCTCTCTTTAAAATGATCTCAAGGTTTGATTGGCAAACCCATCAGAAGATACTCGGCTGCTCCGACACGATCTTATGCATCCATGGATGTTGTAGGCCGAACGGGATAAACCGTATGGTGGGGGAAATAAGCGTGAGCTGGCGTAGCTTACTCGAGGCTAGTACCAATGTAACCCGCGCTTCGGATAAGCTTGATACATTGCAAAGAAGTCATCATCACTAAATCTAAAGCACAAGCAGCCATTAGTTCCCCGCATGATCGAATCCGGCATGTTGCCATATATCGACGCATGCGGAAAGTGAGGCTGAATGCCGTTGTCGCATTACTACGCCCAGGAACACGAAACTCAAATTTAGATCCCCGACGAAGTTGATGGGTGTAGAAGAATATTCATAAAGCAGTGTATTGATTAATATTAAAAGTGACCAGCCAGTCTCGAAAGACCTAAGTATGCTCGCCAGATATCCTCCATCATATTGTACAATCCAATCTAATCACAAACATAGCAGTGGTATCTTGGCTCTCAAATAACACAAAAGAGTCATAGAATCATCGACCAGTGCACAAGCAGCAGTCCACTCAGAGGAAGATACTTGGAACAGCAAGTATCCTACACCAGCAATCTAGATGTTGCCAGTGTACGCCGAGTTACCGTAGCCATAGCTACCGGCAGCCGGGGCAGCAACCGGAGCAGTGGTGGTGTTCTTGTTTTTGCCCCAAGAGCTAAACCATCCCTTCTCGGTCTTGGGCTCAGAGCCCATCTCGACGTCATAGGGGGTTGGGTGGCCGGGCAGGACATCAGCGCCGCCGACGTCGGCTTCGGGGTTATTCTTGTTGCGGCGCCAGAAGGCCTTGCGGGTACCGTGGGTGTAACCGTTGGTCGGGGAGGGACCGAAACGCTTCTCGCGCTTGTGGTGGCGGGCGAGAAGGACTTGGAAGAGGATGGAGGTCAAGTAGAAGAAGCTAGGCACGATAAGTTAGCATAATCCAGATGAAACTGATTATCAGTAATCTAGGATCAACTCACATTCCGATAACGGCCACTGCGAAGACGACTTTTTCCAGTTGGCAGGCCATGCTGAACTTCAGACCCTTGGAAGCAGTGTCATCGTTGGCGTTGCCCGTGCCCATTGGTGTATTCAGTGTTCCGGCGGAACAATTGTCAACACCGTTGCGGGTCAGGATGGCGATAGCGACCATCGCGCCCACAAAACACACGTCCAGGGCAACGCCCAGGAATGCAAAGAAGGCAACACCGCCCAGGCAGCAGGTGAAAATGATGCCTAGCAGACTGTAGGCGGTTGCTGCGCCTGCTAAGCCTTCGACGGCCTTGATCCATGTCGCAATGTTTTGGTTATTCCTGGTCAAGACAGCCAGGAAGTACGAGAAAATGCCGAGAATGACCGCAGCATCGAGGAACTGCAGGACACGCAGTCCGAGGTTGAAAAATCGGAGGATTACCCCGCCGGCTCCCATATTGTATAAAATGAGTGTGTATGTTGGGTATAAAGGTGACAGTAGCGACCGCAGGGTCCAGGGAGAATATATGTTGTATGTTGTATGAAAGAAGACTCAGGCAACAGGATTTGAGCGAGTTATAAGGGAGGACCAAAATAATGGACGATCAGTGGAAGGCGGCACTATTGCATGTCGATCCTTGGAAAAGCTCTCAGCTCAATGGCCAGCAGCGTCTGCGCCACACTCTAAATGACCCCAGATGGCCCACTCAGTGATGTCAGTCCCATGGGTTGGCGAGTTCTCAGGTCCCACCTAGCTGTCTCCGGTTAGACAATTTGCCACCGTACCATGTGAAGAAAGAACCTTGGAATAAAAATTAGTTGTGCCCCAGCCACACTGCCAAGACAATTTCAACGCTGCATCTTTCTACTCCGTACCATGACCCTTCCTAATCCGGGATATTATGCTGCCTATTTCTGGGTATCACAGCCTGCGCATCATCAACTATTATTCATCGGTCCTCCTTGAACACCATCTGGGCACGGATGCGAGGTGTTCATCGAGGTTTTCACTTGAAAATAAAGTTAGAAAGAGCTACAATAAACTGAAACTAGCGCAGCTTAAACAGTAGTGTAAAGTAGTTTAATATCCTTCCATGCGTGACACAACTTCCATATACCGCTACTGGAATCATCTCATTCGACACTGGCTGCTTTCCAGCGCCATCAAGTTAACTATGTATGTAGCGTATGTGTCATTGGCCCTTACATACTTAGGTACAGGTGTGGCTGTGTACGTGTACATCGATTATTGTAAGTATGGCGGCTAGAGTCCATTGTACGAACCCGCCACGTTGAAAATGACGTCTGCACCCACCCATCCCACTGGGCCTGGGTCTTCTACGCCACGTCCACTTGCAGTGTACAAACATTACAAACATACGAGGTTCAATGGGGAATATGTGGTATTAAAACTGGGTCTGCCGCATTGGGAATGGCATATCATCATTTTGCACCAAAATGATGAGATGAATTTTGCGGGGGTAATCAGAACGAGATGTGGTCCAACAGGGATGAGAGAGAGAAACAATAAATATCTGCACAGGCCAGGCGGTGTTCCGGCATAACTCCGGGCTAGCGCGTGTCACCAAACCGATTCCAAGGAGATGGTGCTGTTGCCCGGACGAAGCACAGCTTTAGTCACGAGCACTATCATGGTCCCGATCCGGGATGAAGAGACTGGTATCTGCCCGGACAAGGGGGACCTTAGTGGACAAGGCATATCGCACCAATGTAGGTCGTAGAGTGGCATCGTTGCCGCAGTACACAAGCTTCGGCCTGGTTGATACTGTTGTTGCCTAAAAAGCTGCATAAATCGGGCAAGCTTCTTGGAGAAACGTCAGAGACATGCTCATCAATGCAAGATGCTGACCCTGCCAACGTCCAGGGACGACTTCGAACAATGAACTCTATTAAGATATCATGTTTCAACTCACATTTTACTTCATTTGGGGATCCCGGGATTAAAAGAGACACAATCCTCGGCAGTAGCCTGTGATGGTAGTGGACGGTGTCTTCTATCGAAACCGGCTAACAGCCCATCCTTCATGAGTCTTCCTGGCGTTGCTTTTCTTGTTCAACGAACGCACGGAGAATGGAATCCAGTCCTTCATTGCGGCGAGCGAGTAGCATCACGTCAGACACATTGACGGTAGATCTCCCGGCGTGTCTAGATCGGAAGACGAGGTTAGTACACTTCTTGCTAAATGTACCATCCCACGGGAATAATAGGAACAATTTCCTACTCAATTGCAGCAATGGTGGCTGCTTACTTCGCAAAGGATTCTAGATCCTGGCTGATCGTCTCTGCGAATAGTCAGTTACAAAAACAGAAAGCCGGAAACTTGACATAAAACAGTGAAACATACCTATCTGAGCCCAGACCATCTCTGTCAACGCACCGATGAACTGCGGAGTGGCATTGACGCCTAGCTTGATAGTCTCCTCATCCACGATCTTGCCGATGGACAACCACAGCGCGGATTTCAAGCGCTAAACAGGAAGTTAGCCAGGTGTGCAGCAAAATCCTACCAATACTGACCTCCTCCAAACTAGCCTCTTCAGTCTGCTCCATGGTGATGAGATAGTGCAAGACAACAAGCCTCGCGCGGTCCCCATATAAAACACACGACATCTGATTGGCCGACGACGCGTCCACGGAATAACGGCTAATCCGGCACACAGGCCACACTAATCCCAAACAGGCATCTCTCGTTGCGGGAGCCGCGGAATATCAAAGAAGCGCAGAGCAATCGCAGATCCCGTCAATTAATCCCTCAATTCTTAATATTTTACAAAACTCCCTACTCTACTCTTATCTGTCTCTGGCTGTCCTCTTCTACAACCTCCCAGCCCATTCAGCGGGTAGCCACGGAGCCCCCACCACTCCCTCCAACCCTCACCCAAACCCGAAAAAAAAATCCCAATCATCCACCATGTCCACACGCCAGTCGGATCTGAGCGAGGCAGCCGCCGCCGCGGCGGAGGATTTCTTCGGCCAGCTCTACGCCTTCTTCGAGATGATTGTTACGCGCTTCTTCAAAAACGGCTACGCCTCGATCGCGCAGATGAGCGGCAAGCGCTGGACAAAAGTCATCGGCAGCGTGATCTTCTACGTAATCCTGCGGCCGTACATCGAGAAGTTGTTTAAGTGGATGCACGACCGCGACCGTCGCAAGGAGAAGGAGAAGCGCGAGAAGGAGAAGGCGCAGTTTGGGAAAGTCAAGGTTTCGCCGAACTCGCTGCGTGCTGGTGGCGACGGTGGAAAGGGGAAGGTCCTTGGTGAAGTCGATCACACGGATGATGAGCTGGAGGATGAGGAGGATCTTATGGCGGCTGCTAGTGGTGTTCCCGAGTGGAATGATATGGCCCGCAAACGTCAGAAGAATTATATCAAGCGTGTGAAGAAGGATCAGCGTGCGGAGGATTTGAGTCGGGATCAGATTATGGAGTTGTTGGATTGGAGTGAGGAGGAGGAGGTTGATGTTAAGGTTAAGAAGGATCTATAAGATTTCTGTCGGCTGGTCTTGGGCCTTGGGTTGGTCCCTTGGGTGTATGTATATTGCATGGTCGATGGGGTTTTTGCTTCTTGTATTTTTTATTAGTAGATTCCAATTTAATAGGACCTCCGTGGCCCCTCGAGCTTTTAGTGAGTTACTGACCTAGTTGTAGCCTCTACCTTGCACAATAACGTATACTTGGAAGTCATAAATCTACTATTTGCACCTAAGACATGCATCAAATCCAGTCACATCCGAGCCAGAACTTTTATCCTGAGCCCTTCTAGGAACCAGCCATCACCGCATCTTATCCGTATTCATGAACAGTTCGTAACATGTCGCCAATGCCCCAAGAAACAAGACCCTCACAAGAGATCAGTGAAGCCTCCGCAAGGCCTCAATCATTCTCTTGACCTCCCTGACGTCAGAGGAGCCAATCTCCTGCACAATCTCCTCTTGCATGCTTGGTGAGCAGTTCAAAAACTGCTCAATAAGCTCGCCGTCCACAAACCGGTTCGGTGCATCGGCGGTGCGCACCATACTTCTGAACGCACGGAACTTATTGAATGACAGGTTACCCAATGAGTTGATTTTGGTAGATAGAACCTCTTGCAGGGTTATCAAGAAACCTTGATGTTCGGGGTTGATAACGGCGAAGAGGAAAATGGAGCCCTCGACCTTTGAGTGGGTTAGTATATGGGCCTTTAATACTAGTCAACCCGGTCAACTGGGATGAACTTACTGTTGCCATAAACGCCCGCGGTGTCACCGTAACGCTGGACAGCTGTGGAATATTAACTGGTCGGATACGATTGACCATCTCCCCTAGTGAAATTTCGCTAGTAGGGATCAGCCTGTGCTTGTCCTGGGCGGTGACTCCATTCGTATTCCGCGAGAGAACGATAAGGTTTCCTTCAGCGTCGCTTTGGAGGAATGTCTCGTCTCCAACGCAGGCAATTGCTGTGCTCCAGACGGTCTGATAGTGACGACCGACTTCGGTCAGCTTGGCAGGTTCCCCAGCGTGACCCGGTGTATACCTCACAAGGCAAACACTCTTCATGAGATCTGCCACTGCGATTAGGTTGTCGACGACTGTTACGTCGACTGGTGCGGTAGAGGTCCGGTATGCAGCGAGCTTCTCGAGCTTCATCGGTCCAACGTTATTGACTTTGACTCTATACACAACGACCTGGATATCGTCAGTAGAGGGTTCGGAATTACAGTCGATTGGTACTCACGGTCTTAACGAGTGCCGCAACAACACAGTCGCCCATCATAGCGAGAGCCCGACAGGCGCCCATAACCGGCAGCTCCGCGACTTGGCTCAGCTTGCGGCCGTGGTCGACTTCTAGAATGAGGATCCGCCCGCGGATTGATTCCTCCTGGTCTTCGTCTGCGAATGCCGTGCCGACAACAAATCGGTCCTTCATGATCTCTTTTCCATTTTCATCTTTCCCTGCCGGGAGCTCAGCGCGAACAACACTCTCCACCAGTTCGTCAGGGCCCAGTTCCAACGCATCAAGACGCCGGAACATGATCTCATCGGCAAGGACGAAGTGGCTCTTGACAACTTCGGCGCCATTCTCGAGCTTGCGATCAATCGTGCCGATTCCAAATGCCTTCTCGGAAGGGGAGTATGCAACACGACGGACAGTCGAGCCCATTGGTAACGTTTGAATTTGGGTTGTGCGCTCCCTGTCAACCAGCGCAATCTTCAGCTCTTTCTCGGTTGCCACAGCGATGGAATCTGGGAACGCCTCTGTATTCAAATGGCATACCCGTGATGCGCCCTCGGAGTTCACTGCAGAGTAGATGATCCGACCCTCGGAGCCGTAGATCAGGCTGGGATTCTCGCAGGTAGCGAAGACGTTGTATAGCCCATCACCCTTGGGAAGTTTCTTGAATGTGGGTTGTTCGGAACCAAGAATCAGCTTGTTCATCTCACTTAGTGAGTAATCTTGCGTGTTTAGTGAGAACGTGATGACGCAGCCATCAGCCATGGAGATGAAAAGGGTAGGCTGACTGTCTGCGAGCACTTCGGCTACAAGCACTGATCGGGGAAAGCTCTCCCCAGTTGGGCCTAGCGATTGTGTTTGAAGAACAGCGAAGTCCTCAACAGCCATGATTGACACCTTGGCTGATTGGGGGAACCCTGCGATGAAGACACCTGTTGGCGTGGAAGGGACAGTCAGACCAGATATTTGCTGGTCGGCACCGAGATCGTTCTGCATGATGATCTGGGCATTATCCCTGATATCAAAGGATGCCACAATTTGACCACTGATAACGAGAACCAGATGGTCCTCGTTGGCCGACGCGGCAGTTATCAGCTTCTGGTCCTGAGGTGCCCATTCAAATGTCACCATTCCGCTTTCTAGATCAGCCACTAGCACTCGTTGTTCTGTGACCTGAAGAATACGGTCACCCTGGAGTCTTGTGGCGAGAAGAGTACATTCTGCGAGTGAAAGCCCCAGGAAGGTATCCAACTCTTCAACTTCACCGTCAGGGCTGAACTGGAACACACGCGTTTCGTCAACAAATGTGACAATAAGCGTATCCAGGAAGTCGTCGGTGCTTCGAGTTTGGAGTCCCCAGAGATCAGTAATGTGCTCCATTTCTCCCAACACACCCAACTCTTCCATGCCAACGCCACTGCGCACACTACGTAACGTCCCGTCGTCGAAGGCACCAGAACCTGTCACAATTCGAGCCTGCCCGGACGAGAACTCATGCGTTTGGCTCTCATTTGTACGATTTCCAAGATCCATAATAGTGAAGTCGAGGATCGGTGCAATGTTAGACAATGTTTGGATGACCTCGAACGAGCTTCCATCGAGCCGGAGGACTTGGGAGTCGCCGTGATGCGAGCCAACAAAAAACATGCCTCCACCGAGATAGACCAACACCGATGCACGAGCCGTCTTGCCCAGATACTCGAGTTTCCAATCGTCAATTTCACCCAAATTATTCAGGATGAAAGAGAGGAAGAATAGCCTCCCATAGTCATCAGCCAACAACCACCGCTGACTATCGACCTTCTCCCAGGCCACGAAGACCGTTGCTTCGTCAAGATTCCGCGTAATCACATCATTGGCGTTATCGTCGATGTACTTGATCGACGTCTCCCCAAGCACAATAAGACCACCCAACGGTGCCGGGATAGGGATGAGATGCGACGATCCGAGATCAAGCTCCTGTCCAAATTCACCCCCCTCCAACTTCTGCACCTCCTTGAAAGTAGCATCTGCCGAAGTCCCCGAAGTGCCCGGCGTGAAATCCAACTCGCGGATTCGAAGCCGCACCTTCTGCTGGTTATCTTCGTAGAGCAGTGCCAGCCAAGGATTAGATTCCGAATGCAAGAATGCCGAGGATCGAACGAAAAGCTCGTCGATGCGGGATGTAGTCGGCTTATCAAGTTCTCCCACCTGCAGCGGCAGGTCAGCCTGGGACCCTGCCATCGACATCCGGCCTCTTTTCTTCGTCGGTTGCACGATCGGCACGACAACAATAACACCCTCATATACTTCCAGCGTCATGAACCGCCCCGTGGGATCGATCAGACATCGCGGTGCGCATTGGGACTCCCGAGACGAGGGCTCGGCGATATTGACGCAGGTGCGCGCTGTATTGATCTGTTCTGATTCGCGGTCCCATTTTATCGTAAAATAGTTGTATTGATCCGTGCCGACGAAGAGGTGGTCGGTTGGCGAATTTGTTGGTGCGGGTAGGCACGCGAGCATAGTGACCCGTGCATTCAGAGCACGAGTCGCGGTGAGCACGATTCCATCCGGAGTGAGCGTGTAGAACTCGAGACGACTGGCTTTTCTGTGGGTTCGTTGGAAGGTTAGCTATCGTGCTCGTCGTCATCGGGTGGGAGGTCGGCTTGGGTTCCTTAGCTTCGCGGGAGGATGGGACTCACGCTGCGACTAGACACTCTTCGTCCGGAGAGAAAAAGTTTAGCTTCACTGCATGGCGAATGCTGCTTGCCCGGTGGATGGGCACGACATAAGCCATCGTAGTTCAACAACCCGCGGTGTCGGACAGCGCGGAGCTGGGGGGGTTGAAGTTCGGCGCACCACCCTGCGGGGATGGGTTTCTCCGGGAGTGGGATGTACAGGGATTGAGATGGCGAGTGTTGATGGCGTTGAATTATGGACGGCACATATCTCTAATTCAACTCTGTTGAGGCAGGGATTGCTCGGTTGATGTGGGGATGTGAGAGAGGTTGAGGTTCCCGTGCAAATGACGTCTAAAGTCCGCGCTTACAACCGAAAACATCCAGACAAGGCGTTTATACTTACAAGTGGATAGTTATATAGTTACATACATGAACATACAATTTGAAAGAGAAAAAAATTAAATTCCTTTTAAAATCACAAGTCTAAAATCATACCCGCCCAGTCGGCAGTCCATAGCCAAGAAGCTCAAGGTCCTCAACACGAGGCCAATGCTAGGAAAACATGCAGCGCGAATGAAACAAGAAGGCGTATCGTATCGAACAAAATGATAATATATAGGCACGATCATCTACGCATGGTTGCAAGTGCAAAGAGATGTTCATCAATCATGAAATCATGACCAGACGTCCTCCTGGTAGCTGCCGCTGCTACGCATGTGCTTGACCATCTCCTCGCCCTTCTCAGCGGGCAAACCCCGTTGCTGGGCAATGATGTGGCCAAGAACCAGGTTGACCTCACGGGCCATGTTGGCAGCGTCACCACAGACGTAGAAGTTGGCCTTTTGCTTAAGCAGCTCGCTGACGAGCTCGGCGTTCTCCTTCAGACGGTGCTGGACGTAAACCTTCTCGGATCCCTCGCGGGAGAAGGCAGTAACAATTTTCAGGGAGTCACCCATTTGATCTTGGAAGGTCTAAGCGAATCATATCAGTGTCAATGTTCGGTTTTCGAGTATAAGGGGGTTTTTCTTCATACCTTGAATTCATCCTTGTAGATGAAGTCCTCGTCGCTCTTACGGCATCCAAAGAACAAAAGCGTTGTACCAACCGTCTCTCCCTTGGCAGCGAGAGCGGCACGTTCCTGAATGAAACCACGGAATGGCGCGACACCAGTACCGGGGCCAACCATGATGATAGGCTTGGACGGGTCGGAAGGCAACTTGAAGTTAGAGTGACGAACGTGGACAGGCACGTGGATACCATCGTACTTGTTGCGAGGACCATCGATCGAGTAAGTCAGGCCGTGGGGGTCGGGGGACGGGTCGCCGTTCTGCTTCTGCTTAAGAGCCAAGAGGTAGTTGGTGGTGACACCCTTTACCACGTGCGAGGCACCCGGCAGACGAACAGATTCGACGACAGCGGTGATGCTGATCTTATCCTTTTGAACCAGAGATGACGAAGAGATAGAGTAGTACCGGGGCTGGAGCTTGTTGAGACCTTCAATCAGCAGGGAGAAAGGAACGGCAGCGAACGGCTTAGAAGTGATGCTTTGGAGCGCCTGGGCAATAGTGAAGCACTGGTTGGTGATCTTCTCGTGGAAGTAATCCTTGTCGTTACCCAAGCGGACAATCTCAGTTTTGCTCTCCTCATCGGGAGCGAAAGCAGCGAGGGTCGAGACAAACTGACGAGAGACGGGAGCGCACACTTCCATGTAGTAGCGGACGGCGGCATCATAGGTAGTCGGGGTGGGAATGGGAACCTTGGCCGTAACATCGATACCCTTGACGTTGATCACCGAGTGGCGCTTCTCCTCGAGGCCAAAGACTCCAAGGAAGCGATCGACTTCGGCGCCAGCGTTTGTAGGCCAAATAGCGATGTGATCACCAGTCTGGTAGCTGAGGTTGCTACCAGCGATGCTGATTTCCATGTGCAGACAGTTACGGTCCTTGACAGTGAACAATTCCGAGGATTCGACAATCGGGGCAATGTAGGGGTTATGCGCGGAGAAGGGGCCCTTGGCGCGACCCTCACGGTGGGAGGCAGTGGGCTCACCCACGTAGACGGACTCGTCCTCGGGGGTTTTCTCGTCATCCTCAACAACGGAGAACACGGCTTCGTAGACAGCTTCACGTTCCTGGAGATCCATGGCTTCCGACAGAGCTGTCCACATGGGCTCCTTCCAAGCCAGGAAATCCTCTTCCATGGTTCCGGCGCCATCGTCGCCCTCACCAGCAGTTCCAATACGTTGCGCACCAAGCTTGGTCAGAGCAGTATCGACCTGACGGACCATAGCGTTGTAGTGTTCATAGGTGTTGTTACCCAGGCCGAATGTGACATACTTCAATGAGGACAGAGGCTTGTCTTCGGCGGAGGCGCCGCTCTCGAAGGCGACATCCTCACCGGTGAAAAATTGGTAGAACTCCACGGCGTTATCGGTGGGCTCACCCTCGCCGTAGGTGGCCAGAACGAAGAATGCGACCTTGTCATCGGGGAATTTGTCCAGGTTCTCGTAGTCATAGTCCTCGATGTCGGCGACCAGAGTCTTCAATCCGAAGCGCTGAGAGCCTTCCTTGGCGAGTCGAGATGCGTAATCCTCTGCAGTACCAGTCTGGGAGCCGTAGAAGATGACACAGTTCTTGCCCGTCTCCTCCATCTTCTCCACGATGTCGCGGGTTTTGCCGCTCTTAGCGGCTCCATTCAGGGTGGCGGCTGAGGAGGCATATGGGTCTTTGGGGACAGCCCAGTAGCTACCCTTGGTGAAGTAGGCAACGCTACCCACCAAGAGAGCCACCAAGACGACCAAATCGAGTGTATCCAGTTGCGCCATTATGGTGTTTGGTGCGTATCTCGCGGGGAACAGGGGAGTTTGTTGTGGCGCGAATTCCCACCGAGAGGGGGAGAACTGGTTGAATGCGTTCCAAGGCCGGGGAGAACAAACACAAAAGTAAGAAAGAAAGGTAAAGCTTTGGCAAATATGCGCCCCCGACAAAAAGCCCTAAATGGGAGTGTATGTTGTACAGAATAGAAAGAAGAAGAGAGAAGCCAACAGGTGGTCTGATCCACCCGTCTTGGGCTCCGGGCTTTCTGTGGATCTTCACGGGCAAATCTCACCGCTGTCTGCTTACGTTGTAAACTCCGAGTGTGAAGAAGTACATAAAAAAAAGTACTCTAGAAAAAGCCGGAAATAGAAATAATTTATATCAAGAAGATAAGAAACTAAGAAAGACACTCAGACCACCCAAGCCCTTAGTCTTATATACGACTTGTGTACTCCGTATTGTGGGGAGAATGGCCGAGGGCAATCGGAAGCAATATCGGCCCCAACGTACATATGTTGTACGTCCACGGCAGTTTTCCCAAGAGTATCAAGCAGAGACATTCCCCGGGGCCAAGTTGGGAAGAAAAGGCGGAGCTCGGGTAAGAGAGGGAGCGGCAAGGCCGCTCGGGAGATAACAAGCCTGCTATGTCTGGTATGCCTGAGACTTCACATGCGGAATGATTTCCGCATTCTGCATACTGTTGTAGTATGTTGTACTCTTTCTCTATTTCGATCTCCGACTCCGTACTCCGTACCCAGAAGAGGCTTGATACATACATAATCTACTAGTTCCCCTAATGCGGCAAATTGCCTTTCTGGGCTCCCGGATCCCGGCTTGCCAGACATCCCTGACATGTGGGGAAGATCGTCTTCAAACCTATGTAGTTCGTCGATTGTAGTATGTTATATGCCAATTTACTCAAACTCTTAATGTAGGCGCTTGTGATGTTGTCATTGAGCCTCGGCATATGCTGCTTCTTTGTATATTATATGTACTGCCCTAAGAAATAAAGACTTCACCTACAATATATATATATATAGGTTCCGGGCGAGTATAACATTGAATATATTCGAGATATTCAAAATCCAATTCTTTAAGGGCTTCAATTTGTGCTATTGGGTGAATGACGTGCCGAGTGCCCCTGTTATCTCACGGGTTATATATGTATATAAGTAGATCCCGCATCCATGGATAGGACCGACATGCATGCACTCCAAAAATAGAGGTATATCATACCCAATTACATAGTATACGTACTAGTAGTAACTACCTAGGTCTATAACCTTCCCTCCACGCGTTCTCCAGGGAAATAGACATTTGTTTCAAGTTTCAAAACGCACAGTTTCATTCTCCTACCCCGCTCGGCTTTTGAAACCGTTCGATCCGACGTTCTCCTGGGATTCTTGTTCCTTGCGTCAAACCCGCAGCTCTTCTGTGAGTAACATATGATATATAATATATTAGAGGAAAAGAGATCAGGCAATAGTGTTCTCTAGGTACATTTCAATTTCTCATAGGGAATACAAAAGGAATGAAAAATGGGTGAACAAAAAAAAGTCCAGTCAATAGACTGGCAGTGAGGCTCTGTGGGTAGACGTAAGAGCCAAGGCTAAGCAACTGGCAGCCTTGGAGTGCCCAACGGGACCTCAAGGAATCAGATGAATACGTATAATATAAAAGAAAATGAAACATCCAGGGCTCTATACGATAGAGAGTTTCAAATTAATAAATAACTAGAAATACGTAAATATAAATACAAATCCATCTAATATGAGGCTTAATAATAATCCCCCTTAGATGTACCCGTGCGCCCGATAAAAACATCAAGCTCTCTCACCCCAAGTCTTCACACCCCTTGGCTTCTGGAATTGGCTATGTGCGGCTTACATTTGATTATTGACACGGCTGCTTGCAGGTTTGAGCAATGAGGTTCTCATAATCTCTAACAGTACGTCTTGCAAACATCGCTATCGGAGCAAACGGACTCGGTCTGACATTTGAATCTCCAGTGGCTTCACACCCTGCCAAAGCTGGCCCAGGCCAGACAATCCTGCCCCTCATTTCCGACGAGCTTAAATCTGCATCACACCATAATCTCGCATCTCCATCGGAACGCCGAGGGACCAGGACCGCCCAGTCCACTCCTTTGCACAGTCGCGAATCCTCTACCGTCCGAGGAAGACAAGTTGATCCCTCCACTCTCGCCCCTATCCAGCCCCGACGCGGTCACTCCGGTTCCAAGAGCCCCGATGTATCGGGCGGCCGCCCCCAGGATATGAAGTGGGATTAGAAAGACGGCCCTCCAACTCGTACGGTCACCACCGGCAGACTTCCATCGTACACGGTATGCAGCATTCACGAAATACGAGCATGGCCGGATCAGCCGCTTCCACGAGCCCCTTGAGCCCGGAGCTCATTGCCTCCCTCGGTCGCGGTGCGTTTGACGAGGCGACCCTTCCTGCCAAATTCGACCCTCTCGATACACACTCAGGTTATTCGACACCATCCGGGATATCCGCCACTCATGCGTTGCCGCCAACGTTGAGTACGATCCAAGACAATGACACAGCACTGAGGGATGTGAGCCCCGCCGCCATACTTCACAACCGAATGAACTCCGGAGGAAAACCAAGACGCGAGCGGTCGGATAGTCGTTCACAGTCCAAACATCACTCGGAGTCAAAGACTGTTGGGGAATATGCATTGCACCACTTGTTCAACTCATTTGTTGGACAGGCAGACAACAAGATCAATCAGGCTATCATGAAGATGGGGGAATCCGATGCTCCCGTGGAGGAGGTTTGCGGTCCAGGAGCAGATCCGACATTTGATCAATTGATATCGGCATTAGGACATATCGCTCGGCAGAAACCGAAACCTCTGATTGATACAATTATGTTCTGGCGCAAGGCTAAAGGAGATGCTGCTATTACAGCGAGACAGATGTTGAATGAGCAAAGAGCCTCGCCCGCTGCCACAGAGAATATCCCCCTCTTGCGCCGCAATACCGAGCCGACACAGCCTGCTGATCCCGCTGCTACTGCCGAACGGGCGCAGCACTCGACGCCCGTTATCGCTCGTCCGGACGAAGTCGCTTTAATAGAGCGACGCGCAACGGTCTCGGTATACTTAGTCTGTCGAGTCTTGATTGAGATCTTCAACCAAAGTAGCCTGGCTTCAATCACTTTCGACATGGCGGATCGCCTAGAAGACATCGTGTTTGGCCAGGTGAAGACATCTGATCCGGACCAGATCTCGGCCTCACCTCTGCGGATGGCTAATTGGCGAATCTATGGCCAGTTGCTGGGGATCATGAGTGAATCCAATTTCTCCGGTGTCGCTGGTCGTTACTTGACGGAACTCGAGCGCTATCAGAAGGAGGAAGCTACCCGGGGGCCATCTCGCGAGGGCGATTCAAAGTCGGAATTGCTGATCCTCTGTATGCGATATCTACGTTTGCCTATGACTTCAGAAGGATGGCCCAAGTCTTGCGATTTCATGCGATCGTTGGCACGCTTGTTTGTCAATGCTCACGGGCAGCGTATCAAACAGGCATACTGCTACGTGATTGAAAAACTTCTTCTCCCTGTCGCTGCCAACCCGAGCTGTGATCTCTCACTACCTCGGTGGAAGGAATTCGTGGACCTGATCCAACCGCGCCTGACACAGCTTCTTATCAAGCCTCGTCATTGGACATCTTCCTTTTCGTTGAATGTGCTGTTGCTTTGCATCTCCAACAAAGAGACCTTCTCTTCCCAATGGCTCTCGATGATTTCGAGCTTGCCTGCACGTCTGAAGGACCGCCCTACTCGTGCACCCGCCCTCCACGCCATCTGCCGTCTGGTCTGGACATATTTCTTCCGCTTCTCCGACTCCCCCACAACCGCTCTTCGCAAGGTTGAAGAAGTGGCAAAGATTGCCCTGCCGACCGGCAGGAGAACGTACATGAGCGCAGAGCCGGTCTTTGCCGATCCGTTGATCCAGCTGATTCAAATCATCGGTTTCAAGCATCCGGATGTCTGTTTCCGTAACATTATTTTTCCTTTGATCAACTCAGATCTGTTTCTATCTGGCAGAGAGTTGAAGATAGAACAGATGGAGCCGGAGAAAATGGTCATCGGAATCCGCGCTTTCCTGGCTACGATGTCTGATCTGGAGACAAGTGACCAATTGTGCCCTCCGATCCCGACTGGCTCGCTCCCAAATCCTTTCACCGACGTTTCAACTCCTGTGTATTTCCATCGACCCCAACTGCTTAAAGAGTACAAAGCGCCTAGTGCTTCTCAGAAGCAAGACCCAACTTCATGGCAACCTGTCAATACCGCGAGACTAAGTGATAATGTGAAGGAATACTATTTCCGATTTTGCGAAGTTTTAGGCAAGATCACTTTGCTCTGTGATAACACATTCGGTGGGCAAGCAGTTCTGGACGAGAAGTTCGGTGGAACTACGCCCAAAACTCCAATATCAGAAGCTTTCAGCTTCGGTCGTCGTGGTGATGACCATGTCACAACACTGGATCAGAAACAAGGATTCTATGATCTGCTCCACGTGGCAGTCCAAGCCCTTCCTCGCTGTCTCTCCGACCATATCCCATTCAATTCGCTCATCAATCTTCTTTGCACGGGAACTGCCCATGTCCAGTCAAATATCGCTACTTCCTCAGCGGAGTCGCTGAAGGCCATTGCGCGGCAATTGCACGCCCAACAAGTTACAATCGGCTTTGCTAGGTTCATCTTCAATTTTGACGAGCGCTATTCCACCATGTCAGACGAAGGAATGCTTGGACCGGGTCATATCGAGTCCACTTTGAGACTATACGTCGAGTTACTACAAATCTGGATTGACGAGATCAAACAAAAAACGAAGGGTGCAGCAGCGATGGATCAGCTGGAGAGATCCATTTCTGGTAGTCGAGCCCTGCACCTCGATTTATCGAGTGTCCTCGCCCACGTGGAGGAGATTGAGTCACATGGGCTCTTTTTCTTGTGTTCTCAGTCAAGACGTGTTCGAGCCTTTGCCATCACTGTCCTGCGGTTGATCACCGAATTTGACAGCGCTCTTGGAAAAGAAAACACAAGAATCATTCGGATCCTTGAGGCTGATTCTCAGCAAATCCTAGATGTGAATGATGAGCATCTGACTGTGGCAGAGCGGAGCCGAATCCAAAAGGGTAAAAGAAGAAGCGCCTCTCAAAATACTCTTATCGAACTGTGCAGCAGTGAAGTCTCTTATGATTCAACATTGTGGGCTAAGGTATTTCCCAACATCATCCGCGTCAGTTTTGAGACTTGCCCGTTCGCTGTAACCCTAGGAAGGGAGATTGTATGTGCACGTCTTGTTCAGATGCACAAGATCATCACATCTCTTGCTGAGAGCACAAGAGTCCAGCAATATGCTCCCATGGATGCGTACCAGAATCGCCCCATTGGAAGAAACAACAATCTCACGTCTGAGATCCTCGTCGAGCAATGGAAGCTTTACCTGGTCATGGCCTGCACTACTGTCACTAGTGTCGGGGCTCAATCGCAAAGTCAGCTGGCAAATGCCCAGCATGCGCGCAAAGCCTCCAAGGGAGCTCATCAGTCTCAAGACAAGATCAGCTCCGCTCGAAGCCTCTTCGCATTTGTGATCCCTCTCCTTTCTGCTGAACGAGATTCCATTCGCAGTGCTATTGTTGTTGCTTTGGGATCTATTCATAAAAACCTCTACCGCACGCTTCTTGAGTCTTTGCAGTATGCCGTCACTACTTGCAATGAGGAGGCGAAGATGAGAATTGGCAACCACTACCGCAGTCCCAGCAGCCCCCGTCGAAACAGGAAGACCGACCGCCTGCGCACCGAGGTCACAAATGTTTACAAACTCACGTCTCACTTCCTTCAAGAACCCGAGGTTTACAATGACGACTGGATCGTCAACAACCTCGTCACATACGCAAAAGATATTCGAATTTTCCTTAGTGATGCCGAGGTTCAGAACGACTGGGAATTCCAGCGCTTGCGATTCCACTTCTGCGGGCTGATGGAGGAGATATTTGAAGGCATCAATCGTGCCAAGGATCCTTCTCGCTGGATGCCTTTCGAGTCGCGGAAGTCTGCTTTCTCTCTTATGGAGGACTGGTGTGGATACTCGCCAAACCAATCCCAAATATCTGAAAGGGAAGAGAATATGCGCAAGTTTTCCATGACCCGACCAAATGAGACTGGTGAAATGAAAAACACTGCTGCTGCGATGGAGATTGAGAAGAAGAATCTACGCGCGGCAGCCTTGAGTGCAATGGCTTTCCTTTGTGCTGGCCCCATCAGCATCACCACCGAAAGCGGTTCTGTCCTCCAATTCGATGTCACTCGCATGCTTTCATGGATTGAAATGATATTCAACACCGTCAGTGATAAATGGCATGCCATCGGCCGCCGGGCCCTTAAGAACCTCATCATTCACAATCAGGAACATTCCTATCTGATGGAGCGATCAATCGAGATGTGCTACGTTACTGAGCGGCCCAAGACCATCGAGAGCTACTTTGAGGTGGTGACGCAGGTGCTTTTTGAATATCCAGATTATCCGCTCGAATTCTGGAGAGTCCTAGGGGCAGTCTTGGTGACACTGGGCAATGAAAAGCGTGAGATCCGAATGAAGTCTGCTAAGCTTCTTCGAAAACTAGAGGAACGCCAGCAGAAGAACTCCAGGCTTCAAGACTTCGATATTAGTATCTCAGACAAGACTACCGCTGTGTACAAGCTGGCCCAGTTCGAAATCTCGAAAAGATTAGCTAGTCAGCACTCTGACTTGGCATTCACTATCTTTTCGGAGTTTTCTTTGCATTTCCGCAGTCTTCGACCCGATAGCCAGCGAAATATGGTTGCTGCAATCCTGCCGTGGGTTCAAACAATAGAGCTACAGGTTGACCCGAATGGCGGCCCTACAGCCAAGTCATACATGTTGCTCGCAAACCTCTTTGAGATAACAATTCGTTGCAGTACAGTCCTGCCTAACCAAGTCCAAGCACTGTGGCAGGCCTTGGCAACAGGCCCTCACGGGGGTAATGTGCAGCTGGTTCTTGACTTTATCATCAGTATCTGTCTGGAACGCAAAGAGCAAAACTTTGTGGAGTATGCTAAGCAAATGGTCGTGTTTTTGTCTGGGACTCCGGCAGGATCAAAGGTCATCGAATTTTTCTTGTTGCAGGTTGTGCCAAAGAACATGGTGCAAGAGAGGAAAGAACTCACTCCACCTCCTCCTGACATCAAAAGCCTACCATATGTTGCAGACCTTGGAACAGTACTCCCTGTCGGAAACAAACAAGCTGGTCTATCTCTTGGACAGGTTGCCCTGATATTCCTCGTTGATCTGATGGTCGCTCCGGTGACTCTCGCTCTGACTGATGTTGTCAAGCTGATCCACATCGTTCTCATTCTCTGGGACCACTATACAGTCACTGTGCAGGAGCAAGCTCGCGAGATGCTGGTACATCTTATCCATGAACTGATAGCGGCCAAACTTGAGGACGATGCCCCGGCGGGCGCCCGGCAATCCGTCGAAGACTTTGTGGAATCAATACGTAAGAGCGACCCCGCGGTCGTTTGGGAATACGAAGAGAATCATGGCAAAGAGGAAGAGACCGATGACCGCCGCGTGCCTGAATCTATGGCTTCTGTCACCCGTGACGTCGTCAAGTTCTTTAGCTTTGCTTACGAAGGCGTTGGCGACCTGTGGGCGAAGGAGGCATTGAACTGGGCCACCTCGTGTCCGGTACGACATTTGGCATGTCGATCGTTCCAGATCTTCCGCTGTATCTCGACATCTTTAGACTCGCGAATGCTGGCTGATATGCTCGCGCGGCTTTCAAACACCATTGCAGACGAGGAAACGGATTACCAAACATTCTCGATGGAGATTCTTACTACGTTGAAAATCATCATCAGCTCCCTTGCGCCATCCGATCTTCTGGATTATCCTCAGCTATTCTGGACGACATGTGCTTGTCTCAACACAATCCATGAGACTGAGTTTATCGAGAGTATTGGCATGCTTGAGAAATTCCTTGATCGGGTCGATCTCAGTGATCCAGTTGTGGTGGCTAACCTTATCGAGGGCCAACCACCAAACTGGGAAGGCGGCTTCGATGGTCTCCAGGACCTTGTCTTCAAGGGAATGAAATCGTCCGAGTGCTTTGATCGTACACTCGATCTACTTCATACTCTCAGTGGTCTTCCAAACAATGATCTCATCGGAGACGGAACTCGACATTTGTTCACTGTGCTGGCTAACCTACCCCACTTCCTTCAATGCTTCAAAGAAGGGTTTAGTGACCCCAAACCCATTGCTCGTGCTAGCATACTTGCCCGTGTGGCTGAGAATGAGCGATGCCCTCGCCTTGCAGCATCGTTGTTTGGGTTTGCCAACCAGCAGTACAAGACCGCTGGGGTCTTCCTCGACCATATCATCACCGAGATCAAGTCATATTACTTCCCCCAGCTGGACTTCCAATGTCTCATCTTCCTCATGGGACTTCTCACTAACACCACGGATTGGTTCCGCATCAAAACAATGAGGATCCTCTGTGTCTTGATTCCCGAGGTAGACATGCGGCGCAATGAGGTCACCTGCCATGGCCCAGATCTGATCTCCCCACTACTCCGGCTTCTGCAAACCGATCTCTGCCCCCAGGCTCTGGAGGTTCTGGATAATATCATCACGGTCTCAGGAAATCCAATGGAGCGCCAACATCTTCGGATGAGTATGGCATCGGCAGCCTCTTCTCGTGCTATCCGCAAAGAGTACGAGCGAATCCAGAGTCTATACGGAATTCCTGAACCGACGGGATGGTCGGTTCCTATGCCTGCAACCCAGTCAAGCATGACCCGGCACAACGTTCACGCTGTCTTCTACACATGTGTTGAGGCCGAAGACAGACAAGAGGAAGATGTTATGACACCCAGTGTGGCCTTCCATGCGGACGACTACAGCGACTCGTTCTTCCCAATGAGAGCTGATACCATGAAATCAATCGATACGCAGATTGATGGCAATATGGGAGATATCGTGCAGAAGCTAGACAGCCTAGATGACTTCTTCGAGGATACTGATACAATCACCCCTGTGCTGAACCCTATAGCTCCTCCGATGTTGCGAGGATTCACTGGTAATTATGTGGATACCAACGCACATCTGTACGACCAGCAGACCGCGCCAATTTTGCGGGAATCACTCGCTCGGACAGGCTCTACATCGTCCTTCCATAATGGTCTTGCCGAGTCTCGCCCTCCCAACTTTCGCTTCGACGGCCCGGGTGTGTACTCCCCGGTAACGGCGATACCTCCAAACTCCGCACAGATATTCCGATCTGGTTCCCATACCCGCTCTGTCACCTCCCCTACCAACAATCTCTATGTCCATACCGCGTCCAATGCACCCAATTCCACACTGCCCGTTGGATTCAGCGATTCCGCTTTCCTGTCCGATGAGGATCCCGACGAGGTGCATTCGGATCTAGAGGAGCGCCCGGTGACCAAGAAGGCGATCACTCCACCTGCACCCATGATCCGCAGTGCAACCGATGGACCACACTCCCTGGAATCAATGATTCGCAGCGGTATGCGGAGACTGACTGGTGGCGCAGTCAACAGAGAAAAGGAGCGACAGAGGGACCTCCTCCGCGCACAACACCGCGCCATTGTGCAAACGGCCAATTCACCTCGTGTCCCAAAGGTGCCTGAGGAATATCTCTCAGCACCTACCAGTCACCCGGCATCACCGAGGTGAGATTGGTACATATCTCTGCCCCTATCATACATTCCTGTTTTATCGTTTTGCTTTTTCGTTTCTGTTGTCAGCCCTTTTCTAGGCTGTCTGGGCATTTCTTGGGAGTTTGGATCACTTTACATACATACCCTTTACTCGTCCATCTACTTCGCCATTGGTCTTGTCCATCTAGCGTTGATCTGTGACCCTGCATCATGTATAGTCCGTGTAGTCACATTCTGGAAGTTGATAGACTTACATATTAGGTGTTTTGCATTTCAATATCACAGTCTATATATTTGCCTTTGCATTTACGTTGAAGTTCCAAGGTTATCTTTACCAAGGAAGCACCCTAATTGGGAGTGTTTTTCTGTATCATTTTAAGAGGCTACTTTCCATTCAAGGTCCAACAAATATGGAGATAGATGCCTACATAGATCAGACCAAGTTTTGAGTATACCCCACACACAACACGTGATGCACTTCCCCACGGCTTTCCTATTCCGGCCTTCCCCGCATTTAAGCTTGCTGCGATGCATGTCCACCGTGTGCTCCCTCGCATCTCGGATAGCCACGGTTAAGGGCTGTGCCGAGCTGGCATGGTACATCATAGCTCTTTTAAATACCCCCTTCTCCCCATTTCAGCTTTCCTGGATACAAACAATCCAACGTTACTCTGCCTCCTTGGATTCGGCATTGTTAACCCATCAACCATCATTCTCTACGCGTATTAACACTCATCACTTACAATTTCCCCTTGGCATCAGACAGCACATCACATTTATCAAAAAATGAGTCTCCGAACAGCCATGTCCCTCCCGCGGAGAGCGAGTTGCTTCCATGCGTCCGCAGTGGATCCCCGACGCTGGCCGTCTAGCAAGGCCCGAGCTTTCTCCACAACTATGCACCGTGATGCGACGTGGGGCTTTGTCGGACTAGGACAAATGGGTATGTGAAATCTGCAGCGAGGACCTCGGATATGCAACCTCGGCTATACAATGGACTGTGGGTTGTTTGTATTGCATTTGCATTAGCTAACTACCCCAGGCTACCACATGGCCAAAAACTTGCGCGCCAAGATCCCTGCATCCGACACCTTGATCGTGCGCGATGTCAACGAAGATGTCATGAAACGATTTGTTGCAGAGGCACGGGAGACCGCACAAAGCAATGGCGCAGGCGCCAATGAAGGCCAGGTCGAGATCGCTCAGAGTGCGCGCGAGGTCGCCGAGAAATCGGTAAGTTGTTTTCTACCATGCGGGTTCAGTCTGTGGCTGGGCTAGTGGCTTTCCTGCATGGACTGCGCTCCATATACTTGTGTCATTCTGGGGTCTGATGACTATGTGACTATGCTTATTTCTGTCCACTGTTTAGATAGTCATGGTTACCAGTCTCCCGGAGTCTCAGCATGTCATTGACGTGTTCCACTCCATCCTTAAAGATGGAGCGCTGCCACCGCTCGAGCAGGAGCGTCTCTTCATCGACGCATCTACCATTGACCCCGTCACATCCAAGGATATCGCAAACGCCATCCACACCACGCAAACCGGCCGCTTCGTGGACGCCCCCGTATCAGGAGGTGTGGTCGGTGCTCGCGCAGGAACGTTATCATTCATGTTTGGCGCCTCTTCACAGACAGGCGAGCTGCTCGAGCGCATCCGCGGTGTGCTCGCTTTGATGGGTAAGAAGGCCTGGCATCTTGGTGAGCCCGGTGCTGGTGTGTCTGGCAAGCTCGCCAATAACTACATTCTGGCACTGAATAATATCGCCACTGCCGAGGCTATGAACCTCGGTGTTCGCTGGGGACTCGATCCCAAGGCCTTGGCAGAAATGATCAATTCCTCTACTGGTCGTTGCTGGCCCTCTGAGGTTAACAATCCCGTTCCTGGTGTTGTTGAGACAGCCCCCGCCTCGCGTGGGTATGAGGGCGGATTTGGGGTGAGTCTCATGCACAAGGATCTTCGTTTGGCTCTTGCGGCTGCCGAGCAGTCTAATACTCCTCTCGTCCTGGGTGCTCAGGCTCGTGAGGTGTACAAGGCTGTTGAGGAGGAGCATCGTGGCAAGGATTTCTCGGTGGTTTACAAGTGGTTGCAGGAGAAGTCTCAATGAGTTCTTTCCTTTCTTTGGATATCTCCCCCAATTCAGTACCTGCTACTCTTTCTCATAGATGTGATATCAGGATATAAAATTGCAGTTTAGCATTCTCCTTCTCAATGGGATCAAGTCTGGGATTATCATCTTGTGTTTCTATGTCTTCAGCGCATAGACAATATTCCAATATCAGTGGTTGATATTTCACAGTTTCTAGGTACACGTATATAGTTGTCTCTCCCCATGTGACTTCCTTTTTCCCTTTCCCCCCAAACAACACCCAACCCCGATAGCTCCTTCTCTTCGTATCGTTACGCTCTTTCCTTATCCGAGAGGTCTGCCATTCTTTCTTCTTGAGGATTTCCCTCCATCTCATCCTCCCATCCCATCCATCCATTCCCATCCTATCCCCCTATCCCCCCATTTCTTTTGCCATCGGTCTCGGCCTGGCACATTTATCCCATTTCGATTTCAAGACCGTCCAGACTTTCATTGCCGTATACCATCCCCACGTACCTTGTCTTCGCTTCGAGTTATCATCAGACGCCTTGCAGCCTGAGAGAACAGACGGCAGGTTGTATCCTCGACAACAGGTAAGCCTTCCATCCAATTTTGGTCATTTTCGACAACACTCCCATTCTCCGTTTTGGCTGACCCTGGCTCGCTTGAACAGCAGCCAGACTTTCTTGTCAGAAGTGTCTATATAATTTGGTGCAGGAACTCAGGTGAGTTTCGTGCGTTTGAGACCATTCCATTGGGGCATTTTGCCAACTTGAGGCCAAATGGACTGCCCATTAAGCCCTTTTCCTTTGCCTATCCGTCAACCCCGAAGAACAAGCTGACAAAATCGATCTCTGTCAGCGTACGCACTTCATCATGCATGCCCAGGGTTCCCAGCACACGAGCTCCTCTGGCTCTGGCTCTGGTCAGACATCAAGCTCCCAGTCTGGACACTACCATCAAAACGAGCCTCGTACACCCTACGGCCCCAGGTACCAGCAATCCACCAACCCGAGTTCCCGTGACAGCAGTATTGCAGGCCTGACCAATCTTTTCAGAGGATTGAATCTGCAGAACTCTCGTCCCAAGTTCAACGGCCAAAAAGGCACCGCGCCCGTTCAAGTGAACACAAACATGGACTGGTCGAACACCAACCGTGCCTACAACAGCCCATTCATCCTGGTTCCCAATTCCACCGTTTTCAATGGCGTTCCGACCGTCTCTTCCTTTGTTCCCAACGGTGTCTCTGGTCAGAATGATCAGATGGGCCAATTCTCGTATCTTCCAACGGGAGTTTATCCGAACGCCAACCCTGTGGTGGCGGGTGGATATTCGTCATGGCCCTACATCATGAACTACGACATGCAGGATGGAACAACCAACAAGCAAGCTACATGGAACATGTCTGAAGGTCAGAAGGGGGTTCAAGGGGAGAACGGTGGTCAAATTCATTACTACCCCTCAGCCCTTGTTTCTGGCCTGGATGGCGGTTCTATGTCTGGTTACGCTTATGGAGGTATGGTTCCCTCGCAGCTTGGGTCGCTCTCGCTTCCCCTCCAAATGATGAAGACTCCCAATGGATACGTCATTCAAGACCTGGAGGCTCTGACTCAACAAGAGCCTGCCATTCCACGCGCAGTGCCTGCCATGTGGACCAACCCGTCTGAGCTGACACTCGCCAAGTGTCTGGAGAACCGCGAGGGTATAACCAATGTCTACATCCGAGGATTCCTGCCCGAGACCACTGATGAGATGTTGCATGCATACGCAGCCCGTTTCGGAAAGATTGAGCGTTGTAAGGCGATCGTGGATCTGGACACCAGTCTTTGCAAAGGGTACCTAATCCACGAAATTTCTTTCCGATGATTTATTTTAATTCTTTGCAGGTTCGGGTTCGTTCAGTATTACAGCTTCGAATCCTGCGAGAACTGCATTCGTGGTTTCTTTTACCTCGGCTACCAAGCTAGCTTTGCCCAGAAATCTCGCAACTCTCGCCTGAAGGATCTCGAGGACAAGTCTTCTACCAATATATACTGTACCAACATTCCAATTGATTGGACTGAAGCTGTGCGTTATACAGAGCCGACCCTTCACTTGTCCCGTTGAATCCTAACCAGCTTGCCAGGACCTGCGTCGTCATTTCGAGCCGTGGCGTGTTGTTTCGGAGAAAATCAGCCGCGATGATAAGACAGGTGTGAGCAAGGAAGTGGGCTTTGCACGGTACCAAAGCCCCAATTATTTGACTCTCATAACTTGTTCTGATGATAATTTGCAGCTTCGAAAACCGTGATGTTGCCGAAAAGGTTCTGATGGAATTCCACAACGTCACCAAGGACGATGGGGTAAAGCTGCTTCTGCGCTTTGCTGATACCAAGGCCCAAAAGATTCTGAAGCAACAGAGCAATGAACGTCGTGCTTACCGCGCCGGAGAGTACAACTATTCGGTTGAAGTGGTTCAGGGATCTACTCCATCCCCTGGGATGAAACGTGGCTCTCATCTTACTCCAAACTCTCAAGTCAGCTACACCTCTCCAGCTGGAGTGGGCTCTAACTGGACCCCGGCAACCTCCATCTCTCCTTGGTATGTCCTGATACTTGCATTGCATCGCAATCCAACCCATTCTAATTGAGTTCACAGCCACCCGCACATGAAGAATCCATCCAGCAGTGCACGGAGCAGTTCCTTGTCGTCTCGGAGCCTCAATGCTCTTGATCACACGCCCGCCTATCGCAGTCGAACCTTGTCCCTGAGCCGTCGCTCTTACACTGATCTCTCTGGTGGTTCTTCCAAGACTGTCATGCCGGACTCGCCGACTATGGGGCCTCGTAAAGAGAATATCAGAGCGGGATCTGTATCCCCCGCTTCTTCTTCCCCCGTGATCATTCTCTCCCCAGCTCGCTCGTGCACTTAATCCTTTGTGCAATATGCTCCCAGGCATGTCTCTGTTTTCATGGGATGCTTTACAATACCTTATCCTCCAGGGTAAGATGATCAGCACCTCTCCAGGGTGCTCTCCGATATCCAAATGCGCAGCATCTGTTACCATTCGCAGAATGTATTGACGATGTATGGCTCAGCCTTGCATTTTTTAATGATTGTTCCACGATTCACGATTCATGATTCACGATATGATATTCCGTTGTTTTTCTGTTTCCGACCCTTCGCGGCATTTTTAGACGACTCTACACAGTATCATTATGGAGTTCGCTTTGCATTCTTATGGAGTTTGATGGGAGGATGGGAAATGCTTTTTTTCTTCTTTCGCAGTTATATCGAGTTCGCATGTTTTCAGCATATGTGACAGACAAGATGCATGTTTCAAGACTTCGTTCAAAGAACGCTATCGCACCTTATTAGGTTGCGCAGTCTAATATGATATTATTCAAGACCAAAACTACTCCACATCACTGTCCATGTTCAAAATCCAAGGGGCGTGATCACAAATGTAACGTGCAAAGCAATCTATCTGAAAAGGCCAACGAGATATAAATCTCAATCTATACACAGGTAAGACAATCCACACTATCCAAATCAATTGCGCCCAAGTCTCTCCTCCAGATCCTCAGTGAGTTGATAAGCAGGAAGATACTGTCCATCAGCCTCAGCCCCAAGCCTCAATCTCGGATTAGGATGGGTATCAGACGTGCCGCCAAGACTGGTATATCCCTCATCATAGAGCGAACAGTACTTCAAATCCAGATGCCGAATAAACGCCCAGATCTCCGCATAATGCCAATCAATGACTGGATGCACGCGCACAAAATCCGGCCACCCCCATCCGTCCGATCAAAGTGCGTTAGCTGCGCACCATGCGGATCCGTCCGCCGCGTACCAACAAATATCGCCCGGATCCCAGGGTGTCGCGCCAGATAATCCTCAAAGCTCGATCGGAGCGTCGAATCCGGCGGCGCAGTAGTGTACTTTGTAATAGCGAGATGATATGCTTCCGCAGAGGAGACGACGAAGTCCTCGACTGCATCGAAGGGATCAGGCGGGAGCGCATAGATCGCCGGGATGACTGTCGCAGCGGCTATTTGGGCCTCTGCGTCGAGGTCTGCGGGGGAGGCGGTTGTATCATTTGCATTTGCGTTTGTCGTTTCGGTTTCGGTTTCGGTGGTGGGGTGTGAGTCATTGCGGGCGCGGGTCGGATGCAAGCCGGCCAGAAACAGAATTAGCAGGACTAAACAGTCCTTGCCGCCGTTGTAGGAGACAGAGAGTTCCGAGAGTTTGTATCGTTGCAGCGCGGTGCTGACTACTTCTAGCGAGATGCGCGTTTGTCGTTGGACCGAGGCTAGCAGCGTGTCTGGGGCGTGGGGTTCATTTAGGAAGGCTTGGACGCGGGCGTGGATGCGTGCTATCACGATTGGGAGAGGGGGGATTGTTTCGTCGCTGGTTGAGGAGTTGGTGGGTTGTTTGTTGGTGTGGGCTGTTCCATTCTGGGTCGGCGAGGGTTCTTGATTGGGAGGGGTTGGTTGTTTCAATGGTTCGGATGGTGTTGGTGACAGTGGGGGGAATGGCTGGAGGTGATCTTGCGGCCGGAAAGGCGCTTGCTTTGCACTTGGTTCAGTCATGCTTGTGTTTGAGGTGAGGTTGACGGAGCGAGGTTCGGGGCGGGGTGTGGGTTTCTCGGGGAGACACAACTTAATCCACTGCGGGGATACAACGCATGTCAAGTATGTGTATGCATATGTATGTAGATATATCTATATACCTAGGCAGTTGAAGCTCGATATAAAGGAAACTGGAAATTTCCCGGAACCCCCGCGTCTCCCCGCAGTTCCTCGGTGGAACTCGGTAGATTCTCGTGGATTTGGATATCACGGACATGCCTAGGCAAGTATAATGCTTGGTACAATTTACTCAATGCACCTTAAAAAATGCTTAATTGCAGCCGTGGCCGTAGCAATTCATGTAAGTAGATCCCCAAACGCCAGTAACGCTCAGAAGAAAAAAAAAGTAAGTCAAATCAGCCCAACACCTTCATCTTCTTCTTTTTCTTCTTCTCATCACCACCAGGTTTGCGCCCCTTCTGGAAATCCCGCCAGCTACCAATGCGCTCTTCGCGCGTATCCTCCCACTTCTTGTCATTATCGCGCTTCCGCTTGCGTGCCTCAAGCTCTTCCTCTTCCTTGCGTTGCTCACGACCTTCCTCCTGCAAGCGCGCCTTGAGCTGTCGCCGGCGTCGCGCTTCTTCTTCCAAGAGCACTTGAACCGTCTTCTTCCGCCACTCGACCTTAAACTCTTCGGTCTTCAGCTCGGGGGAGTCGAGTGTGTACTTGTGTTCGCGGATCAACAGGCGGCGCGCATCGGAGATACATTCGTCCAGGTATTCGCGTTGCTTCTCGTCCAGAAGAGCAGTCTGTGCCTTTTTGAGTCGATCGAAGGCATCCGGAGCAGCGGGGTTCTTGGTCTTGTCGGGGTGAATCAGGAGTGAGATCTTGCGGTATTGGACTTTGATGTCTTTTTCTGTAACACCGGGTTGGAGGTCCAGGACGGCGTAGCTGCAGTGGGTTAGTATTTGTAGAAGGTATAGAGGGGCAGTGGTCTATTGCAGAGCTTGAGGGGGTTTGGACTTACGAATCGAGGCTGAATGCCTTGCGAATGCGGTCGATCTCGACATCCTGTGTCGCGTGTCAGTCGGAGTATAGGTGTATACCGTGCAGAGGGGGACATACCTTGTTAAACTCGGATGCCTCTTTCTCCAGAGATTCCAGGAAATCCTGGTCGTCGTCCGACATGTTGCCTGCTGCAGATTCTTTTGATGTAGAAATGTTCCTGGCACTCTTGGGATTAAGACCTCAAATAAGATAAGACTACGGGCTTATCAGCCGCTGAGTCAGCGCCCGCGGGCAGGACCTCGGGGGGTTGAGGTCGCTGGCAGCAACATATAATAGCAGTCATCCGTTTTGTCTCTCTACTTGGCGAGGATTTTGATGAAGCAAACAACTAATGGGCCCGAAATGGTATCAGATATTCCATATAAGAGGAGACCGCAAATAAATTGAAGCCATCAAAAGATCTATAACTAGTACGTAGATATCTTATGTAGTTCCTCACCGCCTTTCCTACCGCCTTTGTTTTTCGCTCCCAAGAAGAAAAAAAAGATGTTTTCACCGCCCGCTACTTTCAAGATTCAACTCATACCACATCATGGCGCCGCGAGCAGTTAAAGGGAAGTCAAAGTCTCACCAGGACACAGGGAGGGTCTTGAAACGCAAGCGTGGCGAAGACAGCTTAGCTACCCTTCTCAAACAGGTCGAGGACCTCGATCTCAAAGCGCCCGTCAAAAACTTCTCCGATCTCCCACTCTCTGAACCGACAGCCAAAGGCCTCTCAGCCTCTCATTTCAAAACCCTTACCGACATTCAATCGCGTGCAATCAACCATGCATTCAAGGGGCGCGATATCCTCGGTGCCGCCAAAACCGGTAGCGGAAAGACCCTCGCATTTTTAGTCCCCATTCTCGAGAATCTCTATCGCAAGAAATGGACTGAGTTGGATGGTCTCGGCGCACTCGTTCTGTCGCCTACACGTGAACTAGCGATTCAGATCTTTGAGGTGCTTCGCAAGATCGGGAGATACCACAATTTCTCTGCTGGATTGATTATCGGCGGAAAGAGTCTGCGCGAGGAACAAGATCGTCTGGGACGCATGAACATTCTGGTCTGCACACCCGGCCGAATGTTGCAACATTTGGATCAGACGGCTATGTTTGAAACAAATAACCTGCAGATGTTGATTCTGGACGAAGCCGATCGTATCATGGATATGGGTTTCCAGAAGACAGTGGACGCTATCCTCGACCACCTCCCCAAACAGCGCCAGACTATGCTGTTCAGTGCCACACAGACCAAGAAGGTCGGTGATTTGGCTCGTTTGAGTTTGCAGGAACCCGAATATGTCTCGGTCCATGAAGCAGCCGCCTCCGCCACTCCCTCCACTCTCCAACAACACTACACCATTACTCCACTCCCACAGAAGCTTGATGCTCTTTGGAGTTTCATTCGCAGCAACCTCAAATCTAAGACAGTGGTCTTCTTATCATCGGGCAAGCAAGTTCGATACGTATACGAATCACTAAGACAATTGCAGCCTGGTATTTCCTTGCTCCATCTGCACGGGCGGCAGAAACAGGGAGGACGACTCGATATTACCACGAAGTTCTCTCAGGCTCAACACGCTGTTCTTTTCGCTACCGATGTTGTTGCTCGTGGTCTCGATTTCCCCGCTGTCGATTGGGTTATTCAAATGGACTGCCCCGAAGACGCCGATACCTACATTCACCGTGTCGGGCGGACGGCCCGTTACGAGCGTGTTGGTCGTGCTGTGCTCTTCCTAGACCCTAGTGAGGAGAAGGGATTCCTCAAGCAGCTCGAGCACAAGAAAGTACCCATTGAGAAGATCAACATCAAGTCGAACAAACAGCAGAGTGTCAAGAATCAGCTGCAGAACATGTGTTTCAAGGATCCAGAGCTGAAGTATCTGGGCCAGAAAGCTTTCATCTCCTACGTCAAGTCGATTTACGTGCAAAAGGACAAGGAGACCTTTAAGATTAAGGAGCTTCCATTGGAAGAGTATGCAGCCAGCCTGGGTCTTCCCGGTGCCCCGCGTATTAAGTTCATCAAGGGTGACGATGCGAAGGAGCGCAAGAACGAATCCTGGAGAATGGCACAAATGTCCGGTGATGACGACTCAGAGGTGGAGAAGAAGAAAGACGAGAAGGAGGTGCGGACACGGTACGACCGGATGTTCGAGCGACGCAACCAGGGCGTGCTGGCGGAGCACTACTCGAAGCTCATCAACGACGATGGCACGATGGTGGCTACCGACGCACCCAAGGACGCCGGCGCAGATATCGACGACGAGGCCGACGAGGATGCCGACTTCCTCTCAGTCAAGCGCCGGTTCGCCGCAGGCGACGCAGAACTCGGCGAGAAGAGCGATTCTTCCGACTCGGAGGGTTCCGATGCGGAGCCCAAGACCAAAGACGCCAAGGGCGTCAAGATGGTGCACTTGGACGGCCAGGACCCACTACTCATCGACTCGAAGCGACGCGAGAAGCTACTCAAGTCGAAGAAGAAGCTGCTCAAGTTCAAGGGCAAGGGTACGAAATTGATCTACGACGACGAGGGCAATGCCCACGAGGTGTACGAAATGGAAGACGAAGACATGTTCAAGGCGCGCGGCGACGCCAATGCCCAGCGCGAGAAGTTCCTCGAGGGCGAGACGGAGCGCACACGCCAGGCCGATATCGAGGACAAGGAGGTTATGCGCGAGAAGCGACGCGAGAAGAAGGAGAAGCGCAAGGCGCGCGAGCGTGCCGAGGCCGAGGCCGAGATGTCGGAGGAGGATGGTGGTCTCTCACATCTCCCCCATGTGCCTTTCGAGATCCCCGGCTCCGATTCAGACTCTGCCTCCGAGCGCGACGAGCCCCGCCCCAGCAAGAAGCAGCGTGTCTCATTTGCCGAGCCGGACAGCGACGACGACAAGCCCAAGAGCAAGAAGAGCCAGGCTTCTGCCAAGTCTATCGAAACTCTGGGAGATCTGGAGGCTTTGGCCAGTGGATTGCTTGGTTAATGTACATTTCATGGATGGTTTCATGGGTTTGTGAGGTCTTTTATGGCGTATATTTTCCAACCAAAAAAATCTCTTTCCTGGCGAGATTTAAAAGCATAGTGAATATGAAAGCGAATAATTTTCAGACATGTATAGGATATAGCATTTTACACATATGGATATAACATAGATGTCTAAATAAGCTCCAAAAGCCACGTAATTAATATGCCATGTGCGTATAACCTTGGAAACTACCTAAAACCCTATAAAGTCTTAAAAAAGAGTCCAACCCCAAATTTGCATGTGGAGCCGGGGGATTTCCTTGACACATCAACGTCGCATTCGTACGGTTGAGCCCCGTCCACTCATCGATGGCTTCAATCACGCCATCGCAGAATAAAAGTCTTATTTTGCGATTTTTTCTCTCCCTTGTGTCCATCTTTATTTCGACTGTTCAGGGTCGATGTATCTTATAATAATCGAGTGCTACCAGAAACGCTAAGGGGCTGCCACGTGTGGGTCACGCGACTTAGGGCTGAAACATTACATCTTACTACATACATACCAATCCGGACAGGTGAGTGATGACAGTGCATGATTCAGCCTCTCTTTTTGAGATATATCCACGATATATTGTACTAACACAAAGACAGTGGATACTTCCGTATCCATATATATTTCCACATCATGGCCGACATCGAGAAACAGCCGGCAACAGAGCCCTCCAAGGCTCCAGGCACAGCCGATGATTTCCAAGTAAACCCATTTGTCAACGCAGACAAGTTGGCTCGCCGCTTGTCTGGGCGTCAGGTGCAGATGATCGCTATTGGCGGTACTATCGGCACCGGTCTGTTCCTCGGAACTGGCTCGTCACTCGCCAAGGGCGGGCCTGCTTCAACACTTATTGCATATGCTATTTGTGGTGGTATTGTCTTTATAACTATGCTGTGTCTCGGTGAGATGGCGGCGTTTATGCCTGTTGCTGGATCTTTCTGTACTTATGCGGGGTAAGTATTACTCGTTTCTATAAACCGGATGATTACTGACTTGTTTTATAGTCGCTTCGTAGATGATGCGCTTGGATTCGCATTGACTTGGAATTATTGGTTTAATGACGCTGTGTCTACCGCATCAGATATCATTGCTTTACAGCTTTTGTTGCAATATTGGACCGATAATTTCCCAGGCTGGGCAATCAGTCTAATCTTTTTGGTTGTTGTCATTGCATTGAACGTCTTATCTGTGAAAGTTTACGGCGAGGTATGTCTAGATGACTTCCACTCTATTGCACCTAATCTGACCGTTCCTATTTAGGTTGAATATTGGTTGAGTTTACTCAAAGTCATCACCATCGTTGTGAGTGCCATTCGTTATAAAACCCCCCCCGCACGCCAAGCTAATTCGCTTTCTAGATCTTCATCATCCTTGGCATTGCTGTGAACTGTGGCGGAAATACAGACCACGAATACATCGGCGGCAAAAATTGGCATAAAGGCGACGCACCCTTCGTCGGTGGAATCGGCGGCTTTGCATCAGTATTTGTTACAGCCTCCTTCGCATAGTATGTGAACCCATCTCATCATTCCTTCTATTAAACAAACTCCATTCTAACAATCAAACAGCGGCGGCACCGAATCCATCGCCATTACAGCTGGTGAAACCAAAAGCCCCGCGAAAGTAATGCCAAAAGTCGTCCGCAACGTCTTCTGGCGTATTCTTCTCTTCTACCTCCTCTCAATCCTCATCGTCGGCCTGAATGTACCATACGACTACCCCGGCCTCTCAGACGGCGACACAAAGACCAGTCCTTTCACAATCGTCTTCCAGCAAGCCGGTTCAGCCGTTGCTGGCAGCTTCATCAACGCCGTCATCATGACTTCCGTGATCTCAGCTGCTAACCACGCCCTCTTCGCCGGATCTCGTCTTCTATTCACTCTCGCTGTCGATGGATATGCGCCCAAATTTTTCGGTCATCTGAACCGTTTCCAGGTTCCGTGGGTGGCTGTCCTTGCGACATCCGTGATCAGCGGTCTCTGCTTCGGAGCCAGCTATATCGGCGCTGGACAATTGTGGTCCTGGCTGCAGAATATCGTTGGCGTCTCGAACCAGCTCTCGTGGATTTGTATCGGTCTTGCTTCTCTGCGGTTCCGCTCGGCGATCCGCGCTCAGGGGATTGAGCATCTCCTTCCTTTTAAGAATTGGACTTATCCGTATGGTCCGATCTTTGCTGTTGGACTTAATATTGTTCTTGTTCTTGTTCAGGGATGGAAGTGCTTCAGTCCGCATTTTAAGAAGGTCGACTTTGTCTCATTGTACATTGAGATTCCGGTCATGATTTTCATGTTCCTGGCTTGGAAGCTGGTCAAGAGAACTAGCTTTGTTAGGAAGTCTAATATGGACTTGAGGACGGATCGATGGGATCCTTCTCAGGAGGATGGGCCTGAGGGTTTGGTTACGGAGAAGAAGACGGGTGTTTGGGGGAAAGCTCAACGGTTTGGGCAGTGGTTGTTCTTCTAGGCTCGCCTTTTTTTGTTTTCTTATGATACCTCCTGTCCCATTACTACTATTACCATACCGTACATATATTTACTGTTTCTCTCTTTGTATACTCTCTCTTCTTTTCCCTTTCTTTTACGATAGCGCTGGGTGTCATCTGAGGACTGTAGCCGTGAGTTACACTACACTCAATCTCTAGGCTACCATATTGACTGTGAGACCATAATTAAGTAAAAACTTTGAATCCGTAAAGCTATCTTTGCAAAAATACTCCTCCAAATAATATGACTAGATTAGCAGACTTCAACATCTGACACTAGCGATGACATTCTGGAACAGCAATTCATGAAAAATCAAATCTCGTATCTTCCTCCTCTTAGGCTAGATATGACAGCTCTTCTCTTCGACTAAGCTGTTCCGGGGTAAGCCTCTAACAGTTTTTGAAGCTGCGTACCCAGCGGTGTATAAGCTGTTTCAATTTGATCCGCACACGAGGCAGCTGCTGCTTTGACCTTAGTTGTGTAGTTCTGTATCGCTCGTTAGAATATAACCGAGAAAGGTGTTCATGGGTAATTATAAATTACCTGCAACGCGCCCTGGGCCTGCAAGATATATCCATGCATCTTGACAGCATCATCACCGTGTCCATTTTTCTCGTAGAAAGCGCGTCCATCGGCCACGTGGAGGTAACCCAGCTGCGAGGTAGCGAACTAAATGTGTAGGAAGAGAAAATATGTTAAGTTTTGGTTCCATACAAAAGGCCGGAGTTCAACTAACCTTCTCATAAGCACTGCAAATAGCGGTCTGCTCTTTTGGGGTGGTATTAAAGGTACACTGCAAATCCTGATTGAAATGCTTGGTTTGGCTTTCGAAGTTTTTGAAGATAGGCTAGGCCAGAGGCGTAGTTAGTTTGCCGGAACCTTTATATAGAAGATGTGGGTTTAAATATAGGTTAACTCACCGCAGAAGGGTCAATGTTGTCACTTGAAGAATCAGTTACAGACTGCATCTTGTCTGCATAATGCTCGACTGCAGTGAGTGAGTTGAGAACATCGTCTGCAGTGCATGTGGTCTGGCAAATTGAAAGGCCGACGAATGCCAGAATGGTAGAGATTGTCACGAAAATCTTCATGGTTGTTTGGACAATCTGTCAAAGATATAAAGTGTCTAGGTGAATTTCGCTTTTCAGATCGATGGGATGAGAGGTTGAGTGAAGGTAGAAATAGTCCGCGCTGTAGTGGCTTTATATAACAAGTCATTCCTCAGTACAGGGAATTGGCTATGTTGATGAAGCGGGCGTTTCCTGGTTAAGGAAAAATGCACTTCCATAGCTTTTTCGTCGTCATTCAGATCTACCTCGTATGTATGAAGTAAAGTTCTGAACTCATCCCCCTGTAGAGTCAACCGTTGATTGTCCACGGTTGATTCCGATGTCAAATTCAAGCCGAAGAAGCGAATATCCCTGTTTTTATTTCAATCTCAGGGTTCATGTAACGAGAAGTTCCTCGTCCATTCAAAGCAATTGACAATTCGAATCCTCGTCGGATGTTGTTGCCAAGCATATCATACCTTCCACTTCCACAGCGGGAGTTGCACACCCAGGGCCAGGCTATCCAATGAAAATATATTCGCCTCCACGATCTGTAACGTAGGACTCGGAACGACAGGGGCTCCTTTATTTGGCCCTATTCCCCCGATGCTATTACTTCAGATTTATTTTCCGACAATCCCGCCCCGCAATTTTCATCGAATGACCCTACAGCTGCAAGCCATCGCTTAGATTGTTCCTACAAGTCTCACCTTTGTATTAGCTATTTTCTTCACACCGCAACGCTAACCTTGAAAGCAATCCTCTGTCTGCTGCAGCTTATGTCACCGATCTATGGATCTTTCCAAAAGTTGGCATTCGCGTCTTGGCCACTTTGAATAGCATGATATCGCTCTGCGTAGATGATATGGCACTTTCATTGTAGACTAGACACGATCGTCGGATATGGTGTAAACCGAAGCCTTTTATTACCCGGACAGCGCCTGGGTTAACGAACTTTTGAAGGTGCAGGGCTCGCCCATTCTACGTGATATTAATTTTCATGGCACTTTTCCGTAACATCCTAGCTTGACTCCACTCTCCGGAAAGAAAGCATCAACTACACTTGGAGAAGGAATAGAGTGGTCACTGAGAGTACAGAGCTTAAAAATAGGGGAACAAAAGAAAAGAAATCAAAAAAAGAAACTCCGATAGGGGGAATCGAACCCCCGGCTGCCGTGTGAGAGACGGCGATGTTAGCCACTACACCATATCGGATGACTTGATGAAGGCTACTTTCGATTTGGTTTTATCAATTCAGGTTAGCGCTCTTTGTCCTTATGCGTCCCCGTGCGTGGTTCTATATAGTCCCATGTCCTCCCCCCCATTCTACCATCTCACATTTTCTTTTTCGCCCTCCTCCTCCCTGCTCCCTGCAGGTGAGGCATTTTTGCTATTGATTCGGATCACCGAGCTCCTAAGCTCCGCCATCCCCTTTTCCCTATGTGACTCGTCATCACCTCTTCGCGACTTTCCCACGCCCCTCGCTGCTTATTTTGGCTCTCACCTCGTTCCTGACCATTTGCTTTCTCTGAGGCCCTAACGATAGCCCCTGAATTTTCAGAACTCATATAACTAACTGTCCGTCGGTCGTTCATAATCCCGTTATCGACGTGCCTTCCGCTCTCTCTAGACAGTTGCCTACGCGAGAGGCTCTACGAAACACAAAGAACAGTCTAACAGGGCCTTGTTGTACTTAAGTGATAGCGCTTGCTTTGCTTACACTATGACCGAAATCCAACGTGGCTTATCTGACCAATCGAACTGCCCTAGCCGTCGTTCCCTGACCTTAGACGGGACGAAACGAGTGTAGGGCATTAGGACAGAGAGAGGCCGCCTCGTTATCTCTAGTGTATGTGACGCCGATAATATAGTAGTAGGCCTATTTTTAGGTCCCTCTATCTCCTCCTCTACACTAATCAATCATGATGCCGACCGAGGGTTGCGTTAATAAGGCGAATTTGGTGAATTTGGTGAATAGAGGCCGGGTCTGCGTAGATCTCCTGAATGACTATAAGGGAAACGGGTTTAGATTAATTTCTTCGCGCTGTCTGATTGATAGACGATGTCGCATTTTATATAGTTTTGTATTCTGAGCCTAGGAAGATATCTCGGAATTAGGGGCTGGCCGTTCGTGCCGCAATGTTTACGGACTTAGTATCCGCTGGCTCGCGCACTAATGTAGCATTACTCCAGATGTCGCTCTCGTGACGGGCCTTGTCTTCCTGATCTCCTAGTACGGCCTTATTGCTATAGAGACCCACCCACTCTGCCTTAATATCTAATCATATAAGCTAACTACCCGCTGTCGTTAACGCGAAGGCTTTGAGGAATCCTAAAAAGTGCTAGGCTAGTCTTGCGCGTTTCGTGTTCTATCTCGAACCATGAATTGGATGGCGAATAGAGCTCAATAAATCTAGTGGTGATAACACTAGGCGCTCAAGATGCGTAGACTTGCAGTTATCCAGGAATGGCAGCATCATTGTGGTATGATATCGGGTACGAATTCGCCCGCATCACACGAAATCATCGTTGGCTTCACCATTAATTGTCATAGAGGACGATATAAAAATCGAGAGGGCGTGTGCCTCCTAGCGTTGTAACTTAGACAAATGAGTCTGCCTCAGCCTACAGGCTGAAAATAACGTAACTAACCGGTCAGAGGAGAGGTATAAATCCATATATTTTATACGTAGTCCCGGCGAGAGCAGCAATAAGAGTTCGGTTAGATCTTCTCTTATAAAATCTCTCGACCTCAGATCATCGCATAATAGAGGAAAGGTGTCTTCCGAGTTTAGATTTTCAATAATAGCCAAGCGTATCAGAGAGACTTTACTAGACGCGCTTTGCCAGCCACTTCACTTCCAGCCTCAACCAGTTCGCACAGAACCTAAGGTGACAACCCGTGCCTTGCTAATCTGCTCGTATGGTGTTATTGGTATGGAGACCCACCACTCTGCACTAATGTCCAATAATATAAAACACTCACAATCCTAGCATCTGCACGTAGCCACCAGCTGATTTGTTGAAATGGTTCACTAGAAGACGACCAATACCACTTTCGCGCTGATCCTGTTAAGTAAGGCACACATAAGAGATCGATTGGGCACAGATAGATCAAACAAAAAAAAAATACGACTACGCAAATAACAGCGCGAATGCCAAGTGTAAGCTTCGAGCCTTGGTTCAGTTCGTTTTTTTCCAATGCTGCTCACTTATGAAGCAAATGGTGGGCAATTCTACTATCAAATCAAAATATGAATATGGAATTGCTCTCCAAGATGCAGCACACCTTGGAAAGTTAGATGATGTCAAGCTGCTCCTTAACCAGGGGGCCGATGTGAACGTTCAAGGTGGTGAACATGGCACTGCTCTCCAAGCCGCAGCATGCTGCCACAGGGGCTCTTTTTTGACAGGTAACATTTGTCCAATAGAATGTTGTGAAGGGATGGAAAAATCAGCCGCCAATCAGAGAGCTGACTCTAGTCCCTAGCAGACACATCTACATATTTCGCATTGCTTACATATATTTGGCCCATATTACACTGATATATATGAGTTTGTCTTGAATGTCAAGGTCAACATGATTTATCGTCCTAGAATTAGATAGGGTTAACAAGTACGGAGTAGGACAACCCGGGTGAAGGTTAGACTTAAATGTTGATAGAACGTTCTATTCAGGTAATTTTTAATCTCTTTCCTAATCCTATTTTTATTTTTATAGTTTTTATTCTCCTGTTTCCTTCCTGTTTCCTCTCCCGTTTCACTGCTTATCCTTCCACCTCGTTCGCATTATTTAGCGTAGAATTCATATGGCTTATGCCTTTTCTTGCTGAAATGAAGATTTTTTTACGGAAAAGAAAAGAGTAGGTTTCGCTCTCTTCCTGTGTATACTACATTATAGTACACGCCGGTTAACTAGGTGGTTGAGGAGGCACGATTTACATGAGAAAAGCAATGAAAACAGACAGTAATATCCAAAATACCACCCAAATAACAACCACCACAAGTTTCTGGAATATGAAATACGCAATAAAATTGCCCAAGAGACAGATCGGGGTGTTGATCAACAGAAGAAGAAAAGTCAATTCATATCTTCCGGGGACGGAAATGTGTGCTTCATCTATCATGTCATTCATCGTAGAGGACTGCTTCTATTACACTTGATTCGTTAGCTTGAATGAGCTAGGTGATAGTAAAGATTATTCTGAGGATTTTACCGAGACAACAAGTGAGCTCAAAGGGTAATGGATTGTACAACAAGCGTCGAATCCAACAGTTCTTGCTCTCTGAAAGCTTTAAAGGCTTTGGTCGATATTTGTTTGAAATAGAGCAATTTCCCTCATGACAGAGAACTAAGAGCTATTGAGGGAATGAATCCAAGAAGTCCATGATGGTTGGCCAGAAAAATTTGTTCTTAAATGGTGCTGCTGTCATGGCTTCATGGCTGTGCGTCTAGGGCTCTCTAGGCTTTGATATACATAATGTCCTTTCTTCACGTCTGACTAAACATTTCCAAGGTTAATAAGGCCATAATACTACATAAAATATGCGACTGAAACCTTGGAATTGGCCGGTACGCCGAGCGGGCCATTCCCAGAAAACGCGGCTAATTTTCCCACCTCTTTGCTGGCATTTTAGCGGGTGATTGGTTGCCTTCTCTCTTCCAAGCCCTTTCCTGAGACCAATCTAGAATTTTCGCTTCACATTCCAAAGACGTTTTCAGTTACTCAAACATGACATGAAATATCAAGCTCGGTAATGGTTGGCAATGATCCGATTCCTTCAATATGCCACAAATGTCTGCTGCGAAGCACGGACATGCTCAGTCCTATGGTGCGGTTAGACCTTTCTTTTTCCAGTCTCTTTTTTCTCCTTGTTCTCCCTGGGAGAAAAAGGTGTAAGTCAACATACTGGCTATATCACCCTTTACTTCCCAATCTACTAAATATAGATAAATACTACCCCTTAATCTCCTAACTGGGTAACTAGGGAACAATGAAGCAAAACAAAAGTACTGGCCGGTTAGCACATTCTTTGGCTCGGATTGAAGGCATTAAGGAGAAACAAGTCAACCGAAAGCGCTCTCGTGTTCTTATAGTCGACCTTCCGGAAGGTTTTCCCCTTGCGCATGGGGCCCTGACCCACTCTCCTACATCGTTTAGGCCACCCCATAATACATGTCATATCCCCTTGTGTATAAATTAAGCTGTCACCTAGTGCTTAGCCATAAACTAAGTCTCTCATATATTCAAAAAGGGTGTTAGAAATCTACTCAGAAAGCGCCAAACATGACGCGAGTCGCTTCTGATGATTCCATGATCACGCACGAAGCCACCCAGAACGCGGACTATTTGTCCCTTGAATGGAAAGATGAGGATATATGGGACACCAAAAAATATATTCGTCGACGAAGGGCACAGCTTAAAAATTACCAACGGCTTGAAAATGCCCTCTGGAGAGCATGGGCAAAGCAAGGGAAAAGGTTGCCATATTTCCCACCGCGATTGATTCGATGGTAAAGTGCTGTCCTTTAACGCTTCGCAATTTCAGATGATTCTCGAGCTGACATTTTTCATCTCATTAGGGATAAAGATACCGATATAACATGGCTTTTCGGGCCTTGGAAAAAGCGCGCTGGCTTACAACCCTTTTTATCTCATCCTCAGTTGCAGGCAGGAGAGCTCGCAAGTGTATCTTTTCCTAGAACAGAGCAAGCTTTTAGTCAGAGGAAGTTTGACTCCAATGTACCTCGGAGTATACTACTTCCTCCAAGGCCGTTGTCAATATGCAACCCGCCGAGAAAAAGGGTAAGTCTTGAATGACAAGTCTCACAGATAGTACACTGGCTAATATCGAAGGTGCAGGTTTGCGTATCGCACATGCCTTCACCGAGAGCAAAAAGTCGCCGAGTTCGATTTAGTTGTGAAGTACAACAAGTTCTCTGTCTCCCTCAAGCCATTCCTCAGAATTTAATATCAGGACACAACTTGTCGGATAATCAGGTCTCCTTAAATTCGTTGTTGAAATTCTATAGAAGTGGACAGACCTTGTTACCACTGCCACCCGCGTGTCTGAAGCCTCCCGAGGCTTCTTTCCAGCCTTTGTCATTGAACCCGCCTTTCCTTTTTGAAGGCCAAGAGTAAGTTCAAGCCATCTGCTACGAAGGCTTTTGTGACAATATCGCGGACTTGGCAGAGAGTTGACGTTGAACTCGGCCGCTTGCAGGTGTATTTTCATATCTTGATTTCCTGTTATGTCGGCCTGGCCGGTCAGATATCCCGCCAACAGTTCATTTCTGAACTAATCGCTAGAGTCCAAGACTCCATCTCGTGAACTGGCTAAATACTACTGTGGGGTCATGTGAGACCATATAATGTGAGACCTCTTTCTCCGTATTTGGGTCCTGACAGTACAACGACATGTTCGGCGACCTATAGATGCAAATACGCTATTATCCAACCGATTTGAAACCTGCGAGAGGGATCTCAAGAAGTCCCTCGACCACAGTAATATCGAAAAGGCGCCAATAAATCGCCAAGCCACCCTTGAAGCACGTCCTCTAGTGCTCTCATCTGCTAATGCCAACCGGAAGATGGTGGCGTGGATGCAAAATTACTAGATGTTGAACAACAGGCGCAATTGACTAGGGAGTTAAACTAGACTGCGCAAGAGGCTACTTTGTTATTTTAAGAATATGTAAATAATGGTTTTTATATAGAAACGACTGGCGTTCTGAGATATGGGCGTATTTAATGACTTATTCTCATTGAGTGTAGAATAGATGAATAATAAATGATCTATATATCACATGGTAATTGTCTTATCTCCACATTTATTTTCTAGCCAGGAAAGTGGGCTAAGCATAGTCCGAGTGCATAGTTAACTAACTAGTTAGTTAACTATTTTATGAGCATGACGTAAGTTCTAAGCATACCCCTGGACTATGGGTCCTGCGTTAGTGGGGACCAGTCGGGCCGATTAATTTCTCGCGGCATTGTTGGTTTTGTTTCCAGAGGGCGGTCAAGCACGTGTTACCCTAAAGAGACGCCGCTCTGGTATATATAATACGACGCCAGCAGCCTTAGAAGTTTATTGTTGCATCCATAGACCACCTATGTTCTTTGACACTGGAAGTATCATGTGATATCTCCTGTGAAGTCCTATACTCTTCTTCGAACAATATCATTCTCACTATCTACGATCCCCTAACTCGGAATATAAGTGAAATACTTCTTGGATATAGGTAGGAAACACATATTCTTTTTATTCAAATGACTCGAAAACATTCAATTAATATCCCAGTGCTTGATTTAGTATATCAACCGTGTTGCATTATCATGTCTAGCAATATGAAGACTGAAGACAAGGGCAGCTCTGTCCCTCCAACTCATGCTCCCAGGCCCCAGGGTCTTTCATGGAGAGGTTGTGCAGAGACATATGTGATTAACTTTTTGACTCTCCTGATCACCATCCATCTCAAAGACGTCTTCTTCAAGTCCGACAATTTTTTACTTCAGTGTGGGATTTATGCATCATTTCTTACGTTATTTAATTTTCTGTACCGGAAGTTCCAATCTCTTTAAGCATATAGATCGTCTTTGCGAATAAGTGAAACTGGAATCAAGGATGAGACTTTACACCTAGCATACGCTATTATGATCACACTAGGCATACATATTGAGCTCTGTGTGCTGCATTATTAAATCTTCCCCGTGGGCAGCATGTAGTCTTGAACAATGGCCTTGAAATTAGCGATTGTTAAGCCGAGCACCGATGAGAAGCAATATACTAACTCTGCTAGTAGAAGGATGAAAGGAAACTTGAGTCTTTTGACCATGAGGAAGAGTGCAAGCTCTTCTTGACCTCCCAAGGTCACTTGTTACCCTATTATTAGGAATGTCTCCAGCACCAAACTCATCATTTCAATTATTCGCTCTCACTTTTATCTATAATCGTTCCTGAATGGCAAAGAAGTACTGCACTATGAATGCCGAGCGGACTATCTATCCATGTCTCAAAGGTTAGTCTCAATGGACAGGTTCATAGATCCGTAGTCATACGTTCAATTTCTTCTTAATATGCATACACTTTCTACTCTCGCTCTCATAACCGCAAGCTATGATTTCTAGTACAGTGGCACACTCCTCCTCGCAGCCATATGCATACATCTTACTGGCGCTCTATTCAAGACTTCCTTCTTTCCAATGTACATTTCCACCGAGGGCAAAGGGAAAATTTCATGACGGCCCATATTTCTGGGATGTGTTGAAGTAAACAGAGAAGACTAGTTGTTGGGGTCCAATGCATCTTTCTCGGTTCCATATCCGGTCCTCACCATATCCAATGGAGGGTCAAAGAACGGGTTTTCTCCGTTCTCGTATAAGAATTCGTCTACCTCCTTTCCAATCCATTTTGCACGCCCTGGGAGAGAGATGTCTTGATCGCAGCCGATGGTGACATTTCGCCGTCGATCTGACCAGAGACAGTTTTCCCGAATCTGTTCGCGCATCTCCGCAAGAAAAGAATGCCAATGATTTCCGTTGTCCACGAATTTCAGAAAGCTCAAGTTCACAGATCGTACAGTTTCAGGTAGTTCTGAAAGGAACGATATGACGTCGGATTGGCTGACTATGAAACGTGATAGCTCAAAGTGTCGGAGTTTGGGCCAATTCTCAATGGGAAATATGCTCTTCAAGGGCACAGGCGTGATACTGCGCAGATTCTTGTGTTCATTTTCGGCATCTATCCCTGTGGTAGCGAGGCTGATCTCCTCCAGATCGCCTGCTTCGCTCAACGCCTCATAAAGCCTGTCATGGGGAAATGATTGCCACGACCCGGCGAGAGTAAAAGCAAGATCTAAGTGACGGAAGCCCGGTTTATTGAGCAGCGTGACCAAGTGATCCTGTTCCTCGCAAGGATCATCGAGGATCGTACAGTTAATCCCCGTGCGAAGTAGGCGGGAATCTAGACTGAGCTCGACCACATCATTTTTTTGTTGAGCGAGCACGCGTGCCACAATGCGCAATCCGTGAAACTTTTCTTTCTGCACTTCGTTGAGCCTTTTCCAAGGAAGCGAATATACCTCCTCTGGTTGTTCGTGGCCAGGAAGTGGCCATCCGCGGGGATGGGATAATTGAATCCTTGCGGGAAGGATCGGATCATAGGAGTTTGATAAAGCGGGGTGAAAAGAACACCATGGGCTGCAGGCGTGACCGTCACTTTCTTGAGTGCAGGGAATTGTTTTATTCCATGAATGAATGCTTCTTCGTCAAATTTCCCAGCCAGGACATCATCTTGTTGCCGGATCAAAGTCCGATAAAACTCTCAACACTCACTCAGCGGAGGCCCGATCGAGCCCAGCTTTCTTATAGTCTTGTAATCCGGATCTTCATCGTCTATCCCGTCGTCACCGGCTTGGCGCCAGAAAGTATCCTCGATACCCGCAGCGCATGCGGCCTTGAACCACACAGGACAATCTTTGCTTTTGAATTTTGTACTTCTCCGTAGCTGATTGGTAGGGTCGCCTCCTTCCTCATCATCCTCGTCATCCTCATCGTCGTCATTGTCGCTATATTCGCGAGGCCAGTCTAGCTCACAGTTTCCCTGAAAGCGACAAATCTCGGTCTCGTTATCACTGGTTTCCTCGTCTGATACCATTTCATTCTCCCAGCCAGGGAGTCCGCTGCGTGTTCGAGGGCCCCTGGGTAGTCGGGCATCGTCCCAGACGATCTCTGTGACCTGGTGCCGGAACTTCTCATGGTCTGCGACAGCACGAAAGACTTCGATATTCAAGGGGTTGGCCGACAAAAACACTCGCTGGAGACGCAGCTCCACTGCATTGGATAATTGTTTAGAGGCGAGGCGCATGGACTTGATATCGCGATTCGGTAGATGGGATGTAATTTCTCGCCACAGCTCCAAAGGGAGAGCAATGCTCTGGCCAATAGAAGTCATTTTGGTGCGCTGGTGCGCTGGTAAGATGGTGGAGGGGCAAAGTGGGTTGACAACAAAGTCATTAGAAAATCGGGGGGATTAGTGTTAGCGTCAGGTGTCCCCATGTTTGTGTGTACGGGCGCCCCACCACCTTGATTGGCTTCCCACCTGGGCACCTCCTACCCATCCGGTATGATCAACGCTTTACGGAATACTCGAATATACCTGTTGAAACGTGTAGAGATTCCTTTATTTTTAACTTCACTCACATGCGCTAAACTTGAAGCACAAAGATACTTGAAGAGAAGGCAGAAGCTATCTATCACCTAATTCGGAGAAAATATCTAAATTTGACCACCTTTTCCCGCATTGTCTCAACTATGTCACCGGCTACCCCATTCTGTGCTACAACAACTTATTCAGTAACTAGGTTTGCAATTTCGTGGGGAGACTCAGCCCGATGGTTTCATGTTCGTAGGGAATGACACACTTCTTAGTCTTATAGCTTAGCTTCTTCAATTATCCAGTCATAATCTCACATTCCACCAGCACCTAGACGTCTCTGTAGACCTCTCTCCTAACAAGTTTATATGTGGATTTCTCATCTCTCTTTTGCCTGCTAACTATAGTTTATAATGGCTTAACTGATAATCTCCATGCTCGTGTTCTTGTGCCATTTGAATGTACGAAGTCAATGTGGCTGCACTTGCCTTGATCGGACAGACCTAGTCGGAGTAGGTTTATATTAGTATCGCCGTCCCCAGATTCTCTCCACAACCCGCATTCTGGCCTGCACTGCTTAATTTTCCGCATCTCTCCATCTGCACTTCTCCATCCGTCCATTCACCGGAATCCTCACCCCCGTCGACCTCGTATTACCAAAGCCCGCCATCTCCCCGCATTTCCACGAGTTTCGTGAAGTCCACAAATGCGAACAGCCCGTCTTCGTGCATCCATTATGGCTTGCCCCCCACCCCGCCTTCCTCTTTGTCCTCGTCCTCGTCCCGTTGTTGATGCAGCCCGCGGAACTAGCCGCTTGGATGGGTGAACTTGGTGCGGCGGGGGGGGGAGAGGGTGTATAGCACAGACCCGGCAGTTATCCCACTATGTGGTGCTCCCTCGGTCTCCTGACATCTCTGTGTCCAAGCTTTCTTCGTCTTTCGGTGCTGTTGTTGTTTGTGATCGTGTACCGCCCTCACCGGCGGTCGCGGTTGTATCCTCTTATCCTATGCCCGTAGCGATAGAGTCCATAACTGAAACTGTCCCAAGAGCCCCATTTTCTTCTTGAAGTCCGCGACAAATAGAATGTCGGACGTCTCAGTAAGTATCCCCCTCTTACCAAGACTCGTTGGTATTCAGCGGTCGTCCAGTTCGCCGAATAGATCTGTTCGTAACTCTTCGAATGCCGGGCGTTCAACAACATATATCGCATATTCTGATATTCAATCGCAAATGAATCTCGGTGAGTCCACACTATTGATATTTAACAGATACGAACCAATGATACCCGTCACCTTCCGTATTATAACCGAAGATGTGGCTTTTCTCTGACCTCTTTCTAGTGCTGTAGTGTCTGCCTGCCTAATCATTCGATCAGTTTTCTCGATTTCCTCTCCGCTTTCCTCGACGCCGTCTTCGTCCATTCGACCTCTCCGGTGTCCGGTGCCAGCCTTTCTAGATCATCTCCAGGGCCATTTCGATACCCCTGAGTTCGGTTACGTACACGGTGGACATGTCGTCGTCGCCCATCTGGCACTCCTTTCCACACTCAATGTGTCTGTCACGGCTGGATCGCCAATGCGCCCAGTGCATCCACTCCCGTCAGTGAATATGCGGGGGGTACACAGATCTCTCACCTTGTCGTGCGTTCTCCTCGGCGTTTGACGGTCTTCAATGAACACCATGGTGCCTGGATAAATGCTTGTCGGATTTCCCACTCACCTGGTGGCACAGGATCCCGGGAAATCTGTAGGCATCCGTCCTTCTTCCATATCTGCGTCTCCATTGGTGTCCATACTCCCTTTTCCGGTCGGCTGTGCTTCGAGCGATGATCAATGATCAGGAGGACTACGTATTACCGAAATGCAGATAGAGATTGCAGACAGCCTTATTGTATTATATCCTAAGGTTGCTCAGTACCTACCAAAGATCGCTTCGTAATCCATCTAGATCGCTTTCCCTTGTAGACTGCCCTTTGTTGCTCTGGTCACATCGGACTTCAAGGCGATACCACCGTCTAGCCCTCTAGGCTATCCTGCTGTGAAAGTCTTGGAAAGGGCCCGAATAGTATCCACATCATATCGTCGGCCCCTATTGTTCCTCTACTTGATACTGGGTACACCCGATCCACAGCCCATCTTGGTGAAGTACATGATGTCGTGGGGGACCATATTCATTATCCAGCCCACCCGGTATGGTCAAGACTTCCACGCGATTCAGCTTAACAACGAAGCGGTTCAATGAGAGGGGATTCGACTCTGTATCCGATGGTTAGACAGGTGAAGGAATTGTTGTGCACCTTCCAGCCATCGAGACTAGTGGCTTCGAGTCAGAGGGTTAGCAGATCACGCCTGAGAAGGTCGATCAAAAGGATTCACTGGCGGATAAAGCGAAGCTGGATGAGACCATCATAGTAGTTAGGAACTCTATACCTACATGTAGGTAGGCATCAAATGCCAAGGTTGCACTACATGACACAAGGGCCGTGCACGTACACTATACCAAGCATAGCTTAGCGTGTAACCTTATGATCTATAAATCTTACCGCATCTCAACGACCTGTATTTTCAGTCGACAATATGGTACGTTTCTATGAGACGTAGCTAGACAGCACCAGAGCTGGGATGCAATCGAAGCGTCTGGGTCGATGTGTGAGAGTGACAATGATATTATCCAGTGGCATAAGCCTGTAGAGTGTATACACCGTTGCACATTCTCTTTACGACTCTAAAGACTATCCAGGACTACACTATTGCCTCAATACTCATGAAATGTGGGGTGAACTTACAGAGCCAGAGCAAATAGTTGAAGAGGGGAAGTTGAGAAATGGGGGGTCACCTGAAAGACACCCCAGGTACCTACCTAGTTAGGGGACTTCGAGACCATGGGGGTATAAATACCCCCTCCCCCCTCCTTTTCTCCCTTCTCTCTTTCTTCCTTCTTCATCTCTCCACATCCTCATACCATTCTATCCACCAAAAAACATTTCATCAAATATTTCATCCACTTTATATCTTCCATGATCAACTGATGTCTTCCGTCATCAGCCTGAGCCTCATCACTTTTTCCATCTATCTAAATACACATCCGATGAGATGAAGCCTGTTATCGCCATGCGCTTGAAGCATTGGCCTTCGTCACGTCCACCTTCATCACTTGGCTGGTCAGTTGTGCCATCCACTTCTGACTTCCTTTTTCTTTCCTTGCTTACATTCTTCCTTTAGACAACTCAACCACATAACAACATATCTCTTCAACGTGCCTGGCACCTGTCATGTTCATCATCCATCGCATGGCTTGTATGTTCCACCTGTCTCTTTTCTTTTTGTTGCTTCCATATACTTACATTCATCCTTCAGACAACTCAACCACGTTCTCCTTCCGGCTTCCGTGTTCCACTTTATGAGTTCATTGCTTCTTGTGAGTGTTGTCAACCATTGTCCATTGTCCATCTGCTTTCATCTTGTCTCGTCATATTCCATGACTTGGTCAACATGATATGGGGCTGACTGTACCAGACATGTGTGCTCAACCACATCCACTCTTCAGCCTTACCGTGGCGGGCTTCGGCTTCAGGACAATCGGAAGGCTTGAAACAAATCAACCACGTCCACCCACTCACACCAACATCCACATAACCATCTCCAGCCTAGCCGTGGCGGGCTTCAGCTTCAGGACAATCGGCAGGCTTGGAACGAACGACATGCACTCAACCGATCCACATCCACATCGACTCACCCACTCTCCGGCCTTACCGTGGTGGGCTTCGGCTTCAGGACAATCGGAAGGATTGGAACGACGGCAAAGGCGAAAGCAAAAACCAAAACAAAACAAAAGAGACAAGAACAAAGCCTTGAACGATTTCAAGCATCCAGTTCAATCAACTATCCACATTCAAGCATCCACATTGACCACCCACGATGTTTCAACCTTTCAGAGGAAGAATGAAAAGAGGCGGTGTTGAACCAAAACAGTCTCCACAGGAGGGTCTCTGAAGGAGGTTGCTCGTCAGGAACAGCTTACAGCGTGTACCCAATGAAGGATACTCTCAAGACCGTTTGCTTTGGTGGTACCAAAATTGTTCCTTAAGGTTGGCGCTTGCTCACCTCCACTCAACCACTGTCGTTCGTTGGTTTTATCCCCAGCACTTCATTCATCGTTTTCAACAAGCTAGGGTATCTAGGCCGATGGCCAAGTACCCCCGGCACCCAGCATCGGCACCCCACCAGGGGAGGAGAGCTCGCTGTCGCCATCTCCGACACGCCATTTCAACGCGCACAACGCCCAATTTTCATCAAAGCAAAGCGTAATCATACGCAATTTCTCCGTTTTCGACGTCCATGTTCTCCATATCTCGCATTTCGCTGTCTTTCGACGAGAGCACATTCGACGTCCCAATTTCAACGTACAACAAAGTACGGTTTCAAAATGCCACCCCGCGTATCTCATTTCGACAGAGCTGACGAGCTCTCACCGTCATGCAAAATCCATAATTTCGAAACCTCCGAGACACATTTCGAAAAGTCATCGTCGTCGTCAACAAAGATTGACCACCTTTCGATTTCTACCACACATATCGCGTAAGAACACGCGTGAAGTCTACAACAGGCATCTACAAAGGAGTTCCATTCATCACTCGACTAGCGACCGCGTCGACAACCCTGGTACGAGACACCGGCAGCGTTTAGCGCTAAGAGTCTTCACAAATTCAACCAATTATCATCGCGCGACTCAAGCGTCACATACACTCTCAGCGGATTTTTCCAAAACACGAACTATCTTTGGATTCTTCAACGTGATCCTCACCGCGGGATACACAAATTCAACTACGTCACGCAAAGCAAAGTCCTCACAAAAACCACGGCCGGCCAATCAAGTCTCCGAAGCCATCATCGACAATCGAAGATGGGTAAGAGCTCGAGTAGGAGCTCCGCAACAGGATGATATGCAAGATTTGGGATCATTGGGTATATCTTTGCATGGTTCCAAGGTTGTTTCAATGCACATAGCCAGTCAGAGACAGGCTAGATGGGGGATGTTGAGACCGCGTTTCTGCCTCAGGTCGATAGGACCTGCCCCGCCGGGATTGATCTTCCTTCCTGTCTCTCTCTGAGCCAGCTAGCTCAATGCAACCCATAGTTTCCTTTCCAATTAATTGCTCAATTCATAAGATTTTGTGTAGTAGCCTGTTGTGTAGCATACGTAGTGTTTTCTGCAGGCATAAACCAGAGCTGAAAAGTAAACTCAGGTAAAATCAATGAATGAATCAGTTGAAAACAATTGATGCAAGTCGAGGAAAATTAGATATCGTTATTTACGCTAAGATCTCACGTTAAGCCTCATTCGTAACACGTTGTACTTTATACACGTATACGGAATCACCACCATTCTACCCCAGAAAACCACGCACAATCGTGGCCTTCCCGCAGTCACCCCGACTTACACCGTATCGGATTTTTATTGTGAGGAGGGCTCAGCTATGGCACCATGAATGGGAATGGCGGTGAGAGTAATTTCAACATTCACAACCTAAGCTTCACTGTTTCATTCTTGTTGCGCCGCGAACAATGCAGACTACTGGTACTCCCCTAGAGAAGGACCAAACAGACACCGACATTCGTATTTCGTGACCTTCTCTCGTAGGGCATCTCCCACGATTTTCTTCCAGCCCAGCATAGCAAGCCTCCTTGCGACCTGAGGTATCCCAGCGCTGCGTCGAACCTCAGCGAGGGGGCATCTGTGATCTGACATCGTCTGGTCTCACGTCATTCATGAGAAAACGCACACCTGGCTCCGTAACAGATGCCGGCTTATCGAGAATCACGACGAATGTTGGGAAGAATTCCCACATCATGCTTCAACAAGGGCAGAATCCGCTGTCGCTCTAGTCCGCCCTCCGGGTGTTGCAAAGTGCCCACAGCGAGGTCGATTGGGAAGGATAGGATGGATGACAAGCTTAGGCCGGGGATTTTAAAGTCAAACCGCACCTTCTTGGAGTCGAAGTTGGAAATGATATACGCTGTGAATAGAGGGCGCGTGGTTTCTAATCAGGCTTGGTCTGGAATTTCCGCCAGAAATTGAATATACGTAGATCACATATTGGAGATCGCTTTCTTGAGAAGAGTGGGTTTTGACAGTGATTTCTGTACCCCGAGGAGCTTTAGTCGAGGAAAACTTGTCGGGTTGCACAGATCTAAGCCCTGGCCTTCGTACCTTGCTTATTAATAATTTCCTTGACCTGTTGAGCATCCTAATTCGTCTGCGCAGAAACTGGCTCTTCGATCCCATAGTCAAGCTCCCATCCACCATCCGCTTTCGTTTGTAAATTGTTAACCATAGACTGTAAATATTGATTCATAGCTTCTTGCGTTTTAAAATTTCACAATGGGTCTCGCGGCGTTGGTGCTCAACACAGGCAAATGAATCAGCTTGATTAGACGTATAGATCTCGACAAAAATGTTGTCCTCTAAGACAAAAAAAAAAAGAATATTTGTAGAGTTTTCCGAAGTTTGGGGGTGATCGGAGCTTTGCTGTAGATCTGAATTGTGTCTTTCTCTCAGCTCCGGAGCATAACCGCTAGACACTTTGCCGAGACTGACAGGATTGATTGCCTTGATGGTCCGAGTATTATCGCTGGCGCCATTGGTGGGGACTCGCATTACGAGGTACATTCTAGGCTGTTCTAGCCATGGAGAGTTTTCAGCTTCGAGTTGAGAGGTTGGAGCGTTCTGAGTCCTGCCCAGGGGTACCTGGATCCAAGATGACTCAGCAAGGCTCGCGATAAAAAAAAGAGCTTAACTAACGACTTCCCGCGATGAAGAATTCTCATAGAGATTGTGGTAAGACAATTGACTATCACTATTTCGCATGACTTTCAATCGCCCCCTGCCCATCTCCGGGGCGTGGAAGCACCCTGATGCCTACATTGAGGCCCTCCTCTGCTTCTCTACTACGTCGGTGCTCTTTATGAATTTGTGCGGTGGCGTGCATATGGTCGATTTTCTGACCTGGGAGCCCGACCTCTACACAAAAGTCCTGCCAAAAGATTGGATATCCTTCTTCGAACATCATGATATTCAAGATATCATCCGCCTACTCCTACGAGAGGACATTGAGCACTTACGAGGCGCCGGCGAGCCTTCCGTAGATCAAAGCAGGCTTACTTGGAATGGCGGAGCATTCCCTCCCCAAAGTCTCTTAGACTACATTTTCAATATCCGTCTACTGACACTCCAACGAGAAATGTGCATCTCATCTTCGAAGAGGATAGAATTACCAAAGCAAGTTGCTATGCATATGAACCGAAAGAAAGTACACGAAGTTGAACGCTTTTCTCAACATGTCGCATCTCTATCAGACACTGTAAATAAGCACCGAGGTGAGCCAGTCACTCATATTGTGGATTTCGGGTCTGGACAGAATTATCTCGGACGGACACTGGCCAGCTCACCCTACTACAAGCATATCATCGCAATCGAGCGCAAGCATCAGTACATCAGCGGTGCCAAGGGCATGGATGTTCGAGCCAAGTTGGCAAAGAACCCAAAGGCTCAATACGTTCAGAAGGATAAAATTCCATGCGATGGCCATAACGGAACTCCGGAAGTGACTGTTTCTGATACCTCCCAACCAACGACAGAGAGCTCGCAGGTCTCAGATGCCCCTTTTGTCGAGCTGTTGGGCGAGATTAGCCATCAATCTGAGGAGCTTCTCGGATCCCCTACCAAAACCCCATTACAAGAAAAGCCGCCGAAGCCAGAGATCCATTCCCACGGTACTCTCAGCTATATTGAGCATGAAATCCAAGATGGCCACTTAGAGCCCATTATCGACCACATCATCCATCCATCCTCTGCTGGAGCTTCTGAGGGGAAAGTAAAAGACCAGAGCGATGCGAGATTGATGGTCGTTTCCCTTCATTCTTGTGGAAACCTTGTTCACCACGGTCTACGATCCCTGATTCTGAATCCTTCGATTGTGGCTGTCGCTATGATCGGCTGTTGCTACAATCTGTTGACGGAACGCCTCGGTCCAACCACACATGACCTCCCTATTCTTCAATCCCTCCACCCTCGGCTTAAAGAGACTGGGACATCATACGATCCGCATGGGTTCCCTATGTCTAAATACTACGAAAATTACCGAAGTCCCGGAGCAACGACCGGCGTGAAGCTTAATATTACAGCTCGGGCACTGGCGGTGCAAGCTCCGTACAATTGGGGCGTCAATGATAGTGAAGTTTCCTTTACTCGTCACTTCTTCCGTGCTCTTCTCCAGCGTATTCTGGTTGATCGAAATATTCTTCCTAAGCCATCTGTGCCGGAGGATGCCTCTGACGGAAGTTACCCAGATGCCAAAACCAACTCTATTATCATCGGGGCATTGCCCAAAGCTGCATTTAAGTCCTTTACTGCATATGTTCGTGCTGCGACGATCAAGATGAGTCGAGACCCGATATATGCTTCCCAGGTGCAGGAGTATATTGCTACCCTGACTGATGAGGAGATTCACTGCTACGAGACTCAGTACCTCCACGCGAGGAAACATATGAGTGTTGTGTGGAGCTTAATGGCGTTCAGTGCTCAGCTCGTCGAGGCTATCATTGTTGTGGATCGGTGGCAATTCCTTCGTGAACAGGACTCGGTCAAAGACTGCTGGGTTCAGCCAGTATTTGACTACAGTGAGAGTCCACGTAACTTGGCGGTCATTGGACTAAGAAAGTGATGGGTTGTGGGAAGAAGATTTTTCGACGTGCATTAAATTTGAATTGATTGTAGATACATATAGAGGAGGTCAAAGCAGAAACATACAAAGTCAATTGAGAAATAAATCAGTCGTCGTCGACGAATAAACCGTACCACACGCTCATCTACTAGTACGTAATATTGGAATTGAAGTTACATACGTATGTATTGGGCGCATCTATAGAGTGTGTTGAAACTTCAAGTGTACGGAGGTATTATGTACTCAAAATACGCAGGTACGGTCAGCGTCTTGGTTTGGAAGGAGCCTCTCAAGTTCTTGCAGAATAAAATGCTTGCCCTTTCCCAGAAAGTTGTGACTCCCAGCAAAAATAACTTGCCTTTGTAAACACCCCATCTTGAGATCGTCACACCAGGATTCTGCTTCGTTACTCGGCGTTCTTCATTTTTCTTTAATATAATCATACCTGACCCGCCTCCTGATCCCCCCTCTGCGTTGGCCACGATGCCACCAACATCTGACAACCCTGTAAGTGTAGATCGCCCCAATACCTCCCTGTCCTGATTCAAACTCCCAATACAATGAGAGTTCTATAATCACTGTCGTCCTCTCAACTACTAGCACGTGTTGATGAGTTGTTGGGACGTTCACTAATATATAGAGTAGCCCCAATTTTGCGATTTCTGCGGAAAGCTCGGTCATGCCCTGACCGATTGTCGCCTGGCCGCCGGCGTGGCCGTCATGAACGCCGTGTCTGTTGTTTCCCGGGTAAGATCCATATGCTCATCCTTCAAATAGAAGGGAAATGCTCATTTTGAGTCTGATGATGCTGGCCCGCGGCCCCAAAGCCCCTAAGTTGCGCCGCTGCGGCCGCTGCTCCGAGGCGGCGAAGAAGGGTATGTCGTGTTATTTCATTCAATCAAACCGCTCAGCCCATAACACCTCGCCTAATTCTTCCCCTTCATCTTCTTATCGCCTGACTCTGAACTCCCTCTCACTTGGCTCTCACTTGGCTCTCGCTGTCTCTTCTCACTTGCCTCTCACTTGCCTCTCACTTGCCTCTCGCTGTATCATCTCGCTGTGTCATCTTGCCGTGTCATATTGTCATGCCCTGTTGCCGTGTCGCACTGCGCATCAAGATGGCTAACAGTTATGAACAGCCAAGGCCGACAAGAAGGGTACACATGATATCCCAAACGATCTTTCTACGCAAGGTCATGTAAGGCTGACCTGCCCTGTGCGCTTAGCTGCAAAGAAAGCCACCCTCCGCAAGGAGGAAGAGGCCCCGGCCTCTAACGGAGAAGGTGAGTTATTGCTTATGCACAATGCCAAGCCAGTTGCATCCTTCAGAGAAAAGACGCTGATTAGTATATATCAGGCCCGGCCCCCGCGTCTCCGAAAGACCTCCATATGGAGGCAGAGGCTGTCGCCTCTGGTGAGAAGGGTAAGTCATTCCTTATACAGAATATCAGGTCAGTTGCAATAATACTGCAACATATGCTAATGAGTATATAAATCAGGCAAAGCCCCCGCCCCCGCACCCCCAAGACCTCCAAGGCCCGTGGCCCCGCGGCCGGTTCCTCCCCGGCTCCCGCCTTTAAAGGTACGCTTATAATCCGTGCCCGCTTTGCCTCGTTGCTATACTGATCTTGATACCTGCCTATCCCCGCGTCGTGCCTGTTGCCACATCATCCCCGTTGCTGCGTCGTGTGCCTATTTTGACGTACTATCACATAGCACTGAGCGAGTATGCTAATAATTGATCAGGTTAGGGTAGTACTTCGCCTGTCGCCCGCCTCGGGCGACAATAACAATGATGATGATACGGTGCTCTGTTTTTGTTATGCCTGAATTCTTTTATTTGTATTTTTATTCGCATTTTTTGTTGTCTTTTTTTGTTGTCTTTTTTTGTTGTCTTTTTTTGTTGTCTTTTTTTGTTGTCTTTTTTTGTTGTCTTTTTTTGTTGTCTTTTTTTGTTGTCTTTTTTTGTTGTCTGCTTTTATTGTCTGTCTGTTTTGTTTGTTGTCTGTCTGCTTTGTTGTCTGCTTTTGTTGTCTGTATTTTTTTAGCCTAGTGGGCTGTGGCCCTTTCACCATCCTCAAGCCCTTCGGGGCCGTTTGAAGCCAGCCCTACGGGGCCCTTCGGAACACCTCTTTGCCATTATCTTTTAGAACTATATCATCGCAGCTCCCCAGCTTCTATATTTTGCTGATAGGTGCTTGATAAGGAGAATCTTCAATTGACTCAGCCCCTAATAATAGGAAAGTATGAACAAATCCAACAAGGCGTTTTAAAGTGGAAGACCGGGGTGAGATAGTAGAAGCATAGTGGTAGAAGAATCCTTTTCCAGGGTGACAGAGGGAAGCGAGTATAAGTCTATTCGGAGCCTATAACGAGGAACATATTTAGGGATATAAGAAGGATCCTTACGTATGTTTGTCGAGCAAATATATTATATTGGTTTCTCAAGCCTGACAAACTAACTAGTTCAGATTAACAAAAGGAGAGAAAAAGAAAGCTATCTGATAGACAAGGTGCGAACACCACCAATGGGCTCACTCAACCTATATCGAATGAACAATTCCAACGGTGCCGTGCTCGGATTCGCAAAGCTCCATAAGCGCGAGCATTGTAAGATGAGTCCCTTTCCATCATACGAAGCCTCAATACTCCTCCCTTTCTGATCACCCATAAAAGACAGAACCAAAACCTACATATAATTAGATACCATAACACTTAAAGAGTGTAACATAGTGTGCAGTCACTTACTGGATGGATATGACATCTGAGGAATGGTTTGTGATTCTTGGTGTCTCGCTCGGTGGCTGGACCTTCAACGACAACAAAACAGACACTCAGAAAGTCTTTGCCGAGATTAGCTCTACGGAGGACAACTGGTCTAAGTTCATCGACAAGCTCCTCTCCTTCATGCGTGATTACGGCTTTGATGCTGTAGATATCGACTGGGAGTATCCTGGAGCTCCTGATCGACAGCCTAAAGACTGGGACTCCAAGGACGATGGCAAGAACTATGTGAAGCTCATAAAAGACATCCGGAAGGCTTTCGACGACCATCAACTTGAATACGAGCTCTCCTTCACAGCCCTAACCTCATATTGGTACCTCCGCTGGTTCGATATCCATGAAATGGTTAAAGCCGCAACTTATATAAACCTGATGAGTTACGACCTCCACGGTGTCTGGGATTCTAGCAACCCTATCGGTAGCCACGTTCTCGGGCATACTAATATGACTGAGATAAACGAAACAGTTTTCGTCCCAGACTATGACGACGGGCGCTGCAGCGGTTGGCAACTTCAAGTTCCCATCTAAGAACCCGGGTAAACCGCTGCCTGGTACTCCGACGAGTTCATCGAATGATGAGAGCAGATACGGGATGTGGGGAGGCAATCAGCCAGGAAAGCTGGGGCTGTAGTTGAACTAAAACTGGTAGTCGATGTATATATGTGTATAGTACTAGTATGTATATGGTATATGACTAGTGGTTACAATTGTACCAGGTGTAATTTACCAAGTAGAGTATGAGTTGAGCTGGATTTAGCCCTAATTTCGTGCCGATCCTTTTATTGTTTGCGTAAGCGACTTCCCCTTATAAACACCGCAAAGTACGCCATTTATTTCTCCCCTCATTTACTCCCCCAATCCTGTTCTCAAGTCTTTTTACTCTTCAAATACCCCAAAGGCCCAATTAGCCATGGAAGAGAGCGGCTGGCAGCAAGTGCGTACCTACGCTGACCATCTGGGTCATCACGTGGTGCTTGAGCAGTACGTCGTGCCAGACCCAGAACCCGACCACCTGGTTCCCATCCAGGTTTATAGCCTTGTCCCCCTGGATGACGACCACGAACAGCTACGGGAATACCTGATGCAAATTTTCTGGAGTGATGAGGTCGTGCCTATGTTTGAGATTTATTCATACCGCCCGCCCGACGCCTTCGCCTGTATTGAACATAACCGCCTCGAAATCGCTCGCCGTAAGCAGCAACACTGGTCAGGGATCGAAAATGCACCCCCGCTGATTCCGCAATTTGCCGGTCGTCCCGACAAGTCGATTCCTATAGGGTTTTGTGTCCTCATACGGTCGCATAGCTATCGACTGGGCGAAACCGACGAGGAAGAGCTTGCTAAGGCGGGCGAAGGCCCGGATATGCTCTACTTCAACCGCTCGTTTTCCAGCACGCGTAGTGACATTGATAAGACGCAACGTTCACACGAGTACGGTGATTCCTCACTAGAAGCATTTGAGTTAGCCACCGAGCGCGTTAAGAATCAGAATGACGTCGGGGAGATTATCGTACTCGATATGTTTAACAACATCGGTCGCGCCGGGACGCGAGACGCCTTAGACGTAGACGAGGGTGAGCCTCCCAGCTCGGATATGCCATCAGAAGAGCAAATCCGCGAGCAACTTAGCCAGGAAACTACCGTTGGCGGCTTCTCTCTTAATTTGGCATACCAGGTTACTCAGGATGCCGATATCATAACAGTCAGCAATACTCCTAAGGCAGACATCTCTGAAATTCAATACATTATCCATGCGCTTTTTCTCAGCTCTATCCGCGACACAACAGGGTCCTCCCTTTTAGAAAGCACAGCGCGCCTCTTCACAGCATCAATTATCTCTCACCTCCCGGCCAATAAAACCCTCACTCTCAAGTTCTTTATCCCAAAGTCCCCTACTTGGGCGGCCATCCGCCCCGCTCAAACTGAAGTTATTAAAGTTCTATCCTCTCAATCAACCCAAGAAGAGAACCGAGAAGATCCCTTCCCCATCGGCGCCTTACACACCTTCCATGCGGGCGACGAACAATCCCCTACAACGCACCGCATGACGCCTCAACTTAGCGACGCGTATTTTGTCCCGACAGAAAAGCCGCCCCGTATCCCATATCGCCTGTTCACAGTTGTGCTCGATCGCGCCAAATTTGTCTCCGAAGCCGGAGTTTATTTCTACAAGGCGTACTGGGATTCGACCGGAAATGTGGACCCCTACGTAGAGGATGCTCCCGATGATACGCAGGTTTCGCGTGGCGTGGACTTTGGTACGACTGCCGGACGGTTGGGGCTGGTGGTTCCTGACAGGTAACTTGGTTTTGCTACAATATAGGTGTTTACAATATGTCTCAAGCAGTTTTACCATTTTTAATTGTTTCTGAGCAAACTAAGCTCTGTACGTGTAGGGTTATGATACTAGTAAGTAAACTACATAGTAAGCTATATGCATGAATCCGGAATTCAATCAATCAATAAGAGAAAACGACGCATATGCCAGGAATAATATAAAAGTGTTAAACGTAAAAAAGGTGAAGGTCACATTGTCACCTCGGGAACTTGAAGTGATCAGCTCCCGGAGCCCAGCCTGAGTTACTAGGTCCTCCTGCCGCTGCCGTCCAGAGTGCTCCGTGAGTGCAGTCAAAACCCGTTAATTGGAAATAATAGCGTTTTCCAAACATGTTCCAATTAGGGGGTTTTCCAACTAGGTCGCTTGCTTGCTTGTTTCAAACCAATGCGCTGATATTTTTGGGCTGTCAATCGTTACATCTCACTTGTTATCATTTTTCTTTCAGTCCCGAGGTCAATCACTTTGTTGTTGATAGCTCCGGTCCTTTCTTAAATCAAGGCTGCTAGGCAACCAGGGTTCAGCCGCAGTTTGCGACCGCAAAGAAAAGGGGTGAGGTAGACAGGGATTTCGGTTGGGGGAACGAAATTGCAGGGGGGCAGCAATGAGTACAGAATAGAGGCGACGGAGAGAGGAAGATGAAAGAGATCAGTAGGCAACAAAGGGGAGGTCGGGCCGTTCTAATACAGTAGAACTCAGCCCTCGTTCACTGAATAGATCTAAACCACAATAGAGCGGTCTGACTTAATTGGCTCCACTGTATGGCTTTTGAAATCTTATTAACCCCTCAGCTGAATCTCAGCTGAATAGTCTGACCCACTAATCGTGACGTGGCTATCGCCAAGATGCCGATCTTCCCTCATGATCCACTCTATGCACGGATGTAACTTCAATCGTCAAACCGACGGGGTACTATCTGCATTACTTTTATGTTATACAACGCCTCTGACGTTATAGAATATAACGTATACATGTATAGTGACTATAGATACTTTTCGATGTGTGCGTTAGCGTTAACCGACGGTTACCCACCTACTAATATAAATATCTCTACGCATCCTGCCAATCTCCAAGGCTTTTGACAACAGAAACACCCAACATCTCACATTGAATCTAACTCAAACCGAATAATCAAAGCCCCCTCAATATGAGTTCCCAAAAAAACAGATTAGAACTGGTCAGTTCACCTTCCTTAATATGGATCTACCTTCTAACGACTTTTAAGCTAACTATCCAGCAAGAAATTCGTCGCGTCCTATGAGAACCAATTGTACTTCGAGCACTGCTCGCAGTACTATAGAATGAGGCTCGCGTACTTTTAACTTCTCTTTGCATATAACCATATAAATACTAATGTATTTCGATAGCCTGAATCGCCTCTACAGCAGATTTGGAGTGCCCGAGTTCAGAAGACAAATGCCCAAAAAAGAAATGGACTGGAAGTTTCTGGGGTCAGGGCCTCCCTTCAGAGACATGCTAGTGTGTGTATTCCCTGAGTCTCCACAATTATATCACTATCCATAAATCTCAGACAGGAATCGGTAAACCCCAGCTAATACTCACTTTTACTAGGTTATACCTGCCAGAGGATTCAGTCTTCGATATTGAGGCTATGAACAAAGTAAAGCCAATAGAGATGGACCGCAACTACTTGTTCAAGATTGAAGTTTCTGCCGCAATTACCCCAGATCCGTATGCCTAGGTATTTTAACACATGGTGTGAGATATATCAATAGGTTTTACTTCTGGGCTAGATGAATGGAAACGCATCTTTATCCATCTGGAGTGAGTGGTCGGCTTGACCTGGAGAAACCATGCAATGCACAACTATGTACAATGTCAGCATGACGATCCTTGAGATAGAGATAGGGTCAGGAATCATTTGGGATTTCCATTAAGGCTTCTAGAACGTTGTACCATGGAGGTTCAAGACCAAGGCAGTCATACGAGATTATTTGTGTAAGCCTCACCTAGCAATAAGCCTGAGAATAGTCTGCTGGGCCTCCCCATTTGATGTGTTAGGTGAGGGGGATCGCGCTCTAGATCACCGGTCGAGTCTTTTGAAGCTTTGCGAGTTTTCTTCATGGTTGAACGTGAGACGAAGAATCCAAAGGCTTATATACCTGGCTCACATACGATGAAAATAAATTCAGAATGCTGGAAAAGATTCGGTCATATACCAACCGACCCCCAGAACAACTTCTCGTAAGCAGGCTGAAAATATTTATGAGTCAAGAGTAGACGTGGGGGATCACAGGTATTAAGGAATGCACGGCCCTTGTAACTGGAGCCTCATTGCAGAGTAGGGCCATGAAAGATATTCCTGGGAGCAGGCCGCATGTCTCCAGAAACCCAGAAACTACTCCTGGCCACTTTTCAATGACCCAGGATCGCATACTCTGTCTCCAGGATCGCACTGTCTATCTCCAGGAGCTACGCGTGTTTTGGGAGCTATGTCGATAGCCCCTAGCAGCTATCATCATCGTGTGCAGGAGTCTCACCGTATGCCTCCAGAACCAAGTCCGGTCTTTTCGGAGCAATTAGTCGAGTCTAGCCCTTCCCTATTTAGGTTAAGGCATAATCTTATTGGCCAGTTGTTTCTCGTTTCTTCACATTAAGTGCCATCCACTTAATCACTGGGAGACAAAGCCAAAATGATCATGTGCACAATACAAGGGGCCAGAAGCGATAAGGAATAGTCGCCTGGAAGAATACTTTCTACGACCAGCAAGTATAGTCATGTGACACTCGCACTGTCATACGTTACTGTAATAGCGGCTTTATTCGATTGCTGGTGCATAGTGGTAAAATCTACGGGAAAAGTTGAGGCGGCCTATATTTGCAGGGTACTGCACCACCACCCTTGTAAACTTTTGGATGCGCATGTAAAGTGCACCACTTCCGGGAAACGAATTTGGAACCTTGTAGAAACCTATATAGGCCGCATTACTGATCTTGTGACTAGGACACGTTGCGGAAAACGGAATGTACTTTCCCTCGCAACAGTACTCTCAACTCCAAATATTTTACTATGATGTGGGGAATTATTTTGTAGGCACCGCGCACACTCTTATTCTGTTGCAGGAAGGGGGATCTTTAGGCATTTGATGATAGCCAGCAGTTATAGAGTATGCTGAGGCAGAAGACTATGCCTCCAGGGTTTAAGATCACCACAACTGTCAACCAACGCAGTCAAATTTTGCCTAGAATGCAATCATAGCAGTTTGTTAGGTCGAAGCCTGTGGAAAACTCATTCGATGGGCTGTTATTTGAAGGATGAAGCAAATCAACATTAGGTGCTCAATTGCTCGAGGATCGTGCATAAAACCTAAATCTTCTAGTTGCCTTGTGCGTCTGGAATAAGAAAAGCATCCCCACTGCCTGTAGTCTCAGGTGGACCGGTCGTTTGAAAAGAGAAACCTACATCCACCCAGGAGATGCTCTCAGTGAGACGCGTAATTTTGGCAGTATCCAGGGTTACTGAAAACGCCGATGTCTTGACGCTGGTAGTGGTTGCCTTCCAGGTGGTAGAGACTGATTCAGACGTGTTGAATGTACGCAGTGATCCCGTGAGTGCGAATGTGTCTCTCCAAATGGCATCGCTGACAAAGCAATCTTGATCTAGGTAGGTTTTGGAATTGCTTGGCCAAGCTGTTTGTAACTGTGGACATATCCAAATCCTCAGGAATATTGATGTCAGGTAGCGAACAGGGGATTTCGGGAAGCGAATACATGGCTTTTTATCTTTCAACGTAGTATGTAATTCGTCTCAAATAATGTGCTTGAAAACAGGACTAATGGTCATGTAGGGGCAACACGAGTTGAAAATGAGTCCTTGTGGAAGCAGTACTAGAAATTGATGATTCTAGGAAAACTCGGATATCTCCTAGGAGGCTGCTATGTTTAATACCCTTTTAATTTATTTAAAAACCAGCTATCAAGCCAGATCAACACGTGCATGACGGCATAATACATCAAGGGCATGTACCTCTTTATAGAAGTTGCGAGACACGATGCATGTGGTACTCAATGGGGAACAATATAGTTATGTTAGTCAACAGACATGTCATCAGCTTCGTGGTCATAATTCTTCATTTGCTATTGGGCGATAGGAGCCACCTGTGTAACATACTTTATCATAACCCAAGGAACGTGTAACATGAAGATTGTTATAATATCCCGATCCAATAAGTAGGAAATTAAGCTTCATGGCTATGCACGTACCCTAATATGGCCGGATAATCTGCCTGAAATATTGATCGCCCTATTATGAAGCCGTCACCACACTCGCCTGCAGAGTAAGTCGGGTAAATAGCTTTATGCCACGCTATTAGAATGAGACTCACATACAGGTTGTTGTTATTTCTGTGGGGTTATAAATGGCTATGTATAATGCCTAAAACCTAAGTCGATTGGAATCAACCTTGGTTCTTCATATGAAAACCGCCAGGGATTATTTCCAGTCTAGCGGCTTTGTTGTGATATGTGGCTGGTGTAGATCACAACAATCACCCCATAAATATGTCATGAGTGACTTGACTTCAACAGTTTACAAAGTAGCCATCATATATGTACATAGCCGATTTTTCATTAAAATATCAAGCGTTTGAGTTGTACCGCTACTTACAGACCCCCGCCACTGCCGCGAGATCATGTAGGTCAGGTTGCCGATTTATGCAGCTGAAATGCACCTCCAGTTGCATCATCACCTGGTACGTCATGTTAATTAGATGATCAATGATCGATGATCGAACCCTCCTTGGGAGTAGTATTTATTTCCATGATTCAAACCTTTTAACCGCATAAATGTGACAGGAATAATATTATTAGATTGCAAAACACGAAGTTCATATATGTAATGCGGTAGTGGTGCGAAGTAGATTTGGTCTGCTTCTGATAGGGCATCGAAAATTATTATCAGCGCAATCTGATTATATTCTAATGATCTTGACCAGATCGCCCTGGCTGGGTTCCTAAACCATCGGGGCAGTCCTGTAGAACAAAAAGCATTCTCGCCCATTCAGTGTCACTCTTATTCTTCCACCCATGCATGGTTGCCCTTTGCACCACAGCATCCCCCCTGTTCAAGAGCTTTGTTTCTCCTGAATCGAGTTGCATTTCTATCTTCCCATCTAAAACAACTCCATAGTCTAAGCTCTGGGTCACATGCATGATACACTCATTTCCCGGCATGAAGTCCACGATGCGACAGATTGTTCCGTTTGGGCTGACCAGGCCTACGTCCCCCCTAGAGATGGTATCTTCGTGACTTTTAACGTCAGTGCCGTCTCGAAGATCGGGAGGGAAGGTTTTCGTCGTGTAAACCAAGTCGATTGCTAATCCGAGATCATCGTGGGTTTTCCAGGCTCCGGGCGTCTCTCGAACCACGATGGCTTTGGACGTTGAGGGGTCATTGCCAGTGATGTAGTGTGTGACTGGGGGCAGGGAAGAGTTTGAGCCACAGTTGCGATTTGAAGACATAATAGTTAGGCCTAGAAGACTTGAAGCTGTAAATAATATCCTTTGTTTGTATCAAGATTGCAGCTTCAAATACCTCAAAAACTTCTTCGGAGAGATAGAGTTAGTAGTTAGAAGATAATTGTAAGTATGATTTATATACGACCCTAAGGTTTTTATAGGCAAGGAAGCAGAAATAGTCTTTTATCTCCTTTCCTTTCTATTTCTATTTGTCTTTTCTTTTCGCTACTAGGGTACCACTACGATTATTCCTAAATTTCGTATTTTTAAAAAAGAGGGAGGCGAGAAAAACTATTGTGTAACCGCTAATATAATATAATATATCGAATCGAGTCGAATACGACGATCACCTAGGGCGCCGATCACGACCTAGGAGAGGCGATTAAATAACGCTCGTTAAAGTGATTTAACAATTTATATTTAAAAAGTTATATAGGCCGAAAATCGAGGTATAAAAGTTAGAGGTCGGATTATACTACCTAAAATAAGACCCTCTGAAGGAGAATAGATTAAGTGACAAGGACATTTTTTTCTGCCGGGAGGAAAGGATAGGTTGGGGTGTAGGGGTACCGCTCTAGCGTAGACTACGACAAAGCCCGAGGAAAAAGCAAAAAAATATTTAAACCTTGGGCACTCTTGGCATGACCCACTCTGCCAAGGCGGAATTATGTACATATTTTGGCCTAAAAGGGTAATTCTTACATAAATTTCAATAATAATGGGCCTTGGGCCTTGAATTGCAAAACGCGCATGGGCCTTGGGCACCTCCTAGGTGCCCATGGACGGGCGATGTCGCAGTCTACAGGGTCTAGAGGGAGACCGCCTCTACCGGGCGTGGCTATTGCCCGCTTATTATAATTGTAAAACTTAGGAGAAATGATCACCTCTTATTAAATTCTTTTTGTTGGGCTACTAACTATGGGGAAAGAGAGGAAGAAGAATCATCATCTATTCAATCTATCTGAAGCAGGGGATTTATACCCTGCCAAACAAAGAAAGACAGGCTCAGTCTGCAAACAAATGGAGGCATCAATGGGATGACCGACATAGTCCAACACGTTTGTATCGGTTAGAGTAGTACACTCATCTCATTCTAGTGGAGAGATCAGCCTACCTATAGCTCTCGGAGAATACTTGGCCTTCTGGAAGCCAAGCTAGCTAGTCTGCAGGAGGTTTCGCCCCACAGGAGGTGTGGGACAGATTCCGGTCTGTCACCCCCTAGTCCCCTTCTAGATAAGATTAACCACGGTATACCGTATATTAGAAGAGTAATACGTATTATACTATACCCTATACTAAGGAATTCGTCTCTTAGATCTTATATAATATATTTAACTTAACCAGATAGTGTTTACCACGTGGGGCTTTATACTACGTCTAGGGCGGTTACCAACGAGGAAGGATCGACGGAGTATAAACTCTATATATTTATAAAAAAGGCCTCGTGTAAGGATAGGTGATAGATGCAATAATTCATTTTCATCCTATAACTATCATTTATACTGTATGTCATATCAGTTTTATAAGCCCCAGATTTTGTTTTTCTTTAGGGTAGGGCCAGTTTAAAATATTTATATATATGAAGTGGCAGTGAAAAAAATGGAAGTAGGTTAGGTGGCCTGCTCTGATAATTTCTATTGTTCTACTATAGAATAGAGTATATGTGTCCAGCATGGTTTAAGGTGAATATCTTAATCGCTCCTTCTGCAAAACAACCTGAATTTTCCTAAAGAATACTTGTCCTCATTTGTCTTCGTGTTTGGTCAAAGGGAATGAAAATCCCGATCAGCCTAGCAAACATCAAATGTAGGCTTAGACTTTTGCCACAATAGAGACCCATTTTGAAAATGCCCCTAGAAATAATATGTGTGAGCTTTGTTTGGAAATACTTTTAATCTAATGACGGATACCAAGAAACTTACACCATGTAGAACAGGCTCGGCGGTATTGATCTCCAGCATATTACCCCTGAGCTTGATCACACGCTCCTGTGAACTACCAAGCCAGTTGGGAAACGAGCAAACATCCATGTGATGCGTCACGAGAACTTCACCATCCAATTCTTCTAACTCAAAGCGACCGCAATACGCAAGGTAATGCTTCATGGCTCGATAGAGCTCGTCCTTCGTACCTCCTCCAACATCGGCATCTGAAAATTCTGGAGCTCCCGGCTCCATCAAATGGGCGGATACAAATCCTTCAGGGCTGTAAATGAGGAAGCCCTGGGCTTTGGGGCCCATAGGGTGGCTAATAAAGCCATTATCTGCTCGTACTGCCTTATATTCAACTAGAGACCAGGTCCCAACCAAGCTCTGGCGAGTTTCTGCAACAGACGACATAGTGAATAGTAAAGTGTGATTGAAGTGTTTCGGAGACAAACGAAATGCAATTGCTGTCAAAGAGCAAGATATATTCTGCAAATGCTGATGCCAAATACAGTTATTTATGTGATTTCGAATGGTCGGAGATCCGATTGCCATCCCAGGAGGTGGCATCGAGTCCGAATTGCCTTCTCGGCACCGACGCAACTAGCATGAACAAGGAATTTCATCCGCCTGCTCACCCTGCCCAAGACGCACGATATTCCATAAATGGACAGTGTTGTCACTGATCTGCAATAGGAGAGGCAATTTGCGGTCCTCAAAACCAGCTTGACCACAGAACGAAGTCATTTATACCTGATTCCATACGCATCAAAGCGTCATCAAGTACTGCATCTAGCTGGGTACATTAGGTTTCCCAAGTGAATAATTCAAACTTTGGAGAAAGCTACCGCTGTGTTACCCCAGTCCATCACCCATCGAATCATGAGTTGGTGGGTAAGAGTTCCTTGAGACCTCATAATATTATGTGTTGTTCTGGGAGCTTTCGGTCTCGCTGATCTCTGTAGTTTTGTCATATCTCGTAGATAGGTTTTGTTATAATGTTTCTATAGAAATTAGCCAGGAGGATATAATACAGCGATTTCCCGCTTTTCAGGTTTGAGATTTTTTAAATCAAATCAATTCAAGAACTCCTTCCAGAGATAACGAATTACAAGAAAGACGAAATGCCTTCCGCAATGGCTCCACCTCAAACAATGCCGATTGCCATAATTGGAATGAGTTGCAAATTCCCCGGGGATGTAACTACACCGGAGAAGCTGTGGCAGGTGTGTGCCAATGGCCGCAATACTTGGTCGCAGATAAAGGAAGACCGCTTCAACTTGCACGGATATTATCACCCACAGGGAGACAAATTAGGCAGTGTACAATCCCAATCCCACCCCCAGCTATGACCTGCCTAAATCTGACACGTATCTTAATAGACCAATGCAACGGGGGTCACTTTCTGGACGAAGATGTATCTCTTTTTGATGCTTCGTTCTTCAACTTTACCGCTGAAGTGGCCAACGTATGTTCGGGCAGAATGCAACATTGGAAATGAGAAGCTAAGCTTTACAGGCCATGGATCCGCAACTCCGCATGCAACTTGAATCTGTTTACGAAGCTATGGAAAGTGGTAAGTGCAAATTTGATTCTAGTTGCAACACAATCGTGCTAAGATTATGGTAGCGGGAGTCACTATTACACAGATGGCTGGGAGCTCAACATCTGTGTTTTCTGGCGCGTGTTTCAGAGACTACCATGATAGCCTGATGCAAGATGTTAACAACATCCCCCGGTACTTTCTAACGGGAAATGGTGCTGCCATGTTTTCCAACCGCATTTCACACTTCTTTGACCTTCGAGGACCCAGTTTGACGGTGGATACGGGCTGTTCAACTAGTCTGGTAGCTCTACATCTGGCATGCCAAAGTCTTCGGTTGGGAGAATCGAAGATGGCTGTAGTCGGAGGTGCTAATATCATGTTGAATCCGCACATGTTTATTTCTCTGTCAAACCTTGGGTGAGTCGTCGCTTCCGATACAAATATCCACATTCGAGTATTGACGTTTGTCAATAAGATTTCTATCCGACGACGGAAAGTCCTATTCGTTTGACAGCCGTGCCTCTGGCTATGGGCGTGGTGATGGGATTTCCAGTCTCGTACTCAAGCCACTTGCCGAAGCCGTTCGCGATGGCGATCCAATCCGGGCGGTCATTCGGGAAACCGCTGTGAATCAGGATGGAAAGACTTCTACCATCACATCTCCATCACGGGAGTCCCAAGAAGACTTGATTCGCACTTGTTATTCTCTCGCTGGATTGGATCCTTTAGATACAGCTTATGTCGAGGCTCACGGAACAGGAACGATTGCCGGCGACCAAACAGAGTCAAATGCAATTGGTACAGTATTTGGTGAACATCGTTCTATTGATGACCCACTATTTATCGGTTCAATCAAGGCAAATCTTGGTCACCTGGAAAGTGCCAGCGGTCTTGCCTCCATTATCAAGACTTGCATGATGCTGGATCGCGGCTTGATTCCCCCCAGTGCAAACTTCGATGTTCCAAATTCAGCTATCGACTTTCATAATCTTAAACTCAAAGTGAGTCTGCCGAGAGTTATTCTTAGCTTTTGTCTCCACGGAAGTTTTAACCCCGAATCAATTAGGCTCCCACTGAACTAACGACCTGGCCAAGCCACAAACCCCGACGTGTGTCGATCAGCAATTTCGGATATGGAGGTACAAATGCTCATGTGATCATTGAAGATGCATTTCATTGCCGTCCATGGGGATCGATCTCTGTTCAGCGTGGTGGACATGGGGGCGTAGAGGTTAATGGATTGGCAGATACTCTTAGTAACTTCACTCCTTCCTCCGACAAACACAACCGATACATATTTGTGCTTAGTGCCAAAGAGGAAAGGATTGCAAAGGAGATGGTGGAAAACTTGATTGGCTACCTCCAGAAAATGCTAAGGACTTCCACATGGAGCCTTGCTGATCTTTCCCATACACTAACGAAAAGACGTTCCGATTTCCGATGGCGAGTTGCTGTATCAGCCAACACCTTGGATGAAGCCATGGATGCTTTTGTGGATACTCGAACAAGCCCAGTATTATCCTTGAACCCTCCTCGGCTGGGATTTGTCTTCACTGGACAGGGTGCCCAGTGGTTTGCCATGGGCCGGGAGCTGCTGTCAACCTATCCAACATTCTTGAGATCACTGAATGAGGCCGACTCTTGCCTTGGCAAACTGGGGGCTTCTTGGGGCCTTGTAGGCAGGTAACCCCAAGCGTATATGATGATCATCACTGACATAGAACAACACAGATGAACTGCTAAGGGACGAGAAGACTACCAAGATCAATGAGCCATTTTTGAGTTTCCCGCTATGTGTGGCCATTCAGATATCGCTTGTTCGCCTTCTAGCATCTTGGGGAATCTCACCCACTGCTGTGACAGGTCATTCTAGCGGGGAGATTTCTGCTGCTTATGCTGCCGGCGCTCTAACTTTTGAGGAGGCCGTGACCTGTGCTTATTTCAGGGGCTATCTTTGCAACCGTCTTCTAGAGGCTTCTGATCGCCGTGGTGGTATGCTCGCTCTTGGACATGGAAAAGCAGTGGCTGGCAAGTATCTACAGCGTATCTCATCCGGTAGAGCCACGATTGCCTGTTTAAATAGTCCATCGAGTGTGACTATCTCAGGGGATATCGATGCAATTGAGGAGATTGAACGAATGGCTGCAGCGGATGATGTTTTTGCTCGCCGGCTGAAGGTTGGATGTGCCTATCATTCCCATCACATGGATTCAATGGCTTGCGAATACGAAAGAATACTGAGCCAGCACCTCCAAATGAGTGGGAGCTTTGATGGTATCCTGTTCTCTTCGCCCGTCACAGGAGGTCTGCTCAAGTCTGCCTGCGAACTGGGCCCAGCACACTGGGTAGAGAACATGGTAAAACCGGTCTTGTTCGAGGACGCCCTACGCGAAATGATTGTTGGAGGAGAAACAAGAGAGCAGAATGTCGACATGCTCATCGAAATCGGTCCACATGGAGCATTGGGTGGACCTATTCGAGAGATACTAGCTCTACCTGAACTGGAAAATCTGGATATCCCCTATGCTTCGTGCTTGTCTCGGGGGCAACATGCTGTCAAGACGATGCAAGGTGTTGCATGTCTTCTAAAGATGAGAGGTTACGATGTGAATATAGAAACCGTCAGCTTTCCCAGCAGATGCCAAGAACGTCGTGTCATTTACGACCTGCCCGCATACCCTTGGAACCATTCTGTCGGCTACTGGTACGAGTCGCCGCTTCACAAGGAAGAGCGGGTATGTGAGTATGAGCCCCACGACCTCCTTGGAACTCGAGTCGTCGGATCAGTCCCAACGGAGCCTACATGGCGCCGCCGCATCCGTGTCTCAGAGATGCCATGGCTGAGAGATCACTTGCTCCAGTCTCAGATGATTTTTCCTGGTGCAGGGTTTGTGGCAATCGCCATTGAGGCATTTTCACGAATATACCCAGAAGTGTCAGGCTCACAGGGTGGCTATGAGCTACGAGATATCGAACTTTTAAAAGCTCTTCTTATTCCCAATACTACGGAAGGGATTGATCTCCAGCTACTCATTCGAAAGGCCGGTGATGAAAATATGAATTTCAGGAAGGGAGACACGTTCCATGTCTATTCCCTCAACCCCGAAGGATTGTGGACTGAGCACTGTAAAGGATTTATATGCGCAAGCTCCGATACGGCGAAACAAATTGATCAATATTCCTTGCTGAGCCAAGAGAGCAGCCATGGCGGTCTCCATTTGAGAAAGATCAGCCCGAAGCATTTCTACAGCTCGCTTCAAGACATTGGCCCTACGTTTGGCCCATTGTTTCAAAATTTGCAGGACATTCGGGCCACTAACTCAATGTCCCTTGCCACTTTTTCCCTGCCGGAAATAGCTTGCAACACTTCATCAAAGCACAGATCCGACCTTTTGATCCATCCCATTACTTTGGACACGGCCTTTCATGCGGTTTATTCGGCTATACCTCTCACAGAAATGAAGCAGATGGGCCTTACGATCCCGATCTTTGTCAAAAGCCTATATGTCTCCTCCGAATTGGAAAATATTCCTCACTCTATTTTCAAAACGTCAGTGCGTGTTACGAAGACAAATGCCCAAGGGTTTGAAGCCTCACTGGACGTGACAGTAGATGGCGCCACTCCGCCAACTGCCCTAATCAAGGTTGAAGGGATGTTGTGTCGGTCAATTGACCGGGAATCCGTTGACAATCATAAACTTGATCCAACTCTTTGTTTAAAAACAACCTGGGGCTGTCATCTTTCATTTTTGACGAAGGATGATCTGCACTGCCAGCTTGCTACAACGAAGGACCCGAAGGAGTCAGTGATTATGGGGAACTTGGCCCGAGCCGTCTCTTACATATCACAAGAGGTTCTCCAATCACTCACCGAAGAAGATCAATCCAAACTAGAGTGGCACCATAAGCGCTTAGTTGACTGGATGAAACACGCCCTCGAATCATCTCCTGTGGAATGGAGTCTTTCGACCCCCGAGGAGAAGAATTCCTTGCTTGAGGAAGTGTCACGCCAGAGTATCAACGGAGAAATGCTCTGTCGAGTGGGAGCTGAGATGATGTCGATTCTCCGAAAGGAAGCCGAGCCACTCACCTTGATGATGGAAGATAGCCTTCTTGATCGGTACTATGGGAATGCATTGAAGCTGCATCGATCCCTCAACCAGGTTGAGAAGCTGGTGACGTTGTTCGCTCACACCAACCCTCGGTCGAGAGTGCTCGAAATCGGCGCAGGAACTGGCGTGTGCACCGCTCCTGTCCTCCGGGCGCTAGGTGCAGGCGACGAAAACATGTCAAACCCCAAGCTCGCTCAGTATGACTTCACCGATATCTCAGCAGGCTTCTTTGAGGCAGCACGAGAGAGATTTGGGTTGTTGAATGGGCGAATGAACTATCTGAAGCTCGATATTGAAGAAGACCCAGAGAGTCAGTCCTTTGGAATCGGTATTTACGATCTTGTCGTGGCGTGCCAGGTTCTCCATGCTACCAAGAACATTCAAAGGACCATGGAAAATGTCCGAAAGCTCCTAAAGCCAGGTGGCCGCCTGATCCTGGTGGAGAGCACACAAGACGAAGTGGACATCCAAATGGTTTTTGGAACTCTTCCAGGATGGTGGTTGAGTGAAGAGCCCGAGAGAATGCTTTCTCCAACGCTCACAGTCGATGCCTGGACGTCGCATTTCAATAAATATGGATTCGGAGGACTAGATATTGAAGTCGGCGACTGCGAGAACCGACAGGAGTATGTTATGAGTGTCATGATGGCGACTGCCAGCGTTGAGCCTGAGTCCCCACCCCGGGCCAATATCGCCGTTATTCTTCCTTCGACGCAAGCACCTCCACCAGAATGCATAAATAATCTCATTCAGTTGATTCAAACAACGACCCTCTTGGATTGTTCGGTTCATTCAATCGGCGAGCCCGAGATCCGGGCAGATGCTTTCATATACCTGGGCGACCTTGATCAACCCAGTCTGAACCAATTGACAGCAGATGAATTCCATAATCTCAAATTCCTCATTGGAGCAAGTCAATATGCCCTTTGGATCACCAGGGGGGTGTTATGAACTGCGAATCTCCTTTATCTGCTCTTGTCACTGGGTTTCTCCGGACGTTGCGATTGGAAGATCCCAGCAAGCGTTATATATCTCTGGATTTGGATCCGATCTCTGATTCTTGGACTCCCCAAACCACCAGAGCAGTTGTCGAGGTCCTAAAAAACACTTTTTTTGATTCCTGGAAAGTGCAAAGAACAGAATACGAATTTGCGGAGCGGAACGGTCAGATTCTCGTGCCTCGAATTTGCGAAGACCACGAGCAAAATCAAGCTATAGCAAAGCAGATATCGGAACCCGAGGCCCAAGTTCAATGCTTCCACCAAGCATCGACATATCTTCAACTAGAGGCAAAATCCCCTGGCAGCCTGGATAGTCTGGTTTTCAGCGGTGGACCCGATCCACCACTTGCCCATGGGATGGTGGAGATTATACCACGCGCATTTGGGCTCAACTTCCGGGATGTACTTGTTTCCATGGGCCAGATGCAGGAAGAATTCATGGGTTTTGAATGCGCAGGCGTTGTCACGTCGGTGGATGAAGATTCTACCCGCAAATTCAGAGTCGGCGACAGGGTGTGTGCCTTGATGACCGCAGGACATTGGGCAAATAGAGTGCAAGTTCCTTCGACCTCCGTCGCACATATGCCAGATAACATGTCTTTTGAAGCGGGAGCCTCGATTCCGATGATATACATTACCGCCTATCACGCCTTGATGGAAATCGCACATCTTGAAAAGGGGGAGACGATTCTGATTCACGCCGCGGCAGGAGGTGTCGGTCAGGCCGCGATAAATCTTGCACGACACATTGGCGCCGAGATTTTTGTGACTGTCGGCTCTCCAAAGAAGCGGAACTTTGTGCACGATATCTATGGGATTCCTTTTGACCACATTTACTCCAGTAGGGATACTTCCTTCGCGCAAGGAATCATGTCAATTACCAACGCCAGGGGAGTCGATGTCATATTGAATTCGCTGTCTGGGCAGCTCCTCCAGGCAAGCTGGGATTGCATTGCGATGCTAGGCCGCTTTGTGGAGATCGGGAAACGAGACATACAGCAAAATCGTCACCTTGAGATGATGAACTTCGGTCGCTCGGTTTCCTTCTGCGCAATGGATTTGGTGCATCTTGGGACCCACAAAGGCGAGAAGGTTTCTCGAATCCTGAGCACCGTACTTCGAATGATTGAAGACGGAGACATCAGTCCATGCACGCCGATTACCACGTTTTCTATTTCAGATCTCCCTCAAGCATTTCGCACCATGCAAGCAGGGAAACACATTGGCAAGATCGTGGTCAAGGCGGATACAGAAGATCTGGTGAATGTAAGCATATTCGAATTTCAATGAACGAACCAATGGAGAGAGCACTGACTTATATTAACAGGTGATTCCTCGGCGCGATGGAATTTCCTTTTCCTCAGACAGCTCATACCTCATAGTGGGCGGTTTGGGTGGCATTGGACGTTCCTTGGCGCAGTGGATGGCTCAAAGAGGAGCCAAATTCATTGTTCTAGCCTCAAGACATGCTCAGAGTTCAGATTTGGATTCCTTCCTAAAAACCTTCCACGGGACAGGAACGGTTTGTGTGGCGCGGCAATGTGATGTTTCAAACGCATCAGACATCCAGCACATGGTCCAACAGGCCGAGGACGAGATGCCACCGATAAGAGGTGTGGTACACGCGGCTATGGTCTTGCAAGATGCCTTGTTTGGAAATATGACCTACGAACAATGGGAATCGGGTTTGAGTCCTAAGGTGATTGGCAGTCTCAACCTCCATGAACAGTTTCAAAGTCCGGACCTTCAGTTCTTTATTACCTTATCCTCCGCGACCGGTATCCTAGGAAATACGTCCCAGGCGAATTATACCGCAGGATGTACGTACCAGGACTCGCTTGCCAACTACCGTGCCGCCAGAGGGCTTCCAGGCATATCGATAAATCTCGGCAGCGTGAAGTCGGTTGGTGTCGCGGCTAACCTAGAAGGTGTTGCCGACCATCTAGAGAGAGTAGGGTTCCGTGCCCACGAAGAAGAGGAGGTTCTGCGCCTCTTCCAGGCAGCCATCCATAGCCCACTGCGGAAACCAGGTTCGGCTCAGATCTTGAGCGGCATTGCACCATTCTCGAATCATGAGGACATTTCCTGGAGAAAGGAAGCTCGTTTTGCTGGCCTGTTGCGGTATGAGAGCTCTGATTTGGCTTTGCAAACACATGGCACTAGCGATAATGTTTCGCTCGAAGACGGTTTGACTTCTAGCAGCTCACGGTCAGATGCTGTGGAATTGATCAGTCATGCCCTTTTAGTCAAGCTTTCCAGCATGTTCATGATCCCAGAGTCAGACATTAACATTCAGTTGCCGTTGGCAGAATATGGTGTCGACTCCCTGGTCGCAGTGGAGTTGCGCAGCTGGATTGTTCAAAGCACCAAGGCCGATATTAGTGTCTTCGATTTAACTAAGAGTCAGTCACTCTCGGCATTGGCTGGGACAATAGTGGATCAAATTTGGTCTAAGAGGGAGTGATAGATGTTGGTTGACTTATCCTGTGATCATTCCTCTCTGTTGTGTTATCCAATTTGTCGACAAGAGGTTTGCAACTTTACTAGTGCGCTCGAGAAATACTCAGCATCCCCATATCCCTAATTTCAACCATGATCGTAAGGCTCTCAACGAACTTACTTAGCCCCAGACCCTTTTTTATTCTACACCTACTACAATATAAGACGAACACACTCTCAATTACTCAATTGACTAAGCCTATATTAGTCCGTGTTGAGTATCGCGGTGGTCAAAGCTTATGGCAGGACTAGCGATGGACATTTAAATAGACGGGGTTCCCACTTTTGATAGTAACCTCAACAAGAATATTACAACTACGTATCTCAACAGTCCGGAGGGCTCCGAAAGGAATATGAATATTCATGAATAGATGAATAATTCATATTTATTCATATACTGACAGAGCATACATTACCATTCATGTCGTTACATCTCAATACAGCAACCGTAATTCGTGGGCTTCGACCCCATTACACACGATTTACCATTTTTGAGACACTAAGTCCCTTTGAATTTGTCCCCTTCGATTTAAATAATCGCAACCGCTAACCTGGAATGCTATCTTCCATACTGTCCCTTTAAAAGCATGATATCTGCATTTAGACAGTGTCTCCTGAACCCTAAAACAGCTCCGGTATTGCTGAACTGGCAGGTGGGCCTGAGCTGCCTTTTTCTATGACCTTTATGGACTTGGCCCAATTTTCCAGCCATCAACAGTCGTTGGGAGCCCATGCACCCGTGGCAAAAGGGTGGCTACATTCATTACACATAATGAGTGAATTCGGTTTATTTACAAATCTCATTCTATCTGAGGCGATAGTAATAGGGCAAAGGGAAGGTGGGTGGATAAGCCTTACTGGCGGGAGTGGTGGAAGTGGCCGGGGCACGGTCTGGTTTATACTAGTTAGCATATTTTCCCGAGGATAGAACTATCAAGGTATTCTGCATGAGCAACTCACCTTCTCCATCTGCCTCCTTCAGGAGGTGTTTTTCCTACGCCCCTATGCGGAGACCTGGGTTAGCACTTTGCTCATTCGCACTGGAGATGGAGGAGGTGGAGCGTCAGCCATGAGCGGCAGCTGGGGGAAACAGGAGTAGTTATTATTGTTTTAGAAGAAAGAAAACAGGTGAATGGAGTACTCGCACGAAGAGTAGAAAATGGAGTGTTTCTAAAAGCAAGTTACTTTTTCTGGGAGTCATGACTTCGTGGGAAAGGGCTCACCAGTTTGCAAGAACGTGAGAAATATTCCCCAATAAGTGAATGCTGTTCTATTAATACTATGCTCCGTTCAGCCTTTCATTGCACTTGTACAAGCTACGAAGCTTGACAATGGCGATGGATTCGCGCCTCGAACTTGTATGATTTGTGAGCAAATTATTCTCTCGTCCACCAAGGGCGACTGGATTTCCTGTCAACAGCACAAATAATTGAAAACCTAATATACACCTGCCATGTAGGAAGAGAAATCTTAGATTGTAAATGCACCTGGTGGAGATCAAAACAGAAGAACATATTCAATATATCTTTCTATAAAGAGGTGGTGGTCGTCTATTTCGTTGGACATTCCTGTTGAGATTGTGTATGTCGATAGTCAAAGCAAGAATTTACTGCACTCTTTGAGATAATCATCTAAAAGTAATCTCAAGAAATGAGTACGTTACTAGTGGTCGAATCACGAAAGTATATCTGTGTTATGAATACCATTGATTAGGCAGAGAATAGGAACTATATTAAGCCTGTTGCGTTCAGGACTGTAGTTATAGTTAGATTATTTCCTCTCTCCTTTTCCCTCCCCGAGTCAGTCGTTCAGATAGTTCCAATACATTCATATTGATATCTATTCCTTCTTTCTTCCTCCGAAAAGTATGGCGTAGCGAAGCAGTTGTTGCGATTGTCCCACAAGGAATTTAGAGAAATTCCCCGACCCAAACGCACGACACTGCTTACAAGTTACCCTGGCCGGCGCTACCAGCCGGGTCAGTGCTTGCACCAGCGGCAGTGGCGAGAGTCTCGCCCTTCAAGTTCTCCAGAACGGAGGAGGAGGAGCCGGTCAGCGTGCCCCCGTTGGCGTTGGCAACACAGGAACGACCGATGGAAGACTCGCAGGTGGTGGAGGCGCTGTCGGAGGCAAAGAGGGCACCCTTGAAGGAGGCTGCCTCGAGAACAGTGGCGACGTTAGCGAAGTAATTACCCTCCGCAAGAACGTAGCCACCCTCGCCAATCTCGAAGGCGTGGCCGGAGTTCTCGTCCCAGTAATTGTTGACAGCATGGAGGTAGGTGTTGCCCTGGACCTTAGGCGCACGACCACTAGTTTTGTAGAGGTAGTTGCCCTTAAAGGTAACCTTGTCACTGGAGCCATCAAGGTACACGTTCCAGTAGTGGTGACCGTCGCAGGTGGCAGAGTAATCGGATTCACCATTAATGTAGTTGTTGGTGATAGAGACACGGTTATCAGCTTCAGTACCCAGGACGTAGTGCTGACGACCAATGCGAGCAGTCTGGATAACGGGTCAGTTTCTGTGATTCGCTGGTAAGTCTGTCGGAGCAACGTACGGTGATGTGATCGAGCCAGACTTGGTCAGCTTGGTTGATGGTGATGGCATCACCACCCCAGACGTACTGAGCGTTGATGTCTGTGACAGCAATGTTTCTATGATAAACCGGTCAGCGTGCATTCCAACGAAGTTTGAAATAGGAATCGAACGTACTGGACGATGACGTTCTTGACACCGTTTACAATGCGCAGACCACGTCCCTTAATAACACCGCTGGTGCCCTCGCCAATCAAGGACTTGTTGGAGCCAACGGTGATACCGAGCATGCCAGCGTTTTTGCTAGGAGACGTGTTAGCATCGAGTGAATGTCAATTATAGCCTGGGTGACGGGATACTCACTAGGTAACAGTAGTGGTAGCGGCATCAGGCTCGTAGTTGGTGCACCAGTCGTCCTTGTTGATGGCAACCTGGCAGCCGGCGGCAGTACCCCAAGGAGTGCAACCGGAAGTCGTGGTGGAACCCTCAGTATCGGTGAAATCAAAACTAGCATTCCACCATTGTCAGCCGCCATCCACCCACGGCAGGGCTCTCTACTCACGTCTTGCTGAGAACAATAACACGGGCCTTATCATCACCGAGGTAAGAGACCAGCTCATCGGTGGAGGTAGGGTAGACAGGGGTGGCATCACCGCCACCAGTGGCGGAAGAAGCGAAACCCTCAGGAGTGCCGAAGACACCGACAGCGGCGACCTTAGAGGCAATAGCGGCAATAGCCGTGAGAACAAATGCGTACTTCATTCTAGAAGTTGAGGCAGGCAGTAGGTAAAGAGTGACAGTAAACAAAAGCAAACGAAAATATGAAGCGGACAAAAGAAAGGCAACGAGAGGAATGGATCAGAGAGGAATGGATCAGAGAGGAATGGATCAGAGAGGAATGGATCAGAGAGGAATGGAATAGAGAAAGACAAATGATGTTTACTTATATAACTGCGATTTGAGGTTATGATATGTGTTTCGGCCGTTCAACATCTCCCCCTTAGCTCCTCTAACTCGAACAGTGTCCCGAGGTGAGGCCGAAATGAGAGTGGATATGGTTTCGGAAGCGTGAATGAAAGCCCTAGAGGGTCCCCACGGTGGAGATGCCACCGCCGATCAGTCCGTGGCTATCGTTGCTTTGGGAAGGCGATCGTCAGAAAGCCCATTTCCGAAACATCCTCACTGGCATCGGCCAATCAATCCTAAGGCCGGCACAAGGAGAAACCTAGGAGAAATAGTAGAGCCGCGGACGCTTAATTTAATATTGTTTCGTTTAGATTGTATTCGTGGCTGTCCACGTTTCTTCCAGTATATTAGCTTTAAAATGAGAATGCCGCGCCCCTTTCGGCCAGACACCGAGTTTAGGTCACTTTAGTAAAGTAAACTACAGTTATAGTATGTTTGAACTTTTGAATTACGGCCCGCAGTCCCATTTGAGCATGCCTATTCTAAGGCTCGGCCCAAACTGGGGTACAACTAAGCTTTCCATAAATTAGTTATCCCTTAGTTATAAAATTTGGCAAAATTCATAGTATTTATTTGCCTTAGCCTATGACTACCTAGGTAGATATTGGAAGACTAGGTAATTCACATTGATATAATTAACATTCTAGTTCATTTCACATGATAGCTCAATTTAAATCTCGTAATTGTAAGCCAACCTGATCGACCTCAAAACCTGCTTGAAACCCGCTGCCTTGGCTGCTTAGTAAAACCAGGCAGATCAGCCCGGGTGAATCCTTCGACTCGGTTAAATGCGAATAATAAGATGAAACAATTATTTGCCTCTTTCTTCCCCAAGTCTACCACTATAAAGACTCGTAGGGTTAAATAACTAGAGGGCTCTCTTCCTTAGTATATTAATAAGATCGATGTTTCCAGACTTATTGGCCATTTTTAAGTGCAGTATCACGCCTATAGCAACATAGCGTTTCGATTATTTCCACCAATCGTCACTGGTAGATCCTCTATACGCCGGAGCTGTTCTGAATTCCATTAACAGGTGAATCAGGTCCATGGGTTTGATCTTCTCATTTTGCTTATAGTTAGTGCTCAGTCGGAGTTTTGCCACTGGAGAAAATCGATACTTTTCGTTTGTTCATCCATCAAATCCTCTTCGCTGGCATTTTAGGTAGGGTTCTGTTTTATACCTTCGGATATATTGATTAACACATCAAGCATGACTGCTATCGGACATATATTTCCCTCTTGCACGCCCTATGTTTGCAGTACGACAGCATATGGGACCGTTGTTTGAAATCGGAATCAGGACTTAGCATTGTCCCACGTCATTATAGCGTTTATGCAACAAGTGCAGATTTGTGCTAAATTCAAGGGGCCCACACGCCGGTCGCATTCGGCTTTCTAGGTAGTCGCTCGTATCGGTACCATCTGAACAAGTCGAAGCGAAGTGCAGAAGGTGACCAAATGCCCAAGATATATATCAGTAGTGCCTATCTCTGTCGATCCGCCCCTAGCACGTGAAGAGCACATTCCCTATTGGCTAGACCGCCTCGATTGATGCTGCGCAATAAAAATACGAAGAAAGTGGATATCCAATATCCAACCTGTGTAAGCGCAGGGCAAGCCTTCACTGGCTCACTGATCGAATGGCCCTTCCGTTTTCCGCATGTATGTCCATAAGTAAGCTACAGATCGCTGGTCCTTGTCACCACAGCTACAGGGAATCAGGTCCCAGTATTGAGGCTAATTTTTGATTGGATCAATAGTGTAAATGTTTTTATGGCGTTTTACACAAAGCAAAAAGTGAAGCAAAGATGGAGGAACTCAATATGCCCGATAACTTGTTTGGGTGAGGCGACTCAAACGACAAGACGATGGAAGATCCTATTTTGCCAAGGGCCTTTTGTCACGCACTGCTGACATTCATCCACACAGAGATACACATAAAGTCCTCACCTAGCGCTAGCATGCCCCTCCAAACTACACACCGTCATGGCACCAAAGATTTTGTGCAAATTTTTCAAGCGCAAAAAGGAACTACCTCCTAAGTTTAAACTAAAAGAATGGTCCCCAAATGCAATAGGAATTTGGGATTCCACGTGTGAGATCCATGGCATATTCAATCGATGGAAGCTTCCCGTCTTGCCGCCCGAACAACGCCAAAGCAAAACGAGTGCTCGAAAACGCAATTCGCAACGCCAGAGTCCTTTATTTCGCTACCCGCTGAGATAAAGAGGCTAATATACATTGAGCTTATTGGTGGTCGACGAGTACACATCCGATATCTATGGAAGGAGCCTTCACCATTTCGGCCGCAGCCGAAACGTGGTGGATTCCGTTGGGATTAGTGGCATAGTGTCGGTACATATGTTATTCATGCCCTCTCTTTCTCCTATTAATTCCAGAGAAGAATCCACATAGCGTACGGCATGCTAGCTACGCCACGATACAAATATGCAAGGCACTAGAAGCAAATCGGACACCTTCTACTCCGTATGTAGGTATATACATAGCGAACAGATCTCCTTACGTACAAGATGGGGCGCGGCAGTGGTCCGTTATTGGCTCATGTAGCCAATAATACATACATGGTATGTAGCTTATGGTATTTTATATTTAAAACGGAACGGAAGGTTGCAGATCGTGGTATGTATTCCGTACTCCGTAGATCAACAAAGAACCCTGGGGCCCCTCATGCGGAAAGCGATAGATTTGTGTCTTGTGTCACACTATTTTGTAGCTGAAGAGTGGGGACACACGCATATATTGGAACGTGCATATCGCTAGTATATGCACGATCCAATGAAGATCACCACCTCTTCAATCGTAATGGGCATTTTGTGTAAACAGAGGTAACTTATAAATTGGAAGAAAATTCCTGGCGATTGAAACCACTCTAAATCACTCAACCCTTTTGAATAGCTTCAACGAACTTCTCCACATCCTATCTTCCGCCATCAATTACTATTTCATCAATATGAAGACCTTCTTTGCTCTTAGTGCCTTGGCAGCCCTTTGCCGGTCCGCCTTTAGTCTCGAAGAGGGACCTTACACAATCGGATCTGCTAGTCTTGAAGGAAGTATGGTTCTAGGCGGTCAAATCGACGAGCCTCTCAGATTTTCCCCCAGGAATGACGATCCTGGCCACATTTGGAACTTCACTCTAATCGACAACAACAACCAACGCGATTTCCTAATCCGCAACGATTTCGGTGACTTCATCAACTGTGGTGATGAAGCAGGTTCTGCTTGCTTAGCCGGAGGGGAGGAGGAGGTTTACACCGCCGAAGTTGTTGGTGACAACAGTTATCAGCTCGTTGCAAAGAAGTCTGGATACTTCTTGCGTGCCGAAGGCGAATATTTGCAACTTGCTGCATGGGATCAGACTCCTAATGAGGAGTTTGTCTTGACTTCGGCCTATTAGTAAGCCACGAAGATACTACTATATTGAAGTAACTAAACTGATGAAATTTATAGAAAGGAGATCTTCTGTTCACGTTGGTGATATGAGAACGGCTGTTCGACGACGGAAATGATGGAGTTTCCAGGCAACTATAGCCCTCGCCGGTCCCTAGAAGCCACAGAAAGTCACAAATTCGGAATGATATATAGTTGGTTATGCATATAACTTACTATTCCAAAATCCTACCACCTTGCATTCTCTCCACTCAAGGATGGGGCTAGAGTATATTAGCTTCATTTGCTGGGGGTGGAATCCAAGAAGGGCCAGAACGAAGGGGATAAATATGCGCGTCCCGCGGAGTCAGAGTCGTGTAAGACTCACGCTATATTACCTGGCAATAAAATGGTCAAACAAAGACCCCACTGTACCAATGCATAGGGAGTAGGGGAATCTTCGAAACTAACTTCTGTATACTAATATACTCCTGTGTAGGCTCAAAGGTGCGGTACGCTTGCAACCCAATCTGCAACCCAATCAATCGGCGTGTAAGAAAGCTCTGGAAGAGCTCTTAAAGACGAGAAGACCAAAGCCATTATCCCGAGTCGTGCGAAGGTGTACATGTGAAGTGGTATCTGTTTAAGTCATAGTTGCATCTGCACAGCCTTTTGCCAATGCCCGTTGTCACCAAAGTATGCCAGATACGATCGAAAGTGGTGCAGACCCTTCATATATCGCAGGGTTTGTTAGATATGGTTGACTATATTAAAAAAGCAAAGTGTGCCGATGGTTGTAAATGAGCAAAAAATCCTGACCATCCACTCAGTTCTAGTTGGGAAGGCGAAATCCCAGCTGAATCCCGTATTGTAAGTTCGGATATTGTGATAAATAGGAGCAGTGATACTCACGCTACCAAATTAATACCACAATATATTAGACTAGCAGACTCATAGATAGCCGAGATCACAAAATCAAGCTTTGGTTCCTGCATCTTCCACCTTCGCTTCGCCCGATCAACAAACTCATTCGAGACCCACCTGCAGGTGAACTATCTTGCTTCCTGTGCCCTCTCACTCTCTCTACTCACTGTTCTTGGGCGCAGCCGTTCTCCCTCGCATTCCCGCCCGGGCAGACTACTGGATGTTACCTCTGAGGGTCACGCGCTTGAGGATAGCCCCACTCGCAAGCGCGCTCCTGAAGAAATACCGACCGTGGTAGTCTTCGGCAATCAAAGCCCGGATAAACGTCCAGGTTCCTTCTTCGGCCGATTGACAAAAGAGGTTCATGACTATGCGCACAATATGCCCAGTCCCGAGGTCCCGACAGATCTGCGTCTGACTAGCTCCGGGTGTGAAGGAAGCAATCTCGACTCCACGGGCAGTGCTATCGATAGTTGAAGCCAATTCGTGCGTCCAGATCATACTGAGGAGTTTCGACAGCCTGTAGTGTTGATAGCAAATTAATGCATTGGGATCATTAAAGCTCTCGAGGACCTCGATAGCAGTCTTTCCAGTACGCACCTATCCTTTCGTAAATGAACTTTTATATGTGCCTGGTGCCTTGCTAATATCGTTGCTTAGACCCACAGACTGCGTCACCGCAAATAAGTACAGGTCGTTTCGCGAAGACCTCGTCCAGCAAACTGTCGCGGTACTTCCCGTCTGACATTCACGACTTGCTAGATATTTGTCCTGTCGATGGACTTCCAACATGACTTACTTTATCAAGTATAATGAGTAAATCAACATGAGTTGTGCTATATTGGGGGTGTTCTGAAAAGGAGTAATACATCCAAGCCTCCTTCACCTGGATCGAATAATTACATGTATTGTCATTGCTACTATGTACCTTCCATAGCCCATCCAATAGAAGCCATGCGATCCTAAGAATATCCCAACACTCCCCCTTAAACGTCACCTGACTGCCCCATATTAACGAGTCCCCCGCGACGATCCCGTGCCGCTAGGCGTGCCCAGGTGGGGACCGGGGACTAGCCGTACCCGTGGACTCACGTGGACTCAGACGGGCATAGAATCAACGAGAGATACTCGGGAATATAAGTATGAGGCTCAATAGGTCTGAATTCACTAAAAACCGACGATGAAAAGCTACATGTAGACTGTAGTTGCGAGGAAGGTACCAGCTCACGTGCGTGTTAATTTGATGGAAGGCGCGACACGGAACCCGAGTGCGTCTTGTTCCGGGATCGTATCACCCCGTGAACCATGGGACCCCTGTTTGTCCTACCAGAGGCACTCCAGAGGCACCAGCGAACCATACCCCCTATATTCAGATCAGAATTTCAGAATTTCAGAATTTCCCCAAGATTACACTTCCTCTTTCCAACTCCTCCCATTCATGAAAATCCATCATGACCCCTCCCCACTCTTATTACCCAGTGGGCGTAAAGATCACCAACTACGTCCCTAACGAATGGAGCACCCTAGCGCTGGTCTCTACCTTTGCTGCTACCTGCATAATCGTCCTATCAGCCGCCAAAACCATCGCGACGAATGTAAACCCTCGTTACGATCCCTGAACTCTCCACGGTTCTCTGGTTTACCCTATGTATGTCTTCCCTCCCGCTATCTATGCATACCCTGTACTAACAAATTACCAGGCGGCTCCATCCACCTCATTCTCGAAGGCTACTATGCCATAAACTTCGCCACCCTTTCGAGCTCCCAACAACTCCTCGCGCAACTATGGAAGGAATACTCCATGTCTGATTCGCGGTATCTCACTTCGCATGCCTTTGTCATGTCTATGGAGTCCATTACCGCCTGGTTCTGGGGCCCGTTATCCTTCCTCCTTGCGTCTTTCATCGTCACGGATAATCCCTTGCGACACCCACTGCAGATTATCATCTCCACTGGACAGCTTTACGGGGATGTGCTGTACTACGGGACCTGTGCATTTGACTTCCTGGTCTATGGGGTTGAGTACTCGAGGCCCGAGAATTATTACTTTTATGGGTACTTTGTGCTGTTGAATGGGTTTTGGATTGTTATTCCAGTTTGTAAGTGGTTTTTTCTTTTTGTCTTTTTGTCAGATTTGATGAGTGAGAATTGGGCTAATGGTTATAGTGCTCATTGCCAATAGTGTGAAAGCTTGTGGGAGGGCTTTTTCGGAGGTCAAGAAGACGAGGACGGTCGGAAGCAATGGCGATGCAAAGAAAACGCCTTGAAGAAGTCTGTTTTGTACTCTGATCGAGGGCAGGTTATGCCAGGGAGCACTGGCTGAGAACATGGACTTGTCTGAAGTCGGTTGAGGCAGTCATTCGAAAGAGGATGTACAGCACCGGAATGGGTTTATCTTACTATCGTAGCCCTTCATCATCAAACTGGCGTACCGATTAAACCATCCTTACCGAGCTGCCATTTCTACCTAACATCTGGGCAGTATGTGAACAATGGTAAAATAGCATGTGGAGGTTATTCCGTGCCGTGGCAACAACCTCGTGTACATGTTCGGCCTAGACTGCAGCACAAATCTCACGAGGTTAGCAATAACGAAATTGGCCGACTCTTTTTAATACTAGCAAATATTATATATAAAAATACATAGGTTTTAATTTCACCTACCAACCCTAGGTTATGAAGGTTCGTCTTCATCATCCATCTCATCTTCGCCCTCACTAATACACTCAGGTTCAATCGCAGTAAGCTGGGCCTCTGGTTGCTCATCCGTATCCCGTACTGCTTCTAACATAAGAAGCCCCTCTTTGTCCTGTTCGGTCTCAAAATCAAACCGACAAGTGCAGCGAAGCATCCGCAGGGATAGAGAGAACATCCCGCGCAACGCTCGAAAGAATCGCGCTTTCATTCTCATGGTCTTTCCAAAAGAATAGCGAATTGACTCTCTTTCGACATTAGTCCCTTTTGAAGTTTGCCTGTTTCTTCTTAGGTGACAAGTCAACTTCTCCAAGCTTCGCGAAAGCCTTCGTTGTCTCCGTAATGCTCTGCTTCGCATAATCTAAGGCAAATATGTCAGCAACTTACTGAAATGCCACAGGTGGGAAATAAACACGAACAGCAACCAACAATCATCCAGATGAAATTGAAGAAGAAGTAATAGAACCAGAAGTAATATCTTTCTGGTCGACAGTACGAGATTTCAAGCAAACTTGTTCCATAGTAAAAGACATCGCCATATACCTGACCAACGGAAATCAGAAGCTGCAGAGGATAACGTGCGGGATGCTGTACTGCAATGAAATATGCGATACAGAAGGCAAGAGGGCCCCAAGCGAACTAGCAAGGTAGTCAGTAAGAGGTAAATTCCATACTTGAATAAGAGATGTGGGCGTACTGCAGTAACAGCCTCCATGCAGACTAGGAATGCATCGGACGTCAAATAACGAGAATCAGAAAGAGAATACTCCTTCCATAGCTGGCCGAATAGTTCTTGTGAGCCTGCAAGTGTTTTGTGGTTTATAACAAAGTATGCTTCGAAAAAGAGATGGATGAATCCCGCTAGTTTTTTGTATATCGGTAAGCTTATACTCAGAATTCTCATTCAGCCGAGGATAATGTCGAACTCACTCAGACACATCCAAACAAAAGCAAGCTTATCTGATTGACTGGCAGTCGGTCGCACACGAGATATGGTGATCGAGGCTCCTCCCAATACGGCTGCCCATAGAAAGCCGAATTGAATAATTATCGAAAGTGAAGAGCTTTCATTGTCCACATAATGGGGTAGAAGTATGGTAGGTGGATAGTAGTTGTGAGAATCTGAGGTTGCGGCATTGACGAGCTGAATTGGATCCGCCATTGGAAACGAGTGTGTTCCTCCTTCCTCGAATAGAAATGATGCTGCAATAAAGGATAGCTTACAGTCATTAAGTGATATTTATATTGATCCAAGAAACCCGGGTTCCGCGGACCCCGAGACTTTCTCGGATACTGTACAACCGTGTCGACCCACCTAACAGGTTAAAGATATTTCTAATCAGACATCAAAGCTTAGTGCGGACATGGAACAGCAGTCAAAAATCGCTATAAGTCTAGATGTTTAGTGCCGACTGAATTAGAATATTTGTGGAATACCATGGCCAGTGGGTACGTACCATCCCTGGAGGCTAAGAAATTGGGGACCCACGTCAGGTAAACTCCACCGACTCAACTATCTAGCTATATGGCCGAGACAGCCATATTATGCGCAAAATTTCGAGACTACGGTTTAGTCTAGGAACAGGTAAAACGGAAACGTTTGTAACGCGATGACGGCTTATCAATAGGAACAATGATTTGACAGCTACATATATCTCAAAGGACGTATCGGAAGTTGGGGTTCTGTCAACCGGTTAGTGTACGGATCACAGAAAGGAATAAAAGATATGCGGTCACTAACCTCAAAATCGGTTAGATCTGCCCCAGCGCTCTGGTCAGTAGATATTTCCACCTGGCCTACAGCAGCAGCCGCGGCATCTCGCCGCTTGTTTCTGCGAGCCAGCACGAAACGCAGCAAAACAGCCAAGACTGCTTGTCCAGACGAGCATGCCAGGACGAGCTTGACTCCAGTCTGATATACGGGCGCTTCCTTTGCCAGAAACGCGTGAGGTCCAATTATATTGCCGGCACAGTACGCCAGAAACACCAAGGCAAGACTAGTTGTACGTTTTGTATAACCACCCAGGTTCGTCGCCGGCATTTGCAAAGCCAGTACCACAGAGCAGACGTAGGAGCCAATGATGTAATAACCAAACAACACCCCGATCTTGTGCGTCTTATGGTCCAACTTCCATAGAAGACTGGCGCCAATCACAGTCGGTATCAAATAAAGGAACATGACAGCAGTCCGGAAGTTTTTGATTCGAGATGCGAGAGCTGTTCCTGATAGGATCCAGAAGGTCTGGAATGCCCCAAAAGGAATACCCAAAGCGACAGCAGTGGCCGAGTCAGTGGTCAACCCCTTGATAATTAGTTTCCCGAAGCTCGCAATCCCACCGTTTACGACCTCGTTCAGAAGAATGAAGAAGAACAGGATCCAAACTTGCGGATCTATCAAAGCCTCGCGGATCTGATACCACTTGATTTGGTGATTGATGATACCAGTCTGACCGAGTCGAGCGCGGCCAATGAGGAGAGCTTTTTCGTCCAGGGTGAAACGCTTCGATGAGACAACGTCATCCGGGAGGAAGAGAAGCATCAAAACTCCCCAGACAACGGTAAGGCCGCCTAGAATGAGATAGATAGCTCTCCATACGGCAATGGTGTGGATTTGTCCAATTCCATAAGTGAGAACACCACCCACCATTGCCCCTATTCCGTTGCAGCTGTAGAAGACACCGGCACGGAAAGGTTGCTGAGCACGTGTGTACCACATTCCGATCATCGTCATGAAGCATGGGGTGATGAAGGCTTCGAAGACTCCCAGAAGAAAGCGGCAGATAGCCATCCCGGTGAAGGAGGAGCAGGCGGCAGTGATCAGGAGCATTGATCCCCAGGCAATAACGTTGCCCGAAACGACTTTGGCAAGCTTTGTTTTCTGTGCGAGGATATTCCATGGGTATTCAGCGACGAGATATCCGAAATAAAAGATACTGGCGAGCCAGCTGTATTGGTCGCTTGTCATATGTGTCGAAGGGAGAAGGTCGAATACCGCAGAGTAGGCGAGTGCTGATTTGTCGATATACTGCAGCATATATGTCCCGGCAAGTAAAGGCAATAAAACAAGATCCACTTTGCGAACCAAAGCCTTGTTGCGTGGCTCATCATCCAGGAGTGATTGGATGGCCTCGTGATTGAAGCCGTGTTGGCGGAGGAAGACCTCTCCGTCATCGAGATCCGTTATGGTGCCAATTTGCACATCTTTCTCGTTGATGGTATCGTCCACGGGTGCTTTCTTGTCGATCTCCATGTTTGCAATCCAATGAGTAGTAGCAAATAGCAAACAAAAAGATGGATATGGTCCCCATATACATATGTAGGGAGTCAGATACCCCTCAAAAGCTTAACCGGCCTTTCTTTGTCCGTTATCTTTTATGGTTTGTCGACTCCACCAAGATAGGTAATTCCCCGCAACCTAACTTCCCCAGGTCGCTACTTTCTTTGTTTAATAGATTGCGACCCCAACGGTGTTATATCTTACTCCCAACGTCGCTACTCTATTTGTCCAAAAGATAGCGACCCCAATGGCGTTAAATCCTACCCCCAACCTCGCTACTTTATTTGTCCCAGAGATCGCGACCCCGACGGTGTTATTGATATCCATGGAGCTTACTCCCGACGTCCCTACTTTGTTTGTTCAAAAAAACAACGACCCCAACGGTGTTACGGATATCCATGGATCTTACTCCCAACGTCGCTACTTTCTTTGTTCAAAAGATAGCGACCCTAATAGTGTTATAGTATCTTACTCCCGACTCCACCAAGATGACTCCACCAAGATAGCCCCCAAGGCCCCGCACGGGATAACCTCGGCGCTAATTCTGAACACCGGAGAGATAGTGACGCCCATAGAGCTATATTTTACTTCCGATCCCAACCCTTGTCGCTCTTGATTTCCCCTTCATTGGTTTACCTTTAAACCATCATACACCATGACTGTTGATAACAAGCCACCTTCCGTCACCCTGGTGCAAGGCCATGTGATTGGGACCCAGCTCAAAGACTCTTTTCCCCAACTCTTCGACGCCTTCTTGGGGGTCCCGTATTCCCTTCCCCCTGTAGGGGATCGACGCTTTAGACCAGCAGTCAAAGTTTCAAGCTCATCAGATATCATTGATGCGTCCAAGTATGGTCCCGCGGCTCCTGGAAAGGCACTTCTCTCTGGAGGACCGAAGCAAGTGCAGAGTGAAGATTGCTTGACAGCGAACATCTTTCGACCGGCGGGTAGCAATAATACTAGCAAGCTTCCTGTCGCCGTCTATCTCCACGGTGGTGCCTTTAATCGGGGGTCGGCAGCTATGCACAATACTGCATCCATGGTGGCATGGTCAGAGCACCCCTTCGTTGCCGTGAGCTTCGGTTATCGAATTGGAGCTCTTGGATTCCTGCCTTCGAGTCTGTCGCAGAAGGAGGGGTTGCTAAATCTCGGATTGCGTGATCAGGTACTTTTATTGCAGTGGGTTCAAGAGAATATCGCCAATTTTGGTGGTGATCCTGCCAACGTCACCTTGTTTGGTCTTTCTGCGGGCGCGCATTCAGTAATTCTCCCCGCTTCTGATTTTTTTCAAATATTCCATCCTGACCAAAAATCTAGATTGGTCATCACCTCCTCAATTACGACGAGCACAAATCGCCATTATTCCATCGTGTCATTATCGAGTCTGGAGCACCAACTTCCCGCGCTGTTCGCCCATATAACGCCAAGGTTCACGAGAACCAATTTGCAGACTTCCTCCAAGAGGTCGGTTGCCCAGCCAATCTACCCGAAGCCGAAATCTTCCCATTCCTACGTTCGCTCCCCAGCTTGACTGTTACAAATGCCCAAACGGCTGTTTTCGATAAGTACAATGCTTCCCTTCGGTGGGCATTCCAGCCCGTGATTGATGAAGACATTATCTCTCGCAAGCCCCTCGAAGCATGGGAGTCAAAACTCTGGAATCAAGTCCCCATTATGACCGGGTTCAACAGCAACGAGGGAACAATGTACGTCGACAAGAAAATGTCGGATGCCTCGCAGTTCCGCGAGTTCTGGCACAATCTTCTGCCGGAGCTCTCATCGTCTGATCTCGACACAATCGAAAAGCTCTATCCTGACCCCGCCGTTGATTCCACATCCCCCTATGTTGAAGACAGACAGGGCGAGGGGCTCGGACCTCAATATAAGCGTATTGAAGCTGCCTACGGACACTATGCGTATGTAGCACCAGTCCGCCAGACAGCGCAATTTGCATCATCTCAAGGTGCTCCAGTTTACCTTTATCACTGGGCGCTACCTAGAACGGTCGTCGGTCGAGCAAACCATGCCGATAATATGTACTACGAGACATATAACAGTGGCATCACGGGGATTTCAGAATCGCAGAAAGAGCTGTCTGGCACACTTCATGCCTACTTGACTAGTTTTATTACAACCGGTGATCCTAATGCTGTGTCTGGTCGATATGGACAAAGACCAGAGTGGAAGCCTTTCCAGCCGGCGGATACAAAAGTGATGATCTTTGGAGAGGGGAATGACGAGTTGATCGGAGGTAGTGTTGCTCCTCCTGCGAAATGTGTTGCCGATGATTGGGCAAGAGAGGAGACAGAATTTTGGTGGTCAAAGGTTCCGATTTCCCAGCTTGCTTGATGGATATAGAACAGATACATTTCATGTATAAACCTCACCCACAAGGCCCAATTCAATTGTTTTCTTCTGATTGGCCTTTTTCTTTTTGAAACCACCTTCTTGGTGTCAATTGGTGTCAATTGTTGTCAAAGAGAATCGGAATTCAGTCCCATATTCCTTTCTATGAGGTCTGTTGTTGGGTACCCAGGACCATGATCCCTTGTTCCAGCTTCTTCATACGAGCGCGAATTTAGAGGCAATGGACCCATGGATCTGTGTTGAGACACTACGATCGACCAATCACCTCTTCCCGATTATTCGTGATATCCACTCATCAAGTCCCAAATGGGTATAGTATCTACACTAGCGGCTACAATGTCTATATGAAAACACAATTTTTCAATTTCAAACCACGTTATATCGTGGCCATTCCATCATCACTACCATTTACACCATATGGATAGTTGGATTTCGTGCAAATTACTACTTGGACCTTTTCGGGTTAACTCTTTGAGCCATTCCGAACTCGAATGAATGGCACAAGAAGGGATGGAATCAGGACACCTCATCCTGTATATGGTAGTTCAGGCAGGTCTAAGAGAAATGAAATATTAGGAGAACAATTAATTGTTCCCTTTGGCTATTTTAAGATTCTCTAAGCTAACCATAGCCGCGTCCGGAGCGATGATCTGACCATGGGACGGAAACGATGTTTATGAAAGGCCAAGGCTATTACTGCCTTTATCTTGGGCTTGCTATCTCAAGCCAGGCGACATTGTTTCAATCATGCATCCATGGTCTGGGGAGCACAGACTACCTAGGTACTGCCGGGGTTTATTGACGCACCGTTCGGGCACGGACCTCGGGAACACCGGTTATTGACTCAGCAAATGACCGGCCCAGGCAACAAGCAGATAGGTCGCAATATTCTCATTCCTGTCTGGTAAAGCTCCCTTCATACACCTTTTCACACGCGTAGACTCCTTCTTTCTCTCCCTCCTCCGCGCGGAGCTAGTTATATGGTAAGGTGGATTGATGAAGGTATCCCATACTACAACATTGACTGACGTACTGACTGGGGTATCATGCAGCACCATGGGATCTTTGGTATCCATGATTGGTCGGATATACCAGGCGTTCAGTCCGCCGCAGCAACCTGCTAAAGCGGGAGATGCTGTCAAATTTGGCATTTTGGGAGCCGCCAGCATCGCGTATGTGAAAAATATTCACCTGCCCGAAGCTTAAGCCCGTTGACACATAAACTTAGGTCAATTGCTCTAATTACCCCAGCCAAGTCCCATCCCGAAGTCATCATCCAAGCGGTTTCTGCTCGCGACCGCAAGAAGGCGGAGGCTTTTGCCAAATCTCACGGCATTCCCGAAGTCAAAGACTCATACGAAGGTGACTTGTCGCCAAAGGAAAAACCAGGTCGACTACATATTAATATGACTAGATATTTTAAACGACCCCAACATTGACTGTGTTTTCATCCCCCTTCCAAACTCCCTCCATTACGAATGGGCAGTCCGTGCCATTCGCGCCGGAAAGCATGTTCTGCTTGAGAAGCCTTCTGTGTCAAACTCCACGGAGGCGGAGATTCTCTTCAACCTGCCTGAGCTTTCTCAACCTAATGGACCCGTCCTCCTGGAGGCTTTTCACAGTCGCTTCTTTCCGGCCTGGTCGTACTTCCGCTCTTTGATTGATCCGGCGAATGTTGTCCATATAAACGCTGTTTCAATGATCCCTTGGTGGGGAACCAGCAAGGACGATAACCACTTCAACTACAATCTATCGGGTGGTAGTATGATGGCGATGGGAACCTACAATCTGGCTGCGCTGCGGCTTTTCTTTGACGCTGAGCCTGAGGAGTGCCTAAACTGTGAGGTGCATGCCTACACCGATGGGATCCATGACAAATGCGACTATGATTTCCAAGCCAAGTTCCGTTTCCCGAACGGTGGGATTGGCGAAGCGTCGAGTACTCTGAAGGGACCCACGTACTGGACCCCATCGCATGTCATAGTGACCCACAAGGAGATCATTGTGGAAGACAAGAGCCTCCCTGAATCACAACTCAAGGTTCAAAAGCGCGAGTTAACTCTCCACGGCTTTGTGCACGCGCTCTTCTGGCATCGAATAGATATCAAAGATGTTTACGAGATCCGTGACCAGAATACAGGCGAGGTAATCCGGAAGTGGGAGGAGAAGACCTCCCGGAAGGCATACACCTTCGAGGAAGCAGGTGGTGATTTTGCGGACCTGCCCGGTGAATCTTACTGGATATCTTACCGACACCAGTTGGAGCAGTTCGTTAATCGCGTCAAGGGCCGGAAAACCCAACATTGGGTCGACAGAAGTGACTCGATTTCCCAGATGAAGATGCTGGACATGGCCTACGAGAAGAGTGGTCTCGGTCCCCGGTCTACTAGTTCGTTCAAATAATCGGCAGCTGAATGTCAACTAAATTTAGTTCTTTTCTTTATTTTCCATACGATCCTTTTCTCCCTCGCGGCTGTTCCGTTTTTCCAGTCGCTTTCTGTTTTACATTCGTGAATTGGGGATATTCACCCATACTCTATAGAACAGGTAAAAAGCCAAACAATGTTGGAGAAGACCCCCGCCTCGATATACTTCGCTGAGGATGGAGAACATGTGCAGTATGTATTTGTGACAGTCTGAATAAAAAGGAGCGTTATTGTCACGATCTACATGTGAATATGCTTGAAGCTCACCTTAGAAAGCCATTTTGCATATTTTAGACCTTTTTCGCCGCGTAAATTCTATGTATTCTAGCTATAAACAAACACCAATAAGGGGGGAAATACTAGAAAAAGACATCTAAAAAGAATATCTGAAATATATCCCCAAAAAAACTTTAAAAAAGAACACTAAAAAAGGCATCATAAGGGCATAAGAGGCCGACTATTCTTATAAGGTATATACTGAATGGACTGTGGGCTTGAATCCCGAGATAAAACTATCGATGGCGAAACGGTCCACGGGCCGTAATCCATGTCTCAATCAGATAGCCAAGAAATACCAGGGAGACAAATCACCAATTAATAAATCCAAGGCAAAATTCCGGAAGCAAGGCGATATTCAAAAGACGGACAAGGGAGTCTCGCGAAGATAATCAAACTGTTGCCCCGCATTCTTCAAGAAACTTTGTCACTTCTTCATTGTCCTCTTGCGCCTTCGCGGCTGTGAGCGCATTGCGATAATCTCCATTTTCGAGTGGCATGTTGACATCAGCCCCTGCTTCGACCAGGAACTGAACAGTCTCAAGAGACCCCTTTTTCGCTGCAACAGCGAGAGCACTGCCGCAATTCCCATGCTTGATTGGCAAGTTTATATTTGCTCCTGCTTGCACCAGGACCTTGGCAGCTTCGATGCCGTCCCCGGATACCACGGCTGCTGCAAGAGCACTGCCATAGTTGCCATGTTGTGGCAACGCATTCACATCTACTCCTGCCTCGATGAGGCATTTGACGACCTCGACATCGAAACCATCTGCCATCGCTGCTGTGAGAGCATTGCCGTAATTTCCATGCGGCAATGACAGGTTGACATCAGCACCCTTTTGGATCAGGTACTTGACAGTGTCGACATAACCACCTAGGTATGAAGCAACTGCTGCTGCGAGAGGACTGCCATATACTCCGTTCTCTGATAGCAAATTCACATCCGCCCCTGCCTCCACCAGTGCGGTGGTAATTTCAAGGGTTCTATCCTCTGATGCTGCACGTTCGAGGACAGTACCATAGTCTCCATCGACAAATGGCTTGTTGACGTCGGCGCCCTTCTGGATCAGGTACTTGACACCCTCGACGAATCCGGATTTGACTGATTCCTCGAATTCCTCTGGCACATTTAACTCCCCGCCTACATCAACCAGGTATTTGAGAACCTTGAGATCTTGAGCAAGTACCGCCAGATGGACAGGGCTTCCGTCCTTATCCCCTTTATGAATATCTGCCCCGGCATTGACAAGGTACTTCACAATTTCAATCGAGCTTGCGTTGTTTGGCTTGTTGGTTCCATATGCTGCTGCTCCGAGAGGAGTGCCACCAGTATCTCCGCATTCTGATGGATTCACCTCGGCGCCTGCTTCAACTAAACATTTGACAATTTCCAAATTCCTGCTGTCGGTTGATGCCCGTTCCAGGAGAGTGGAGAAGTAAGCCTCCGTAATTGGCAAGTTCACATCAGCCTTTGCCTTTTGAATCAGGTACTTGGCACCCTCAAAATTCTGGAATTTGATGGCTGCAGAAAGGGGATTTCCAGATTGTTCTGGCACATTCACGTTGGCTCCAGCATCCACCAGGATCTTGAGAAGCTCGGTGCCCTTAATTCTGGCTGCTAACCCAATTGGACTCAGAACCGCGACCGGATCATAATCTTCGTCCTCTTCTTCATCCTCAAGGGTGTGGGTCTTGTTCACATCCGCACCCGCCTTTTGGATCAGGAACTTGGCAGTATCGACATGCCCAGAGGCAAGCGCTGCGATGAGAGCGTTCCCATGATTGCCGCTTTCCACTGTCATGTTCACATCTGCACCTGCTTCTGCTAGATATCTCACAGTTTCAGTGTGTCCCCGGTGAGCTGCTGCATCAAGAGGACTGCCGTAATCTTTACCATCAACCTGCACGTTCAAATCTGCACCCTTCTCGACAAGTGTTTTGCAAATTGAAGTACAGCCAGCCCGAGCGGCAAGCGTGAGGAGATTGTGGCCTCTTTCGTTCACACGCGAAACATCAAATTCTGCGTTTTGCCACCAGTCTGATAGTATGGCAGCAAATGAAAGATGACACATCGCATAAATGGCAGCATTTGATGGCCCTAACTCGCTTTCAAAATCGCCATACTCCGGATGTTCTCCCTGATTGAAGTCGCATGTGTCCAAGCCTGATTCATCAAAGCCCCCTGCCTCTCGGTAAAAGTTGTATACATCCGTGCCTTGAAGATCGACGACTGAAACGATTCTTTCCAAGTCCTCCTTAATGACTTCATACCATTTCTGGTATTGCTTACTGCTTTCCTCGGGAGATCCGAGGAAGGTTTTCAAAAGGGAGGACAACGTAGCTTCTTCGTCATCCTGCGCCCCCTGAACATGCTTTGCCCAGTGATGTCTCATGTATAGATGGAATGGGTGCATGAGATGGAAGATATCAGCTGGCTCTGGCTGCCCTTTCCAATCCGACAAATCAATTTCGTCGTTGTCGTCTTTGTCGTACATGGTGATGAACCATGAGAGACAGGCACTAGCAGCGTGGAAATTAGCCCGTGGAAGGGTCAATTGCACCTTGGTTTCGAGGTATTCGCGGACCGATAGGTGTGCAAATCGCCACACTTTTTGCTGAGAGTCAATCGTGAGGAGATTGTTACAGAGTGACAGCAAGCCTTGCTCATCAATTTCATCGGCCAATGTAGGTACCTCTCCATTCGTGTTCACGCGAACAGCGCAGATAAGCTGGGCCGTGGAGAGTGGTCGCTCGGCAGCCATGACCCAGAGCATAGCGCGGTTTGTGAGAATCTGATCGGGTTCCTCCAGGTCTTCGATTTGACTCCATGCCTCGTCATATGCCTTTTGAATATCATCTGGAAGATTCTCAAGTCGTTTCCATACACTAGACTCAGTCTTGCACTTCTGAATTTGGTGTGCCTGCAGAGCCGCCCATTGAAACATTCCTTGACAGCGCTCAAGTAGTGTATCGAGAATCTTCGCTTTCAAACGTCCGATGAAAGGAGCCTTCTTGGCAAGCTTGTCTAACTCGACATTGAGATATTTTTGAACGTCGCCTTTGTTGTCACTTGCGTTGATGCCGATATTTGGGGTGTTTTGCAATTGGACCTCAATATCAGGGTCAGGTCGGCTTGAAATGAAAACCTTCACATGCCGTTTGTTGGACTGAGAGATGAAGGAATTCAAGGCATCAATGAGCTCGTCGCGGGTATCAGGATTACACTCGTCCATGGCATCAATCACGATCGTGGTTTTCTCGTAAATGTCCAGCGAGGCCTGGATCTGTTCCTTGCACTGCTCCATGCTGAAGGCTGACCCGGCATTGCGACATTTATTGTATAATTCACAAAGCTTTTTCTGTGTGGACTCAGGGTTCTTCGCAGTAGTTGAAAGCTGACGAACAATACTTTGAAGGATCGATAGTGGCTGTGCACGTCGCGGTTCGCTCTTATCGCAGTAGAAAAATGCGAAGCCTTCATTCTTAGGTGTGTTGCTCAGTTGGTCCTGGATTCGGTCCACGACGGTTGATGTGAGGAAGGTTTTTCCGGTACCGGGAGAGCCCTGGAGCCAAAAGATAGACGACTCGTTGCTTTGCTCCCAGGTGGCAAAATGCTCACGCTGTAATAGCCATTCACCCGTGCCGGGCGTCCTCTTCTCTTTGACGTTATTATGATTTTTGCCAAACGGAATAGAAGAGATCCATTCCAACATCTCAATACGCTTTTCCTTGTCCATACTTTGGAGGAGATGTTGAATGTTCTCATCTACCCGCTTCATCGGGGCATTGAAGGCATTCAGCATTTCAATCATGCTATCATCTGCGTTCGCGCTGCGTCTCACTTCGCACGCTGAGACATCGCGCAGAAGATCATCTTCTTGCTCACTTATAGCCGAGATACCACCTGAAACCTTGCCCGGATTGAGGATTGCTTGAAGTGTGCGCGTGGCTGTGTTTTTGGAGAATAGACTTCCCGATTCTGCAAGTAGATCCAGCGACGTAGTATAGATTGCGGTCAGTGCAGATTCAAGGTTCTTTGAAAGGTTATCCGTAGCGGGTCTGTTCCTGAGATAAACCGACTCGTAGACCTGGCCGCGACTGATCACGCGGACGATCTTTTCAGTGGTCGCAAGCAAAGCAGCCATCTGCTCGCCTTCGATGACCGGAATCTAATGCCATTGGTTAGCAAAGTATAGAGGGGAGTGGAGAAAGATTAAGAGGAATTGAAGTGTTTCGAATGCCAAGGCCAATATTAGGAACAAAAGCAAGGCATGAAAGTGGGGGAATTACCTGCATGACAGACTTCATGACAGCCCAAGGGATAGCTGCTTGGGGTGGGGAAAATTGAACAGCAATATCCCCAGCCTTCTCCAACCAGTCGACAATTTTGTTTGTATAGTTCCTTAGGACAATTTCTTCATCGCCGACTTTGACTTTCCAAAACTTCTTCTCGCACTCCTCCTGCCTCTGGTTGACCACGCCGACCAGATTGCCAATGCTAGACTCAACAGATTCAGATTGAGCACTGGACTGGTTGAATCCCATCTTCTTGAGCGTTTCCTGTTTGGATTCAGGAAGAGACTTGAGTGCCTCCACCCACAAATCCTTTGGGACATCTGGCTTCTCAGCTGGCTTTTCGTCGGCCGGTGGCTCAGTTCTCTCCACAGGCGGCAGCTTGGCGGCTGGTGCGGCGGCAGATGACTGTGCGGAAGGAGCTGGCGCAGGTGGAGCTTTTGCATCGCTCACTTGCTCTGGCTTCGCTGGTGTGGGCTTGACCTTGAGAGAATTGAACATCTCAGCTTTGCTCAAAAAGAAAAAAAAAAAGGAAGGCTTCTATGGTGGCATCTCTCGATGTTTGACACTCTGTATGAATGCCAGGCCAGTGTACTTATATGACCTACCTCTTGTTGTTCATTTTTCTTGTGCCTGTTGCGAATCTTGTTCTTGATTCGGTCGAACATCTTGTAGGGTGCAACTTGAGGTCACCTAAGAGCCGTTGTGTTGTGAATATTGGTGGAAGAGGAGAAAGGTACCAAGAATATTCCCAGAAAGAAACCCAAGGGATGCCAAAGCGAAGAACAGGATGCGCAAAACCGAAGAGGGGGGAAATCTAAAAAAGAGGGACAATTCAGCCTCGTAAACCCTACCCTACGGAGTAATGAGGAGCTAATCACACTATTTTGGGAAGTGATATACATACACGGGTTCCATATATGGACCCACGTACTCCTCTCAGCCGTCCACTGCATTAGAATTGGGATGCCAACACATAAGTATTAATTGTAAAACAGGGAAATGATATGAGCTCTTAGGCATGCCAGTTTCTTAGTGTAGGGCTAGCTGTCTACTACATACCGGTGTAATGAGGATGCAACAAAGCACCCCGGGAGAACCATTCCAAGGTTCTGGCACGAGCAAGCTAGCATTCGAGCTAACAATTTAGTATCTGACAGCATTCAATCACTGGTTGATCTCTGGAACCAGAGGTCCACAACCGATCGCTTGAGCGGCAATCTCCACTCGGGAGAAAACATATTTCCTTTAAACTCTGCACATACGTCACTGCTGAGTATGAAAGCTCTTGGACTTATGGCGATCTTCAGGTCCTTTTAGGCCACTCAGGTCAATACATAATATATAAAAAAAAAGGAGAATAGTTGGTGCTCTAATGCACTCGAAGAAAATGGCTACGTCCTTAAACTGACAAGCCTACATAATTAATCATGTTTTCATTATCAACATATGTGTTTAAGTGTCTCTTTTATCTTAGAGCCAGTGTCTGTGGAAACTTTCATCAAGTAGGTGCCATGGTCTAGTGGTATGACGATAGATTGTGGTTCACCACAATCCCAGGACTTAACACCTCTCTATTAGCCCCGGTTCGATTCCGGGTGGCGCCATTCTTTTTTATTTTTATTTTTATTTTTCCTACTCTCTCGTACTGTGACATAGGACAACGTACCGAAAATTTATTGAAACAGAATTATTCGGCAGAAATACTCCGGAACAAACAAATTCGGGAAAGGACCTCAGTCGAGATATCTGCATAGGAGGGTTTCATCGACGTGCATAACTCAATTGGATACCCGCCAGGCCATCCGAATACGGTAACTGTAACGAGAAGCATATATTCTGCTGTGTGCGAGGCATTAGTAACTTTTTTCCAAGCAAAAAAAAAACATCAACCTAGACGTGGTGGTGGTGAGATGGAAAGGATCTGTACACTTGACGCAATTACAGAACTTCTTATGATGTGGCATACAATAACGAGCAGAATGACAACTTCGCTACCTCTAAAGGAGGCGTAAGGTGTGAGACTAGGCTATGGAATAAATTACAGTAGCTTATCCTCTCTGTCAACCAAGTGCTTCGTACTTCTGAAGACTTCAATACTATCCAAGACTGGGCTAGGGAGTGCTAGGCGCCGGATTTTGATCTTAAGATACGTGTTAAGGATTCCATGCACCATCATTGAATTCGCAGATGAATTGTTGAACAAACTGTCAATCAAATAAATTGACTGGTTGGGACGCAAGCCACTTAGTATCAATAGAACACTATTATATCTTTGAGGTTAAGGGCCATCATCCGAACTATTTCCGTTATCGAGGCCTCTCATTATGCTGTCAAAGAAAGCCATATCGACACCCTGGAATGCCCAGTCGTCCACCCCGGCAGTTAGCCCAGGATCCTGATAGTTCTGCAGGAGGGTATCAGAAACGGTATCCTGATATCGCGAGGTGAGCTGCGCAGGCGGAATATTAACACTATCGACAGAGTTGTAATCCACTTCGGTCATTGACCTAGGAAATGCATTTCCATCGAAGCGGCTAGAGCTAAGATCACGCACTGCAGCTTCCGAGCTCTCGGTGTTATGCATACCAATCACCGGAGCGTAGGGTTTGTCATTACGTAAAGGAGGTTGTGCGTTGGCCATTTCCCTAGAAACAACGCCCTGACGGGCAATCCTGACGATGCCAAAGTAAGGTATTTGCACCAGAACAACGCCGTTGTCGTTTTCCCTTAACTGCAACACTGCACTTTCTGGTGTCTGAACGCTGACGCGCTCCGTACTGACGCCATCTGCTGTTTCGGAATCAATGGCCAGCAACTTATGCAATAAGTCCGCACTTTGGGCACTTAAAGTATCTCCGTTAACACGACTAATTTGTTCCATGTTCACCTGCGCCTGCTCTATCATGGCACGATCACTAAGATATTGGTGCGCTAAGAGATTGCTGGTCTGTGAAAAACGGTGGCTGTCGAGATGCGCCAGAAGTAGTGTAATGCCGGCCATGAGTGCAAAAAAGTCAACTGTCCGACAGCAGAAATTATTCCTGTTGTAGCCACGAAACATGATAAATCGCAAGAGAACCTCCCTTGAGGCATTCACGTAGGTCATTCTGGAATATTCGTACTTCCGTTCAGGTGATGAACGAAGCATGTAAGGCAGATGGAGCTGAATGAGCAAGTTATAATGATACAACTGGTTGAAAAGCCGTCCCATATCCAAAAAGAGAGCCTGTGGATCATTCGTGACACTGTCTAGGTTTGGCATAAGCCACCATTTGCTAGGCATACTTCTACCCGCTTTCTGTAGCTCCAAGTCGAGGTTTTGTGTCAGGGCAAAGTCATCAGCGCACGGGTCAGACTCGTTGCGCTCCAATATGCGAGACGCGAGAGTACAGTGCATCCGCTCGAGGCGGCCCATAGGGGTGTCATCTCTGAATGCTGTGCCAGTGGCCATGCTCTGATCAAAGGAGCCTTGCGTAAGACCCAGCATGAGACACAAATTACGGTCGAGGGAGACAATTCGAAACCACATGAACTGTGGATAAGCTTTCGTTTTGTGGTCAAGAACCTTGTACTTTGATCGGCTTTGACTTTGGTGGAGGTTCATCATTTGCGCAATAGCCATAGCCCTCCGGTTCGCTATCCAGCTTCGTCGTAGATTTCCGCCATTATTGTAGTACATGCTTTCCATCATAACACACTCCAGTCCTTCAATGCTGCCAAAAAACTCGTCGTTTGTCGTGACCAAATTAATAACAGTTCCTGCTAATCGTTCCATCAGGGCGGGGAGTGATTCCGGCAAACAGTTTATCGCCTCAAGAAAATTAGGGTGGAGATGCTGCAGGAAAGTAGCAATGTGAAGCATATGTCTTGCGATCAGCACTGGATGCGAACTCGGACTAGGTATTTCGAGTAAACTGTCTGGCGACTTGAGGCCGTTCTGCTTGAGGACAGCATATGGAGCGTTTAGCATCTCATGAAAAAGTATGGCTTTTCTACCGCGGGCATTGTATATCATCTCGATAACTTGTCGTGAGGGCAAGGACTCGTGCAATCTTTGAGATAGCTTTTCATATCTCCCCTCAGCTTCAGCCGGGCCATGATCCTGATAAAATAAATGACAGTTCATCATACACTGGACTTCAAAAAGTATATACGTACATCCGAAGACTTGCATAAAGACAAGAAACGTGAGGATTCTTGGTCTATTGATGCAACATCTGGAGTAGGGATTTCATAACTAGGTGTCGGAATTTCGCTAGTTGCAGGTACTCCTACTCCCCCATGAAGGTCCACTTTCCTGATCAGTTGCTCAACCAAGGCCTCAACCCTCGCAACACGATCATTATCTTTACCGCTCGTGTGGTGTCGTCCCTTCCTCTCGAGATGTCCTGCGTTCTCTCTTCCATCAACAAACTCAAACTCCTGGCTCACGCATTTGGAACCTCGCCGCTGGCAGCCAATGCAGATGGCATCGGCATCGGCTGGAGAGCTGGGGTCTGCATACACACATTTCATCTTGCGCTTTTTGCACTCCCAGCAACTCTTAGTCCCTTTGCGGATCTTCCTCCGCTTCGCCTCTGATTCGGCAATGATCTCGTAGTCCATATCCGTGTCCATGCATAGAGTCAGTCAGTCAGTCCGTCACGGATGATGGAAGGTGAACAGAGCGATCGGACCGTCGGCGGGGGAATTCTTGGGGACAGCTGACTCAGCGGATGTCATTCGACCGCCGCGAAATGCAACATGCGGCGGACAAAAGCCCCTCTGTATTTATATTAATATTACATCTTACATTTAGCGTGAAATATGAAACGGATAAGGATTCCCATTTGGACATAGTGCAAAGAATGACTGGCAAATTAGAAATAGCATTGGCGGTTCGAACAATTCGGGGCCAAGGAGGATGATCTCGGGGTATATCTCCAACAGTTAAACTACAAATAGCCGTTTAGCACGTAGCTAATGTAGTGATCTAGCTATACTACTCTTTCCCAACAAAATCTATTCGCTAGCTTCAAAATGGGCCTTGTCCATATTGTGATGATCTCGTTTAAAGAACAGGTGACGGCGGAACAGGTGGAAGGCGTAAGTCTTGTTACTAGCAAGTTAAGTATTTTTTGAAAGCAGATGGTAAATCGTTGAAATTTAGGTAAACCGTCGCTTCCGAGCCCTCAGAGATCAATATGTACGCGCAGAGTCCAAAACACCATATATCACCAACCAAATGGCAGGCAAAGACATCAGTGTTGAAAACAAAACAGTAACGTATCCATAAGACTTGGTGATATCAGGTTCATTTGGGAAGTTATAGGGGGGTTTCACTCATGTTTATGTTACACAATTTGACAACGAGGAGGATAGAGATTATTATCTGAGAAAAGATGCGGCACATGAGGAGTTTGGGAAGATTGTGGGACCTTTGTTCAAGTCGGCGCAGGTGAATGATTTTGTTCCGGGGGTTTCTGATGGTCCATTATTCAGGAAGGAGTAATACGGGAGGAGGTGTCAATGTTAACTACTACTAGTAGTCACCTAGGTAGTTAGTAATAACTTCATACAGAGTCAGAAATCAGACACTTTAGAGACTATACGGGCCTATATCCTATATCCCATAAGACATGTCCCGAGTAAGGAGGATTACTTGCCGCTAGAGGCCTCCGTATCCCAAGTCCCACTGTACGGCAGTCTAAACGTCTTGCGGTGGGCCAGTGACTGTTTACTTACTCGTTCCTCCGTCCGGACAAACGTCTGGAAGAAGCTCCGCCGGGGAAAGGCTCAAATTCGGCCGACATTTATAATACATGCTTTTCAAAATTATTAAGCAAGTTCTAAGAAGCCTCTTCTCCATGCGAATCTATTATTATTTATTTCAATTTGTCCTGTCGTGTCGGGGACATTATTCCTCTGCAATTATCGACCGGTAACATTCCATTACTATTAGCGGAAATGATTTCAACATTCGATGTGGAAAAGGAGCGGCAGAACGCAGAATCGAGAATGCAGTCATCAATAACCAATGCTCCTTCTGCGGCCGATTTAGAGAACGAGAATCACAATGCTCCAAATGACCAAGAGACTTCTTACCTACCGGGAAGGGTAGATGCTGAAGAACCGGACCTGGACGACGAAGCACTGTATCCTCATGGCCTCAAGCTACTCGTCATTGTCGCGGCTCTTGGCATGAGCATCTTTTTGGTTGCCCTCGACATGGTATGTCTCACAATCCCTCAGTGAGGAGAGGAGCCTCTCTTCAAAGTTCCATCATCATCCAATGTTCATATCAAATAAATAGACGATTGTAGCGACGGCTATTCCAAAAATTACCGATCAGTTCCACAGCCTCGATGATGCCAGTTGGTATGGGTCGGCTTTTTTGATGACTACTGGAGGCTTCCAGTCAACCTGGGGAAAGGTATACAAATTTTTCCCGCTTAAAATCTCGTTCCTGGTTGCGGTTTTCATTTTCGAGATTGGAAGCTTGATTTGTGGTGTGGCTCCAAATTCCGTGGCACTGATTGTCGGTCGTGCAATTGCTGGAATCGGTGCGGCTGGTATTGGGAGTGGAGTCTTCATTATCATCGCTTTCATTGCCAGTCCAAAAAGGCGGCCACTCTTCACCGGTATCATTGGCATGTCTTACGGTATAGCGTCGGTCGTTGGCCCCCTTGTTGGTGGTGCATTCGCTGATAAAGTAACTTGGAGGTGGTGTGAGTACTTCTGCTACTCACTTGATTAATTAAAGTAGTTGTTATTTACTGGACGCTGGACTTCGCTGACTTTTTTTTTTTTTTCATCTAGGCTTTTACATCAATTTGCCCGTTGGAGGCCTCGCAGCCGCTTCCATTTTTTTCTTCTTCCATACACCTGACAGCGCTTCGACAACCAAGGCTACATTCAAGGAGAAGCTCCTACAGATAGATCCTATCGGGACGATCCTTCTAATCTGTACCATCATTTCATATATCTTGCCACTGCAGTTTGGTGGACAGACGAAGGCATGGAACTCCAGTACTGTGATCGGTCTTCTTGTCGGCTTCCCTCTCATGATTATAGCCTTTGTGGCGTGGGAATGGTTCCAAGGAGAACGGGCTGCCTTTCCGCCGCGCTTGATGTCGAACCGCCTCATCCTTGTGAATTCATTCTACGCGTTTTTTTTCGCAGGTTCGTACTTTATCATAGTCTATTACCTTCCTTACTACTTCCAGAGCGTTCAAAACGTCAGTCCTACTATGTCTGGTGTACGAAACCTTCCTTTGATTGTCTCGATGTCGTTAGCTATCATTGTCTCTGGTGGCAGCATCACCAAAACTGGTCATACTGCTCCTCTTATGGTTGTCGGTGGGGTCCTTGCAATCATCGGTTCGGGGCTGTTGTATTCGCTGGACGTCGGTGCAAGCACAGGCAAGTGGATTGGATACCAAATTGTCGGCGGAGTTGGATGGGGATTGGCCTACCAGGTTCCCATCAATGCGGTGCATGGTGCAGTGGTTCCCAGTGATATTGCATCCGTGACGGGTATTATCATCTGTGAGTAGTCTGCCTACTACTTCTTGATTATCTGATAAAAGCCCGCTAACACACCTCATCTCTCAGTCTTCCAAACTGTCGGGGGTGCGGTTTTCGTGGCTGCAGCACAAGCTGCCTTCGTCAACCAGATTATCATCAAACTTGCCGCAACCGCACCGAGCATCAACTCAGCCTTAGTGGTCTCGACTGGTGCGAGCGAGCTGCGGGACGTCTTTACATCTGAGCAGATGACTGCTATTTTGCCTGCTTACATGACCGGTCTCAAGGTCGCTTACGCTATTTCGATCGCTGCGGCGGGAATCGCTTTCTGTTTCAGCCCCTTCAACAACTTTAAGAAAATTGACGCCCATGTAGCAGCAGAAGGCTCTGAGAATGTCCTCATCAGTGCGGCTGTGTAATTGTCTTGCTCTTGTCAAGGTCTTTCTACTTTGTGTGGCATATTTAGATATGTGTTTGAGGTGCCTCGGCTTTGTGTCTGGGGATGGGCTTAGTTGCTCTAGACGACTTCGCATCCTTTTTCTTTTTTTTTTGGACTTACCTGTGTGTAATAATATGTAGTAGAATTTTTTCTTATGGTTTTTGTGGGCACTCTTTTTTTCAATATTATCTTCTTAACATAAATTGATTAGTATAATTTCCCCAAAGCCCTTTCGGTGGAATGAAAATATTACTAGCACAATATACTGCCCCTATTTTATCTAACAACGGCTGAATTAGAAATTTTACAATATGTGGATATGAGCTACATTATATTATGTTGACGATGGTTCATGATCCCAACATTTGAACCTTGCAAACTCACAGAAAGCCAACAATGATATTCAATGTTCGAGATTCTTCTACAGCCTTGAGTTCACAGTGCATCAGTTCCACGGCGTAATGTCTATTCAATGCAGGACCAATAAAGCACCAAGGAGTCCAGTGTCTGTAGTTCTTCTCTGGATATGTCCTACCTACTGTTTGAACTCGCGTTTTCTAACCGTCGCCTGCACGCTCTCTGGGTATACGACCCAATAGTACGGATTGGACTCCGCTCGAGGCTCGACAAGATCGATCTAAACCGTAAGTATAGATCATTGACTTTATGCTCAAGTACTCACATCGTAGTTCATGAAGAGCGCTGTGACAAACTTCTTGATTTCAAAAAGGGCGACGTGCTGGCCCAGACAGCCTCGTGTCCCGGCCCCGAACTGGTACAATCAGACATTGAACGGGAAGTCGGCTAAACTTGACTTACACTAAGCAGACTAGCTTCAAGCTTTCTGATATGCGACGGTTCGCCTTCCAACCAGCGACGGGGACGCCACTGATCCGCATCATCACCCCATGTCGGCTTATAGCGGTTAGTAATATATGGACTCATGCCAACCACCGTGCCTCCAGGGTAAAAGTGACCACAGATTGTGGCTCCCTCCGCTGGAACGACTCGTTCAAGAGGCATAGCGAATGGAGAGTCAAGCCGGAGTGACTCTTTAATACAGGCATCTAGGAAGGGGAGGTTCTGCAACTCATGCCATTGTGGGAAAGGTAGAGTGAGCCCGGTGGCAGTGCGTTGCTTATCCCGCAGCTCGACCCGTACCGTTTCCAGTGCGTTAGGGTGTTCTACTAGGAAACAGACGACAGATCTAAGCATGGAAGCCGTGGAGTCGGCCCCTCCAAGAATATTGGCAAAAGTCCAGGTTGACACAAATCGAAGTGGCACGTTATCCTTTCTCTCCTGGGCATTGAGATAATACCCGAGGAAGTCACCGTCGGCAATGGGTCCGTCGACATTTGCATTGGAGGGCGATTTGGGATTTTTCCGACGTTCTTCCTGACGCTCTGAAATACGCGCCAAGACGTAGTCCAGCAGAGGTGCAATGGCTTCGCGCTTGAAGAGATTTGCTACCCAGTTCTTATGCAAGAGCCAATCGAACCATGGTATCTGCGTCATCTGCAAATAGTTGAGTCTTGCTCCATGTTAAAGTCCTCCGTCATGTATAACTTACAGGTCCGATACTCAGGTTTGCCCTCTTCACGTCGTCCATGATGCCGTGTAAGTCTCTCCCATGCTGAACGTAGCCATATGGCCGGGAGAATGTCATCAAGCCCATGGTATCGTAGGATAGAAATTTCATCCACTGTGTCACGTCGAACTGTGCTCTCGTGGGCACAAACCGGCGATCAAGCTCGTCAAAGAACATTCGCGAAGCACTATCCATCCTTGGCTCAAAAGAGGATACAGCGTACGAGAGCGAATAATACACAGAGATGTGTTGCTTCATTTCTCGATTTGTCGCGTCGTCTTCTGCGGTGAAGACGGAGAGGAGTAGGCCATCAGTGGTCCAGGGTCGGAAGGCGCGATACATATTGCTCTGCATCGGTCGGATGATGTTAGCATCCATCAACATGAATAGAGACTATTTCATAGTTATGGGGGTGGCAGACCTTGGGAAATCCACCCCGCAGGTTGAAAATTGTTTGAATGGCCTCCGGGTCACAAATGCACACCAGGTTGGGCCCGAAACGAACGGCGGGGCCATATCGTTGGTGAGCGCGGTCTTGGTATAGGTGGAGGCGGCCACGGCGCGCGAGGAGAAAGCGATGGAAGTTGGTGAATTTTGCGATGAGGGGGCCGGGAATGTGCTGCAGTTGCGAGTAGGTGCGGTAGAGGTGGTAAACGAGGATTGTTGTGACTCCCAAAATCAGCACAGCCAGTGGCTGTTGCCTGTCTAGAGACTCCAAAAGCATCTTCAGTGGTAATAGTAGTAAATCTAGATGGTGGAATGTGGAATATCACTGCTCTTCCACCCCTCTTTGTAAGGGACTTGCTATTAAATAAGGTATAGGTAGGGCAGGATAAGACTATATCATTCCTGCATCCATAGGATTTTGCCTCGTTGTCAGCTCACTCAGCAACTCACAATTGTGCAAAAGGCAAGACCCCAACAGGATGCAGGATATTTCCCTCTGCAGTTCTGCACATCGAGATGTGTGGTTGCCAGAGTTCTCACCTGCATCCCCCAGTGCACGTGTTACACAATATTTAGACCGAGCTAAGGTCGGCACGACAGACCAATTCTGTCGTGATGATCGGTCGCTATGACTTAAAAAGGACGAGCTTGGTGCAGAACCGGAGAACGTTGTTGCTGCCAAGGAGAATCGGAGAGCTCTTCTCCCACCTACACCCCATGCATATGCACAACTAGGGTCAGTCACCGGACTGTAATATGAGACAGTTCTGAACCATTTCATTAAACATTGTCGAGGACTGGCGGAGGAGAGTGTCACTAGTGTTGGTCTAGCGGGACCTGCCAGTAGCTAGGGCGAGAGAAGAGCTATAGCACTCCTCTATCCGCAGTAGTTTTTCCTTTCCTCAACTTCTCGCATTCGTTCCCTCCGCAGTCGTTCCCCAAGTAATAGCGGGCTTTCGATATCTAGTAGAGATAGAAAAGACACGTTATGGAATCAGCCTATATGCATAGCGCAGCGACGATCAACCTTAAACCAATTCAGTTACATCTAGCGAACTCTGTGAGGACATGGCAGGCGATTGGAATCGATTGATCAAGTACCCTGCTCTCTGGTTGACTTTCATACTTCCCTTCCTGCATGGAGCTTCACAGCGAAACAGCGGTGAGTTGAGCCACAACCGACCCGATTTTATTGCTGCTGATACTGAAGATATAAACCGGTCTAATCTGCTAGTTAAATGGAAGGTCATACGCGTTGCGTCCCCGCACGTAAGCCCTTTTCCATCGGTTGCTCTCCGTCAATGATGCTTTCAGGCCGCATGAAGCGAAGTCTATCCTGGCTCTCAGACCATGTCTCCGCCGAGCCAAATCCTCCAAAGGGCGTACTGGGAATGGACATGGCGGAGAATTGGCTTGTCCGACCAGACTTACTTCCTTTGATCAAAGACGCAATGTCATTGGACCTGAAACAGCAGGATCTCTCATATTCCCAAGAGCTGGGTGGACCTCCAGGCCTTTTGCATGTATCGGCATCATTTTTCAATCGCTTCTTCTCTCCACAAGTTGCCGTTTTACCCGAGCACATCGTGACAAGTACAGGATGTTCATCGATTATTGAGACCCTTATATTTTCGATTTGTGATACTGGGGATGGTATACTACTGGAAACACCCATGTGGGATGGCTTTGCTGTCACGTCAATGCTGAGAAACGACGTCCGCATAGTTCCCGTGAGATACTCGAGCCGACCAACAAATGCAGAAGATCTTATACAGCACTACAGCGAAGCGATGAAAATGGCAAAGTGTCCCATTCGGGCCCTCATCGTTTGCAATCCCCACAACCCTCTTGGTCAGATTTATCCTACTCTGTGGTTAGAGGCGCTGCTTCAATTCTGCGAAGCTCACAACATCCACTTTATCTCGGACGAGATATACGCTCTTTCGACTTTTGGGGCGACTAGACGCGGTCAATATGCCAATCCCAATACTGTGATCGGGCGAGAAACGAAGTTCACATCGGTATTGTCGATGGACCTGAAACGACTTGGCGTCGACCCCGCTCGTGTCCATGTAACTTACAGTATCAGCAAGGATTTGGGTAGCAGCGGGGTTCGAATGGTTTGTCGGAATATTCAATGAGTATGCACGTGCAGACCAACGCTGACGCATCCGCAGGGCTATCTCATTACGCAGTCAAATCCCGGGCTTCGCCGTGCACTAGCGGTCCTCAACAGGTTCAAGGTGTGTAATATGGCGTCGATAGCTGTTGCTTCTCTCTTTTCAAATCTGCAGACGGTTGAAAATGTACTGGACCACAACAAACCTCGCCTGCGCAAAGCAGCGGAGATAGTGGAAGATTTCCTGTCATTCCATCAGATTGTGTTCTATTCACCGGTTGCTGGTTGCGTCATGTGGGCGCGGGTTGGGGGCGAGCTAGCAACAGAGGAAACAGACGCAGAGCTATTTGAAAAACTTGCTGCAGCAGGTGTGGCCGTTGGTGCCGGCTCCAGGTTCAAGAGCGGAGAACCGGGCTGGTTCAGAATCACGTTTGCTCTGCCTCGGAAGGTTCTGATCGAAGGACTACGCCGAATCGAGATTGGGATGGAGGCAAAGCGACAGTGGATACCCGAAAAGCCCAATTGTGAAGGCAACTGCATTTGGTGTAGGCTTGAGCGAGAAAACGCATGGTGTAGATCTGAATCCACCGAAACTTTACTTTCATGCGTGCAGAAGTGACCTGTATCTTTCAGACATCTCATTTGGTTTGCAATCAATGCACAGCACGCGTTTCTTGAGAGTGAGGAGTAAAAAGCCCAAACATCGCAGACAGATAGCCGTTTCAATCACACCCAGAGTCATGATTGACGTAGGAAGACATGTGAAGGGAGACACAGTCAGAAAGACAGCGTGGAGGGACAGAGGAGAGGTATGACCACCTGGGCA